ACATATTAAGGAACACTTATCATGTCAGAAACTTTCAACATATGAAAGAATTCTTTTCTCATGTGGATCTTTCAACATATAAAGGAACATATCTCCAGTGAGGATATTTTAACATATTAAAGAACACTTCTCTTATGGGGATCGTTTGACAAATGGAGGAACATTTCTCATGTGTGGATCCTTAAACATATGAAGGAACATTTCTAATGTGTGGATCCTTAAACATATGAAGGAACATTTCTCATGTGTGGATCCTTAAACATATGAAGGAAAATTTCTCATGTGTGGATCCTTAAACATATGAAGGAACATTTCTAATGTGTGGATCCTTAAACATATGAAGGAACATTTCTCATGTGTGGATCCTTAAACATATGAAGGAACATTTCTCATGTGTGGATCCTTAAACATATGAAGGAACATTTCTCATGTGTGAATCCTTAAACATATGAAGGAACATTTCTCATGTGTGGATCCTTAAACATATGAAGGAAAATTTCTCATGTGTGGATCCTTAAACATATGAAGGAACATTTCTCATGTGTGGATCCTTAAACATATGAAGGAACATTTCTCATGTGTGGATCCTTAAACATATGAAGGAACATTTCTCATGTGTGGATCCTTAAACATATGAAGGAACATTTCTCATGTGTGAATCCTTAAACATATGAAGGAACATTTCTCATGTGTGGATCCTTAAACATATGAAGGAAAATTTCTCATGTGTGGATCCTTAAACATATGAAGGAACATTTCTCATGTGTGGATCCTTAAACATATGAAGGAACATTTCTCATGTGTGGATCCTTAAACATATGAAGGAACATTTCTAATGTGAGCAACTTTTAACATATTAAGGAACGCATCTCATGTGAGGATTTTTTAACAAATGAAGGAACATTTTTCATGTGAGGATCTTTTGACATATGAAGGGAATTTCTCATGTGACAACTTTTTAACTTATTAAGCAACACTTTTCATGTGCTGATCTTTTGACATGATCAGAGAAATCCTCCAATGTACATCTCATGGACATGATTGGAAAATCACCGAGATAGAGGTTCCACACACTCACAAAGCACACCGATGATTAAAAAGAATATCCTTATATGACAGGAAAAGATGAAGACCTAGAAATTACCCTATTTATGATCTCAGTGCTTTAACCAGAGTGCCAGTCACCTCAGCAACATACAAAGGTGACCATTGTCCCAGCTCTTACTCATGTAAGTGTGAGGTCAGAGGTCTAGGGTCAAACAAAGGAGTTTACACTGAAGTTTATATACATATTTCAACGGCACATGTTGATAAACAGCAAACTGCAAACAATGTTTACATAGTCCTCTTATTTTTTTAACATGTAAAATATCAGTCTATACAAGTAATCTTAGCAACATCCTCAATATATAATATATCCAGTGGACATTCTGAAATTTATATCAGCCTTTTTTATATTGTCACCATGTATTTATCTACAATAGCAATGGTGACAGTATGTCTCCATCAACAAAATAATTTGACCGAAAATCTACTAATTAGCATAAACAACACTTTAATAAATGGTATGTCCAACGTAATTGTCTGGGGTTGACATTTATAAAAATGTGTATGGGTATTTCACATCAAAATCCTGTCCATAATTTTGTACACCGAGCAATTTTGTTTAGATACTATCTCCATTAACAAACCTGAATTGTTTTTGATTAACATATTTTGACATTTCTGTGGTATGTTGGGATTATGATAAGGCTGACTTCAATAGAGTCTCTGTGTGTAATCTGTGAGACATAGGCAGGGGGAGGGGGAGGGGAGAGGGAGAGGGGGAGGGGGGAGGGGTAATATCACTAAATCACAAACCATGGGAGGTAAGTTACTCCAGCCACACCTCAATTTGTCAGACTCAAGTATCCAGGGTGAGGGTTATCACCAGAGTGGGGACTGGGTAATGTCACATGGTCCTCTGTCTATGTCATACTGGTATATACCATACCAGACATAGCATTGTGGCACACACACTCGCACCAGGGGAGGGACAATTTGTCAGCCTTATAAACACAGACAGTGGAGGCAACACACACGCCAGAACACATAAACAGATACATCATAAGTATAATCATATTCATTCAAAACTATATCTGATCTAATAAACTGTGTTGAAATAAAACAGGTCTATCTACATGAACAGCATCATTGTCTATTGGAGTACCTGTACATTTTCATCATTTGTTTTCGGTAATGCCGGCTAAGTTATCTTCATGATCGACTTTCATGATAGTAGAAACTCAGCAGAGCTTCTCCAAAATATGTAAGTAATTTTAAAAAAAATAATATGCCTAAGGATGTATGCAAACGCTCAAGTACACATCAGGTTGAAAAAATATCCATATCTGTTCTCTTACAAAAAATGCAAACAATCACTTAAGATTGTATAAAGTTCACTGACACAATGATTGGTTTAGTCTCTATTCTAACCCATCATCCCTGCAAACGTTATGTGGTGTATACCCACAGATGGTTTCCAGCAGATAGCTATATTTGAAGTTGTGCTGTCAAACAGGTAGAAAGTAAGACTCTTTACACCCCCTCTTTCCCCATGTTATACACACAATGTCCTAGTGTAGCATTCTAAGTATAGCTAGACTGTTTATAGCCAGGCAGAAAAAATATAGAAGTAAAACAGAAGCTTGGAAAAGTGAAAAGTTGTTTATCTTCCGATGCAACCAGACTAGATCGCAATCAGACAGAGTGAGGGAATTAGAATAATGTTGTTTACAATACAAATGTAAACATTAATCAAGAAATACAAAAGGAATAGAGAAGACTAAAGTGTTCTAATTACATGGAATAGAAAAAAGAGGAAGTAATAATGTTAAGGTTTAATCTATGAAGACAAATCACAGCAGGAAAAACTGTTTATAAATCACAGTGTAACTGTCTTGATTTAAAAAAATAAATCTGAAACGATAAGACAAATGATGATGTTGCCATGAACCTCTGCATCTTCATCATTGTTCTTTTTCACATTGTGAATCGGTGTGAACAATTGTAGGCAGTGTATTAATGAATACTGCGATTGTAAAGAGTTGTCATGTATAACATTTCCAATCAGTTTGTCACTGTGAACATTTACAATTAAAGAGTAAGACATTGTAGGAACACGTGAACATTTACAATTAAAGAGTAAGACATTGTAGGAACACGTGAACATTTACAATTAAAGGGTAAGACATTGTAGGAACACGTGAACATTTACAATTAAAGAGTAAGACATTGTAGGAACACGTGAACATTTACAATTAAAGAGTAAGACATTGTAGGAACACGTGAACATTTACAATTAAAGAGTAAGACATTGTAGGAACACGTGAACATTTACAATTAAAGAGTAAGACATTGTAGGAACACGTGAACATTTACAATTAAAGAGTAAGACATTGTAGGAACACGTGAACATTTACAATTAAAGAGTAAGACATTGTAGGAACACGTGAACATTTACAATTAAAGAGTAAGACATTGTAGGAACACGTGAACATTTACAATTAAAGAGTAAGACATTGTAGGAACATGTGAACATTTACAATTAAAGAGTAAGACATTGTAGGAACACGGGAACATTTACAATTAAAGAGTAAGACATTGTAGGAACATGTGAACATTTACAATTAAAGAGTAAGACATTGTAGGAACACGTGAACATTTACAATTAAAGAGTAAGACATTGTAGGAACACGTGAACATTTACAATTAAAGAGTAAGACATTGTAGGAACACGTGAACATTTACAATTAAAGAGTAAGACATTGTAGGAACACGTGAACATTTACAATTAAAGAGTAAGACATTGTAGGAACACGTGAACATTTACAATTAAAGAGTAAGACATTGTAGGAACACGTGAACATTTACAATTAAAGAGTAAGACATTGTAGGAACACGTGAACATTTACAATTAAAGAGTAAGACATTGTAGGAACACGTGAACATTTACAATTAAAGAGTAAGACATTGTAGGAACACGTGAACATTTACAATTAAAGAGTAAGACATTGTAGGAACACGTGAACATTTACAATTAAAGAGTAAGACATTGTAGGAACACGTGAACATTTACAATTAAAGAGTAAGACATTGTAGGAACACGTGAACATTTACAATTAAAGAGTAAGACATTGTAGGAACACGTGAACATTTACAATTAAAGAGTAAGACATTGTAGGAACACTTGAACATTTACAATTAAAGAGTAAGACATTGTAGGAACACTGATAAGTTTGATTCTTTAATGTTTAAATTAATAAAATATCATTTCATCAGTTAACATCAGGAAAAAGTCTTTAATTTGTTTTACCCTGGAATAGTTTGGTTTGTTGATTATATTTCATTGCTTTATGTTCTATCAACAGCCAGGGTTATTTAAGGGCACGCCAGGGTCTCAAACCTGTGGCACAGGGGTAGAGGGCTAGTGATAGAGAGAGACACCTTGATCGCTGAGCCACTATGGCCCCTTCCTGGAATAATAGCCCATAAAGTGGTTTTTTTTTGGTTACTTTAAGAGCATAAAGTATTCACTTCCAATTTAGATTTTGTATCTCTCTCATTCAGATTGAGCATCAAAGGTTAATTGTGAAATTTGCCTTGAATGGATACAAAGTAAAATCCTGCGTTTATTCTCATTTTTTTTTCAAATGCTCAAATTCAGAACAAAAACATAATTTTGATAAATGCAAGGTATTATTAAAATCGAATACAACTCATCCATAATGGTGAAAATTGTAAAAATTCACTTTAATTTTAATTTGAATATCTAATTACACACCAGTGATTTAAGCAAAGACCTTGCAGTCATGAGTACCTCTAGGTTATTGACCAACTTAACCTAGCTCAAAAATAAGATATCTACACAATACAATTTCTAAACCATATTTATACTGTATATGACTCTACATTTCTATGTGCTGCAAAAAATACATTTTCACAAAAAGATGTAACCTTACCAGGTCAAGGTGTCCTTTACGAAGTTCAAGTACTCCAAGGTTATTATAGGCTTCTGCATGGTCGTTGTTATTAGCTAAAGTTAATCTAAAACACTGGTAGGCCAAGGTCATATCTCCTATACCCTGTAAGCAGAAAATCACAAACAATGGTCAGTCAAGGTCATATCTCCTATACCCTGTAAACAGATAATCATAAACAATGGTAAGTCAAGGTCATATCTCCTACACACTGTAAATAGACAATCACAAACAATGGTAAGTCAAGGTCATATCTCCTATACCCTGTAAACAGACAATCACAAACAATGGTAAGTCAAGGTCATATCTCCTAAACCCTGTAAATAGACAATCACAAACAATGGTAAGTCAAGGTCATATCTCCTACACACTGTAAATAGACAATCACAAACACCGGTAGACCAAGGTCATATCTCCTATACACTGTAAATAGACAATCACAAACAATGGTAAGCCAAGATCATATCTCCTATACACTGTAAATAGACAATCACAAACAATGGTAAGTCAAGGTCATATCTCCTATACCCTGTAAAAAGAAAATCACAAACACTGGTAGGCCAAGGTCATATCTCCTATACACTGTAAATAGACAATCACAAACAATGGTAAGCCAAGATCATATCTCCTATACACTGTAAATAGACAATCACAAACAATGGTAAGCCAAGATCATATCTCCTATACACTGTAAATAGACAATCACAAACAATGGTAAGCCAAGATCATATCTCCTATACACTGTAAATAGACAATCACAAACAATGGTAAGCCAAGATCATATCTCCTATACACTGTAAATAGACAATCACAAACAATGGTAAGTCAAGGTCATATCTCCTATACCCTGTAAAAAGAAAATCACAAACAATGGTAAGTCAAGGTCATATCTCCTACACACTGTAAACAGACAATCACAAACAATGGTAAGTCAAGGTCATATCTCCTACACACTGTAAACAGACAATCACAAACAATGGTAAGTCAAGGTCATATCTCCTACACACTGTAAACAGACAATCACAAACAATGGTAAGTCAAGGTCATATCTTCTACACACTGTAAACAGACAATCACAAACAATGGTAAGTCAAGGTCATATCCCCTATACACTGTAAATAGATGAATAAAGATATAAAAACATGGGTAGGTGAAGGTCATGTCTCCTATGCACTATAAATAGAACATAAATACAGCAGGTCAAGGTCACAGCAAGACAACATAGAACATTGAGGACACATTTAAATGTATTTAATCAGAGCTCTGTACTGATTTAACACATGATATATTTGACTAGGCCAAACATTTTTCATTGAAATAGAAGTGTACAAAGGACAAGCAAGGCAAATCTTTTGTAGGCAAATTTCACTGGTGGTTCTTAGCATGCCATGTCAACTACATAACACTGTTCAATAATTCACACATTATTTCTGTCTAAAAGTGACAGTAGTCTTACATTAGTATCATTTAATGCTGATAATTGAATGATGATGGAGGATGCCTAGCTCCAGTGAGTGGTGATATATAACCAGTTTCAGAACGACAAGACATACACAATACATCTACCACTAACTGCTGGAGGACATCATTATTCATGTGAACTGGAGAAATGAATGGATTCATCAGTACATAAACCACAAAAAATATTTCATAAACACTGAAACATATAACATGTGTTCACTGATACAAAAACATCACATGTTTCCATGATAATTTTATTTCAAAACCTAAATCCCATCAACATCTAATAATAAAGAGGAAAATATATAAAAATCTATATTTTTAAGTATGTATTGCTTTAAGTTAAGAAACATTTAAATAAATGATGTTTTAAAAATCAAATTAAGTGCTGTGTTTCGTAAATTACAACTGAAATAAAGATGAAGTATTTTATTTTCACATAAACCTCTGACAAGGAAGATCTTCTGATGTATGTTGTTGTAGGCTCTATAAGGGCAGATATGGTACACCACAAGGCGAAACCCTAGATAAAGCCATTTTTCTGTAAAACTAATTTACTGAATATGACACAATATTCTTTGTGATTTTGTGTATTTTCTCATCTTTGTGATGAAAGTCTTTGATCAGGAAGAAAAAAAAGTTTACAGGTAAAGGTTGCTGAAATGACAGACTGGTGTTAATTCATGGCCTATCAGCTAGATTTTAACACCAGAATATTAAACACCTTGAGTAAGATAAGGAAATACCAGATACTGTATTTCATAGGTTTAAAACCTGAGAAGATTAATGTTAAACACGTAATTGTGATAGGTATGTGCTAACTTTTTACTCAAATAACAGATAACCTTACCACAGGAGAAACATAACATTACGCGTGTGATGTCTGGACTATGCTCTACCACCTTCAGCTTGTCCCACATAATCGGACTGAATGTTACCACATAAATCAACACATATATGCAGATTTCTCTACAAAGTTATGTATGAATACGTATGTACACGAACAAAATATTCCTAAACACCTACACGTTGATATATATATACAATATATATACTTCAATTTTCCTCATTTTATTTGTCCCTACACTATCACACTGCACCTGTTTTCACTTTTGCTTCTAAATTCAATCCTTTACAAATGTTCTTTAGAAATCTCTGTTGTGAGATATATTGCCACAGCTATTTATGACATCAATTTGGTGGCATTAAAAACAAGGACATACTTTAGATTTTCTGCCAAAATCACATGTACACAAAGCAGTCAGTTGGTGCAATACACTTGTAAAGAAAAAGTTTATGATATTATATATTTGCCCGAATTCTATCAAAGCTACAGATGAAAATACATTTTCAATTAAGACTGAGTATCATGAAGTCATATAGATCATGGGTATTCTCTGATCTGTCGGAAGGAGAATGTATGAAGATGATAGGTTATACAGAGGGGATGACTGAACTCATGTTGGACTGGATGATGAATGGATGATACTAGGCTAGAGGGTGCATACCATGTTAAGGGACAAAAGTGAAATAGCCAGGTTCTAAGGATACCCAGAGTAGAAGCAAACAGATGTGTAAATAATCTGAAAATGAAAACTGAATAATTGTGTAATGTAACTTGTCTTGAAGTATAAAAAGAATCACAGCTGTCTTGAATATTACATCATCAAATTCAATATCCCAAACATAGATGCAACACTAAATCTGAACAGGAGAGTGACTACTACATCACCCACATTTTAAAAAATCTCCAGGAAAAGGGGCAATAACTCTGAAAAAGTCCTTGTAGGAGAGTTAGTGCAATCAATGGTAAAATAACATGGATAAAAAGGCTGCATTAGCAGACAGAAATGGACAAATAGACAGCCATCTAAGTACTCTCCAAACTTTACTGAGGCTGTGTAGATGTATGAGAATGACAGAAGGATGAATACCTGATGGATAGACAGAGAGATTCCAGCACAGTATAATGATGTTTCATCAATCCATGACATCTATGCTGTTATGTACTAAAGGAGGTGATGTTCACAGGATGATTGAAGAAACAATGATTGGCCTCACTGGAAACCCTATCTACATCTATGGCTAACCTCCCAGCCCAGTGGACCCACTAATTACCAGCAGTGACCCACCAGCCAGAGTTCTCACACCTGCTAACCCATGTAATAGACTTGTGTGGTAGGCAGCCACTTCACTTGATTGAAAAATTCCTTCATTACACTAGCTGGAAAAACATCATTTGTTTTTTTGGGAAAGGTTGTTATGGTTACAAGTTTTATAAAGTAGCAGGTGCCCCAACTAAATGCCCAGTATCAGACAAGTTAGATGGAGCATTGTTAACAGCTAGGTGGGATATTGGTGCTGTCATTTAGATAGAGGCAGGGGGCACTCTCCAAGATTTAGGCACTTCCTCTCACTCATCCCTACTAAATCACTTTATATAAATTCATTTGGAACATTCCTAAACCTGACTGCCAGTAAAAAATTACTTACAAAAAATGTGCACTTAAAAGGACTTTGAATGATGTTACCAACTAGTTAGAATATGATACCATGTCAATGGCCTGATCACCTCGATCAATAAGGAGTATTTAGTGGGAACTCTGATACATGATGACACCCTTTTGTACTGTTGTATTTATCACCTTTTTTTATTTCCTTTTGTTTTCTTCGAATTAAGCAGACCTACACTTGTACCAGTATTCAGAGCCTTGAAATGAAAGTTCACCAATTGGTTTTATAGTACAGGCAGTCAGATTAATACAGGTTCTGTCAACACTCAAAAGCAAAATTATTACAAGGAACATTTTACAAGTAGTCTTACATAATAGGCATATCAGTACAGCAATGTCAAGGCTATATAAAGGTAAAAACAATAGGGGGGGCTGGCAACTGCAATATTCAAATTCTGCAACCACTGGTCACTGGTCATTAACAAAGCTGCATTAGTGATATTGGTGTTCAAATTCATTTTTGTTTATGTCAGACACAATGTGTTAACACTTGTTCTGGGGACAGATGATATGTTAACTCTGATATGATTTATAATCCAGGGGTCAATTCTGGTTTAGTTTATAAATGTTTAACAACAGCCAATGGAAGGGGGTGAAGATAGCAATAGATTGAGTCAATGAATGATGTTGTTTACTGAGGTCTAGGTACAGATGTCCAGCTGGTCCAAGGTACTATCAGAATCTACAGGTGACATATTCATCATCTCAAGCACTGGCAGTTAAGTTCATCACCCTACACCATCTACCTCATCAGAAATAGGACTTTTGGCATTTGGCAGGAGTAGACTCCTTAAAAAGATCATTTTAATTATACATGTTTTTTTAAAGTGCAACAGGAGGTATATCAGTTAATGAAATCTTACCAGTGCCACGTGGCCAATGTTGAACCACACTTCTGATATAGTTTGCTCCTCTGCCAGGGATAATGCACGCTCAAAACAGGTCAGGGTCATATCATACTGCTGGGCATAGAAACAGCACAGACCCAAGTTGTTAAATAGTTCCCCGTTATAGACACCCATCTGTAACAATCGTCTGGAAAATAATAAACAAAACATGTCAATACACACATACATGCAACAAGGTCTGAAAGGTCTCCATGTCTTCTTAAGAGATTTTTCAGATGTATGTCTTCAATGTTAAAGCAATGTCCTTGAACTTTAACCTCAAAAGTATGTGTTATTTACACCATATTTCAACTTCAAAGCTGATATCTTCTGACAAATATATACAGATTAGTATATAATATTTAATAGCATTAAAGGTCGCTCTTTTATGATTTCGAGGATTAATGATAATGTTATATATCTATTGGTATAGTGAGGACATAAGTTGAAGGATATTGAGATTACCATACCACAGTACCGATAGGCAAAATCATTTATGGTAGGAGATATGTGTATCTACAGGTAATCTTTGATGATCCCTTACTGGTAAGTATGAAGAACTGTCTCCTAACTACAACTGATTGAGGAATTCAACTGTAACTTCTACTAGGGCCACAGAAATATGCCAGAGTTCGGTATTATCGGTACTCTCAAAACATCCTATCATTTTAACAGGAACTTAATCAGTCATAAAACTATTTCAGTGGCTTAGAGATAGAAATCTATCTACATGATCTAAGGTAGGATATTAATAGTACCCGCTACATTAATAGTCAAATTAAGGCCCACCATGATTAGGTAGACCCCAGCAACACCAGGAAGTTTGATCATATTAATATTCTGCTTATCAGCCAAAACTGGAGAATGCATATTTCCTCTGAATGGTAAATCATTTTTTATTTGCGAAGCACTTAACAGGTTCAATTGCAACATTTTCCTGTTTAATCGGAGCATGATGGAGAGCAAAGCCAGGAATATCTCACCTTAGGTCAGTCCAGATTTACCACTGAGGTTGGTAAGGTCTCTGTCTCAATTAACCTAGGTGTACAACTAGGAATAACTTTCTTCATGTTAGTCCTGATGTACAACAACGACTAGGAATATCTCCCCTAAATTTCATCTTGATGTACAACAACAGCTAGAAATATTTTCTTACCATTTAATCCACTTATACAACATAGGCTAGCAATATCTCCCTCCACCTTCACCCTGTCATACCTATGTTAGGAATATACAACATGGGCTAGCAACATCTCCCTCCACCTTCACCCTGACATACCTATGTTAGTAATATACAAAATAGGCTAGCAACATCTCCCTCCACCTTCACCCTGTCATACCTATGTTAGGAATATACAAAATAGGCTAGCAATATCTCCCTCCACCTTCACCCTGTCATACCTATGTTAGGAATATACAACATGGGCTAGCAACATCTCCATCCACCTTCACCCTGACATACCTATGTTAGGAATATACAAAATAGGCTAGCAACATCTCCCTCCACCTTCACCCTGATGTATATACTAAAAGGATAAAGAAACGCAGGGTGAACTTTAAACCAGAAATTAAGTATGATATCGGGCTTCATTTAAAACAAAATTTTGTATACTTACAGATAAATTAAAGCTTAAAAATTTCCAAAGTCTGTATTTTGCATCTGACAATTGGTTTAGAGGTACTAACGATTAAATTGAATGGACCCATAGGATTTTGAAATTGAGTCATCAATATCTTGTGTGTCCGCCGTTTGCTGTGGTCACGGCCCTTATTCTTCTGGTCATAGAGTTCATGAGAGCGTTTATCTGTCTTATGGGGATGTTGTCCCACTCTTCAGAGCTCTGGTCAACTGCTCTCGAGAAGCAGGGGCTGGCTGGCACTTTTGAACCTGTCTATCCAACTGGTCCCAAAGATGCTCAATCGGGGACAAATCAGGGCTATATGGCGGCCAATCTAGTGCTTGAATGTTGTTGTTGGCCAAAAAGACTTGGCAAATCCTTGCTACGTGGGGCCTAGCATTATCCTGCTGGAGGGTTAGATTATGCTGCTGTAAGAAAGGGATAACATGGGGTTGGAGGATCTCATCTCTATACTTAGCTGCTTCACCTTCACCCTGTCATACCTATATTAGGAATATACAACATAGGCTAGCAATATCTCCCTCCACCTTCACCCTGACATACCTATTTTAGGAATATACAACATAGACTAGCAACATCTCCCTCCACCTTCACCCTGTCATACCTATTTTAGGATTATACAACATGGGCTAGCAACATCTCCCTCCACCTTCACCCTGATACATATATGTAAGGATAATACAACATGGGCTAACAACATCTCCCTCCACCTTCACCCTGTCATACCTATGTTAGGAATATACAACATGGGCTAGCAACATCTCCCTCCACCTTCACCCTGACATACCTATTTTAGGAATATACAACATAGACTAGCAACATCTCCCTCCACCTTCACCCTGTCATACCTATTTTAGGAATATACAACATAGACTAGCAACATCTCCCTCCACCTTCACCCTGTCATACCTATTTTAGGATTATACAACATGGGCTAGCAACATCTTCCTCCACCTTCACCCTGATACATATATGTAAGGATAATACAACATGGGCTAACAACATCTCCCTCCACCTTCACCCTGTCATACCTATGTTAGGAATATACAACATAGGCTAGCAATATCTCCCTCCACCTTCACCCTGACATACCTATTTTAGGAATATACAACATAGACTAGCAACATCTCCCTCCACCTTCACCTATTTTGATTATACAACATAGGCTAACAACATCTCCCTCCACCTATGATACATATATGTAAGGATAATACAACATGGGCTAACAACATCTCCCTCCACCTTCACCCTGTCATACCTATGTTAGGAATATACAACATGGGCTAACAACATCTCCCTCCACCTTCACCCTGACATACCTATGTTAGGAATATACAACATAGACTAACAACATCTCCCTCCACCTTCACCCTGACATACCTATTTTAGGAATATACAACATAGACTAGCAACATCTCCCTCCACCTTCACCCTGTCATACCTATTTTAGGATTATACAACATAGGCTAACAACATCTCCCTCCACCTTCACCCTGTCATACCTATGTTAGGAATATACAACATGGGCTAGCAACATCTCCCTCCACCTTCACCCTGATACATATATGTAAGGATAATACAACATGGGCTAACAACATCTCCCTCCACCTTCACCCTGTCATACCTATGTTAGGAATATACAACATGGGCTAACAACATCTCCCTCCACCTTCACCTTGATATACCTATGTTAGGAATATACAACATAGGCTAGCATTACCTCCCTCCCAGTTAGCCCAGATTACAACACAGTCTAGGAATATATCCTTTCCATTTAGCCAAGATGAACAATATAGGCTACATATATCTCCCTTCCAGTAAGCCCATACACACAATGTAAGCTGGGATTATAGAACTGCTTGTTGGCCAAGATGTACAACATAGGACAAGAATATCTCCCTACCAGTCAGCACTGATTTATCATTGGTTAACATCATCATTTTTACATCCTACAACATTACTGAATTAAATTACACCAATTACTTTCATCCTTGAACATATGACTCAACACTGAATCTAAAAACACACTTTCTACAATTAACTTTACATATCAGCATGTTTCACTGTGTACAGTCTACAACTCACATATTTAATAAAATGAATTAGCAATTTACGAACTTCACAAACTATTATAATATTTGAAGTATGTAAGGGTTCTAAACACATGTATTCTAACACATTTTCAGTAACTAGCTATAATTATGATTAGCTATAGAAAAACATGTAGCTTCCCGGACCTATATGCACATTTAAATAGCACTATCAAGCATGCACTGAACACGTGCAGCAATTCATACATGGCCTTAACTGGAAGGCTACTGTCAATGACAGGATGCACTGTAACACTGGTGCTGTAGAAATGTTCTATATCCACGTACACTATCATAGCTGTCAGATATCTACAAAACTATCATCATCTTGCATACAAATTCAGCCAAAATGTCAGCATGATTATAGCTGGCTTATCATTGAAGATATGTGATATAGCTGTTAACTGGGAGGTTGTGGCCTCTTTCATTTGTGTGTACATCTTGAGAGATGGATGGCCACAAAACCTACTTGGTATGCAGCTCAGCTTTGACCTACAGACTGTGCATCAAATCATACAGCCCACAACCAACAAATTAACATAGTTTTCTCTTACAAATAATAATCTAAAGATGACAGAGTTGTTCCCCTTGAAGGATAGCTAACATGTCCATTAGCTTCTAACTTGCATACAATGTAAAGTACTGTGTGTGGTTTGTTTGTTGGGTTTATCACATCTTGAAGAGTCAAGATCATTTGAGGCAGTGCCTCCTTGTAGTAGCTGGTGACTATCTCAATGAATGCAATACTGGAGACACATCAAAGGCCATTTGGAGCAATAAAGTAAAGTGTCTTAACCATGGCTACCACCATGACAGCACAGACTGGTCAGCTTCTAAGTTACCTAGAGAAACAGAGCAGTATTTTGGTGTTGTGATCATGACTATGGACAAGACTGCATGTGTTGACTGTTTGGAGTAAATTTGTCTAGATACTACTTTCTATAAATGATTTTGTCAACAAACAACTTTTAAAAAAACATTAAATTTTCCAAAGAAAATGTTTCAAACCAATCAATTTAAGCTCACACAGAGCATTAGTATTTGTAAACAGTAAAATAACTGACAGTAAGTACTTGAATGATATCAAAGTGAACACTACTGGTACTTGAAAAATGCCATATAAAGCAAACTTTATAAGTGTAATTTTTAAGATGACAGTAAGTAGGTATGTTTTTACACCAAAGCAATTTTCCAATGATACATTTAAATAGAATCACAATTTAGTGACATACAAAACAAAACAATCACCGGGAACCAAAATGGACAGAAAGTTGTGTTATATTTTCATATATATATATATGAATATTATTGTTTGCTTTGACACTCTGGATCTTCTGCAGTGTCCTTTTATTTTTTGTAGAACATGAAACGGACATAATTTTCTGTACAAATAATATGTTATGCAATCTGTTCATATCTCTCTGATTACTTTTGTTTCATAATACCTTAATTGACAACACAAGACAATACTGAGTATTTGTCCTACCACAAAATCACACAAAATTATGGACTTATTCCCTAAGTTCTTCATTTTGGCACTTACTGCTCTTTGCTTTATATCACACATGGTATGGATGGCAGCAACGTCTCTTAACAACAGATTGCAGAGGGATCTTAGTGCCTATAATCTTTGATCTTAATTCACATAACTTGGAACAAAAGGGTACCTACAAATCTTTGAGAGAGTTCCAGTATTTCTCAAGAAATAATTGATAACAAGAATTGTATACAGAATATTAGATGATGGACTGAAAATAGAGGTCTAAAAGTAAGCGTGTTGTCAGTTGATATTATAGCCAGTTGGAGTTTTATGCAATTATGTCCAGGTCTTGAAATTTTGGTAAGACTGTAATTTTAATTTCCAAATGATTTACCTGAACCTACATGGACATGTCCTTATCTGTGACATTAAACCTTCAATAAACCAAACCAACTCCACCTGCTCAGGACCCAAATTATAAGTTAGCTAGCTTAACATTGATGAACATTTTCTATAACCAAAAGATGCTCCACAGTACAACTCAGTGTGGACACTTGGTAGGATGTCACTACACCTTGACAATGGTGTGTACATTGTATTTCCCGTCATCTGTCACAAAGTCTAACAGATCTGATGTGGCTAGGGGTAGATAATAGCCTGGCAATGTCAGCCTGCCACTATTAGGGAGGGGAAAATAACACCCTCAATGATCACTTCACTGATAGTATAATAACATAATGATGATGGAGAGGTATGATAATTAGGACAGGCTCAAATGTCAGCATGTATTGATTTTATACACCAGTTAACACAGCTAATTACTCATAAAAGGTGATTTATACTATTATAGTACACTTGACATAGTTTTTGTCAATGTATCTGATCCTTACTGATAAGATAGCCTTTCATCGTGTCTATAAACCTGATGAATAGTAGGCTTTATGTAAACTTGATCGGTCTGCCAGTATATACTTATTTTCTATAATGTAATGCCAGTGTAGCTCCTTACCAAAGTCTGTCTCATCTTATCTCTACAACATTGAAATAGTTATTAATACCTAGTCCGATCAAAAATGTGTTAATAACTTTGATTTTCAGGAAAAGTCTCCATTGAATTGATACAGTCTAATTTAGTGTTTTTTCCAATGACTGGTTGCAGCCTGGAAAGACACATTGATATTAATGATTGATTTGCTTGCCAATTTATCTCTATAAATGGGATAAAATATCATCATTTAAAATTAAAATAAAGCATATAAACTTACCCTATTGTCAAGCATCACTACTATTTAACATAAAAAAATGTATTATTATCTCACACACTTATTTGATGCAGATTTCAGTATATACTAGAGTACAATTCAGTTTTTTATCTGACCAGTGCTATAACTGCCTTTTGCATTCTGGGTTTTTCTGAATTTATCATTACCGTGGTTCATGTATGATGGTATCTTTACTTTTTCATACTGCATGTCCTGATGCTTATGAAAACAGATGAAAACAAAAGTGGGAGTTCTCATAAAGTCAAAAATCTGATCACAGTTTTTTTTTCTTTAATCTTATTAATGATTTTCCAATTGATTTAATATTTTATCAAGAACTATTTATTAAACATTTTCATTCAGATAATTTTAATATACAGTCAAACCTCGTTATCTCAAACTCAATGGGACCATTGGAAAACTTCAAGATAACCAAGTATTTGATTTATGTAAGTTTGATTATTTTGTGTCAAATTAGACAAGGATTGACAAAATGCTTTGAATTAAACTGTGTCTCCAAGTTGTACAAGTTCAAAATAACAAGGTTTGACTGTATTTATGGGTGGTTTACGTTCATTTTCTGTTGGTATACACAAATCTTAGTGATTCACATTTTTAACCATCAAATTTGAAATTTTGGAAATATTTTTTTTCAAATCAGTGAAATTTATGTTAAATTTACTGAATTACAAATTTACAATTTACTTAAACAATTCCGAGTTCCGCTTGCCAATGTATTGGATACTGGACCCAGAACAATAACAGAACTTCAAAACAGATCAAAAAGAGCTTATTTAGTTATCCTATGGTGGGCAATAATTCAAAAGTTCAAGTCAAGATACTGTTTATGACATTGTTCTTGTTCCTTGTTTCACAGTATTATTGTATGCTACATACGATGTAAAGGTGCATATAACATTTTATGACACTAAAGTAGTTTTTTAAGTTTTTGTAATGACAAATATAATTCATACTATAAACTGAATAGCTCACTCCTACCAGAGATCTCACTTAAATAATACCATCTTCCAGCTGTTGCTGTTATAGATTTTTTTTATAAATTGTACAAAGCATGTGTGTTCAGTCAAGAAACCTGTCACATAGAATGCCCAATTACCACAAAAATCTGCTGTTTACATATGTCTGATTCATGTGCACAACTATCACAGAATTATTATACATGCACAAAAGCCCAGTGTGAAGTGTATGTGGACACTGCACACACTTTACACAGACAGACAAAATATGAAATAATTAGATTTTAATCCATCAAAAGTGTAATTCAATTTCAATTCAACAAATGCAACTCATTTCAAAATAGATATTTCTTATACTACTTCCTGTCTCTGGATTGGCTGACGAGAAAGACTCCAATCCAGATTTCCTAAGCAGAATCAATGATCTATTTATATCTAAGGCTGGATAATGTTTCAGTTTCTGCATTACTGGATCAATTACAAGTTACAGATAGTACAGAGTACACCAACGATATATTTTACACTAAACGCATGAAATCTTATATCAAAAGTGAAAAAATACTGGATTACTGATAAGTTATTACACTGTATTACATTTTCAATATTTATCATTGAAGATTTGTACCTGTTGAAAGTGACCTTAGTATCATGTTTGCGTCGCTGACATACTATACCTGTGACAGGTAAAAGTAAACACTCAGTGTATCAACATTGGGATTAAGAGGCATTTTTTTAAGGATATCTGATAGATGAATACCAGATCTTTTGATCTTTCTATACATGTTTGACACAAATATGAAAATAATAATTTATAAATCGGGTGCCAATGCATAAATTAACACTTGAGATGACAATGTTTGAATTTGCAATCAATATAGTGATTTACCATTTTTAGTTTGTTTTTCAATCCCCGAAAGGCCTAATCTATTTATTGTTTACTGAACAATGATTCTTAAAATATTCTTTAAACTGAATAAAATAAACTAAGGAACTAATGATGTGGATTATAAAACCAGAGATGTATATGTGTTATATACATTTCTGATAAAACAATATAAGGATGAACATTTGTCTTGTTATTGAGTTTATTCCTCATTGAATCAACATATAACTACTAACAACAAGATGACGTTCTCAAGTGTGATACACAATACACACTTGTACCGTCGGCAATGCAAAACATTTTTTTATCTCTCTGTAACTGATCAGCTTCTACAAATATCAACATGGAACTTCGTACTAGAATGTGTTAAGGACATATTAACAATCCTATGCTACTTGTATAAAACCTACACAAGTGTCAAGCTGTCTCCCTGGAGTCGCTAGTTGTTATAACTCTTGTCATTTTTTTATGAAACTGACACTTCATATATTAATGTTTTATAATCATATAAAGTAGATATTTTTTGATGTCGCTAATTTTATCTAGTATTGTAAGATATGAAGTTTGAAAACGCTGCCCTCAAGTGCGATACACAATGTAAATGTATGTCAAAGATGACTGAGGAAAATTTTACTTTAAAGAATTCAACCAATTTTACAAATATGTTTACGAAACATGAGACTTGGTACAAAAGTGTATTTTGATCATATTTATGATGTCATTCGTACCTGATTCAAATCTTCATCTGAATTGTGTCAGGACACCTAGCCTGATCTTAACTATGCTACATGTGGCATAAAAACTTGCACACATTGTAACACTTAGAACACATTTGATAGAAGGAGGCTGTAAATCAATGCTATATTGTATTATATACTGTATTATCATCATCTAATGATGTAATTTCCATATAAGTCTCCTAGCCCCTTGTATGCAAGGCCTTGTTCACTTTAGATCCTGACACTACATCTGGATTACCAGTCACATCAATACAATGTGATAAACATAAGTGGGTTCGGTATATTTGCCAATATTTCCTGTCTAGTAGGGAAACCTCAATTTTGGCCCAGATTGTAGACATGTTTTAGCAATTAATCTTCATTGTTTATTTTTTCAAATGTCACATTATCTTATTTATAGAGCCCAAAAGACACAGCTAAACTATGTTGTATTAAAGAACATGCACAATTTTCCCCGTGGGACAACTGAAAAAAGTCACAAGAAGTTATAAATATCTCAATTAAAAGCATATGATAAGCACAATGATGGGTTCAATAACAAAGAAAACAGTAAGAAAAAGCTATACCTGTAGAATTTGAGTGCAACTTCTGGTTGATCTGTGTAGAAGTGATGTGTAGCTATACAGGCAATAGCCTCTACATGCATACTGTCATAATTCAACACATCCTTATAGAACTTCACTGCATTGTCCATGTCGTTCATACCCTACAATCAAACCAAACTCAACATTAACAAAATCGTACAATATTCATTCACGACATAGAAACACTACAGCAAAGATCAGTAAAAGACAGCATTGCTCAGATATAGATATTGGCCTATGTACCTCATAGATTCTAGCTATTCCTGACAGAAGAGTTGTTTCCCCCTGGAACTTTTCCAGTCCTTGTTTGAAGATGTCAATGGCTGTAAGAGGCTGGTCAAGTCTCACATAAACCTTACAGAGGTACAAAAAGATGTCTATGATATCCTGCTGCTTCTGTGCTGACTTCAGCTGCTTCTCAGCATCTCTGTACATACCCAACCTAGTAAAATAGACATTGACAACGTAATGTCAACAAAATTACCAGATATTCTCCTTAATATCTAATGTATCTAACTCTTGTTATCCTTCATTTTCCTGCTTGAGACAAATATTGAAATGTTCTTCAATCATATTCAACTCAGAACTTTTTAAATCGACCTAGAAAATCATTTATTTTTTTATTAATCCACATATAAAATCATCCCACTTTGAATTTGATTTACATGAATCAATTTCCATCTGAAAAAAATCAGTTAACAAGATAAAACAGAAGACTTGCAACTCAACATCAACTTGAAAAAAGAGTGTTCACTGTACATTTCACACACCGCACTTCCTAGGAATGCTCAATCCTAAAATTTTATTTACCATACATCTGAATTCATGCTTGAAGTGCCTTTTATGAACAATATATATGAGGCAAAAAGCATCTGCACCATCTTCATATATGAAGAGAAGCTCTCCCTACCTCTCATGTACCATACAACTGCAGCAAAATTTCTTTCTGCCATTCATGTATCAAGAATCTAAAGAGAAACTTGGACACCATATATCTGATGAAAAGCTCTTTATCATTATATTGTCAGAAGGGATAGTGTTACTGTTCATATGGTACTGACCTGTAGTAACATTTAGCTAGCTGAACTTTCCACCACCAGTCCTTGTACTGACAGGCTTCTGTGGCAAGTGCTGCTAACTCTAATGCCTGTAATATAGCATGTGTTCACATCTACAGTTTTTTTTTAAATATTTCCATACATCTTAATATAAAAATATTTCAAAATTGACAAATACTTTAACTTTTGAACAAAATTAAAACAAGAAAGTATGTCCTGCATTGCAAACATTGTGTTTTACTTGTATATATAACTACACAGAAAAGAAATTTTATTTCTATTTTTATACTCACATTCCTGACATCATTTTCATGGTGGAATATGTATTCAAACAGTGCCTTTGCTAGGTTTGGGCGTGCTGCATACTTTGCAAAGTTGAGGCGTGCCAAGTTTATAAAAGGTCCATCTGGGGTTGACAACATGGAAGCCTGCAAACAAAATCAATTATATATCATATGTAATGGTGAAAGATTTGATACAAATCCTGTAATCCTGAATTGGTTTAAATAGTAAAACTGTCAAAACAAAATGCTTTCATGGGGATTCAAACTTTTAGTGGGCACTTGCTCTGGTTGAAAAATTGTATTCTGAAAATTAAATCTAATATTCAACAGATTATTACTTCACACATGTGAATTCTTGGATCAAGTTATCAAGTTTTGTCAAATATGATGAACTTTTGTTTCTAAATCTCAAGTTGGCCAAGGGTTCAACAGATTGGCAACTTTATTAATTTGAACTGATCATAATAAAATCACTTCAACGAACCAGCTGTCAGTGCTCCAAACTGTGTCTCACTGAGGTTATTATATATCTAACCGAGGCTTCTACAGGACATATCTAATCAAAAAACTAGTCTAGTCATTATCTTGTAAACTTTTGATATTTGACAGAGCAGATTTCCCATTTGGTCTGATCATCCTCAGAATGTTCTTCATTCGTTGTGATGGAACTGTCATTTATTTTTTACCTGACAAAGGGGGACAAGCATTTAATTTTCAACAGACAGACTTCCCTTTTGGTTATATTTGTCACTGAGACATTTCCTTAGGCAGAGCCACAAAGCAAGTTATTCAAATCTTAAACAAAAAGCATCAGTTTTCCACTTGCATCAGTCTATGTCAGACGGGTAATTAAATTTAATCTAAAATCTGCTACACATAATATTGTTAAGAAATAAACTGTCATTGTCGGAAATTGCCGAGAAAAATGCTAAAAGTAGTGCTTGTAAATACTCAATGTAAAATACTCACAGTTCCCAGTCTAACATATCGACCTGAAGCACTTGTGACTGGGCGTGCTGTGTGTGCTGTACGAGGGGTCCTGATAGCTTGCTCCATGGTACCAGGTCGCCCACCTTGTGTACCTGGGCGAACAAACCCTGATACTGGGCGCCCAGACTGTGACGTAGGTCTGCATAAGTAAACATAGAGAACATAAAATATAAGACATAAAGACATCAAAGTAAGACACTGATGCAGGGATAATCATGGAAGGGACTAAGGGGCGTTGGGCCTTTCAAAATTGAAATTAATTCCTCCATTTTTCTATTTTAATGTTACATCAGATGGCCCATTTTATCTTTGACATTGAAAAAGAATCACTGAAAATGCCCAAATAATGCTCTCAGCTCCCTGGATTTCCCCTTCCAAGAGTATTACTGAATGGAAATAATAGATCATTTCAAGGCAAAAAAAAAGAACTTGCTCGCAGTTGATTGACCATATGAATATTGCAAAATATCTGTTACTTCACTATTTCTATAGCATCAGTTGCTGTATGGAGAAACATTATGCTGTTCTCCATCACTTTATTTTTTTTTTTCAAGATGATTTGTTCTGATTTGCTGGTGTTGCTTCAAAGAGTTTGTCAGAATATTAAGCTTGTATTATAAGGATTTTTGTTTTTACTTACATGAATTAAACCAGTAGTACTTATGGTAGGTATTTTTGAGAAATGAACAACAGCACTAAATTTAAAGACCAATGGTTCAATGTGGAGTAAATTCTAAAACTTTTTTGTACTCAATTTTTCATGACTAGGAGCTGTGCATGCTTTATTTTGTTGATAACTTATTGATAAATTTATCTGATATTTATCCATTGTAAAATGTGTATGTTTTTATTGGGTGATTTTTTTATCTAATATTCAAGCAGAATAACTCTGAAAAAGTGAAGATAAAATATAGAATTCCATTTCTTTTCCCTTTTTACTTTTGCAGTTTGTTATCACCATTTTTTTCTTGTTCAACTATTAATCAATAATCATCATCATTTCATTTTAGATTTTTTTTTACCTGACACCAGGACTGGGTGCGCCCACTCCCGTTCCTGGAACCTTTAACGAGGTTCCTGGACGTGACACTTGTGCAATGGTGTTATCATCCAGCAACATTTCTGCAATTCCTTCTTCATCCACATCAACCTCATCAACATACACTTGAGCAGTCAGTGCTCGTGTCTTTAGTGTCCATGAAGCCTGTTAAGTGATATCAGTTAAAAGGTAGGTCAAACTATTAAATATAATTTAATTCTAGTTGTCATTAAATAGTCAGGGTATGAAAACAGATTAAATGTTCGGTACATTTGTTACATTTTACAGTTTGTCAACATACAGTGGACAAAATGAATACGTTCCAATTTTCGGTCTTTTTCTCTATTTTTACAGAAAAGCGACATATTAAAACCGTTCTTCACTTGTCATCTATCCAACGGAGTAGATTATAATAATCATAACAATGCAAAGACAAAAAATTCAGTATGTTTACTACAATGCTAACCAACATCACATTTGAAAACTGCTATATGGCTGATCCCCATCAGTGACTTTCTTTGATATATTTACCTGGTCATACGGATTCTTTTCTAAAAGTTGAGAACATATTTCAACACATTCTTGGTATTTTCTTCTTCTGAAATAACTGTACGCGAGAAAGAGAGGATCCATTTCTGTCAGTTTAATTACAACGCTAAAGAATGTTGTGGAGTTGTCAACCTCTCTGAAGATCGGTACAAAGGGAAGTAATTCTGAAGGCCGGGTACGCAGAGCGGTGTGCAGGCAATTACACCCTCGAATTATTTAGGTAATAAATATCAAAATTAAAACCATGGGTCGTTGTTTTTACTAATTTGTTTTTATTTCACTTATACAATCTCATTTGTTTTAACCATCTAGCGCTCACGTCTTCAAATATCATTATAAACACATTTCTCGGACCATAATGTAGAACTCTGTTATGGGGTATCCAATTTTACTTATCACATTGTAAAAAACGTGAGCGGTTAGGAAACAAGTAATGGGGTTAGATTCATTACTTTTCATATTCTCGGTGGTCGACGAAGGAGCTCTGCTCTTTCTCGTTGTATACTTTGTATCCTTTTCATGCCATTTGCATTCGTATGTGACATCGTTTGATAAGTTTGCCTCTCTTTTAGAAGTACAACACAAACACCGGCTCAAGGTTCAGAGGTAGATGATGGACTGAGTTTGAAATTTGGTATGAAAAATGTGTCAAAGAATTTATATGATGGAAGATTTTCTGAAACTGTAGAACGTCCTCTCAGTATCCGTTACTAATTTTTACATTACTTAAATACTTCCGCCACTGACATAGAAGTTGATATTTGTTTTTGTCTAGTTATGAACCTTTATTATTTTAACTACTGATCATGACCCATTTATACACAGTACTTGCCAGGTGTTAATTGGTGTATATTAGAGATGGATATGATACTATCTTCATTATCTAATATTCCATTAAGGTTTGGGTAAAGAACCGTGAATTAAGTGGTTCAGTTTCCCACAAGAATTCCAAATAAATAGAACAGTTTTAAGTATACCCTGAATAGTAATATCTTAAGCTTTAAAAATACTTTTAACTGACACATGAGACTGTAAATGGCTTCAAAAGAAAAAAGATAATCGTTGGAAGAGTATGACTATTAACTTGGAGCCACTTTGCAAGTAAACAGTAACGTGTAAACATGAGCCAAAGACCTAAGATTATTTCACTATACAGTATCTTGCTGCGATACTTAGGGATGTATAACAAAGGTGGAATGGAAAGAAGGCCATTTCAAGACTTATTGGCAATACTGTTCACTGAGCCATGAAGAAAACTTGAGCTCTTAGAGGTTATTATCTATGTGCTCCAACCAGTGATTGACTGAAGTAAGTGTCAATTTATAGCAATGAAGAGTCCTTTCAGAGCCGTATTGTCACCCTAGGAGAAATTAAGCTGATTTTCATAACAAAAATAAGGTGAATTAAACAAAATTTGTAACTTTTACAGCCACTATGATGCTATATATTTTAGGCTTTGCCATTTAGTCACTTCTGTCCACCCTCAGGCTTAACCTGATTCAACAGATTTTGTTCTTTCCCATTATGCTTATGATTCACAACCAAGTTACTTTCACTGCTGTACTTGTCCTCTAGTTCCCTGCTTTTTCCACTACTATCAAAAAATAAGGCCTGCTTTCCATGTATGTTATCCATGTCATTCCTGTCCTCATTTTCACAAATTGACACAAGATGATATCCATTAATTACGTGTCATGCATAATTAAGAAATAGGAGAAACAAGTTGGAAACTTCAATATTAAATCACAGTGCTGCCTACGATAGTAAATGTCTCGCAAATAAAATATACACATGGTTGGAAATATCTGTAGATTACAATGTTGTAATACATTCCTTGACTGATACTTAAGGTTATCACTCTATCAGATTTAGAGTGTGATTATCTTAATGCGACGTCATGCTGCTCAAAACTCAACAAGGTATACACTTTCTTTATCAACAATCAAAAAAATAATAATAAGCAACAACTTTTGATTTTATCAAATTTAAAGATTCCTTTTATGACAGATTTATTCATTTAATTGAAATTTTCTCAAGATGACTGTCTTTAATGCAGGCAAACATCCAGTGTCAACTGAGATAATTATTAAACTGATTTAAGAGTAAAATACCTACATAACCTTTATCTGATATCTATGTACGTAAATGATAGAGCATTTCCTTTGATTTATCAATGGGTTTTATGAAAAGTGATGAAACAGTTTGTGGTTGCGATGACAGAGGGTCATTTCTGATTTTTCAATGTTTCAGTGGGTATTACCAGAACTGGTTGCACAGTCTGTGCTTGCTTTTTTCCTACTGGTGTCAGGTCATTGGATTCTGTTCCTTATGTATGCTCCTGTTACAGCATGGATGGTGTTTAAGTAAGTATTTTATATATACAGGTATGGGGTAAAACCAACACCCTCTAATGTGTTTACTGATGGAAAGGTGTGTGTAATTTGTCACCTACATGTTCTTGAATATCAGAGTTTGCTTTAATCAATATTTATTCAGTTATACATACAAAATATGTTTGTTTATTGGGTTGATGGCCCTTTGAATGGCCAGGATCAATTTGAGGAAGGGCTGCCTTGTGTTAGCTGGTTGCTTCCTCTCCAAACAATATACAGAAGGTCCACCACATACATGCTTTTCCAGAGCAGTTAGGGTGAAGTCAGTGTCTTTCACAAGCTTGAAGTATCGACAGTAAGATCAGCTTCCTGGGAAACAAATACAATGGACCACACACCTCTGATCTTAACTTGAGAGTGCAAAGTCCTATGCTCAGTGGACTGAGCTGTCATGAACGTCAAGAGTAAACTTTCAGTTCCTGTACATGAAGTTTGTGTTAATTATGTTCCTTGTTTACCCATCTGTCTATTTATCTTCTTGACATTTCTAATGATTTTTTCTTCAGATACGTGACAAAACCTTCAGGAAATATAGGTCTCTATGACCCTACAGAGATTCACAACAGACACCAACTGAAAACATACTTAAAAGAAAACCTCATTAAATTGGGATCACACCTTATCTTCTTTTTTGTTTTCTTGTATTGGTAAGTGTGTTGTTGTTTTTGCCCTTTTACATCTGTTATTTTAAGTATCTCTGTGTTTTGAATAATTAAGTAGATTACTCTTATAAAGATATAAGCTTTTTACACTTCAAATAGAGGTGTTAAAGAAATTTTCTGATAGTGAAAGGTTGATAAAAGGGTATATTAATAAAAATTATATATTCTGGTGTTATGAGTTGATATCTCTTACCATAGTTTTCTATAACTCTTACCTGTTTAAATGTTAGTTACTATGTATCAAAGTTAGCTGTAGGAACTAAATGCTTGTCTGTAACAGGATGTTTAATGTTAGTTACTAAGTATCAAGGTTAGCTGTATTGGCTGAGCGCTTGTCTGTGACAAGATGTTAAATGTTAGTTACTATGTATCAGACTTAGCTGTATCGACTGAGTGCTTGTCTGTTACAAGATGTTAAATGTTAGTTACTATGTATCAAACTTAGCTGTATCAACTGAGTGCTTGTCTGTAACAGGATGTTAAATATTAGTTACTATGTATCAAACTTAGCTGTATCAACTGAGTGCTTGTCTGTTACAGGATGATTTACTCCTTGATTAAAGGACTTTGATGACTGACAGACATGATGTACCTTTGTAACTTCCTGTGCAGCCGTGTTTCCATGGTGATGACCTGATTTACATTGCAGGATGATCATCTCTCTTTTGACCAATGAGGCTACCGGAGCATTTGGTTCACAGGCTGCTCTCTTGGCTAATTTACCAGATGTACAGAGTGCACAGGAGGTTATGGATGTTCTTGATGAATAACTTCAGATGATAATGACACAGAAATCAGGGAATCATGGTACAGAGATGAAATCTATACTACGATCATCTATTGTGTCTCCTCACATCCTGAAATCCTATAGAATACCAAGGAATGAAGTGTCTAAATGTCCTTTTTATCATAAAACACATTTGCAGTGAACCTGTTTTTCTGACACCAGGAGTGACATCTTTTTTTTAAAAAAAAATTGATATTGGCCTTAAAGAACTTTATGATCATGTCAGATATTTAATACAGGATGTCCTTAATGGCTAAGTCAGATTTCACTGCTACATAACATATGTAAGTATGTCATCATAGTAAATGTCAGTCATATGTGTTATTTTGGTGCAATTTCATCTTTTTTTTTTTTAATGAGGGACCTGAACAAATAATGTTAAAAGAAAAAGCTATTTTGTCAACCTTGATTGTTGTGTTGGATGTCAATTCTTATGCAGTTAACCAATCAAAATAAGCAATCCATTGCAGATTTTTATATCGCTGCTTTCTGATACCTGGTTGATTAGTGGTGTGCTGGTTCATGTATATGTTGATATTGGGGAGATTTTCAACCTTTCATTTTGCCTAGTGAGAGGTCGTGTGGCTTAATATTGTTTGAGGGTTTATATTTCACAAAATTTGACACATGTGACAGTTAATGTGTATCTGATGGAACAAAGTGCTGAAATAAATGATTAAAATTACCATTTGAACACTGCAAACAAATTTGGTGGTACCTGTAATCATGTTGATGTTGTAGAAACTAATGTGTGTTGTTGATTAGAACTGATATTCTTCTTGGACCAAGTAATATCTAACAGTAATATTACTTGAAAACAGATCTGACAAATTTCAGATTCATTTGAGAATGATTTTTTTATCAGATTAAGAATACCAGAATTCAGTTACATATTATTTTTGTCATTTAATCCAAAATACCATCATATCCTTATGTTCTGTTACATCCGTCCTCAGTTTTCTGACATAAATTAATGATACCTTTTCCCGTGGGGAACAAAAGTTACACATTTTAAGGACAAACTCGCCTAAGATCTAAATGAGTCAGATTTTTTACAAGAGTATCTCCTAAACTACTTGACAGGTTTCAGTTCATGACGGTGATTTCCTCATTTTATGATGATTAAAAATGGCTGACGATTTTGGTGATGATGGCTAGTGTCAAAAGTAATGAAAATGCTGGATTTATAAATACTGAGTATATTTCAACCAAAAAAGGTAAACAGTGATCAGATTTACTTCATGGGGTTCATGGATATTAAGCTTTGGAGGTCAAATTAACCAATTTGTTGTAGATGACATCATTCTGTAAAAAAAAATAATTTGGCATTTTTCAACTTTATTGGTAGCCATCTTTGCCGACATAGAGCAAATAATGGGATTTGTGCAGTTGGCACAGTCAAAAGAAGTCAGGTTTTCTGATTTGATTTTGACAGAATTTATCCAAAGTAACAAAACCAAAATCTTAACTTAAAAAATGATAAAAAAGGAAATTGAAGTTGATTATTTTGAAACCATTTTTTTTTTTTTAGTAATATTATTCAAATTAAATAGATTCCTTTTTTTAGGTATGGACTCTCACTTTTTTATTGGGCATACCCCACAAGTTAATAACCCCATTTTACATTATATATCGAGTAAAGTATAAAAACTTTTACTAAAGTGATCAGAATTTAACATGTCCTAGTAATGCTACAATATGATGCAATGTTGATGTTCCAACTGTCAGAGAATTAAAATTAGACCTGGAATTATTTTAACAAAACTCGGACCACATTTACGTTAGGATACTACACCTTATCATAACATGTTTGTTATGTTTTATAATCTTCTATGCAAATAATATACTTCTGGTGTAATGCCTTTTGTTCTCCCATTGTATATGTTTGTATATTTACCATTGTATGGCAGTGTTTTAGTGTAATGTTACCAAAGTCTGTTGTATTTTATCAACTTGTGAACTGTAAAGTGTCACATGGATATTAACAAACTGAGATTGCCTCTCGTTGTATAATATCTAGATAGAAATTAAAAAAAGATAACTCAAGTATTAAACTTCAATGAAATTGACCTTACCGAAATGTTACCAGTTCAATATTGTATTGGTTTTTTAAATATGCATGGCTTAATATAAAGTCAATGCTGTCTTTATAAAATCAGAAATTAGACTTTGTGCAACTTGTCTGTTTACATTTTATTGTGCATGACATTTTCTTGATCTTTACTTTGGGTAAGAACTCAGAACATTCTGTTGTCAAATACAAAAAGCTATTGAGAAAGGTATTTTAGACTACATATATTGAAATAGTAATTGGTTTACAACATAGCTGCTGACATCTTCTCTTGATTCACATTACTAGTTAGGTCATCTGACCCGAAGGGTCCGATGACCTATAGTCATCATGCTTCGTCCGTCGTCGTCCGCCGTGCGCCGTCCGTAAACTTTTCATTCAAACGACTTCTTCTCAATAATTGGAAGGCCCAGGCAACTAATACTTGGCCTGTAGCTTGCTTTGATGAAGCCCTACCAAGTTTGTTAAAAAGAATGACCTTGACCTTCATTCAAGGTCACAGGGGTCAAATGTCTTAAAATCTTCAAACGACTTCTTCTCAATAACTGGAGGGCCCAGGCAACTAATATTTAGCCTGTAGCTTGCTTTGATGAAACCCTACCAAGTTTGTTCAAATGAATGACCTTGACCTTTATTCAAGGTCACAGGGGTCAAATGTCTTTAAATCTTAAAAGGACTTCTTCTCAGTAATCAAAAGACCCAGGCAACTAAAATAAGGCCTGTAGCATGCTGGGATGAAGGACTACCAAGTTTGTTCAAATGAATGACCTTGACCCACTTTAAAGGTCACAGGGGTCAAATATGTTAAAATCTTTAAACAACTTCTTCTCAATAACCAAAAGGCTCAGATTGCTGATATTGTGCCTGTGGCATGCTGGGATGAAGGGCTATCAAGTTTGTTTAAATGAATGACCTTGAACAACTTTCAAGGTCGCAGGGGTCAAATATGTCAAAATCTTTAAATAACTTCTTCTCAAATACTAGAAGGCCTAGGGGGCTAATACTTGGCCCATAGCATGCTGGCATGGAGCCCTACAAAGTTTGTTCAAATGAATGACCTTGGCACACTTTCAAGGTCACAGGGGTCAAATATGTTAAAATATACAAAGGACTTCATCTCAATAAGCAAAAGTCTATGAGTGCCGATATTGGGTCTGTAGCATGCTGGGAGGAAAGGCTACCAAGTTTATTTAAATGAATGACCTTGAACAACTTTCAAGGTCGCAGGGGTCAAATATGTCAAAATCTTTAAATAACTTCTTCTCAAATACTAGAAGGCCTAGGGGGCTAATACTTGGCCCATAGCATGCTGGCATGGAGCCCTACAAAGTTTGTTCAAATAAATGACCTTGGCCCACTTTCAAGGTCACAGGGGTCAAATATGTTAAAATATACAAAGGACTTCTTCTCAATAAGCAAAAGTCTATGAGTGCCGATATTGGGTCTGTAGCATGCTGGGAGGAAAGGCTACCAAGTTTATTCAAATGAATGACCTCAACCCACTTTCAAGGTCACAGGGGTCAAATATGTTAAAATATACAAACGACTTCTTCTCAACAAGCAAAAGTCCATGAGTGCTGATATTGGGCCTGTAAGATGCTTGGAGGAGAGGCTACCAAGTTTGTTCAAATGAATGACCTCAACCCACTTTCTAGGTTTGGCTTGCTTTTTGTCAGATGACCATTAAGGCCCATGGGCCTCTTGTTTTTGTTGATTGATCCAGGTCACCAGTGGCAGAAAAAAACTCCCATCATGCACATTATAGTGGAAACTCTTGTGAAGGTCCTCAATGTCCTATATAAACAATTTTCAGTAAGGATGTATGGTATGCAATACCTTACATTCTACTTGTCAACAAACATCCTGCTGATAGCTTCATCTGTACAAAATTCCTCTTAAATATAACCCGTTACGATGCTCAATTTACTATAATAAGTAGTCTGCACTTTGTGAAACATTCCAAATGAAAGAGATATGAACACATTTCCATATCTTAGAAAATATTAAAAACAGTTACACCACATATACAAAAACACAAATTAACGGACCTTTTTATGATGGAAAGTTCTACCATTCTTAAATGCAATGTGAAATTCATATATATGAACTGCATATTTAGTGTTTAGTCGGTGTCTGTTTAAAAGTACTTGTAAGGTGTCTGATTTATGTATTCATGATTTTCCCCTATTACAGTTACATGGTATTTTTTTTACATAATTGAGAATATATAGATTTATAACTTTATTATATGCATACATATATTAAAAAGTTATGTGAATATATGCTATTTATATCATGTGTAAAATCTTGCTATGTGCTGAAGATTTTTCCTAACTTTGAAGATTCTTTTTACAGCTTTGGTGTTACAAGTGCTAATGAATGTTTTTGTCCAAGCATTCAGCTCTGTTGATGTGTATTCTTTGGTACCAACCATGTGTTTTTGTGTGATTACAGACTTGCTCCAACAAGAATGTCTTTTTGTGTCATACTTCAATTAGATGTGTACTGTTGAGCAGTTTCCTTCTCCATGGTATAACCATCTTGATTCATTCTATATTTTTGTAACATTTTTCTAGCAAATGCAGTGATGCTGTTATATTTTGAATTTGTGAATAGCATGTATGCAACATTGACAATGGAATTACAGCACTTTCTCTGCAGAGCTACCATTGTAATCCGTGAATAGTGATTATAATGTAAATCATTTGAATTTTTCCAGTCTTTGGAAAAGGTTTTTTTTTTTTTCATTCATGTCATATAATGCATGAAAGTGATGAATTTGTATCACCTTGCAGGTAATGTTGAAAGTAACCCCAATCCCATCATTTGTCAAACAAATGTGCCATTGTTTTGCTTGTGTTCTGCCTTGATCTCACCCACATCCTCTGTTACACACTTTATCGTTTACTAATAAAACTCCTATGAAACAATATACTTTTTTAATGGTTAGTTATCTTAGAAACATTCATAACAGAAATCTTGTAAGGAGCATCCCACTGTCTGATGGTGGTCAGAACAGACAAGTATGATATCAATACAAAAATCATAGCATATATTTCTTTATTGATAATATATGAAAACCATTTTGTTGTATTTCTTACATTGTGAATTGTCAATTTAAAAAAAAAAAAGACAAAAATGCAGTATTTTCTTGCAGATAAAGCTGGATGTAAACAATGTAATTTTGCCCCCCCGCTGACAATGGAATAAACTACTACGGATAGTAGATAGCAATCATTTAATTATGCATGCAGACACTTTCATGTATTTCTTCATTCCAAGTGATGGGCCAGTTCTCCGAGGAACACAGCCCAACACACACACTTGTACAACAATTATCACATGATCTTATTTTTCAATTTCTCAAATCAGTGAATATTGACATTCATAAATCGTGATTGTATTAAATTTAAATTAAATGAATATTCTGTTAATAATGAGTGATTTTGATTTAAAAACAAATTAATGATTCATGAATGAATGAAGACAGTTGAATGTACACATTCCCTTTCACTTACTTCAAATATGTCACTGTACAACTTTTTTTACTTATATACTTCGTAGTTAATGGATCAATTCATAGTCAAAAGAGAACATTTCAGGGATATTCTCATCTTTGATTAAAAATATATGGAATCTCAAACAGTGCACACTACCTTTTCTAGGATGCTTTCTTAGAAAACCAGTAGAGCAGGATTAAAACTGCTCCAGTAAATATTAACAGTATCAAAGTCATAAATATGCGATCCTCTTTGTCCAGCGTCATGCACCGTAAGCTTTTAATATTTTCGACTTCTTCTGGAAGACTCCTCAATGAAATTTTAAAAAGCCTTCCTAGTCTATAGGTACACCAAAATTGCAAATTATGTGTTCCCTGAACCCTGTGGGTCTGAGGGACAAGGCCAAAAAGGGTCAAATTGATTGAAACATCAAAAATCTTCTTCTCAAATCCTAGGTAGGGTAGAATCAAATACTCTTCATGGAAAGAAAGGCCTTCATATGCTTTACCAAAATTGTAAATTTCATAATATAGTTAAATTCAACTTTTGAATGTAATTTCCTTGAATTCAAACTTGGTTAGAAGCCTTTGCATGAAACAGCAGTTAATGTTATGCATAATTTACATTTGCATTATGTGTACAATGTAGTTAATGTTATCTTACAAAATCATTTCTTTGACATGTTACAAGAAGCATTGTGATTCAGGTGACCATTAAGGTCCTAGGACCTCTTGTTTTATCACTTTTCATCTACTTTTATTATAACAGTAACATATTGCAAGTTTGTACTAGTAATCAGTATTACCCCACTTTCTGCCAAACTTCAATATCTTAAAAAGAAGGAAGGACCATAACCCTGAATGCTGGGGTACTGGTGACCCCGTTTTTTTCATGCAACACTTCAGCATCCTAAAAAGATCTTGCATACAAAATCTGGCAATTGTAGGTCTTCCCAGACTAACTGAAGCATGTTTACAAACAGCCATAATTCTACACATAGTGCAATACCTATACCAGACACGATTAAAACTGCCATACCAAAGGTACATGTATTTGCATGCAAAAGTTGGCAGTTGTAAATGAACAAGTAATTAGATATGAATAGAACTATGAGTTGCACAACATGATGAAAGTGCTTACCTATCCTCCTTCCCTTCAGGAACTTACAAACGAGATTGGTCTTGGTAAACAACCTCACATTGCATACTATGATCTTGCCAGATGAAAAGGTACAAAATAGCATAGCGATGATGTGTTATGGAGTGTAATTTCAGACTTGAACAGTCCTAGATCTACAAACTTGACACTACAAGAAGGTAAGTTATACAGCCTACAGGATACAGAGGACATTACTAATTCTACCATCATGTTGCCTACAGTCACTTTACCGAGCTTCAAGACTTGCACAAGTAACAAAGAAATCTACACTAGGTAATAATGTATCAAAAGTATGTCACATGTTATTCTATAAGGCAACACCACAATGACTGACATTTCAATAAAATGTTATTTATCTGATCACATCATATGCGACAGAATCATCTACAATGTATTGCTTATCTCAAAAACTCTCTGATTCAAAATCCCACAAACTTGATAGATTCTATCTACACAAGTTTCATATTCAAATTCACTAAATCACATGCCACATGCAGGTAAAATCCATACAGAATTTATAACGATGCAAGTCACACAGAGTTATGGTTTTTTTTTCAACAATTAAAAAGAATGTTCAGGATCCAGAACAGAGCCAATTGAAATTTTTATCATGTATTGTCATATCTTATCTGAATATGCATAGAATGCAGTTCATTGATTTTAATACAGCAAGAAACAAGTGACTTCTGTTTGACACATGCCATCACTGATTAATTATTCACATTATTTATTAATCACAGGTAAATCAGACCATTCCCACACAAAACAAATAACTGGGCTCTCTCACCATAACAATTTGTTTAGTAAATCAAGCAAAGATGATAAAATGACAATTAAAAATCAAAGATAAAACAAACAGAATTCTAAATAAACAGGACATGATGCTACAAGTTGGACAACACTCAAGCCATAATAGTCTTCCTTTTCTCTGTCAGGTACAAGAGTTAAGAGTTGGAAATATCCAGATACACTGTATGTGTGAAATGGTGTATTGTTTCACCCGATTCCATAATTGATTCATCTGATTTCAGAAAAAAAACTTTTCCAGACTAAAGCAATATTTAAAATTCTACAATAATGTAATTAAACATAATACTACATCTACCTTATTATATTCAAATACAAACCAAATCTTACCAGGTGAAATTCCAGCAACTTATTTGTTTTATCATAAATTTTTTAAATAAATTCACTACATCTACTACCAAAAAAAATTAATAACACTAATGGCAATATGTTCAGTTTTTCAATCAAATGGAATTCTAAAGACAGTATTGAGAAAATGTATTGACAGCGCAAGTATACCATTATCAAAAATGGATTGAGTCAAGACCAACCTGTGACACTGTTTCTCTACATGCTACTTTTAAATATGAACAAACATCCAGTCGGAACTTACACACAAATTAACTTAGATATATATATATATATTACATACATTGTAAAAATATGAAAAAAACATGTAAATAAAAAAGGCAATATTAACTTATCTTTCTTTTTTTTCGTATTCTTTCATTTATCAAAGCCTGTGACTTCCAAGCTGCACCATACATTCTCGTCAAGTACTTTTGTACTATGAAACATCACTTTTCAGGACAACACTTCAACTGTAGTGATGAATTTTGCTGTATTTTCAAATATCATTACATCAATCAAACTTTGTAATACACATACCGAAAACAATCAGACAAAACCTTTAAACATTCAGAGTTGATAGTTACAGAAAACAGTTGAGAAAGATTATTCACTTGAGAGAGAGAGAGAGGCAGAGAAGAAGAAGAAGAAAAGGCATTAGCACTGTAAAGATAATTATATACCTGTAAATCTAGCAATTGCTATACAACAAAAAGAGGTTATTTAACTTGGTTACAAAGATTTGTTGTTGAACAATCAAATATTAATACTTTTAAGTGGCATGGTGAAGGTGCAAACAACATTCTGTCTATGTTCAAACACAATAATATCAAGACTTAAAAATATTTAGGACAACAAATGTAAGTCTCCTCAGTTTCACTGAAACAACACTCAAAACACCATAATTCTTGGAATATAAAATGAGAATAATTCTACACCACTTTACTGCTGTTTATGTATATGTATATATATATATATACATATTATTTGTAGGTTCACATCAACTGACCCACTTCTATGAAATCAATGGTCATGGTTTTATATTGTCCCTTAACATACAAAATGTACTTGGCAATTTGACTGGCAAACACACACAAATCACTTTTAAATACCACTCTTTAGATTTATCCATTCAGAACTTTGAAATTAAGTACTAATTCATATAAAGCCAAAACTTTTAATGTACACTTGATGATGTACCAAAAGAAATGATGTCAGTCATCCTGACAGGATGTAGGAATCAGGTATATAAAAAAACTCTGAATTTTCATCAATAACAATACTAGGAATATCATGGTGCTTTTTGAACAATGAACAATAAATCTCTGGACAGGTCAACATTATCACAGATGAACCAGGTAGATAAAACTCTGTTTGGAAGTTTTGAGGTTAAGTTGTCCCCTGTAAAATCTTAGAGTATATATTGACTAACCCTCGTCATTTCCATACCTGTTAATCATTCAAATTGCAAATCGCAACAGAGCTATTTTAAGCAAAATTACATTGATATAGCGCTGTGAAACAGGGCACTTACAACACAGCTGTATAGTGACAGATGGAATTGACACATAAACACTTGAAGACATCCATTAGCAGAAATTGATAGCCAAGGACAAGAACATGAAGTATCTTAAGACATGCATGTACTCGAAACAACATCATACCACTTTAGGTAGTGGGAGTTCAAAACATTGACTTAAAGTCTTTTTAATTTAGATTAAAAACTCAACTTTGAAAACTTTCAGTATGCAGCTAGGAGCATCTTTGTGCATTTCATTTACTTTAAAATCTACACAATTCATTTTCTTGTTTGATATTAAGACACAAAGTTTAGTTCTTACATCTTCACAGCTATATGGCGAAATGTTGCAATGAAAATAAGGACTGAATACCATACTGATGCCTAGTTTAGATGTAACTTAAAAATTACAGACATGCTATTGTGACACATTTGGCATCCATACATATTTTGATCATTGTTATAAAACATATTTGACTGAACACCACATAATGTCTCTTACAATAATCAATATTTGAAGTGTGTTGATACCTGTAGGAAAGTATTTGACAGGAGAAAGACAGTCTTGTGTTGTATCACATGGTAGGTTATACACTACCTTTGGTATGAAGGTTGTGTTATTGCCACCTCTTGTGGCACAATGAGTACGTGAAAACATGGACAAGGTTGGTATGGATGGATATATTGATACATTAAGGAATTCTGATTTCTTTTTGAAGATATATCCTTTACATGCATCCAGCAATTATCACTATCCTGTGATATGCTTTTTACTATCACTCATGAATGATATTGTTGATGGAAAGATGTCTGGTGGAGATGTGTTAATGATCAGAGCTGGCAGTCAGACCAGACTGTGAGAGATCTATAGTCAGTGTCAAACACTTGGCCTTTCGCTATACAGGTGTACTTCGTCCTGACTCTGCTCCATTACCTGCAGCAGAAATTCATACGAACAAATTAGGTCAAATATATTTGCTGTCTCACATCTGCCATTAATATAAATACATTTATATATTAGCAAATATATTAGATAAACTACTGTATGCACCAATTATATGAAGCATTGCTTTTTAAGAGTCATCCAGCCTACTTTCATTTCAAGAGCTTGATAAAAAGGCCTACTTTCATTTCAAGAGCTTGATAAAAAGGCCTACTTTCATTTCAAGAGCTTGATAAAAAGACCTACTTTTTTAGGAGTTTGATAAAAAGGATAAATTTTGAAAGCATATCTATAAATAATTTTATGTAGACTCTTCTATCTGCACCAATAGGTAGCAAACTGAAAATATTTTATTTTCTTTGTGTAAAACAAATCTATTAATTCATAACCTAATGATGATGCTCGATATTTCTGACACTTACCTATTTTGACTTTATCGATAGGTCCCCAAATTCGAACAGTGCCATCATCTGAAGCACTCGCTATGATCCCAGGCACTTTGGGGTTCCAATGAACACAATTAACAGTTCTTGTATGACCTTCTAACACTGCTATAGGTACTTCTCTTCGTAAATGCCATATATATACTTTATGATCTGTAAAAAGATGAAACGCAGCATTTTAAGGTACATAGGAATGTAACTTCAGAGAGTAACAAGACGAGTAGTGCCAGCAATTAATTGTCCCCGCCTCCAAACAAACTGGTAAGTAACTGAAGTAAGAGTCATGCCTCCTTTTACAGCTGAATGTGTTACACAGTTAATACTTCATCCGGCACAAATTCTACCCTTCCAGATTTTTCTAAACATGATTTGGCAATTTTAGGTTGCTATAGGTTAAAAGATGCAATACAATTTAAAGAATTGTGAAAAATGCACATATTGGACAGTACTGTTGAAAAGGATGCAACACTTTACCATCCACATAGGTTCTTACTTATGTAACTAAATGATCAACTTTTGCAAATGTAGGTACACTATACAAGATATATCACTAGAAAAGTGACCAATGGACAACACATGGACTGTAACTCTATCACTTCTAAAGTGTCAATCCTGTGAAAGAGGTGTATAAATGCATGATCTGAGATGAGACATTCTCATACACAAAACTTTTTAATGAACTTGAAAATTTATTTATCATTTATAAAAACAAGTCTTAAAGAAATGATACACAGTGAACCAAGGTTGATAACTCTAGAAAGACAGAGACTGGAGATCTAATGTTGGTATGCAACCCTCCACTACAAAAGGTCCCAAATACAAAACTTTATAGTATTTGGCTACAAAATAGATGAAATATGCCACTGATAAAATGATTTGTTTACTAATCTGACTATATCATTGAACACTGATAGTCTCTATTACAGTTCTAGATAAGGAACTAACATTCTTAGTATTTTACAATTAGTGACCTTCAAAACACTTTTCCAATAATATGTTTAACTAAACTTTGATATTTACATTTAAGTTGAAATGTTACTTCATTAATTTAGTTACCATGCAACAAAACATCAGTATTTTGTGCAACTTGTGTTCTTTGTGGTGCAAACTTATTACCTTCACTTCCACTGGCAATAAAGTCCTGGTTGAGACCTCCAAAGCATGAGTGTATTGTGTAAAATCCTTGTGTAACGCCTTGAAATTTTCTAACTAAGCACCTATCTTTTAAATCCCATAAATGTACTCCCTGAAATCGAAAAATTGTGTTTTAAACATAGAATCAATTAAACAGCATATATCATTCAAGTATAGATATTTTTTAGATGTCTTTTTGTTTCACATAATGTGGAATGTCAACAATAACTATGGGTCATATATACCCCCAGATACAGGAATATCATCCCAGAGTAATGTGTTTCTATTATATGGATGCAGATCATGGCAACTCAGAAAGAAGTGTTATCCTACCAGTAATTCAATTTGTTCCATTGATTTGAATAGAACTCAACTTTTATCCATTAGATATATTACAAACTAACTCAAAGAGAAGTGGTATCCTACCATGAACGACTACCTTATCCATGAGACAAAACAAATTACCTGAGTCGCAACATTCAATAATGCTAATCTCCCGGTTTCATTTAGTGTGAAAGACATGACGGGATGATCCTCCTGAATTCTAAAACATAATGAGACCAGGTTTAGTATAAATAGGGATCTTTTGTTATTCACATCATTCTCAACCATCACAATGTTCAAACTTCTAGAATAGATGTTTCAAATCATTTACACTAGATGCAATCTCGACTTCAGCTTTTATCATTGTGTAAGTCATTAATGTATCATTTTTAGTGTATTACATGATGCTATTTATTCAGACAGATCATAGGCCTTCTGTTGATAAACCACAGCCTTCTTTAACATTCTGAAAGTAAAAGACAAGGGAATGATAAATGTATACTGACATGTTGTAGTCTGTTAATTCATCAAAATTGTAGCCTCGTATTCTGTGGTGGGTGTCAGCTGCCAGGACACTCTTGCCATCATTTTGACAAGCCATACACTGGACCCTCACACCCTCCCAGGAGTCCAACATGTTCCCGTCAAGGTCCTATCACACACAATATCACCAACATATTTGGAAATTGATAAATAATGTTTGATAATTAAGTATAATTTTGATTGAGGTACTTTTGCCACAAAACTGGAGTCTCTATCTCTTCTTGGATTAAAAATGAACACCTATCATGTAAATTTTATCAAAGGCAAATGGAGAAGAACATAAAGTACTTCTTTTTTCATAGATTAAATTGTAAAATGTATACCTTCCTTCATCAAAAGATAAATCTGTCTACAAATTTCGGAGTCTATATAAAAAGGTGCGTGGTATTTCTTTGATATTTTCACTAGCCAAACTCTTTCAATAATTGTGGTGAGAAATCAAAATATAGGTCAGTCACCTACTTTTCAAAAGTTTCAATTAACCATCAGAGGATGTTCTTGCATTCCAAACAAAATATCAAATGGAAGGGGATACTTTGTTTCAAAGTTTGCAAAGAATGAGGTTAAAGAGTAAAACATTCTTAACAATCGCTAATTTTACAGACATTACATTCTATCATCATGAGATGGGACCTGCAGGTCTTATTTTATTCACCAAAATGAAAATGAGATGCAGGATATATTCCAAATGTTTACAAAGAAAAATGTCTAAGATTAAAGCGTTCATGAAAGTACAATGAACACTACCATCCCAACATGTAATTACACAACAAGATTTGTGAAATGATAAAAAGAAATGCATCCATACATAGTCCTTTCTAATAATGTGCAAGCATATAAAATTTAGTATTCAAATAAATTTTGAACCTCTTCGTTAAAAAGCATAAGAACATCTTATGACCAGAACAAATGTTTCCAATTGGAAAGATCCACATTTGTGGTCCACAGCACTCCACCACACAAGATCTGCCTACGTATGAAACTGATATCTACCCCCTGATGAATTTGTCCAAACACAGCAGATGAATTTGACTTACACATTGATAGAACTGTCCCCTGGTTCCTCCAGTAACAAACTTTTTGCCATCTGGTTGCCAGGCAGCTGTAGTTAAACTATCCTCTGGAGACTGGCTCATTTTTACTCTCAAGTCCCCAGTCTATAATAAAGGAAGAGAAAATTCAGTACTTCCACAGGACACGATAAACAAACCCTCTCAGTGAGTTTCATCAATCTTTTTAAGAACTGATGACATAAATAATGTCTTCAAAACATATTTCCAGTTTCTGAAACACTATATTATAAAAGCTGAATCAGTAGGAATACTCTTAGGTATGTTTTTCCATATATAAACTTACATCATCTTCTTTGCTGAAAAATCCTTATGAGAAACGAACTTTTTCAGGAATAGATCATTTATTAACTTTGTATCTTATCATTAAGTCACTTGAGTTATATGTTATAAACAGACTGTATAGCACTTTTGCTCATTGGTATCCATTATAATCATCAGTACATTAGTACAATAAAAAGACTATTTCAAAAATTATCATTATCATCATATATCTTCAATTGGAAATAACATTTAATTATTCTGGCTTATTCAATTTTAACCACATTTTCTTTTAAATATTCTCTTTGGTTTTTGTTTAAACATATTTTTATTGTCATCAAACAACCGTGATTAGGCTCAAGTTATAACAACTTAGTGACGCCTTCTCTTTGGTTTGGCAATGTCAGAAGAAAAGAAGCTAATCGCTTCACTCTGTCCTTTTTCTGATTAAGGTAACAGTGTTGTTATCGAAACATCACACTTCAATCTTCTACTGTTTGTGTTATAAGCACTTCTTTTCTATTATACACAGCTTAATACCACAGTACCTCTGCATTCCACAGCCAGAGATCAGAACAGTCATCTGGACCACATGCTATAATGTGTGTGCCATCAGGACTCCAGGCAATATATGACACTCCATAGGAATGACTATCTAGGCTCTTAACCCGTGTCAACTCATAGGTTGCCTAGAATAGGTTAAAAAATCTATATAAATCATAACTCATGTAATTATGTTTAACATGTTATAACAAAATCTATATTAATTTATTGTGTTCTTTGCCTAAGACAGGTCATCTTCAAATACATCTTCAATAAGTAAAATGTTAATGCATATAGAGAATTTTGTATGTGTTTCCATTCAAGTGAGATTTATGTAGGATGACGACATGTATCTCGTGTAATAAAAAATTTAACAGGGAGTGCACGATTATCAAATTAAAATATTTGAATACTTTAAAATAAAATACTGATGACAAAATTACCATGTCAAGTTCCCAGATGATTAGTGAGCCATCTTTAGATCCTGTAGCAAGCTTTGTACCATCAGGAGAAAAGCGGCAGAACCAAACTTCATCACAGTGTTCATTAAGAATCTGGATGGTGGTGGACGGGAACTGCTCTCTATAAATATTATCAATAAAATCCATTCAAATATCTTACAACAAAAAAAAAAACCATGCAATCTAAAATGGATCAGAACTAGAAAATACCTTCAAGATGTGAATGTCCCTACAAATGAATATCAGTGTATGACAAATTTTATAAAGAGTAAAAGTGACCTTACTTTTGACCTGAAAATAGTGTAACCCTATAAAATGAAATCAGTATAGGTATTGTTGTAGTAAATTACAAAAGAAAAAATGATGTCAGACAGGACACTAAATGATGGGTAAGGATTACATCACTTATGATAAATCTCTATAAAATGGTGAAAGCATAAACACATCTGTTTATATATCTGTCTTGTGTAAAACAAAAGGCATCTTGAATATGATAAGGTATGCAAAGAAATTTTCATTGCAGTTTAACTTTTGCCTGTTTTGCTCTTTGGCCAGAGTTTTGTTTAAGCTGAAATAAAGGATTGTTATGTATTTCAAGGGCAAATTTAACACTGGGACAAATGTTTGTCCTTGTATAGTGATAGGATGAATGCTTGGCCTTGTACAGTAATTATTTCAAATTTCTTTTTTCACAGCAATGCTTTTGTTTGGGTGTTTCTACATACCTGCTACAGACATGGTCTATGAGAAGGGAGACAGCATCAAGGTTGCTGTCAAATTTTGTGTTGTGATATGGACATTTGTCCTTCTGCATCTCAACAGCTTGATTAAGTAATGTTAGCAACCGACGAGGAGGAAGCATAACAGTTGGTGGCAAGAAAGCTGTAAAAACATCAAGGAGTAATTAAATGCTTAAATCTTCAGAAAATTTCAGAAAGGTACAATTTACAGTTTCATGACATTCTCTTCAAAACCTACAAATACAATTCAATGATTTCAGAGTATCAATCTACACTCTGTGGGATAACAGGATAACGTTGTAAATGAAGGATGCATATTTCTGATATCATGTTAGCGATAGAAACAATTTATCAGAAAATACATCCCAGAAATCGCCAATGGTTAATGTACTCATTACTGTGACAATAAAAGACAAAAGCTCAAGAACCAATTTCATAAATGGCAATGTTAAAAGATTTACCCATATTTTGCCATTGTTGGAGTTCAGATTAAAATCTGAAGATATTGACATTTTTCTTTACTGCTTTCCGATGGTAAGTTAAGTAATTCTGTTTATGTTTAGGGACCCTTGTAAAAACAGTTCTACAATAGTTTTCAGAGTGATTTCACAAATGACAAGAAACATAAACATTGACCGGCAAGAAAAATAAATTCTCTGACATCTAAGATTGTTATGGCAAAACAGTATAAAACTCTTGACAGTTATCTGATACATCATTTCCAATTAAATTCAAAGTTACTGTTTTGTGTCATCAGGAAAAACTAACTTGGCTTAAATACACATACTGACTGACCATTAGATAAGGTACACTTTTAACCTGCACTGATACATACACTGAAGCTTTTCCACAAGTTTGGTCCGCGACTCTGTACCTCTCCCTTGCCACTCCGCTGTTTCTCGTAAATCTTCAGGGTTACAACACATCATGTACCTAAAATAAAAAACATACAACTACAAATTAGTAAGATAATCAAATTATTTGTGAAATCTTCTATAGCCTAATCAATGTTCTTGGTTTTAAGAAGACAACAGATTATTTTGTTTACACACCCTGACAATACGTGGACCCTTTCTGTGTTGAATTTAAGTGGAGTAAGCTCATGCCGTAGACAATGTAAAGCATCCATCTCCCTTCCATCTTCCAACAGCTCCAGATACTTTTGTTCAAGTAAAAGGAACTTCATTTTCTATAAGTAGAAACATTGTTTGATAATCATACAATCATGTCAACGAGCTTCACTCAGTCTATATTACCATATGTACCATATTAGTTACATGTGATACAATTGTCATTGATTGAGCAAGAGATTCTCACATAACATGCTTATGTTATTGATAAGTCAGCAGAAACATGCATCTTATAAACAAACCTTAATTTGTTAGCAATTTCATAACCAGATAATATATGAAATAATTGAAGACATGTTTTCCCTATCTGGATTATCACCATCCTTCTAACACTTACAGAAATCCCTTGTGGACTATCAATCAGAGTTTTGAGTTCTTCCAGGTTTAGTTCTGCCTGTAACAAAGACATGGAAAATATATTAAACTCTTAAATTTTAAGCATACAACATGCCAACCACTTAAACATCTGTCATAATGTACTTGAACTGGTCACCTTGATGTTCTTTATTAAATTAGTTATAGTGATGTACTAGATGTCACAATGTACTGGTTACCATGATGTACTGGTTGTCATGATGTACTGGTTATCATGACATACAGGTTACTGTGATATACCAGTTCATGTTCCCATTGTCACAATGTACTGGTTATTGTGACAGACCACTTCATAATTCAGTTGTCACAATGTACTGGTAATCCTGATTTACTGGTTGTCATGATATACAGGTAATGTATCAGTTCATGGTCCAAATTGTAATAATATCCTGGTTGTTGTGATGGACCACTTCATGGTTCTGTTGTCATGATGTTGTGATGTACAAGTCATCTTAACGTACTTTATGTAGTTATAATATAAGGTGAGTAACAGTTGTCATTATGTGTATTATCGTTATATACCAGTTGTTATTAATACACTTGCTATCCTGGTGTTCCAGTTATAATATGCTGTACCAATTGTCAAGGTACTCTAAAATTAATGCACTGATTGTCATGATGTAATAAGTTATTGTGACAAACATCAATATGCCTATTGTCATGGTGTGTCAGTTATTAAAATGTGCACCTAATGCCAAGGTGTTTAAAAATCAATATTACTGGCACCATGATGATCAATGAATCAATCATTAATTTGAATAACGTATTATTGAACATATTATCCTGTTATATCCTTTTCTATATTAGACAGTACTGCATACCTTCGCCCATTCTCCATTCATTACATGTGAACGAAGTTTGGCAGCAGCCGGATGCTCCAACATACATCCCGATTCAGAAATAAGTTGTTCAGCAGTTTGACTGAAAAGGCAAACAGGATTTTTATATTTCAATCAAAAAATTGAAATGATAGAGTCTTCATTATCATTAGATCTATTTAAATATCCATACATTGATTACAAATCTAGAAGTTGAAAAAAACCAAATGTATCTGTAATATATGTAACGGCAAATGTGCCATTTTACTACATTATATCCTTTGGATGCAATCACTGAATTGATATGCTATTTTCATATTGAAATTAAGCAAATCTAATTATAAACTTAGATGTCATAATATATTGCCAATACCATAGCATGACTAATAATTTCAAACACTATCATTTTTCTTTAATTAAATTAACTTTTATGTAATCATGTATTTTTTATTCAGTCAAGGTATGTATATAAATATATTCAAAACCAAAAACATATCCAACAATAACGGTATCTTTGATGATCAACAGGTGATATTTTTCACTTAATCATCAAGTAAGATGTAATGCCTCTATCCACGCATGACATTCACTAATGTACACAAAGAAATCAGCTGATCCATCAACACTTTTTTTTTGTTTACATCCCTAATTCCTCATCAGAATTTTCGATTCGCCATGGAATAATTTAATTTCAAAACACTTCAACGCGGTTTTAAGCAGACTGGCATTCTGATTTTGTAGCAATATTCTGCATATCCTGTTTAGGCCGTTAGTAAACAAAGCAATTTAGACAGACGGCTTTTACGCAGCCGTCTAAATACTGAACAGCTCCTTACTTTAAACCAAGTCCTCTCAAATGCTGTACAATCAATCGGACGATATCTTGGTCAGTTTGTGACATTGATTTGGGAGGTACAGGTTTATCTAATTCCCCGTTTGTGAGAGAGGAACACGTTCCATTTTGCTGGGAAGTTGTTGCTATCTCAGTCGCTCCATTGTGCTGGGGGCAGCCATTAGCCTGCATGTTAGTGGCAGAAAATCGCTGCTTTTTCCGCGGTGGGGGCGAAACTCCACCGTCTTCTGAACCTGACGAGGATGCCAGTATGTCTCGAATGAGTTCTTATGTGAATATTGTTGATTAAACCCATGCAAAATGGCCCACGACTGATCAAAACATAGGTCCTCTCTCACTTCACTTCGACGGTGACCAAATTTGTTTTGCTTGATGACGTCACGGATTTGTGAATGATGGGAAATTTTTCTAATTTCGGCAACCCGGGAAATATAACTTGTTGCACAGTTGTCATAAATTTTAACAAGAATCAATATTTCATCACAGACTTACAAATTCTCACATTTTATAAACTTCATCCCGAAGTAAATCATTTTGCTATGGTTTTGGTATAAAGACAACACAGTCTGTGATATGGTCTCTTACATGTATGTAAAACTACGTGTACCAGGATGTACCATAAAGTCAAAATGCTTGTTAATATTTTGTTTCCGCCTGAATTATTAAATTTTCCTATTCAGTTTTCCTTACAAATTCTTGAATATTGCAGACACAGAGGCCATGTGGGATGTATATGCAACGTTATTGAATTACGGGCCTAAAATTTTATAATCCTTTTACTGAATAACATTTGATTTTCCTCGATCGCCTGTATGATGTAATTTCTGAATTCATCAGTATTCTGACTAACTATCAGAGATTCAATTTTCGTCTTGGTCGATCTACGACCATGACAAAAATATGGAATTGCAGATAGACAGAATATTTGTCATAACCATTAGAAGTATGTTTGACTCAAACTATATCTAGTTTTTGTATTGAATGGAATCGCGAATTCGCCTGTGTTTGGTACGATCTTTAAATATGAGTCGCTTCATGCTTAATAAATAACGATTACACTATACAAGTGTAAGTTAAATGGATGTACTTTACGCATGTTTTCAAAACCTTATAAAATCTAACTACAATAGTTATCCACTTTTTTTTTCATTTTTTCCGTTCGTCCGTCCGTCTTCAGTCCATTTCATGTCTTGCCTTCGCTGTGTCTTGAAAAGAACCAAATGCATCGTACACATATCTTATGTGTTGCTTTCAATTGGTCACCAGTGGTGCCATTTTGATTCTGGAAATTATCGGACTTGAAAACAATGACGACCAACAGGCTGCCATCTTGGATTTTGACTTTGAAAGTGCTGGATGGTTCTTGCTCAAATCAAATAGATATATTCATATATACAATGTAGTAAGACAAAAAAGGAATAAGAACCGAGAGTAACGAAAGGAATCTAATATCAGAGACATATATAACACGTGATATATACGTCTCTGCTAATATACAATAAAATATACCAAATATATACTTTTCATATCATTTTCATTTCTTTCCTTTGTATTTGCTATATGTTTAGATAACAGTATTTTTGCAGGTGTGTAAAGTTCATCTGGAAGTGGCTTGCTCACCTGTCAAAAGCTAACCGTGACCTTTACATATTTATTACTGCAGTAAGTGGAGGAGAATCTAACAGCAATATCATAACATTCATATTCAGTCGTCAAAAATCAGAAACTATAAAGTGCTTAAAAATCAAAAGCAAGTTCTCATTCCAAATGGAACTTAATGGTGCGGATTCTGGAATTTGAGGAGATGCAGATTTTTGTGTAACCGAAAAATAACTCCCTTCCCATTTCTGCGTGTATTGAAGTGTAGAGTACGTGACTTGTACCCCTGACCATATATTTCCTAACGAAGCACCCGATTTCATTCACACTTACGCATGAATACGTCAAGAATTAGTAGAAAACCATTGTAATCTTAGTTATAAAGGTTATTGTGTGATTTGACAATGTCTCCCAGCTCGGATAATTTTGAAACCGATATGAGATGTGAAACAGCACCGTCAATGTCGGGGAAATATTATATGACCATATGTCATACCCTTACGTAAGGGTGATACTGTGATTCTATTGGCAACAACCAGAACTTTAGGCAAATCGTACAGTAAACGAGGTCAAAGGTAGAAAGCTTAGGTCAAGGGGTCAATACTCAGGTAGTATATATATATATAGTGACTAAAGACTCCATTGGTACTGAAATCATGTCTAAATACGTTATACATACATGTCCCTTAACACATTTTGCACACCTTTACTTAATCTTCTCGTCGCATGTTGTTTTCCCTGTTGTAAAGAATTGAGAGAGAATAAATGAGACTTGTTCAATATTCTAATAATCAACGAACCATGCAGACTGACTGAAAATACCATGACTGTTTTTCTCTTGTCAAAGCTGTCGCCAGTGTTGAGGCCATGGGTTCAACACATGGACTGGTCATCATATGAACTACATGCATGTCGCAGGCGCGAGCCTTTGAACTCGGCTGTCTAAGTGGGTTGTCCGTCCGGAATATTTGGTATTTGGATAGGCAGTCATTATCCTAGTCAACGTTCAAGATCAAAGGGATGAAATGTTTTAAAATCTTCCAAAGACCTATTCTCAATAATCGAACATTACTGGGTCATGATATTTGACAATAAGCATGCTGATTTAGAGCTTTCAAGTTTGTACACAGCAATGTGCATGGTTCAGTTTCTGAGTCAACACAAGTCAAATGTGTCAGAATCATCAAAACACCCAGGTTAATAATATTCGACCATGAGCATGCGCAGGTAAAGAGCTTTCAAGTTTGTTCAGATTAATGACCTTGGCCCACTTCAAAGTCAACAAGAGTGAACTGTGCTAAAATCATCATGCAACCACTTTTTAATATCCAAAAAGCGTCAGGTTGTAACATCTGGTCAGTAGCATACTTGGATGAGGGGCTATCACGTTTGTTCAGATGAGAGACCTTGATCCACATTTAAGGTCAGAGGGGACAAATGAGTCAAATTCTCAAAACAACTTTTGAATGACCACGAGACCTTGAAATTTTAATATTCAATCAGCAATATTCCATAAAAAAAATATTGAAACATAAATGTTGGTAGCATCCAATATAAAGCAAAAAGTTTAATCATTTTACTGCAGTATCATGGTGGATATGAACATTTAAAATATTTTAACAATTGGCCAGTATTCAGAGATTTCATCAGACATTACCACACTTCTACAATCTTGAAAGTAGATAAGGGTAATTTATCTAGGGCAAACTTTGAAGAAACTATTGAAGTTTATAAGTTGAAAAACTCAGAAGAAAACTGTGCCACTGTCTTAGGATATACAAATAACACAAACAAACATTAGTTAATGCAACAAGTAATAATTTATTTCAAAACTGATGTGAGTTTTTAAGTCAATCAATGACTTTCATCAAAATTAAGATGATACATATCTAGGCAGGTGTAATAAAACACAATTAAATTTTATATATAAGATGTACAATGTATTGCAATAACTAGGGAAGTAATGATAACATTGATCAATTTAATGGGGTCTTTTTAATGCTAAGTGTTTGAATTCTGACTTCATGTATCTCATTAGTCATTTACTCAACTGGCTACCAAAATCTACTTTATACATACATATATGAAATTTCACTTGTGACACATTTTTTTTGTTTTGTTATTTCATATATATCCCACTTTTACTTAAGACCATCATATATTTTTTGACTGTTACATACAAAGTCTAACATTTTTGAGAAAACATATCAGTCATGGCACTATCTTGGACAACACACTGCTGACCATTGAAATGTCATTTGATGTATGTCCAAATAACAATCTAAGGACTAGTGAGATAGAAATGGACTTAATAACAGGGACTTGTGTAGAGAATTCCAATCAAGGCCTATTTGGTAAATATTACATCAATAGGCATTTCTAAAAAAAATGACTCCTCCTGTTGTAAATTATGAAAAATTACATATTTTCCTTACTTACTGAACAAGATAATAAATTTGATGACGTATAAACTGACAGTCAAACTGTCATCTTTACATAACAAAGAAGAACACACTTCATGTATAAAAATCTATACACTGATAGACCAATTATTTATATTACATCACATAAATATGCCATAAGATGAAGAGAAAGCCAGTAACTCACTACCATTGCACAATGTTGGTCCTATAAGGTAGTATAAACCATTAACCAAGAAATCTCTTTGTCTAATGAATGTACAGGAATGTGAGCAAGTTGACAAAGATAGAGGAAACTTTAAAAGGGTATTGTCATGTTTCTTGAGATGTTAGTGAAATAGCGACCAATCTTGTATATAGAAAAATCAAATTGGTTTATTTTATTATATAAAGAAGTCATTAAAATTAGTAAAAGATTTTCTTAAGGTTTTAAAAATATCATAAAAAAAGTTGCATATCAATCTGATATATATATATACATATATAAATTAAGGACTAGCAATCAGATGTATACATTAAATTATCTGATTTATAGTTGTGAGGGATATTTAATGATCATAACACCAAACATTTTTCAATGATCATATTCAACAATGAGTAATTTGTAAAAACTGAGTAAAAAGTATTGGTAAGGAACAAAACTCTGCATGGTAAACCTGGTCACTTTTATACATGATAAATTACGACACTCTCCAAAAGAATTTAACATTGAAACCTTCTAAGTATATTTTTACAGACAACAATACATTGAGTATTCTATTGCCTAGTTATACATATTTTATGTAATTACTTCTAGAGTTATCACTTTAATCGACAATTTTTTTGTTTTATGTATAACGTGGATAAAAAATTATCCAAGATAAATTTATACTGTTGAGTTACATCACAACTCAAACTATTTAAACTCTGACCCCTCAGGATTTTAATCAGAGATTTCCAAATGTGGTATTGGCTGTGCCAAATGTGGTATAGACAAACGACTACAAACTTTATTTATTCAGGAAAATGCAAATTACCATAAGCTTTCATGGGGAAAAGAAAAATGCATGGGACCCCATCCTTAGCAATTTCTTTATAATGACGGGAAAGAAAACTGTGCACAAGTATCTATATAAAACTGATTTCCTTCTAACTGAGCTCTGACTGAATTTATCATCACCAGATAATGCTTATTGCAAGCTGAGAAAAGACAAAACATCAACAAAACTCACAGGTAAAATATTTAAAGAGGCATACATTCTTGAGTTCAAAATGATATACTCATACATTCAATGAAAATCACCAGCAAATTCATTCATATGTATTAACTCAATGGATCCATCACCAAAGTAGCTAAATAAATGCACCATGGCCATGTGCTCCTAACGAATCTGACAGTAACATTCACTGCGATAATTGACTGAGCATGCTACTATATGTATATGAAAACAAAGAATTCTTTTGGGGTTGTAATAAAATAAATCCACTAGGACCTAACACCTGTCTTTCATACATCATTGAATGAGACATTTTGTATCCTAAACAACCACACAAGAGTGCATACATTCAATTCTATATCTGATGAGATCAGTTTTTTGTGCATGTCAATTAAATAATACAAGGTGAAGTAGATGTCCAAGTGTAATCGCTATATTAACAATTCATCAAGTGACATGAATAGTTCAACCATTTCAGCACACAAAAGCATTTTATGTCTAATAAGTTAAAATGTAACAATTCTCTAGTAATGGATTAAATACAGGAAGCAGCTATGTTATCTAACAGACACAATCACAATCTTTCCATTAGTAGGCAATAGAGCAGTTAATAATTCAGGTTGCTGATGTCACATCAAATATTAACGTTTGGCATGTTGATTTGCTGTAAAGCTTAAATTTCACTAATAGTATGTTAATAATTGTAAATTTTATGGATCAAATACATGTAATTGAGCAAATCTCCAGAAAATGTTCATCAGGACAGCACACTGTAGTCTGTATTATGCTAGTAATGACAACTACAGGAGGAGAGATCAGGACGATACTCCCAGCCATTTCCCAAAAAACCTGCACAAAGAAATCCACCAGGTCCTTTCCATCCAAATTCTGGTCCTGTCACCACATAGTCTGGCAGTAGATTGGAAAACTGTAAACCACAAACCAATGTTAAACCATCATACACTATATTATACATCCCTGGTTAAACATGTACAATATTCTAAAAGCAACCTTGAAAAGAAAAAAAAATATATCAAAACTGTACATACTAAATACATAGATTGACACAGGCTTTAGGCATGCAAATCAGTTTTCAATATGAAGATTTGATCTTCCAAAGGCCTTACACTTTTCAGGCAAATCATACGTCATTTTTGTCATGAAACCAGGATCAAGTCAATTAGATTTGGCCTTTGTAGTTTGAATCACCAGGTCTGTTATTATATCTATATTGTGACAGGTCAAATATCATGACCACAGGTTTCTACCAGTACTCAAGCCAATTCAATATCAGACACCAGTACTGTTGCCAAAGAGGTAAAGTCCACTTTTTTAAGGAGGTACATACCAATATTATTCCACTTTTCAAAAAAAAAAGAAAAATCACTCCTGGTAATAGGTCCATCCTATCTGTTGCAGTTTAAACTTACTGGTGACCTTGTCATTGGAGGAATGGTGGGTGTGGCTAGAGATACGATGTCCCTCAGACCCTCAATAGAGTTTGCTGACAGTAACATCACCAGGCCATCCTTCCATGACTTGTGTGGAGCAAGTGTCATTAAACCACTGCGAGGCTCCATAAATTTACAATCACCAAGCTTTATCACAGAATCTGCAGAGACATAGAAAGCAAATGAAGAATGTTATAAAATAAGTGTGTTTTCTTTTTAATGCAGTATTACATCAATGCAATATGCATATCTAATGCACAATGCATCCATACCACTTCTATTGATGAATGTTAGAATTGTTTTCTAGAAGAAGAAACAAACAGCATGAGCTTAATACCAGACAGCAAATCAGTAACAAGGTATTTCAAAGCAACACTAATTCCTAAAATCAGTTTTGGCAATTCAACTATGGAAAGTAAAATCATAAAGTTAGATAGAAGAATGATGACACATGTAAGAAACAATTGTTGATCTCATAAGATACCGTTAACATATTTCACAGGGATAGTGAATAATAAACTACAATCCTTAAAATCTATTCCAAACAGACACTTTCCCTGAGAAAGCACTGGATGAAATCGGATTGGTATTGATAAAAAAGAACTGGAGATTTTGTGCTGAAACAAATTTTCTAACTACATGTATAGTTACAGTCAAATTAATCTTACAACCACCAGACCATAAAAGCATTCCTAAGTAAGCATTTTCTTGAACAAGGCATTGAGTTAGTGGAACTGGCCAAACTGGAGAAAATTATGAATGAAGGACAGACAAAAGCAATTGCAATATCCTCTTAAAATGGAGAGAAGGAAAGGAAGAATACCCAATATAAATAATGCTGTTTACCTGTTAATGTTAGGTCAGGGGGCAGTTCCAATACTTCCAGTATAGCAGTGGACAGGCTTAAGATAATCAGGTTTCTTTCACCTAGGAAAACAACATTGCTGCATATTATTTTCCAAACACACAGGTCATGCTTTTTCTATGTAAAAAAAAACTTTCCAACATCACAACAATTTGGAAATGTTTACAGAATTAGAAATTTCACTATTTCAATTGATATGAATCAAAAATATATTTACTTTGCATATACCTCAGTAGTGCAAGATCAGATTTAAGCATTCTTCAGTAGGACCTACCAATTGTTTTGTCGGAGATATCACTGAGTTTGACAATGGGAGCAGCTGTGTCTGAGGTCTGGAAGAATAGGTTAGCAATGTACACAGCAAGACTTTGGATCTCTGTGCCATACTCAGATTCTGTATCTGTGTTAAGGAATAAAATGCAGGTCTTTGTTATTTCATCAATCTTAGTGAATAGTATAGTGTAATTGTAATTAGACATCAAACCCAGGACCTTTAATTTACTTAACTAAAGTTAAACTAATGATCTTAAAAGAAATTCTTCCCAATTGAGCCAGAGGCATCTAATACTTTAACAGGGTTACACAAAATAAACCTCTATTACAACCAAAATTACTACCAATATTAGACATTTAATGTGTCATAATTTCATGAGCATCATTTTACTTGTGATCATAGTTAGAAATATGACAATTTCCTTCCTTTGGCAACATCTCATACAATTTATCAAACAATGTACAGACAAGTGGAGCAAATTAGCACCTATGACAATAACAAATGGTTGCTCTGCAACACGTCTGGCAGGTCCATAGGTGGTAGAATTTCTCCTATCCATATCAACTCCACATAGTTCCCAGTCCCCTACAACACAGGAGAACACTGAACATCAATCCAATATCATGGTAACTGAAACTATCAATAAGTCAGTATAATGCTCTCTTTGAATTTATGTCCTTAATAATGTTGAAATATTTTAATAACTGAATATTTTGTGAATGATTCTGGCCTATTTCACAAACATGGGTCAAGGTTATTTAGTATCCTCACCTTTTTTATTGCAAAATAGCACACCATCAGTTTCAAACTTGTTTGAATCGTCAATGTCCACAACTGTGTCATCAATCTTTCCGTAAAAAAAAAAAACAAACAAAAAAACAAATCACCATGATCTTGAAATATATAACCAATATACTTTGATAATAATACTAAAAATAATTGTGTCAAGAGCTTTTTGCAGTAATTTGAATTCTATTTGAAATTCAACTGGGAAATCACTGAAGACCTGCATGTCATGTTCTCACTTACTTTGAGCAGTTTGTTCTTCCAATCCATCTTTCTTATCTTGGGTTCTCTTATTACAAAAGATTGAACATTTGTTGTCTTAAGCCAAATTTCGCTGTTCTTTGTAAAACCCTGAAATTATAAAATTGCACTCTTGAATTGTACAACTGTAATGTAAACAGCATATAATCCATAATAAAGGCCTAATTAAAAGGCTTTAACTGCCACCTGAGTTTAATGTTTTAGTTCTTGTGCCATGTCAAAAATTGATTTTTTCGGATTTTCAGAAATTTTGACAACACACTGGGGAATCAGTCAGATTCAACATGCACAAACCGTCAAAGTACAATCGTACACTTACAATTCTAACCAAGACTAAATTATTTTCCCAAAAAAGAACTAAGTTATAAAAGAATACACTACAGTAAACTTTGCCCCTAACTGAGGACAAATAAATGTGAGATCCTGGGTAATTCTTGTAAAGCTTCTGAAACCCTTTCATCCATGAAAATTACATAAACTAGTATGTATTGGTTTCTACTGTATCCATTTTTGCCATATCCATCTGCTAGAGTCAATGTGTGCATCCATGAGAGTCAGGCGACCTAAAAAGCTTATAAGCTTACATTACAAATACAAAATGTTTTTTAGAATAGGAAAGGTAGGCACTTACTTCTATTTTACTAAGGCGTAATGGTGTCCTCTGCTGAATGATCTCTAAACCATTTAGGCCCTCTCCTAAGGCTGGATTGTAGCTAGTGAAAACAAACTTTCCCTCATTTTCCTTCCTTGTGTATTTGTTGTCCTTTGAGCGGTCACAGCCATCACTATTACAGCTGTCATCTAGTTTGGTAATACTGTCAGTAAACTCCCTTAGCTGTCGGTCATTCACTACCCCACCATCATTGGTCTCCCTGGCAACATTTTTATAATTATAAACTGTTGTGAAGGAATTCCTTCTTTCCTGAGACTGACACATTAATATCATATTTGATAAAATGACATTCATCATTTAACCTTTGATTAAAATTATCAAGAGTTTCCCCTACCACCAACTGACCTGTGCTATGTCCCCTGTACCCAATGACATCCATATGTAACTGTCCCAAACACTCAGTATTGTAACAAGATAATTCAGCAAAATGCAGTCTCCCACCAACACCACTTCACCAAGAAAAACCCATATCCCATGATTAGATTTGAAGAAGATAAGGCCAGTACAAGTTTTTTATGTAGATCAAAGGTCAAAATGTAGGTCAGTGACCTACTTTTAATATGTGACACACAGTTCCCTTCATCAGTATTGTAGATGATAGGAAACTGACAAGGAAAAGCTTTTCCTTTGATGTTCACTAAGATGAACCAATTGTGTGTTGAAGAATGGGGACAATGTAGTGGAAGGATCGACAAACAAATGCAAAACTATAGTCCCCTCCTGTTCCTGGTGGAGGACTCATCTTATAATAATCCCATGGGGTCAATAATTAAATTTTGACTCAAAGTCAGGGGTGGGCCTATTACATGAGAGTGCAAAAATTATTTATCTTTTTATTGAACAGCTTGGGTGGGCTCGTTACTGGGCCTAGGCTTATTGCCAGATAAATGTGGTAGCATACCATGTGTCCCACCACCAGTGTTCCTTGCCTGGTAGTTCTGTGTAGTTGATCATGAGCTGTATCTCATTCATTAGTCTGTACATCCTCCTCATGAAGAATGGATGAACAGTGCGATCATTGGCACCAATTCTGGTGAATACAGGAATGTTCTGAATAAGAATGAATATCCATGTTACTACAGAATACTTATTCAGGTAATTAAACATTTATGCCATATAACAAATATAAATGAATGAAATATTTAGTTGTGAGCAAAAATTGCAAAACTAATTTAATTATTTTTTTCAATTGTGCTACATACTCTCAAAAATATATGAATTTATATCCCATTGGTGAAACGTAACTGCTTTTTTTGAAAAAAAACACAGCATCCTCTTCTTATTAATATAAAATTTTGACCAAGCTACCTGTAAATTTGTGATATGTCTATCAGCATCATTCTCTGCTATACAGGCCTCCATCACTGCTTTGATGGCAGGATCAATGTGACTTGTGGCCAGATCATGTCTGTAGAAGAATTACTTAGGTATCATTTCACAAATTTTGAAAAACTGGCATCTATAAAATGTCTAATTTAATAAATAGTTTAATATAATAGATAAAATCATTTTAAAATAGCTTAGATATTTGATCAGATCTGAAGACTCATTTCAAATGATATTCCAAGTACCTAAATATGTTAAGAGAACTATGAATAAGTATGATTCATTAGTTTTCATTCCAAAACAAACCTAAAGAAAAGATTGCTGTCTCCATACTCTTCTTTCTTGATCCACCCTGCGAGTGATACCAATCCAATGGCTCTGTCAGGGAAGTGTGTGGCTAGGTGCCACGCCCCATGTCCTCCCATGGAGTGACCTGAATGTGAAATGTATACATGTAAACATACCCAATACAGCTACATGTATCTTGTCAGGCCTGTACTGTTTGATCAGCGATTGATAGAATGGTGCCATACCTATACAGTAATCAAAACACAAACTCTTCAAATCTTTACACGATTCTCAAGTAATTTTCAAAGGTGAAAATAATTGTAGTTACTTGCCAGCAAACAGGACACTGGAACTGTCTGCCTTTTCAGAGATCCAATCACTGGATTGTGTTAGTGATGCCAGTCTGTCCAGTGCTGTCATAGCCGTGAGACTGCCAGGACCTTCCCAGTTATGTGCACCATGTCTGTTAGCAACCATTTACACATTGTTATCCAGTCAAGATGTTTTTATTTGATATAACAACTATTGCTTGTTTAATCAAAATAAGTTTAATAGATCTGATCTTTAAATCAGATGCAACATTTCATTATTTCCCGCTTTATTCACATTAAGCAATTGTTTGTTTTTGTTTTTGCATATAAAACGTATTGGTTTTGAAAACAAAAGATGTAATACCACAATTTCTGATAGACATATATACCTTGTTGGAGCCAGCAGCCAAGCACGTGGAATTCCAAATACAAATTCTCCATTCCTCATTACCTTGTAGCTGTCAGCCTGGTTCTGTGGTGGCACAGTGGTGCCATGTAATGTGAGAAGGGTAGGACAGGTGGCTCCCCCACACCCTATAATAGGGGCTATGGCTGCCGCATGCTGCACAGATCCATCATGGTCTAGAAATGTAAACAGAAAGGACTCTCCAAGCTTCCTACAGCGGAGATTGAACTTGAAGGGCAAGGTTCCTTGTGATGTTGTAATGGACAGAATCACATTTATTGAGGTACACTTTGACACAACTCTCTCATCAGCTACTGTTTCCAATGATATCAAAACTGGTATAGTTTGACCTGGAGCAATATTCACAGAATGGAGCAAATGGCTTTTCAAAGTGTTTCCATCTGATTGATCAGCCACTGATACCTTGGAAATGCGAACCCATTTTGTTTGATGATAATTTGTCACTGGAAGAGCAATGTGTTTGCCAAACAAGTAGCCATTTACAAGATCTGGTAAGAAGTGAGGAGGTAGAATTTGGATACTAGATTGTGGTATCTTTATAGAGCACTGGAAATTAGCAGTCACTTTAGAGCGTAAACGAATGTAGATGGTATGGACACCTTGTGACAGGTGGGTAGTGGTCCAGAACACATCCCTACGGTACACATCTCCTGTCAATGGTCGGTCATCGATGTAAAAAGTGTGGACATCCAAACACTGAAACACCACAATCTGGTCTTTCTCATTCACGGCAAACTCCCCTACCACCCAACCCTGCCATTCAGTTATCCCCATGGAACTAAGAGAGTTTACCAAGTCATTCCAGTTTACTTGGGGACTTATTTTTATGGTTTCATCAGCATAAGACTGCTTAAATGTTTTCCACTTAACTTCTCCACTGTGAACCAGCTCAGAGAAAAATTTTATATTTTTGTTGTTTCTTTTTTTAGCAACTTCAAACACACCACCAAAAGGTTCCAATGGATCACCATCAATTTCCATTTTTCCAATGACAAATGGTCCAATAAAATCCCATGAAGCAACGTACGGGCTAACCTTCCCAGATAGTTTTGATGCATGCTTGAAACAAGATACCGCTTGTGATGTTTGTCCCTTCCTCTGGTACAGTGTACCGAGTGCAGACCACTGAAATCCATCATTTTCCTTGGCTTCCAAGGCGAGAAGTACACATGGTATTGCCTGGTCAATCTATAGTAAACATAGAAATTGGTAAAGATATATCAGTACATACAACTGATTCTTTGAAGTTTACATTAGTAACTAATTTTGGAAGGGTTCATATTTTTTAAGGATAGTAAATTGAATGGTCAATCAAAAGAAGCCATTATGAAGACAAAGGAGCTGTACTGAGATGATACAATATTAACTCTTCAATAAAATGACCAGGATTCAACTCTTCTGAAAAGGTATTGGGTCATCTCACCTGCCACTCTACATTGGTGTTTTCCAGTTTCCTTCAAAATTTTATCTCCAACATCAGTAATTATTTTGCCCTGTATTAAAGCTGGAAAAAGGCTGGTTCCCCTTGGCCCGAGTAATAATTGCAAGTTGTTTAAACTTGTTATTCATAACTGTTTATTAATAGATCTGTGCACTAAAAATTTCAATGTTTCTTAGTCATGAGATTGATAGGATCTGTTTACTACAGAGTTTGTCAATAAACAGTCATTTTCACGAATCCTACTGTCCTTTTTCTTTGTTTATCACTTGTATCAATACTGATGATACCAAGATATCTAATACCAAATAATTTCACAGAGCTATTGTTTTCTATTTGTCCCAATTGCAGTTAGTTTACTTGGAGTAAATTTCACACTACTCTGTCATTTTTTAATATTAGTGAAATAAGTAAAGTATGTCTTGATAGTGATATACAGGCACAAAAGGGTATAAGTGACATTTTCTGAGATTTTGATGGTTATTTAATTTTTTTTATATATTATAAGAGGAGTTCATATTCAATAAGACATAAAACATCTTAACAGTTCAAAATTGATATATAAAAACAACCTTTAAAACCTTCCTATTTTCAGCTGCTTCATCCTTTTATGTTTAAGGATTACCGGTAAATTTCTAGTTTGTATACATTTTAGGGAATAAATACATTTGAATTTGGGTAAATTGAATAACTGACAAATCCAGTTATGCAAAATTTAACCAAGTTCAGCTGAAGTTATCACCCAATAACCTCAACAAAAAAAGAAAGTTAATCTTTACATTTACAGTTTTTCTTCATTAAAATACAATTTTATTACCCATTATAAAGTTTAATCACAAACGATGACAATGTTCAGATTTCCAGCTTGTCCAACAGGACAAACTGTAATAACAAGAGGATAAGTTAATGATCTGAGATGCTATATACTTCACCTCTGCAGTCCATCTTAAATGGTTTACACTGTTCAGTGTTATCTTTTTTGGACATGGAGCTGTAAATTTCCTCTTTTCTTTTTCCAAAAATTCTTTAACATCCTAAAAAAGTAAAGAAAAATGTGAGAAATTTAAGATTTGTATAGTATCCTTTACATGACCATCTATTTTCAATACTACAATACATGATTTGGGTCAAAACTTTTTTAAAATGTGAAATGGTGTGACCATGTTTAAATCACACTAAAAAGTAAGGACATAAATAATAACTTCCTTAACTGTAAGTCACTATACAGTAATCACTCTCAGGTATGTTCAGTATCCAGCATTCTTGTTGGACATTCTTGTTGGACATTCTTGTTCCTGTCAGGATCATGGCACAATGAATTAAAATATACTTAAGTAAAACTATTCAGATGTATAACATCATGATTCTATTTTAATTCTTAATTGTCATTCATCAAAGTTACTTGTCATCATAAAGTAAATTTGTCATAATCATAATTTCCTTTGCTATATATGTCAGGATGATACATGAGTATGGTAGAAGTTGAGAGTACTGGTTGCCTTACTAGCCATGGCTAGTGAAATTTTCCCTTATGTCAAGCAGTAGAGTGTCTGACTAGAGACCGAAGGTTCAAACCCCAACAATGGCAGGGTATTTTTCATTACTTCTTCCTATTACAGATTTGGTACTGTAACCACTCCAAGGGTAGAAGTTATAGGAGATTAAGACACATCCTTGGAAATGTTGACTCTGGGTAGTTGTTGTCATTGGGGTCAAGGACTTTGTGAAGGAGGGAGAAGTGTAGACATTGAGAATACAGTTCGCTTTATAAGCCTTGGCTTGTGGGAATTTCCTTTTAGATAAGTAAAAGGTTGTCCACCTAAGAGACCAAAAGGTCACTAGTTACAACTCTGGGTGGAAGCATCATATTTTTTGTTACTACTTCCTAGTATACATATAGCAGAATTATGTTATACCAAAGAATGATCCAAATAAAGTACAAACAAAACTGAGTTAGGAGAAAGGGAATACATGGTAAACTAAGGAAAATTCTGTAGAAGAAGATGTTTCTATTCTGCTGTGATTTGTATCTATTCCTGTGTATTGCATTGGCTAATCTTTTGCAATAAAAGAGTGATGGAGAATTCCTGAATTGCAAACTAAACAATGTCACATATCAAGTTCTTAATGCACCACTGTTAGGAACACTGGAACAGAATCTGAAATTGTATTGAACACCTATTGTCCATATGTCATACACAGTTTGTCTAGGAACATATGACATTGCCACTAGGCCTTTGTTCAGCCCATGGAAGTAGCCCAACCAACCATCAAACTGGAAAGGTTAATGTTTTAAATGGAGGTTGAAAAACAGGACATCCACCTCAAATCCATTTATCATCAGCTTCGCCAATAAAAGTGATGACATTGGTTGTTTACATGCTTTATGTTTGCTTCCATGGATGAAATTAGTGTTTTAATAGATGCACCTCTAAGATGATCTGTCTATTCAGTAAGTTGCCAGAGTTTGGCCATATCTTTGGAATGGACTAGCACAGCATAACTCATGGGGTCTCTTGCATCAGTGTGAATAACCAATCAACCAATCAAGATTGAATCCACTTTCATCATTGTACCAGGTAGTATTATTTTGAATCAATTTACCTAACCGACTTCATAATATTGCATTGCTGTAAGAGAGATATGCCGTATCTTATAAGATGACATGACATCATTGCTAAATGTAAGGGGCTATGATAGCTCAGTCAGTAGAACGCTGGCCTATGTAACCTAAGGTGGAGATCCGAAGTACATCGATTCCACACTCCCTACACATAGTGATTTGTGCTTCTCACGTTGCTCACTCTGAGAGACAGATCGGTCTGTTGTTGTGATTGTATCCTTTGGCAAGGCATTTTACTTCAAACGCTGTGGATGGCATACGACTGGCCTCTTGTATATTGTACAATGAGGTCACTGTGTACTGTAACGCCACGTCAAAATTGTTTTGACTGTTTGTGGGGATGATAAAACCTATCAAACAAACGAAAAACACCGCACATTAGATCTTCCTTGGGAAAATGAAGACATATCGAAAAATATCTTCTACTAAGTCTAGTCTACTTACGAAAACGTCTTTCTTTTTCGCTAATGAATAGTGAATAAACGAAGTAAAAAACACGAGAGCGAAAAAGACTGTTTTCTTATATTGAAGTGCTTGGATTGGCACCATCTTTCGTGACTGATATGTTCTGTCCAGCCGGTCGCTAGTCTGCAAATCAGTAGCAGACCACAAGTCAACTTCCTCTGATGGCGGTGTGTAATGGAAAAAGCGACCAAAATTTATGGAAAATTTTAAATGCCCGAGTATAAGTCAAGTAGATCATAATGTTGTGAAGCGACATTAATAAATAATTATTCTATCAATAAAAATACAGTATTTATTGAATAAATATTCCGATAAATTTATCGTCTTTTTGGTCTTGCGGAACTTTATATCGAGGGGGATTTATTCCTAATGCACACAGAGTGTTAAATTCTATTGATCATGCAAACGCTTTAATATACCGGTGCGTATCAATGAAGCTTGTGAAATACGTTGTGTGTTAATCACCCGACGCATCGCAGCCAATGGCAATGTGAAAAACTGATAAAAACACTGGTCTTTGGAATTTGGCCGGGTTTCTCTTCTTGTCTGCACTGTCAGACCTAAATCACCATGGAGGAACAGTCAAGAAACGTTTGGATCAAGCAAGGTTATATTTATTTGTCATTTCATTTCCTCATTGATGATGACGTTGCAGCTGGTGCCCGGGTAACAGCACCCACCCTGCAGATCATGCATCTTATGACTATCCTTCCACCCTTATCTACAGACATTAGTACATATGCTAGCCTATTTCTTACGAAAACACACGACTGTAATATATATATTTTCCGACTTCCCTAAGGTTCCGAAATCGGACATTAAATAAATTGTATAACGTATGGTGTTTTGACAAGAGGAAAACGTTGAAAGGTATATGCTTATTTAAAATACAAGTTCCTTACAGGCATGTAATGCATGGGAAAGAGGGGTCCATGTTACTTATTGCTGCTTGAGGCCACTGGCTGAAGCCTTGATAGTCTCAGTTATGGCACTGTTGACAGTTTTCTCATCGAGCAGGTTCCAGACAATATATTCTCGCATCTGGAACGTTGTATCCCTTATTGTGGTTACATGAATGTGTTTTCTATTGTGTTGCTATAGAAGAAACCACTGAAATCTTCCAGGTGTATTTTTCGTCATTGCCTTTCAGGTGTCAGGAAATTTGATTTGGGTAACAATGGTAATATCCCCACAACCACTTTGAAGTATAGTGTTATGTGTAACATTTGCCTGCAATCTGCTTATAAAGTCAGACCTCTGGTCCATGAATAGTTTAGTTACCCAACCCTCTCCTCTGCTGCTGTAGATGCCACATATGGAAAATACAGTATTGTGCTGGCCCTCTTTAGGGTTGCTATGTGGTATTGGTAGTATGGATCCCAATTGATGCATCCACACTCATAGATTGACCTACAAAAGGCAGATGTAGGCAGACTTTAAGCAGTGTTTCTGATTGCAGATAACGGAACTGAGGGAAAAATGGGCCATTTTGACAGACTTTGTAGTGTTCAAGGTCAACTTCATGTTTTCATTGATGAGAAGTTCAAGGTAGAAGCACTGACTAATTTGCTTGAGAATCTGACCACTGAGAGAGTTTCTTAATGTCAATGCAAATAACTGAACATTTCTTTGAGTTGAACTTCATGGCTCAGTCTGTTGTCAAGCATTCAGGGTTGTAATATAAAGTAATACTTAGAGACTGTGAGATGTCCTCACTAAACACTAGCTTTTTCCCAAATGTTATTCTTTAGGATGTCTTACTTTAGTACACTCAGATTCTCCTGTCTCCTAGATTTTACAAAACACCAGAATGGTTTGGTATTATTTGTACTAAGGTTCTTCTCAATGGTCTTATTTATATAAGATACTTCTGCCTTCTTAAACTCTTGCTTACATTAACATTAGAATGCCTTGAATTCCTGCCTATTTTCATGTAATTACCCTTGTTAGTAATTAATTTTTTGTTTCACATAATGGCAGGTTCCTTCTGTCTTATGATTTTTAGTTTCTTTACTTTCTTTCTGGTTATAAGTTAACAAATGGTCTAATTTCTTTAAATGTCAAAGTTGGCCTTTGTAATTAATCTGTTGAAAAGGCATCTCAATCATATCATTACATATGTTAACAAATCTAGAAAATCATCTGACAAGTTTCGCAACAAATTATAGAATGACCTGTGAGTTTTGTCTGACAACAAAGTACGATGTATACCACATGAGCAATAACTCTGTCTGACGCTTAGTGTCTGAACTGGCTACTAACAAAGTGAAAGGAATTTAGTTCATGTGGACAACAAAATTTCATGGATGATTGAAATTGATGTGATAGTGAGTCATGCTTTGAACTCAGGCTGATACAAGTAGGAACTTTATTTATAGCACCTTACACATAGATATGCATTTTAACCTCATTTCTTCCTGAAGCACACTTCATCATTGAAACTTTTAATATTGACCAATTGCTACCAATTTCAAGAACAAGAGTAGCACTGGTTTTTTTTTTTTTTTTTACTAGTTCACTTATTTCACTACAAATCATTTTTGTGACGTAATACTAAAATATTCATTGTTCCATTAAGTGTTTAGAGGGATAGCCTAAAATGCTTGGTCAAATGATAGAATGAGTGATGAAGATCCTGTTGACCTCATATTGTAGTATGAATATACAAAATATTTGTATTGTTAAACATAACAGTAGTGTGTAACAATTCAAACATTTTATGAGCCATCAACAAAAGTGATAGGCTAAGTCTGACATGATTGGAAACTACTATACAGGAGAACATAGCTTTTCTTTTATTCATCAAGCTGACAATGTTTTCACTATTTCCCATTTAATTGCAGTCGCTGATTGCTAATTTATTTATCATGTATGTCATTGCTCTAAAATGTTTGTACTCTGCAACGAAAAGAATACAAATTATGTGACTCACGAGTATTTTTTTTTTTTTTCAATTAAACTTTTCAAGACCAAATTGCTGAAAGTAGACAGAAAGAACTATATGAGTCTAGATTGTGTTGCATGTAAACGATCAAGAAGAAAATCATAAATTCAATTTCAAATAAATTGTTTTCAGATGATCCAAAGCTGGTATCCTCCAGACATAAGGACATATTTGAGGACATCCTAGAGGACCGTCGCCACAGTAGTGATTTAGGATGGAGCCTCCGTACCCGTGATGTCCCCGATTACAAAAACAACAAACCAAGGACAATAGATCAGATTAAAGAGCATGTCATGGCCAGTGATCGTGTGAAGTATGCTGTGGAACAAGTAAGAATTTCAGTCAACAAAACTTTTTTCAATACTTAATGCAATCTTCCTAAAATTGTTTTTATTTTTTTCAACAGACTGATGAATAACATCTGAGAAATCAGCTTAAAATCACTCTCATAGCATTTATTGGCATTTTTTGCAAAACTGAAATAGATATGGTGGGCTAAATCTAGACACTGATCTATTGCTGGATAATTGTTTTCAAATCAATTAGATCAAAATACAAACATCTTCTTGTCCAAGCTCCTTTTTAAAATAACTACATTATTATTGCCATTCCCTGAAATTGTGTTGATTTAAATGTAATAAAATTGTGAGAATGGTAATATTTCATTTCCAACAACAGGTTTGTATGGAGAGTGGATTGCCAGCTGATGAGGTGTGGGCTCAAGCCAAGGAAATCCTTGAGGAAATGTCACATAACCTCAGACTTGGTGCTATCAGAGGATTTGCTGTATTCCTAGTCAAAGTTCTGAAAGCCTTATTTAAAAGAATTTATGTAAATGAAGAAGGCATTCAGAAGGTAAACAATTTTGATTATTAATTTTAAAAAGCTTTGTACTTAAGTATACAACATTAAAATGACTTGCATACATGTCCTTTTCAAACAAACTTTCTAAGTATCTTTTTGTGCTTAAATTTGAAATTTGATTTGTCTGCAAAAAAAATCTTCTACTCAAAGCTGGCGTATTACAGAATATTGAAAAATATTTACCGTCATTTATACTAATGAGGAATATTTACAGTGTGTGACTGATGTTGTTGATGCCTATAAAAAGTACTTAATGTACTAGCTAGGAAAAGTAGCTGGTAGATTTAGAATTACAAAAGTTAATGAAAGATTAAGAGCTCTGATAACTTTAATTTGACATTTTTACAAGATTACCTGGTATACATTTGTTTATAAAGAATGATTGACATTACATTCAGCCAATGATACAACATTATGTTATGAATTATCAAAAGGATACTGTGCTATTTACTTACATTAGGACATATCTATTTCAATGTTAACAAGCACATTGTCTTTTGTGTATTACAGGTGCGGGCAATGATTAAAGAGTACCCAATATTATTGACTCCAAGTCATCGAAGTTATTTTGATTTTCTACTAATGTCCTTTGTGTTTTATCACTATGACCTGCCATTACCTGTCATTGCAGCAGCTATGGGTAAGTATGGTGGTCTGGGTAAAAATACACAATTATTCCCTTCAGCCTTTATTAAGATATTTGTTGTTAACAAGTTGAAGTATTACTTTTATTACTTCTTTACATCTTATTTGATTTCAAACCTTGCTGAAATTTACATTAAAGTGAAATATGATTGGGAAGACTGTGAAATATACCTTTTGTTTTAATTAAGTACTTATCAAATTTTCTCAAAAATTTGAATTATTTTATTTATTTTACTTTCAGATTTCATGGGAATGAAATTCTTTGGATGGCTGTTAAGGAATTCAGGTGCTTTTTACATTCGCCGAAGTTTCGGTGATGACCAATTATACTGGGCTGTTTTCACAGAGTATGTGCAGACACAAATCTGTAACAGTGATCATCCTCTTGAATTTTACGTGGAGGGTACCCGCAGTAGGACATCCAAGTCATACTGTCCAAAATTTGGTATGTCATTGTGTTTCTCCTGAACTTTATCTGGTACTGTCTTTCATGAAAACCATCGGTCTTTAACTGCACGTTACATTCATGCCAAGATTGATCCATTCCATGGCAACAAAGATTTTTTTCTATGTTCATTCAAATTTTTTAAAACAGTTGTATGAATTATAGAACTTATACAATGATGTTGATATCCTTGTTTCTTTATTTTGCTGTGTAACAGGAATGTTGTCTGCATCACTAGAGCCCTACTTCAAAGCTCACATCCCTGATATCATGATTATCCCTATTAGCATCAGCTACGACAAAGTCCTAGAGGAGAAACTATATGCATATGAATTACTGGGAGTTCCAAAACCCAAGGAATCTACCTCAGTAAGTGTACATAAAACCTGAGTGTTAAAGAATGTAGGTGTTTCATTAAATTGGTCATTATATTCTTTAAAGAAATATTCCCAAACCAAATAGGTCCACTTCAAGCTGTGTTTTTCAGAAAGATGTGCATCTCTCTATGGTCCTTATGACTGCTGTTATATATATGAGATGATTCTTAAAAAAATATTGGTCAACAAGTTCAAAACCATACTTGTCACTTTGATATATATTATCTTTGGTCATTGTGCAGTTTAAATTTTAATTTTTAAAATGAAAAAGTGCAATTTACTATCTGTAGAACCTCCAATCTAGTTGAAATCATATCTCTTGTTCTGTATACATCTTCATATAACAAAGTATGAAGTGAAATGATAGGTCTGATTTCCATTCAATTAAAGAACTTCATTTGGTTTTACATTCAACTTTGATTTGAGTAAATCATAGCTAATCAAGTATTAATAACACCTAGGATATTTGATGTATCTTTAACAGGCATTATTTAAAGCGAGAAACATTTTGTCAGAAGACTTTGGAAATGTACACATACATTTTGGAGATCCTCTTTCAATACGTGAATACTCAGTGGGGAAAGTTGACAGAAGCATCCACAACCTTGCACCAAGGTGATTGTATTTTCCAATCGGCCATATTTTCCTGGCAAGACATACATCAGTAAATTTGTACTTTGAAGAAAATATGAACACTGTTTTTCAAAGTATTACTTTGTCATTATCTAAAAGTGTTATACTGGTATTGTAGTTACAGTCATAAAATGTGTTCGTCAAATATTCATTTCTGTTTCTAGAAATGAAAGATGTTATTGTAATGAGAGGTCAAAAGTTGATCATGGAAAATTGTAAAAAGGTCAAAGTATTGTGAAACTTAAATAAAAGGGCTTCCTGAAACTATTTATTAAATTAAGTTTTGTTGAAATTTTACATACTTTATAAATTTCCTTAAACAGGTATATTGCTAGTCTGTCAAAACAGGAGACAGATCTACTTAAGAGTCTTGCCTATGATATTGTGTTACTTCACTTAAAACACATGGTCATCTCCCCTTGGTCCATGACTGCAGCAGTGATGGTTCAAAACAAGGAGGGTATACCCATGCGACAGCTTGTGCGAGAAGTAGAGTGGCTCAAACGCCATGCCTTGAATTTGGGAGCATACATAGACTGGCCAGGTATATAAAGATTGATTTGATAATTTTGGAACATTTATCACTTAATACTGTTACCATTCTCAGTAAGGTTACTTTTGAACTTTTTCTTTCCTGATGATAAAGACAAGACATGACTTGCAAATTATAATAAAGTGTCTAGTTTTTTTTTAATTAGATATGTTGAATGATAGAAAAAAATATATTTTGTGAGATTCTATAAAACCAGATCTGGTAATATTGAATATACTGTATATCCAACAGGTAATGAATCGTCTGACACTGTGGTGAGAAGTACACTACAGCTCCACAAAAACATTGTTACTATAAACAAGGACGATGTAATTGAGTTAGTATCCATGGATGTTCCATCACATGTGAGTGAGGACCAGTTAATGCAGGCAGCAGCCCAGCATCTGATGCTGTCGATCTACCGCAATCAGCTGATGCACATTTTTGTCCGTGTAGCGATGGTGTCCCTGTCTATCAATGTCTGTACCCAGGACACTTTACCTTTAGGTCAGTATTGTCATATATTTTATAGAAAGTTAAGATTTACTGAAAAAGAAATTATTTGTGAGTACAAGATATATCACTCTGCAGCATTGATATATGACAGTTTTTGCTATGTTAAATGGAGCAGGAATTAGGTGGTACATGTATAAACTCCTTTTTTGCTATGTTAAATGGAGCAGGAATTAGGTGGTACATGTGTAAAAAAAAATATCTTAAATGAGTCTTAAATATTGGTAATTACTAGATTTAGGAGTGAATATTACCACAGAATCTTATCTGTAATTATTTTTTCTGTGTTTTGTATTTCAGAGGACCTTTACAACAAATACGTATTTCTGGAGCATTTATTAAACAGAGATTTCATTTTTCATCCTGGTCATACAAAACTGGCAAGTTTTCTCCAAAATTTAATATTTATGTTTTCATAGAATTTTCCTTTTGTTTCATTTCCATACATATCACACAACTACAATATACATATTGGGGAAAAAATGTGACCTTTGATGTAAAGCTGATACCAAGTAAATGTATAGATCTTGTTGCATTTAGTAAATAAATGTGGTAGATGAAAGGTAAAAGGGCTGAAGCTTGGATTTTTTTATTTTTATTTTTTTTTTGAGTTTGCATTATGATGAAATTCTGAGAAAAGACTGCTTAATTTCATCTTTGATATGTTTTTTATTGCAGGACTTTGAGCACTCCCTCTTGACCCTTACACACAACTGTGGTGTTATAATCAGAGATAATGCTATCCTTATCAAATCCTCTACCAATAAATACACCACGTTCTTCAGCCAGATGTTTGAGCCTTTCCTCCTTGGATACTGGGTATGTGTTACAGTATACAATATGATCTAGTTTATCTTATCAAAGATTTGAAGAGGTATATCAAAATTTGCTCACCTACATTTTTCATCAATCTCATTGGACACACAGTCTAGCCTGTAAATTATGTGTAAAGTTGATCATGAACTATGGCCTTTTAATAGAATCCCCTTCAACCATCATTTTTGTAGGGCTATGTCTACATACTATTTTTCTTTTACACGCAAATAAATAAGACAAATATTCATTATACATTTTAGTTGATCTTTAATGTGTATTTACCCAGAATACATTCTTCATTCTTTAAGCACTATTTTATTAATTATTTCATATCTAGGATAATGTCATATAGTTCTTCTTACACTTACACTTCGTTTTTCAGATTGTGTGCCGATGCCTTTTATCATTACACACTGATGTGCATGGTAAACCCAAGGCCAAGACTCCTAAAGTAATCGCTAAAGAGGCTCAGATGTTGAGTGCAAGGCTTTTAAGGGATGGTGCTGTTAAGCACTTAGAGGTTCTCTCCCTCGACATCCTCAACAATGGACTCCATGCCCTCTTCCATATGAACGCTGTGTCAAAAGAAAAGAGGTATACTAAATGTGATTTGTTGTTTATAAGAAAGCAGATTTAAGGGGTTGTTTCTCCACATCAGTTTCATTTTATAATCATGTCTTGGTAACAAAGACTGTGGAAAAGTTAATTTTTAGATGTAGGTGTTGGAGTTCCAGTTTCTTGTAAGGTCTGCAGGGTTGACTGTAGGATACTGCATTTTCACTTGTTACCTAATGAACTTAAATCTGGTGTGCTGGTCTTGAATGTTCCTTGTTTTTAAGAAGTAATGATAACTTGATGTAAATGTGTGCATAGTTATGGCATGTGTCTCATGGCAAGGGTACCTTGGTTTAGATAGACTAATAATGAGGCAGGCAAAATGGTGTTCCATCAAGTTTCCTTACACATGCAGCTGTGTGTGTTATCTAGATTCAAAAGCAGGTATATGATCAACATACATGCTGTATCATTAAAAAAAAGTGAAAGAATCATTCAGAGATATGATTCTGATGATGTCTTGCAATTACTTAAAATGTGATGTAGTAATCAACCTCATTTGTACATTACAGAGATGGACAGGCCTATATGTATCCCAACACCATAGTTCTTACCAATATCTGCGAACAACTCGGTAAGGCTGTCATTCATCAGATGGGTCGACACACATTGATTAGACAGTGTGAAGAATAATCATCTAATCATTATGATCATGACCAGATTTTTATGCAGAAATTTGTTATTATTAATGTGTTGATTGAAATGTTAGTGAAGAAAATATTCATATCTATTGTAACATAGGCTTTGATTTTCATTTTAAATAGTTTTAGCATAATTTCACTTGACCAAATCAGTTGAGCATTGGCATGAGGGTGCACACAACAAGTCAGTGTTGCTATTAGTTCATTATGTGTACAAGCATGTTGATATTTCCCAGAAACTGAAACTTGTTTGGTAATTAGAGTGCTACATGAGTTCTTATTACCTGGTATGTGACAACAGAATAATGCATAAACAGGCAAGATAAAACTGGCGTCAATACAACTCTGTTTGAAAGTATGAAGAAGCTTATTCAGCTAGCTTAGATCTACTAGAAAATCACCCCCAGAAGACCATTATTTCAATATTGACATCTCAAGAGAGATGTTTCCTTTATACTGTTAAAGTAACATTTACATGGCTTTAGCAAGCCAGTACTAAACAGGGATGAGGGTAGCCTCAGGCTTTTTCATATCTATGATCAAGTGCTAAACAAAGGGTAGCTGAATTGACTACTGTGCACTGTTACCATCTTAGGTTTTTTGGTCTATATTATGTTTACCATCTCGTCACACTGTTTTCGACCTTTGTATACATAGGATTATAATACAGCCGGAAAAAAAAGTTAGTTGATTTCTTACCATCTCGTACACCATGTATGTCACTGCTAGTATGCTTCACACTGGTCATTTGTCTGATGAAGGTGACTGTGTAGTCATCGAAACATCACACTTTAGTCTTCTACTGGTCGCATTAAGAACTTCTTTTCTATTGCCATTACTAACCCGAAGAAAATGTTGCAAAATATTTACAAAACCTCTTGAATATCATTTTGGAAGTAGACATGTATTATCATATTTAAAATGTCTTCATTTCTTTTTCAGAAAAGTTCCTTGACGTTCCACAGATTCCCATGACAAGCATCCTGGTGGAATCGAAAACAGTGGTGATCAATGCTAAGTTATAGACATATATAGAGCCAGCATCTCTTGTGAAAATGTCAATTGTTTCAACTGTCCATGGAGACTAAATGTCATGACAGAGATGTTGTATTTTTTTGACACTTTTATAATCCAGGATTGCAATGTGACAAAAAACATCGAGAAGAAATAAAAAATTCAATCTTCTATATTAAAGTGGTACTATATCCAAAAACTTATATTATTGCATGATGGAATCATCAGAGTTTCACCTGTTAGCCATGAGTCTGTTAATCATCAGTCAATCTGTCCTCCAGTGCATCAATCTGTTGACTATGTGAATAGCTTTCAATACTCTGACTTGTTTTAGGGTAAAACACGCCAGCAGCCAGGTATAGACAAAATTAGAACATAATGCTGGTAAACCTGGTTTCAGGAGTTACTCTTTATTATTTTCTTTTTTAATTTATGATTATTCTTTTTAAGAGGGCTCTTGGGAACTTGGTAACTCTTGCAACCCAATACCTGTAACTGAACTATATATATGACATATAAATAAGCTTATGAGATGTTTATTCATGGAGATTTTTCTCCTATTTTGTTTTTTGTTTCTTTTATCTAACTGTTATATTGATTTTATTTATTTTTTGAAAAATAGAACCTTGTATCAGTTTACAGCTTATAATGATGCAACATCTTGTATCAATATACTCCGTCTTATAATTGTGTGTCGCTATACTCATTGTCTGACTATAAATATATTTAACAAATTAAGCAAATCAATGATTTTTGTACTGTAGTTCTTTTCTTGTTATCAAACCCTTAAATGAATTACTGGTTTTTGATTTGCTCATGAAGGGCATTGAATTAACTGGTGTAATGAGAAGATGACCTTGTATGACAAAAAATTGTGTTACTACACATGTTTGATTAAATTTTAGTGCAAAATTATCATTGAAAGTAAAATTATTGGCCAGTGCAATTCATGCTATGAATCCAGCAATGTTTTCATCTTGAAAACAACGGATCATAATTTAAACATTTGACATTTTCATTATATTGAAATCCATCAAAGGTTTCTAAGATTGAAAACGCAGCTATTTTTGTCTTTTCCTTTGAAATATATTAAGGTTTTTTTTACCTGTATAGAATCAGATCAATTGTATGTCATGATATGTATACATGCACAACAATATTTGAACATGTATATATACATTTATCTTTTGAAAGGATTATTAAATGTAAGGCTGGTCATGTGATTGTTTCATTTCTTGATGAAACAATGGTCTCATACTATAAGGTGTAAGTGATATTGTTTATAAGTGTGTACCCGAGTATATGTAGCATATATTTATTCACAAACTCTGTAGTGCTTTAAGTCGTTATGTATAATTCAATTGATTCCAAAATGATTATATTTCCAAGGATTGAATTTCAAACATATTCTGTTTCTTTAAAGACAAGACACATGTTTACTGCAATTTTAATGCAAAATGCAATCAAATAAGAACTTGGAAATCAATCTTCCTGTAACTATATGAAGCACTACATAGTTTTCGTTGTTTATTTATATAATCAAAGTCATCAAGTGAAGTGTGATATATTGAGAATATAATATTAACGACTTTCTCGCACGTAAAAATGACATTATTGTAAACTGTCATTACCTTATGAAATTGTTCATATATTAAAAGCAATTCATTCCAAGATGATTTCCAAAAAGTGATTTTGTAAACAAGACTTAATACTAAAAAACATATTTTTTCTCATGTGTTTGCATGTTTATCATGTACTTCATTCCAGACACTCCAATAATGATAAAGGTTAACATGGCCAGAAATGTATGACAGATGCCTTGTAACTTAGCAGTTAGCTCAATAACATCAAATACTAAATCAGCCAGCCAGCAGCCTGTGATATTATAGGAGTATATTCCAGATAAAGCATGGATCTTCCTTCTAGCCTTATAATTGGTATATTTCTTCTACCTGCTCAATGTTAGCATTAGGTAGATTTAAAAGGACTGTTGACTCGTCCTTGTGAAGAAATTATGGTAAGAAAATGCACAGGACAATATATCTGAAGTGATTCCTTTATAAATGTCATTCCTCTCCCACTGTTACGGATTGATATGTGAACCTGATTAATTCAGAAACCTGTTTATTCTGAATGAGAAATCCCTGTAGTGTTTGATACAAACAGGTTTTCAGAAAAGAAATCCCATTTTTCTTTTTTAGAGATTTTTAAATCTGTGTGTAGGACATTGAGTAATATAATGACAAGTGAGATGATTTTAGATTTTGAGTTTTTAAATAAGTAGTAAATCTGAAGAAAATAATTTATATCATTATTTTATACACAGTATGATTGACATTAGAGTTGTGAGCATGGTGAACATGGTTGTCATTGATTTTGATAGTATGTAAGGGAGTGTATTTTTATTGATCTATAATACAATAGATCAGTAAACATTGCAATGAAAGTATTTCTAGATAATTGCTCAATAAAGTATTTCAAATTGTCATCGTTTTATTCAACTCTTTACCTTATACTTGCTATTGGTAACAGTACAGTACCTTGCATGTATGAATTAAGATCCAATGGTGTCTTTAAAGTGAGAATATAGATCTATAACTAGTAGTGATTTATGACACATCATTTCATGACAGGACAGTTTTATCAATACAAAAGTAAAAATGTGATTTTACCAAATAGTGCCAATACACTAGAGATAATAAATGTAGGTTGAAAATATCATATGTAATTTGTTGTAAAAAAAAACACTTCTAGTTGATATGTAATAGAATATTTCAAATTCTATCATAAATATTAACTAAGTATGGTATGAAATCATTCATGTGTATATCTTGTTAAGGAGAAAACATTATTGGATCAAAATATGGAAATGTAGCTGTCCAAGAATAAAAAGTTGAAAAATAGCAAAAAACTCCAACAAAATCTTTCCATTTAATTAGATGCCATACACTTGATTAATCACAACTACATATAATTTTTTGGGGGAAAAAAAATTACTAAACCTACTTAGTCTCAAAGAATGCACATGAACAGAGAGGGGCAATTTCTAGGCAGGATAAAATAATGAAAATCCACGAGCAATAACTCTTCTGAAAAATATGTTATTGATTTTTTTTTTAAACATGTCAAATCATAATGCTATAGAAGAAAGCACCTCCACTGCTGATATGATTTTTAAAGGCTTTATGAGTGATCTGTCAAAAACAGACTTTCAGACAAGTTAAAAGTTTTGAAAATAGAGAAGAGCAATAATTCTCCAAAGCATTGATAAATTGAAATGCTATGAAGAGAACTACAACTTCACATCATGTAGTATAAAGAATTGATCAAGTTTCAAATAGATTAAAATGTAGTTAAAACTAAGCACTGACAGTTGGAGTGACAAATGAGCAATGCCATACAATAATACTTCCAATTAAAAAAGTTATTTTGGAGTTAATGGACTTGAAATGTCACTACAGAAAAGAACTGTACTTACACTGTAAGTAAAAGTAATATTGTATTATGCAGTCTCATTAGGTTTTGCCCAATTATCTTGGACCGATTAAATATCTCAATAACTTTACAATATGAGGACATCATTACACATTTATTAATAAAGTGATTTGATTCAATTCTTATATTCTTGTGGTAAAAATATTTTGTCTATATATTTTCTTGTGATTACAAACAAGTTTTTTAAAGAAATGAAGAATATCCACTTTTACTTCAATAACACATTGTTAAAAAAGTCTTTAATTCAAGCTGGGAGACTAATGTCCGTCAGTTATTTCTGCTATTTTTAAAGCCAATAAATATACATTTCTGATTCTCTTTTAACATCAATGCAGTGAGATAATATACATTCAAATAATAATCCAACACAGAGATGTACAAAATTCGTGGACATGAAACAATGTGCGTTGATTAAATTTGACCCTTATCTATTATTTGAACTGTTTTAGAATTATTCTTATTATCATCTAAATCAAATGAACTTACAACCAATATCACAGCTTTAATTGTTAAACTCCAGATCCATAAATTGCAACTCGTTTGTGTAACTAGGAAATAATTTAGTGATCGCAGCCACAAACGCGCGTTCATCAATAGTTATCTCCCGTATTCTACATCTTGTATGTTGAAGGCTCAAAACTTGACATGTGTAGTCGTGATTAAACAAAATCAGAAATAGACTGAAGTAACGTTCTTTATAGCGAACTTGTGAAAACGGTTTAGTTATGGCGTCATCAGCCGATGTCAATATCCTAATGGAGATGGGGTTTTCAAAAAACAAAGCGTAAGTCAAATGGAAATTATACAAATCGAGCTATGTATCAGTTGGACATAAATTCAGCGTTGGCGTTGTAACAGCTGAACAGGGCTACTTCGTCTTCATTTCTGTGTGTTTGTGGAAATATGCCGTATTTGACGACGGAATAAACATTATTTTCACAGTGTCCATATATAACAATAATGTTTTGGTTCTATGTTGATTATCTATCAGCAACTCTTACATATATAACTGATAACGGGTTTTTTTGGTAAAAATAGACCTAGATCAACTTTCATTAAGGACCGAGTCAGTATCATGACGTAATACTGTTACATCATTGTTAATTATATGTAAGATGTAACAAAAAATACACAAAAACAAAAATAGAAATGGAGATCAAAAGAGGGAGAACACCCACAGATAAACTATTTACTTTGAATAGCTTCGAGTGAAAAACTTGTCCAGTTCCCAGTAAATTTAATAATCATTGGCCTTTCATTGGTCAGAAGGGTTCTGACTATCTGCCTATTACCGTGAATACATAAAGATAAAATTATATGAGTAATGATTATTTTCAGGGAAAAGGCACTTGCAAAAACTAGATACCAAGGAGTACAACTGGCAATGGACTGGTAAGCATTTCTGATAGGTCATACAGTGTACTTACACACTGATTTTTGGGACTCAGATGTTTGAGTCCTGGGCTCATAATATTCCTATAGAACCCTCTAATTTTGAGGACCCACTATATGTAATGAGGCTCATCATAATTTTTGGAAATAGTGTTTTGAACTTGCCTGAAAAAAAAATCTACAAAAAAACATTTTTCGTTTAAAACTTTATGAACCTGTTTATTTTTTGTCCATGCCTCAATGGCGAATAATTTCTAATAATTGATGCAAGAAAATATAGTGGTGCACAAATAATGCTATTCAGAAAAGTTATTCTTTACCACAATTTGTGACAAGAATTAGAAGCAAATGTCATTGTGGTATATAAATCCTGATGTAGTGAGTGCAGATACTTGTATATGCACAAGAGGATTTAACGGATGGAGATATTATTTGATTCAGATGTATTACAGATAATTGTGAAAAAAAAGATGGCAGCAGCTCCTATTACTGTTGTATTCTGATGATATATACAAGTGATGGTCTTTTACAGGTTGTTTGCTCATGAAGATGATCCCGATATCGATGAACCATTTGAAGCACCACAAGGACATGTACTTGGAGGTAAATTCAAATACATTGATTCTGATAGTTTGTTTCTCTTCAGGTAAAAAGCCATTTGATGGCAATTGCTATTTAATATGCAACTAGCTTTAGGTTTTAATTTAGATTTTTAGGTCACCTAAGATACAGTCTCAAGGTTACTTATTGCAATACCCTTTGTCCAGCATCATCCATCTGTAAACTTTTTACATTTTTGACTTCTGCTGGAAACCCCCAGACCCAGAATCGATTTCTATGAAATTTGGCAGAAACCTTCCATAGATAAAAGGTTAACCAAAATTGTAAATAAAATGATAACCCCTACCATCAGGGGCCTGGAAGGCAGGGATGGTGAGTGTCAAATTAACTAAAATTTCCTTCTCAATACCAAAACATGGTAGAAACAGATACTTTTCATAGATGAAAGGGCCTTAAGCTGCTTTACTAAAATTGTAAATTTTATGACCCGAGGGTTGCTTTTCCCTCTGGGGAGGGAATATATTTAACTACAGTTTGAATAGGAAAAAAACACATTTTTTAGCATAATTTGTTTATTTACAGATATCTCAAAAATCTTCTTATTAATACCCAAATATAGCAGAATCAAGTACTGTACATGGATGGAAGAATTACTAAATTGTAAATTTCACGACTCCAAGACTTTCATTTTCCAGTATTCAAAATGAATATAAAGGTTTTATAAGCTGATTTAAATAATGTTTATAATGTTAAACTAAACATAAACAATAAGTGGTTCCAATACGTTAGTTTTCCATGTCACTCACTTGTCACTTGTCAATCACAATGTATATGTTTTACAAATGAACATCGGCAAGGGATCTTGATTACTATGTCCTTGTTTTCTATTAGAAATAGATCAAACTTGGTTAGTATTGTTAGTATAGAATAACAGTTTGATGAGATGCACATATTGTCCCTGGCTGACCCCGAGGGACTAATTCATGGGCCAAAAGATCAAATTGACAGAAATTTCAAAATCTTCTTATCAATACATAAATATTGTAGAATCAAATACTCTTGATGGTTGGAAGGGTCTTTTGGTGCTTTACCCTGCTTGTCTCACAGGGGCTGATGGGCAAAAGGAGCAAATTGACAGAAATTTCAAAAACTTTTCTCAATATCCAGTTATGATGGAATCAAAACACTCTTCATTGATGGAAGGGTGTCTACTGCACATTCATTTTCATTGTTTCCATTTGTGATTTTTCTCAGATGACTGTTTAGACCTCCTTGATCTATTCTAATAATTACCAGGTACTAAAATACAAACTGTTACAGAGAGCATCATCATATTAAAGTAAATTGAGCGTAATTTCATTGACTGGATATTGTTTGGTTAACACTAACTTGTAGATTTGGCTTGATATATTGTACATGTTCAAAACAGTTATTGCAAATGCAATGTATTTTATGTTCTGGACCTGTATTCATGAAACCATTGTCATGCTCAGGTATGAATTTTGTGCTCAAGCCTTATGTCTTGTTTGAATTAAGAATTGATAAATAAGGCTGATTTTGCCAAAGATTTAAAAATAATTTTGAAAGGACTTCAAGTCAAAGCTATATTCAATGTTTTTATATTTGACATTTGTATTATTTTATATGATTTAGGCGAATTATGAAAAAGTTTGCTTGAGCACAAAATCTATGCTTGAGAATGAGAATGGTTTCGTGAATAAGGGCTCTGGTGTTTGACATTAATGTTTTTGGTAGAATAAAATTGATGCGTTTTTTCTCTTTGTTTTTCGGCAAGGAATATTTCCCTTAAATGAAACTTGTAATACCATCTCCACATTTAAGTCATCAAGAACCTAATACTTCTTTTTCAGCTGCCACAGTTGCCACGGTTGCCACGCCTCAAACAGACGGCAGTGGTGATGTAAACATGGATGGTGTAGGTGAGCCTGAAGTGTCAGGGGAAACAGGAGAGACTGTACAGCAGGCAAAATCTGTCAAATGTGATGAGTATGTTATAAATTTTGGAATATCTGTTAATTGTCAAATACCTGATAGCTACTAAAAAAAAAAACAACAATACAAACACAATGTTTTTTAATTGGTGCCATATTGTGAAAATCTTCTTATGCATGTTTACTGGCTCTATCTTCCTGAGTCAGGATGAAATTTTATTTCGTGTTCATTTCATATAGAAATATATACTTACTTAACTACTTGTTTGGTTCAGTTGTGGGAAGTTGCTCAAAGGAGAGATGGATGCCCAAGCACATGCAGCCAGAACACAACATTCTCAGTTCTCAGAGTCAGTAGAAGAAATCAAACCATTGACGGCTGAAGAAAAGGCAGAGCAATTGCGAAAGTAAGTTTTTCATCGAATGTTTCTTAGGTATGGTATATTCAAGACTCTTTAATACCTGGGTATGTATGTATATGTAGGACAGGGTTATTCCACCCTAGGATCATAAGAATTGGTTAAGTCTGAGGTTTTACATACATCTTTTTTTTATTTGTTTTTCTTTTTAAAACTAAATTTTCATTTGTAAATAAAAACATTTTATATGTACTTGAAATCTTTCTGAGGTGTTTCCTGTAAAAAGTAACCATTGGATATAGTTCTTTTATTATTGTGCATGTGAGACTGTATTCCCACGTCAGATATGTAATACACAGCTTGTAGACATTGGTGTATTGTCTTTTATAGGCTTATATTACACAGGTGGAAATAAGATGAAATCTTTATTCTGTGTAAACATTTCTAGAAAGACAAGGGGATGGAAAAGACTATAAAAATTGTAACTGAACTTTAGTGAAACAGAAGTGATGAAAAATGTGACCACTGAGGTCACAATTCATATGTGTGAAAAGGAGATTTAGTTGTGATAAGCATTTTGATTAAAGGTTACAGGAGAGAATGAAGAAGAACAGACTTGAAAGAGAAGAGAAAGAAAAACAAGATGCACTGGCAAGGGAAATACAGAGGCGACAGTCTGGTAAAATGATTGTCAACACTAAACAAAAGTAAGTTGTTGTGAGAATATATAACATAAACACACATTAAAATGACAATCATATCCAGGGCTTTGGAGAGGGGACAGAAATTCCATACCAGTTTTTATTAAGTTAACTTGCTTGATGAGCAACTGAGCTTATGCTGTTGTGTGGTATGAATCAAAATATTTTCCTTTGCCTTGAAGAAATGATATTGGACCTGCAGCAAGCTGAAGGGCTACAATGTTGTTCAAATAAATGACATTGACCAACCTTCAAGGTCACAATGGCCAAATGTTTTAAAATCTTTAAATGACTTCTTTTCAATAACCAACATGCCAAGGGTCATAATTGGGACAGTAACATGTATGGATGAAGGCAACCAAATTTCTTTGTTCATAAAATACAAAATGGCTTCCAGACGACCATTTTAGATTTGGCATTGTTTCTTCAAAGGAATGTTAAATTTTTTTATCATTAAGAGCAAAAACAAAGAAATGAAATGAAGGTTAAGATCCAACTTTCAAAGAGCAAATAAGATCAAACAATAGTAGGCACCAAGATCCCTCTGGGATCTCTTGTTGTAATTCCCAAAATATTTTGATTGGGAATATATGTACGCAGTGCTGGTCTGTCTCAGTTCTGATAAGGTTAAAGATAAAAATTGTATTGGAAAAAACTTTTAAGGTCACATTAGATTGAAGGTCAATTTTGTTATCTGGTCCGTGAATTCTGCTACACTGAAAGTTTTTCATCAGAATTTTTTGAAGGATGACTTAGCAGTGTGAGATGTATCATAAAGAAATTATGTCTGCACTTTCTTATTGCAATGCTTTTCCATGAAGATTATTCAATCAGTTTTAGTAATTTTATCTTCTTTCATCATAAAGATAATATATCTGAAGAAATTGGAAAATTGTACTTCATCCTATTCATTTATTTTGCAAAATGGTTTTCTACTGGAAAGTGTTTTCAGAGGTAGAACACTAAATGAAGTAAGTCAATAAATACAGATGTCCAATGTACCTGTGTTTCAAACATTTAGATCCATATTGTAAACTGAGAGTGACGCTGTGATAATGTTGTTACACACTGTCACTTTGACTGATGATTTCCATCTTATACAGCACAGGTCTACATCTCTACTTAATTTAACATTTTCTTCCAATATAAAATCATAGTTATTAATAATAGGATAGAGGAAGCAGAGATGAAAAAGATCGCAGAACAGCGACAACGAGAGAAAAGAGAAGATATGGAAGCAAGGTTGGTACCATACACTCTAGTTTCGATAAGTTCTTGACTGTTTTTATTCTTAAAATTTAGGAAGGCAAAACGATTATTACTTTTATTATTAAAGTGATCGCCTATTGTCAGACATCTGTCATGCATTGTAGACAAATTATATTTTCAACATCTTCTCAATAACCAAAAGGCACAGGATGCTTGAATGAAGGCCTATCATGTTTGTGTTTAATGGATGACCTTGTCCTTCATTCAAAGTCACAGTTATCGTTTCTATGTAATCAAAAATTAAGTCTTCAATCTTAGAAACAATAAAAACTTTGTAAGTATGGATATATCAGTTCAGTCGTCTGTGCCAATGCTGGGACTGATGGACAGGTTCTAAAACTGTCCAAAGACCGAAAGACCTCGGGTGACTGTTAAGACCCATGGGCCTGTTGTCATAGATTATCTTACATCCTGTTTATATGGATGTCATTTTGAGAACTATTCTTCGTTAATATGATTTATAATTTTGATATTATTTTTTCATTAATATGGCTTAGGATAATCACATGATTAACTTGTAATAATCAAGATAGAAACATTTTCTGTATTGGTTAACTCATGTGCTATCCACTCTCCAACCATTCATTGGTTCATAATGATGATAGACAGACATAACTGCTAGTGCTAGCATCATACTTTGCATGTTACTGAAAGTTTGAAGTTGATATTACTGTAGAGAATAAAATCAGTTTTATACATAGTTAGAAGCCAAGTGGAAAACTGAATCATGCAACCCATTAAGATGAGGTGAAGAAATTTTGTTATGTTTGATAAGAAATTGTGCACAAGTATTATTGTTATTATTTAATATCATACTTATGGAATTTCAGTATATATTGGTTTTATTGAATTTCAGACGGAAAGTGAAGGAAGCCATAGAGCGTGATAAGGCTGAGAGAGCAGCAAAGGTAACCATCAATATGATTTCTGCCAAAATCTACTGCTTGTACACACTCTTCTTGTGTTATTGAGGGAGAAATAACATTAATTGTCATAAACATTCCTCAGTCACAACTAACTAACATTTAGTTTTACTGATTCTATAATAAATTCAGCATTCCTGATATTGTTTTACCAGGAAACCTTTTTACAAGACAATCACCTGATTAGAATTACCAATTATAGTAAAGGTAACTGGTCATTAACTTACTATGTGGTTGGAATAATAGCTCAAAGTCAGAAAAAGTGCCAAATAAACTCATCTCCATTGAAGACACAACACAGAAGCTGTAAATGACTATCTCATTGGTTTTAGAAATAATGTTTAATTTCAGAAAGCAGGACTTCTTTTTCATTTTAAGAAATAACATTTCTTTTTCATAGTTGTATATAGTTATATCAGGATGTGGTTCTCAGAATACTGGTAAGAAATGAACAATTTTCAAGCATTAAAGTCTGTGAATGAGACACCTGTCTCTACTGATTAACCTTTATTTTATTATTAGAAAAACAAACCAAATGTGTCTCAGACAGCAGCTGCACAACCTACACCTGCTGCACCTGCGGAGAAAAAAACCTACAATGATTGTCAGCTCCAGGTAAATATACCTGTACTGAATGTCAAATATACAGTGAAAAATTCTCATAATACAAAACTGCTCCAAGTCAATACATCTGTACTGAAAGCTAAGTAATATTGCAACATTTCTAGGTACTTGTACTGAATGTCAGATAAAAGATTTTTGTAACATCTACAAAGTGTTTTCCATTTTTGATGTTCAAGTACCTCTTATAATAAAGGATTTTGAGCAGCTGGTCATTGATGTCATTCAAGTACAAGTGCTATTATAATCAAACCTGGAATATAGTTATATTGTAGTATGGACATTTAAACTAACCAAATAGATTACACAATTCGTTTTGTGTTTTTTTTTCTTTGGGAGGTGGGGGGACATTTAGCTTAAAAATCACCTTACTAAGTGGAACAGGCAGAATACATGAAAATGGGTAACGTTTGTTTACATTTTTTATTTACTATCACAAGGACAGTAGAGAATTCTATGATTTCTTCTTTCACAGATTCGACTTCCAGGTGGAGACACCATGAACCACACCTTTTCAGCCAAGGAGCCCCTAGCAGCTGTACGCTTATACATCGAAATGAACAAACCAGAATTTGGAGCTTTTAATTTACGCCAAAATTTTCCACCAAAAGTCTATCAAGCAGAAGATTATGAAAAACCATTAGACCAATTGGGTAACTAAATGTGATGTTTTAAAACCATTAGACCAATTGGGTAACTAAATGTGATGTTATAAAACCATTAGACCAATTGGGTAACTAAATGTGATGTTTTAAAATTTTCTGTTTTCTCTTATTCAACTTCCTTTGTTCAAGTCATCCTTCAACTAGGGTCCTTCATCCATCCATTTGGTTTTAAACAATACCTGTTGTCATTATTTCTTGAGAAGTACTTGATGGATCATTTTGAATTTTATTTGAAGGTTTCCCTCGGTCCCTAGTTTTGCATCGTCTTGTTATGGGACTGATCTGAGATGCCAGCCTTGAATTTTGGCAGTAATGGTTTTTAATCATTTTCTTGCATGGATCAATTTCTAACTTCACATGTAGGTTCCCCTTGATTCCTAGTTGTGCATTATCAGATGGTGGGCTTTTCAAATCATCCTTCATCCATTGTCAATCTTCTGTCCATTTATCTGTCTTTAACTTGTTCTTGTTGTCACTTTTCTTGAGAAGAACTGGATAGATCATTTTCAAATTCTCTATGTAGATTCACCTTGGTCCCAAGTTGTACATCGTCCCAACTTGGGACAGATCTGAAAAACAAAGTGGCCAACAGGTTGCCATTTGGATTTTTTTTAGCTTACCTGGTCCAAAACCTTGTTGGGTCTATAGCAGAGGGACATGGCCCAGTAAATGAAATATGGCAAATAATTAGAATCCTACTCCTCCTGTAGGAATGATTGAATTTTGCCTTAATTTGGTCTAAAGCATCGTTGGGTGAAGGGGGAAATAATTTTGAATAAACAGTGAGTCTTGGCCCCTTTGTGGGATAAGACCCAATAGGGGAAAAAACTAATTCATTAAATCCTACCCCTTGTGTAGAGAAAGTGAGATACATCTTCAAACCAAACTTGACTGAAATCCTTTCATATTTAGGATGAAACCAAAGTAGGAGGGATGGCCACCCCAAATTGATATCCCCCTTATTCTTAGAAAAGCAAGGAGAGAAAAACTTCTTTGACTTGGTCAGAGCTAATGAAAATCCTCCTGGGATCAGCCATTTTACCTGTAGCTACCCTTTTATTAAGCAAATCAGTTTTGTTTTCTCTGTTTTTCCAGGACTTGTACCAAGAGCTAATCTACTGGTGGTGAAGAAGTGAAGCTGTGATATATTTTTAGATACCAACATGACCCAGTACATTTCCAAACTTACTCTCATGGAAGAAGTGGCAGATATAACGCATCAATTGTGTAAAGGACTCTGACATTTGTTCAATGCTGATAGTACTTTCTGTGAAAGTTGTTTTTATGTTTATCTAAAAATTTATAAAATCCTTGTTTGTCACAACTGTGTCTGTACTAGCAGTATGATAACTGAACATATGTGTCTAATAGTGTATACATCGACACATGTATATCATAAATTATACATTATACATGTGTTTGTTGAACTGAGAGAATCATCCATCATATGTGTCGATGCCCATGCGTATTGCTGTGATTGTGAACAAATTATGTATTCAAGAAAATGTGGCTTATTTGGTCATAAATAAAATGCTTCTTCTGTACTGTATGAATTAAGCACTTTTTCTTCACATTTAATAAAAAAAAATTATGTTGTAGAAATGAAATCCTATTTATCTGTATTTGGAGAAGAGAATTTTTTCACAAATACATGTGTATTGTACTAAAAGAATACTTCAGAAATTTGCCTTTGTCTCCAGTAACATTGATTGCCAAAACATAACCAATGATCAGCATAAATTTAAATGCAGAAGTACAGTGATAAATCGATAAATTTTGTGAGAGATCTCTCACCACTCTTCTGCGCAAGTTTTAAAGAGGAAGGCCATTGCTGCCAACCTCTAGTCATTTAAGGTCTGGCTATAGTCCTTCAAAATCAAGGATGATAGAGTGCTTTAAGTAAATAAATAGACCTTAAAGTGTTATAAATTTCTTTATGTACAATGTATGTATTAAGATGAAGTTTAAGATTTATTTTAACTGTAATAGATTCAAAAATTGATCTTGATTTTCCAGCTCTCCTGACTCAGTATACATGTACCAGTGTCTGGTGTCTGTCTGTCAGCTTCCAATCACTATTAGTCAGTCCCCACAGGTTATCTAACCAGACTCTGAACAACCTTGCTCCAGTTGTTCAAAGGCTGGTTAGATAACCTGTGGTTAGTGAAAATTTTCAAATAGGAATTAATAGAATTGGGAATATCATTTATCATTTCACAGCATTGTGTATGGATCTGCTAGACCTTCACATCTCAAGTTATTAGACATTGTTCAACACCAAGGTCTCAGGCTTACTCTCAGAGCTTTTAAGACCACACCTACAGCAAGCCTTTATGTAGAGGCTAACGAACTATCACTATATAGCCGTCAAAATGAATTTGCTTTGAAACACACCATTCAGCTAAAGTCAAATCCTTCGAATCCTGCTTTTTCACTTGTATTTGATCCAAAATATAAAACCTTGTTTCAAAACAAACCAAAAACCATTCCATCTTTCGATATTTGAATTTCTGCTCTTTTACAAAACACAAATATTGATATTGACCATATTCAGTCATTTGGAATGATAGAAATTCCACCCTGGCTCTTGAATCCACCTGAAGTTGACTTTTCACTTCATGAAATGGTTAAATCAGACACAGACAGTTACAACTTTCGTTCATCCTTCTCGAAATTGCAGTTAAAATATAAAACATTTCTTCATTTATATACCGATGGTTCAAAAGATAATGATTAGGTTGCCGCAGCCATGGTTACACAAGATGAAACCTATGGATGCCGGCTACTGTACAATGCCTCAGTATTCTCGACGGAAGCGTGAGCTATCTACCTCGTCCTTGAATATATTCAAAGAAACAAAGTAATGAGAGATGTTATCCATTCAGACTCTCTTTCTGTTTTACAAAGTCCTAGCAAAAGAAATATCGAAAATATTTTCATTCATAATATATTAATACTATAACATGAACTTGCCTTTAACTTTCGTATTGCTTTTTGCTAGGTTCCTGGGCACATGGGAATACCAGGCTATGAAAAAGCAGATCATGAAAACAAAATTGTTGACAGGCCATTTTGGATTTTGACTGAAAAGATTGTTATTGCTATTTCTTGAGAAATACTTGATGGATCTTTTTTAAATTTCATGTAGTTCCCCATTTGTCCCTAGTTGTGCCCATTTGATTTTGGGTCTGGTGAGAAAAAAAGGCTGACATGCTGCCATCTTGGATTATGACTTTGCAAGTTTGTTTCTGCACTTACAGTGCAAAAAGCAAATAGATCTTTCTCAAATTTCATGTATGTATTTCCCTTGATCCCTAATTGTGCCTGTTTGATTTTGGTAGTGATCAGAAAAAAAATTGCCTACAGGCAGCCATCTTGGATTTTGCTTAGAAAATTTGTTATCGCTTTTTCTTGAGATATACTGCATAGACCTTTCTCAAATTTCATTTATAGGTTCTTCTTGGTCCTTAAGAGGTGTCTGTTTAAGTTTGGGACTGATCAGAAAAACAAAATGGCTTACAGACAGCCATCTTGGATTTCGCCTTGTAAAGATTGTTATTCCTATTTCTTAAGAACTACTGAATGGATCTCTCAAATTTCATACGTAGGTTTCTTTGGCCACTGCTTATGCCCATTTGATTTAGGGACTGATGCGAAGAAACAAAATGGCTTCCAGACAATCATTTCAGATTTGGTAGGTAAATGTTATCATTGCTATTTCTGCAAAGGGATGTTAAAATTTCATATCATTAAGAGCAAAAACAGAGAAGAGAAAATAAAGAGCAAATAATGATCAAACAATGTTGGGCACCAAGATCTCTCTGGGATCTTTTTTCTGATGGTATTGTTCCTGAACGAAGAAAATTTCAAGATATATTTAGTATGTAAGGCAAATTTTTCACTCAATTCCATGCTTTCTCTATACTTTGTTACCAGAAGTGGCATTCATGATGCACAGGCACATCTAGGTTTTTAGCCTACCATCATCAGGACCCAGCTGTTCAAAACTCTGTTTTAAACAACCAGGTCTTGATGTTGGCCCAATTCATGTTGCCCTACATCTGTGGTCAATCTGTCCATAAACAATTTGTTATTGATGGATCTTACTCAAATGTAAGTTCTCCTTTGTCGTCTTTGTATCTTTGACTTTGTATCAAAAATTGTTGTTGCTATTTCTCGAGAAGTACTAAATGGTGATTTTTCTTATTTCTTATGTACATTTTGGTTCATAGTTGTATCCTTTTGATTTTTGGACAGGTTAAAAACACAAAAATTCCTGAAAGCAACCATCTTGGATATTGCAGTTAAAGATTATTATCGCTAGCTATTTCTTAAAAGCATTTTTAAATTTCATAAAGTTAAGGGCAAAAACCAATGAAAGAAAAGACAAGTAAATTCAACGTTTGAGGGGCAAATGAAGATCAAATAATAGTTGATGCAAAGATCCCTCTGGGATCTCTTGTTAAAAGCAACTAGAAACACATTCATGTAATTTGTGTTATGTTGGTGTCTTTAATAATGGAAAAATGAAAATAGTAACAATATGTACATTGATATGTTGACAAGTGAAAATGCAAGAAAATAGTTATTGAAATAACATGTTTTAACACAATTTTTTGTGAAATGTGAGGGTAAAAGACAAAAACAGGTTATATAAATATATGTTCCTTCAATTTCTGAACGGAAACACTAAGAACCAACTCTTACATCACATATATACAAACAAATAAATGATATGGATTTCTGATCATCTTAACCGTGGAACTCATTTACAGGAAGTCAAGCATTCCAAGTATTGTGCATGCTGCTGGCAAATGCATGGCACTGTCCTGTTATTCATTAGCTCATAGGGTTTTGTTCTCAAAGTTCTGTATGATAAGTGTCTTATAATAAATAAAGTCTGTATTTACAGTAATCTATCAACTATAATTAATTAGACAGAATGAGTATTGCATAGAATTTTAAAATCAGTTTTACAGAGTTGTTCATTGATATTTAACAGTCTTTGAATGAATTTTCCACTCCACACCATTTCCACACTGGTCAACACGGAATGGAAAAAGTAGTTGAAAGGGGATTTTCCAAATGGATCCAAATACTGAGCGAACATTCTCTAGAGACGTCCTTCTGTACCAAGGAATTCCTTTCCAAGCTTCATAAGATGTCAAACCAGCACAAGCCAATATGATCTGCCAACCCAGGAAAAATATGCCGCCACACAGACACATGAAGCAAAAGAAAACATGAACAATAAGTAACAAATTGAAAAAGGAAATGTGTCCCATTAACATATATGCGAAACCTATCATAGGAATGTATGCTAATCCATCCCAGGAGAATACTGGAATGGTTTGTGTGGTATAGGACAGTTGTAGAAACAGGGCATACAGGTTGCCCCACACCATGTATGCACAAAACATGACGAAGAAACGCTGATTGTAAAAACCAACACAAGAGTTGGTGAAGAAACAATGATGATCTCTCTTGAGTACACAACGGTTACATAGGCGGCAGTGATGGGATCTAGGAGGAGCATCAACCTGTGAATAAAATCCAAGACTTTTTTTAGTAAATCGATCATATACCAGATAAATAAATATATAATACTTGCATATAATAATTGTATTAAAATATGGCTTACCATAATTATCTTTACATTTTTTAGTAAGAATATGACAGGAAGTTTAATCAGTTATTGCTCTATGGGAAAATTTATTTCAACTTGCTGGTTAAATTTTAGACAACTCACCTGACATTTGAGACAGTTGATCCAGCCGGGCGGGGTCTCTGATACCCCAGGAAACGTTTCCTCTTTGATTTCGCTCGTCACGAAGTTATTTTGGCCAAAAAAGGTACCCATCCAATTGATGGAACACTCAAATAGTGTAAACCAAACCAGGGCTGAGGCTATTACCGTTGACCACACGTCTCCCCAGTACAACATTGGCACGAGAAAAAATTGACTTTCGAAAAACAAGGAAACGACCATCCCCCAGAAGAACATCTGTCCATATCTACTTGCATCTTTTTCATCTGTTTGAAAATTACGATTGTGATAATGTGTCTTTAACTTTTCTTTTAGAGTAGATCCTGTATTCCTCTCTCTGAGCTCCATGGTGTCCACGCTTACTTGGAAGGCGAAAGTCTCAAGTGAAACCGGAAAGTATGGTTACTGCGCAACTTTGTCAACACGCTAAAGGGAGCAGTCGTTGATAAATTTCACCAGAGCACACCTATAAACATTCTGGATGATCTGCTCATGAATATATAACATGACTTTAAAAAAGATACATATAAGCATATCTTTCATTTTCGAATGAAAATGTGGCTTTGAAACCAGTCATAGAAATATCGGTAATATGTGTGGTATTTATTGGCAATTAACCTATCCCGCTGTAAACAAACTTGGCGAGATAAAACACGTGGAAACATGATATTTCGCCTGATTCGGTTCGGTTCGGCGCGCAGGCCGTGACTAGCCAGATCAGCGTACCCTTAAGTCCGTGATACTGATTTTACAAATAATAAGATACGATTTCACACCTAGTGACATTATTCTGTTATTTGTCCATACTGGATAAAGCGGTTTTGAAGTGAAAATGCCAAGGCCACGCACATCAATATCATTTCAACACGTGTTGAGAAAAAAACATAAGACGCTAAATACCTAAAAATGATATTATTTACATACAGGTTGATATTTTTAATTACAAATACAGACATAAGTGAGAGAAATCTAAGACACGTGTGAATAAAACCAATTATACCCAGCAAACGTACACTGATTCACGTTACAAAAAACATCAACAAATATGTATTCAGATATCTATAACGTTAAATAGTCAGGTTTTTTAAAACTACCCAGTCTGTCTACAAAGAAAAAGGCTAGCAAGTACGAAAAACGAGGCCATGAAAAAATATTAGTCTAAATGAATACCTTCCGGTCCCATTGAAACCCTATATAAGAGGTTTTAACCAAAGATTGTATGCCAACGAGGGACTTTTTTCATTCAAGCGATGATATCATAATTTTTAAATGAATGAGGACATGCATGCATGCATATGGTCAAGATATTGTTGCGAACAGTTACAGAAAATTCTAAAGTCAAAGTCTGGGATATTCAAAATTTTATTGTTAAAATTCTTAAAATTTACACCTGTTTTTTATATCAAAGGGAAAAAAAGAAAAACAAAACACACACAGTTCTAAAGCTTCTATAAACCAACACCATAATCAGTTATAATCTGTACACGACAAGTTCCCGGAAAGGGTCAGGGTGCCTGATGACAGGGCTCCAAAGGGGTCACAAAGTGCATGATCGACCACTGACATTTTGAGAAAAACATTTTTTTTCCAACTGATGTTATTGAGTTGAAATTTCGTGAGGATCTTTAGAAACACGAACAAGAAAATGTGTTTTTCGTCTTTGAACATCTGATAGTTCAACAAAATAAACAGTGATTATTACATGTACAACATACACAAGTTATTCATACAAAATATAATAAATTAAAGTAAGATACACCTCGCCGCAGCAACCGTGAGCGTGCCCAAACAGGAATCCATTCCTAGACTGAGATTCGTGATGGGCGGTTATTGGCGAATTCTGCTTACTACTGGATAAGTACTATAACTTATAGTATAAGATTTCACTGGAGTGTGCACGAGAAAACTAATAACAACGCAGATCATTAACAAAGTACAATAAACATAACTTCAATCTAATATACTGAGTCAAGTCCGACTTAAGGTACGTTTTTATAAGAAATCAAAAACAGGAACTGAAATTTTACAGATTTATTCACTAGTTTGTTAAAATTGCAATTAAACAAAATGTGGCTAGATTTCATTTAATAAAATTCACAGCTTCTATTAATCTATAATTCAGCCTTTAACTATACACCAAACGAAAATCATATTTACTCAAAACTACCACTTGGAACAACTGAAAACTATATTTACAATTGTATGGTTAAATAAGAGACGTATATATAATGTTATATATGTCCCTATTTAAATGCGTGACAAGTTTCATTATATAATATTAAGAAGTTACCTCCCTTGCCAGAAGTTTTCTGAAAACGTGCGTTCGTTGAACGAAATGCGGAAGCCATGTTGAAAATTTAAGCGGCACAAAGATATATAACAAAGGAAAAAAACTGACTTACTGGAAATATGTTGCCAATCGGTAAGTCTGTCGATAAATTTGACGAGGGAAATATATGTGACCGTGATGACTTTGATTCTTCCTCTTCGAACATGGATTTTTTTGAAGAGGACGAAACTGACTCGTTTGATTTATTTGACGGTCTGTTAGACAAGGAAATTGACAACAAATGTGCGTCGAAAAAAGCCAACGATAAGGTGCACTCAGTCGTCCGTGTGTTTCCTAATGGTGACATTGAGGAAAAGCAAATAAATTTTGCCACTCTCAGGACATACGAAGAAAAAGAACTGGTCAATTATTTAGGCAACGGAAGTCGGGGACGTCATAGTTCGATTTCCAGTGCAAGCAGAAAACGCATGCGATCAGGCTCGGATACAAAAGACGATATGAACACAAGTTCTGAAGTTTTTTTAAAGTCGACCGAAGGTGCATGTATGTCTAAGAGTGCTATTGCAGCTCGCGAGAATCGTAAAAAGAAAAAGATGTATACGCAAGAATTGGAAACAACAGTAGAAAAACTCCAGGAAGAAAATACAGGTCTCAAAACGAAAAACAGCGTGTTGCAGACGTCATTGGATCAGATGGAAACTGAAGTTCGATATCTGAAAAGTGTAATTGCAAACCAAACAACATTGGCACATTTGATAAGCAATATTCAAAATACGCCAGGTGTTAAATTCCAGACTTCATTAGCAGTTGATAGATACAACAAAGAAAATATTAAAGATGTCAATGAAAATAGTGTTGAAAAGACTGTTAGGGTTCCAGTAGAAACGAAAAGCCGTCAAGAAGAATTTACACAAATAAGAAAAAAGAGTGCAAAGTATGGACAGCTGAAAAAAGATGCTAGTACATGTATGTCAACAATAAAGTCGGGGAAGAAAGATGACCAGTGTACGTCGTGTCCCTCTTCAACAATACTGGAATACAGTTCCAGTGAAAAGGAAGGTCCAACACCAGCTGGTGTTTGTCTTCATGTTTCTGATGGAGCTGTGTCTTTTGAATTTTGTGCAAAATGTGCTTCAAGTGCTGCATTTGCTAAGGCTATCACCTGTGACCATTCCTATGGAAAGGTTCAGGGAGAAGGATGAATTTTTACCTTAAAATATGGTCGGTAATTTGACTACTAGTAATTTTGGTGATTTGTTCATGTCATAAAATGTTTGTGGAGGTAATTTGATTACTCACTTCAGTATGATAGAGTCAAATGAAAACATTGTTGAAACTAAAATTCATTAAGAAGAACTGAAAGACTTTGCTTTTTGATGTCAGAAATTGTGTTAAAGAAATGCAATGCAGTAGAACATTTAAGAACAATTATAATATTATGTTTATCTGCAGGCTGAAAATTAATGTTGTTTGCAAATCAAACTAATTAATATTTGCATATGGATGGGGTGACTACATTTTTGATACATTTTTCCTTCTTTTTTGATGATTATTTATTGGAAAAAATTCTATACAATTATATTTGCATTTCCAGCATTACCAGTGCTTGGTTTGAGAAAAATGAAAAAGTCAACATGATTAGGAACAGTCTACTACTAAGCAGATTGCTTTGGTGGAGTATACTATACAATGAAAATGGTCGGTGTCTTTTTGAAAAGAAAAATCTTGCATCACCTTTGATTAACTTGAACATTTAAACTTTGACTGCAATTTGAAATAAAGAATATTGATACATGAATTTCAGGAATTTTCTGAATTTAAGAAGAAAAAAAGAAAATTACTTTTCACATTGCTAGGAGTGAAACAAGTTGTTATGAACAAGATTATTTACTTAAGCTTGCTCAGAGTTTGTGTATGTTTGAAATTAATGTCAATATAAGATAGAGATTTCAACATAACATTGTATAGCTAATCAAATTGGTATCCCCATAGCATTAAATTCTCCATACATAATTGATAATACTTTGTGTATCAGTTTCATAATTACCAGTATGTATGGAAAAATATTTTATTCCTTACCTTTCTAGCTTCCCTTCTTTCTTTCTTTCTCGCTTACCTTCAATCTTTGATCTAAAGAAAAAATGGGGGATGGGGTGGAAGTCATCATCTGAAATGAATGAATTGGCATTATTTTCATCATTATTGAGTTTTGATTTTTTTCATTTTTCTTAGTAATTTTGAATGAATTATCAGGGTTTTAAAAAAAATGTAAAAACATCTTATTGTTTTTCGAAAATTAGAAATGATTTCTGTAAAACTTGACATACTAATTACCTTTTAATGCAGATATCTTATTAAAAAAAAAAGAAAGAAAATAATGCGGGAAAAATACTGTACATTTCAGGTGATGAGCTACAATATTACTTAACATGATTTGTACTAAAATGTGATTTCAATTTTTGTTTCAGTTGATGTCTTTATTCTCTGGTCAGAGAAGCGATTCCTATATACTTCCTTACTGTAAAAAAGATACTGAATGAAAATGGTAAGGTGTTTTAAAAACTTTTTTTATGCAAAAATTTAGTCACCCCAAAAACTTAACATTATTACATTTTATGTACTTAATTCATTACTTTGCACAATTTTGAAGCAACATGCACTCATAAAAAAAGAACCATGTGAATGTGCATTAGGAAGCAGAAAGGGATTCAATTGAAAAAACACAAACTGACAATGTTTTTATTGATCATTAATGAAAAAATAAGAAAAAAATGGAATTACAAGGTTTTAATTTACAAAGTAAAATTAATTTTTAGCCCAGGAATCATCTGTTTTATTTGAAATGTATAGGGCGTTTCAGAATTTTCTTAACTCAGTGGTTCTCTTAAAACAAAACAAACAAATATTTTGTACTGTGATCAAAATTCTTTGTTCAAATGAAGTACTTATCTTCACATGTAACTTGTTGAGATTCACATGACAGTCAGATAAACCATAAAAATGATTTATTTGGTTCTTCTCATCATCATAAAATATTCATTTTAATTATTCATAACTGCACTTAAACAAGTAGGATTATCAATTTGAATATCGGAAAGTTTTCATAGATACTGGCTGAGATAAAATGAGGTGTTGTAACTGATACGTTTTTCTCTAGAATATGTATTATGCACATTTGCTTTGTTGGCAAGATAAAACACACATGGATACAAGATATTTCATCTTATTTGGTTCCCATTTCAATGCGGAGGCAGTGACAAGCCAGATTAATGTACCCATAAGTCTGTGATACTGATTTAACAAATAATAAGATACAATTTCACACCAACTGACATTCTATTATTTGTGCATACTGAATAAAGCAGTTTTGACGTGAAAATGCCAAGGGTACACACATCATTTCAACAGCATTCCTGTTGCGAAAAAAACATAAGAAGTTAAATACCTAAAAATGATGATATGTATATACAGGTTGAAAATTTTAATTACAAATATAGACAGAAGTGAGAGAAACCTAAGACCATTTACGCCCAGAAAACGTGCACCGATTCACATTACAAAAGCTTAGATAAAATGAGCTGTTGTAATAGATACTTTTTCTATAGAATATTTGTTATGCTCATTTGCTTTGGTGGCAAAGGCTTACTGTGCATCTCTAATTTCACATGTAAATATATGCAGTTGAGTGAAAATGAGCCCAAAGTATTTCATCTGATCATGATTGCTACATTTGTGTTTTGCTGTAAATATTTTTGTCTATGATTATATAATGAATGTATTGCATTGTTTAAATATCATTCCCCCTACTATCAGTTTTTCATTTCACCACAGTAAATCATGCATTTTAAATGATTGTTTTGTAAAGAAAAATGTATTGTTTGGTATTAGTTAATTTTGTTGGCATTTTTTAAAAGACTTGTACACATGTCATTACTGAATATACTAGATATAATTAGACTGGTACACATTTGAACTTTTGATAGCAGTTTAGTTTGTACTTTTTCATGGTGCTGAACCAGCAGTGGAGAGACAGAAACAGCTGAACTTGTAATGAAAAGCTGGGTAGTAAGTATGCAGAATGACTGGATGAAAATAGCAGAGGAAAAAAACCAAAATCAGCATTGATGGGGAAATTGCATTAAAATTGTAACTTTAGTTGGACTGCATTGTAAACAAATCAAGTTTTTGTCAGTTAATGAAGTAACAAAAAGATCATCAAATGGTCAGTGATATATAACACAGGTTTTGAGGGATACAGAATTGGCAGTAAAACAAGGGTTTGATGACCTACAATTGTACAGGATATGGAATATAGAACACATTTTGATACTAGATGATAGGATCCAATATATTTATTTTCTGGTGTATTGTAATGGTTGGTAAATGTTGATAATAATAGTTGTATAAAAATTAATATTGTGTTTGTTTTGTTTTTTTTATCCTAGTACTATGTATTAAAATTACTCCTATTGTTGCCTGATCTGGACTCCATTAGGTAGTTTTGTACCAACGTTGCTTAAATGTATGTTTTATTGACTTAGATAAAAAGAAAGAAATGTGTACACTTCAGTTATATTTTTTCGCAATGGAAAAACGATTCTGAAAATTCAAGGTCCAATATATGATAAAGCTTCCTAAATTTGTTTTGTTAGCATTCAAGAATCTTTTGACACCAAATACATATGTATGATGGAGAAATCCAAGTTATGATGGAGTATTACACATGTGTAAATGTAATACATATGAATACATTTGCATAAATGTGGTAGTGGTGCCAAATGATTTTGGACTCTTCATTTTATGCTTGTGGTTCAGAATTTTGTAATAGAAAGACCAAAAGCCCTTGACATGTGTATCAAGGCTCATTAGGCCTGCCTTGCTCTCCTAGTATTCAATGATTCTTTCAAAACATTTACATTTCTTATTATTTATCATCGACGAGAGTCTAAATTATATTCTTTAGACTATTAGTCATTTAGACTGTTGGATCCTTTGGAAAACAAATTTGCTCCAAGAGATGGGTTAAGGTAATTTCTTTCAGCAAAATCTGTCTTGACTTCATCATAGGAATCTACCAATGAAAATATATCCTGACCTTGAATTTAAGTCAAGGATATCTCTTCCTTACTTTTCCTTTTCCTTCTTTCAAAGAATCTATCAGTCAAATACCAGGCCCTGTACATTTTGATTAAGTTATTAAGTGTTTTAACTAATTTAACCCATGTGGATTTAAATATTGGTCAAGGTCATTATGTTGACTTTGTCAGTCTTCGTCCTAATAATTTTTTAGTCGAATATCGTCATCCTCAGCAAAATAATTAATTAGAGGTGTTTTGAAGAGGATTGACTCCTATGACTTTGAATATAGGTCAAGATAGTATCTCACTTTAAAGTTAGGAAACTCTTTTCAAAACATCATTATTTCTTGCCCTTTGAGTTAAAAGTAAAAACTACTAATTTGACCCCTGTTGACCTGAATGTGGGAGAGTCATTGCAATTGCAATTCACAAATTTTGTCTGGTTTTATCCCAGAAATTACCAAGGACAGATCCTAATTCTAGGCCTTTAACATAATCAGAATTTGCTACAGCACTCCTGACAGCAGGATTCATCAGATGATTACATTGTATCGATTAGACCCTACTCAAATGTCTATGAAAAACATTGAATACCAAGTGGGCAATCCAGGTCCCTTGCACCCAAAAATTTTGTTCTCAAAAATAATGTCAATATTCTAGAATGAGCATAATCAGTTAGAATGTAAATATTAACAACAGCATGATAACTGTGAATATTGACCTTGTATTATCATTTTGGATTGTAACGTAACGTTCTAATGAGCTCCATGTTGGTCAGGAAGGCAGAGACGTCAACTTGTGCAAGAGATGAAGATTGTGAAAATTGTTTGAAATTTCTTTACAATTTGGCAATAATAGAGCTGGTAGGGAAAGGAAATTAGAAAATTCAATTTATAGTAATAGTGACATGGCGCGATAAAGGCCCACGAGTAAGTGGTGTGAGGACACTGGAAGTCTATTTACAGTGATTTTATTTTAGAACTTTAACCCTAGGCAGTTTAGATGTGAATTCATAAGATGATGGTTTAAATGTCAGAAGTTTCATAACAATTGTATAAATATGAAGTCGGAGTGAAGATTATGAAAATCTATCGGGATTGTGTGCTTAAGAGGTCAAGACCTTGTCACAAACTCTTAAGAAAAAGAAAACAAAGGAAATGAAGGTACTGAGTACCTCTTGCCTTTGAATATTCGATAAGGTTTAAATTAGACCGAAGAATTCTGCCTCTGAAATGATAATCCCAATTATTAGCAGTAAGAATGTAAATATCAATAACAGCTTAATGAATGTAAGTATTGACATTAGATTATCATTAGAGACAGAAACTTTTCTGTCAAGGGTGAAAGCTGAAGTGTTATGTTTAAAGGACAATGAGAGAAGTCTATGATGATTAGATGATGCTGTAATAAAACCAATATAATACTACAGGAAACAAATTGATGGTCCTAGTTTTTCAACCTTCCTCTTTGTCTTACAGATGTTTAATGATGTGACCACTGGAGATAGATGTTATGTATATAGATTATATGGGTGTTACAAGATCACAATTTTTCTTATAGGTCAGGAACAGTAATCTCCAAATGTTGTTATTCCTGTTTGTTGTATTTCTTTTGATGTTGATGTTGATATATATACATAAATTGGAGAATTAGGTTGAAATTGTATTACAATAATCACTTAAGATTTATGTTTGTTTTAATATGCTACTGACATATTCCCAAATATGGCATTACATATTTCAAGTTTTATTACAAATAGATGATAATTTTTATTATTTGCTATTTTCAGTGGTTGCAATGGAATAGCATTTATTAATTGCTCTGTAAATGAGTGACACATAATTTGAAATAATACATAAAGGTATTTTGATTTCAACATTTTTCAAATAAAATTTTTCACATTTCTTTACTTATGATGGTCACAAAGTACATATGGTTTACTACTATTCCTAGTATTTACCTGATTCAGATACTCCATTTACATTTTCATTTTCATTTTTTATTGTAATCTTGTACACCCATGGTAAAATTGTGTATTCCCAATTTTATTTTGTGGGCGGAGATGTGTATGTAGGTTATATGGGACTAAAATAAATAGTTCAGAGGAGATCATCTAATTCAAAATATAAGTACGAGTCATTTCCCTTCGTTCTAATTATTTTGATATACGAGATAATTTTGAGGATTCTGATGAATCGACAATCGCTACCACAGTTATCTTTCCTTAAGTCACAATACACCTCTGCAAACGGCTCGTGGACTTCAAAGAGTTGACCTCAGGGTAAGGACCAAAGTTTGACGTCGGCCAAAACCAACGAAGGACACGACTGTAGACTGTTGTGTAGCTTAAAAAAACGTCTGCGTTTATTGAGAGGTTATGTGCCAGTATTCTAGGCAGAATACCACCAGTTATCAATGATATTACATGGACATGTCGGTAGCTGAAAAGTAAAAATACACGATGGTAATACGACGGTTGTGACTGTTTACTCAAAATTAATCTTCCGCGATATAATCCATAACAACCCATATAAGTCAATGTAGTCATTTTCCAAATTAACAAAACATCTATTTTCAAAATCATGATACTAATAACAAAAAGAAAAAAATAATCAAATGCTTTATGAGTTGACACAAATCCGTTTTTCAAGAATCTTGAAATGGCATGAGCCATTTACAGAGATGTATTGGGATACTGCAATGCACTCTGGGAGAGATTGATTAAACGACTGGAATGATACGGCTGTTTGAGATTTTGTCTCCTGATGATGGGGAAAGTGACTTTATCCTTATTTCTCAATCAGTACACGGGGCCCAGAAGGGGAGATCGAGGGAAATGTTCCAAAACAGGATACTTCTATCCATATTAGTCCTGAAGCGTTCTACAGTCATAAAGAGTAGATTTTGTATATGGTGCAGCAGTCCTGTCCTAGATTGATGCTTTTGTTAGAATTAGATAAGGTGTGGGTACGGTTTCCTCCGTCAGAGCAGTCGGGAAATGTATTGGATTAGCTCTTGTTACTTGCAAGGATCATAGCAGTACTCGATTGGCGTTTTGATTGTAAGTCGAATCAAATTATACATGGATTGCTTAAAAGGCACTCTTTATCAATAAACCTTGTTTATTTAAACAAAACATAAGCTTATATTAATCAATCTTGTAGGCAAGGATGAAAGCCTTGTTGTTCGGGGGAGTACTGAATGGATGTTTGTAAAATTTCATATGTAGTGTCACCATGGTCCATTTTTTGAGCCCGTTGGAGTTTAGGACTGGTCAGAAAAAACACAATGGTTGACATGCGGCCATCTTGAATTTTTTCAATGACGTATGTTATGCGACCATCTTGGATTTGGCATTTAAAGATTATCTTCGCTATTTCTGCCATGGAATGCTCAAATTTTTGAAGAGCAAAAGTAGAAAAAAAAGGGAGAACAAATGTCCAAAAGCAAATAAAGATCCCTCTGGAATCTCTTGTTTGGCATGATCTGCCATAGAATTTGAACAAAGGAACCTAATTAATAATAAGTTATCGTAGCAAATTGCAAGCGGTAGATCAGGAACGTACAGAAAGAGGAGTATGGATGGAGATTAGTCTTAGTTGGTCTAGAAATGGAAACGGCAGGATAAAGTACTGTGTATTACCATCAACAAAAGTATACGCTTCCTTGTTGCTCTGAATGTCGAGAATTCCGACATGTCAACAAAATGAAACTGAACATCGATAAAAACGCCAACAAAGGAAAGTACTAGAAGTGTGAATCTCGTGCTTTGGAAAACCGCATTTTCTGCCCTTGAACAACAGCCGTCTGGTCAAGTGACATTACTGTACTTCAAATGAGCAATTTGCAGTCGGTGTAATTTCCTAATTTCGCATTTCTCGTAAGTCTCGGTTTAATTTCTTATTTCATACTTCTTGCTAACTTCTTCATGTTTTTGTGCGGCCTTCAAACACTGGCATCTGTCTGTATGAAAACCAACTGAATTGTTTTCCGTGAGAACGTAATTGACAAACTTCAGTACAAAATGACAATGTTATATTTTTATAAAGAAGTTATTACTAAATGCTTCAAAATCTGTATATTATGAATTGGTGCTAGTATTAGCTATGACTGTTTTCTGCAACGAAACAGAATTTTATAGATTTCCATACATCCGAAAGAATAATTCAGTCTTGTCAAAACGAGAACGATGTAGTTAGAACGAAATCGTCAGGCATACTATCGAGCACCAGTTGAACTTCGTGAAAATAATTGTCTCCAAATGATACATTCTCCTAACAAGACTACCTATTGATGATGTCCAAGAAAATTGTAAATTAACAGTCCGATAAACATTTTCTCATTGTAAAGGAGCGAAAGGGTTAGATCCTACTTTGCCGTATGTACCAGTAGACTCCAAACATTAGTTGCACAATAAAATGAGTGTCTTCCTACCTACGTAGGAATGTTTGCAAACTAAGGATTCATCATTTCCAGCTGGTTACCAGATTTAGAGAATCCAACTAGGAACATCAAGCTAGTAAAGAACTAATAATAATTCAGTGTTTCTTCCCAAAGATCCAGAGTCGTTTACAGGTTTCTGGTTTCATTAGGTATGGCGATGTGTTTTTGCATTTAGCGAAATCTTTTGGTGTACACGTATTATTGAATTGTATTATGTTAACATTTCTCCCTTCTTCAGCTTGGTGTAGTCTGACCACGAATAAAGTAGCATATACGCAGTGAAAAAAGGCTCGGCGCATTGATTTAGTTTCCAAAATTGGCGCCGGACCACTACTGTGTTTACTTCACGCTTCAGCGAGATTGCATTATCACATTTTACACGGGTTTTCAACATGTACACATTAAAGTACAAGCACATAAATATGCAGAAATAAATTTTAAAAATTCACAAAACTCTATATTTTATGGATGCACTTTTCATTCCCCGAAGTGAACACACATAGCTTCATCGGACTTCTAAACCATAAAATTGCATAATTTTCCGAACAGTGTGGATATGCGCTGATGCATAACAACTGATTAAATGATTAAAAGAGATGTCGAATTTTTACCAAATTAGATGTTATACGAAAATAAAAAGTGGTGTTCACTTTAATTTCCTTTGGGCGTTTCATATGTTGATTTAGATATGCAGGAAAAATTATTCCTACCAACTCTCCCTGGTACATATTTTCTTCATGAAGTTTGAAATCATAAGTGGGATGTCAATCCTTAGACATATTGAAATATCAAGCGATTCTAAATAATTACATTAATGGATAACACATTAGAAATTACGTCACAATTCTGTATTTTATGTTTTCTACACTCTCCAGGGAGGTGTTAACACATGCCTGAGTTCTATCTATAGTACCATAGGGAGAAGGGAAATAGAAAGTCATTCTGTAGGTAAAACTAGTAGCATTGGGGTTAACATGACAAAATAGAAAGTCTGTCTATATGGATAGCAGCCAACTTAAAGATTTGACACAGAAGTAGAAAGTCCGTCTATAGACACTAGCTTTAAAGTTAACATGAGATAGTCGAAATTAAATGTTGAACATAATTTATAGTTTGGAAACTATTATTATTTGTAACTATAACAATAATAATATGTTAAAAATGAGTTTTGGAGAGATATAGCAGGATCACATGTAGTTTAGATTTAATTTATGTGGACGTGGGCAAGGAACAGTGTATAAGGGAGGTGGGCAATGAACAGTGTATAAGGAAGGTGGGCAAGGAACAGTGTATAAGGGAGGTACACAATGAAGAGTGTATGAGGGAGGTAGGCAATGAACAGTGTATGAGGGAGGTAGGCAATGAACAGTGTATGAGGGAGGTAGACAATGAACAGTATATAAGGGAGGTAGGCAATGAACAGTGTATGAGGGAGGTAGGCAATGAACTGTGTATGAGGGAGGTAGGCAATGAACAGTGTATGAGGGAGGTAGGCAATGAACAGTGTATGAGGGAGGTAAACAATGAACAGTGTATGAGAGAGGTAGGCAATGAACAGTGTAAGTGGGAGGTAGGCAATGAACAGTGTAAGTGGGAGGTAGGCGATGAACAGTGCATGGGAGAGGTAGGCAATGAACAGTGTATATAGAAGGTGGGCAATGAACAGTATATAAGGGAGGTAGGCAATGAACAGTGTATGAGGGAGGTAGGCAATGAACAGTGTAAGTGGGAGGTAGGCAATGAACAGTGTATGAAGGAGGTAGGCAATGGACAGTGTATGAGGGAGGTAGGCAATGAACAGTGTATGAGGGAGGTAGGCAATGAACAGTATATAAGGGAGGTAGGCAATGAACAGTGTATGAGGGAGGTAGGCAATGAACAGTGTATGAGGGAGGTAGACAATGAACAGTATATAAGGGAGGTAGGCAATGAACAGTGTATGAGGGAGGTAGGCAATGAACAGTGTATGAGGGAGGTAGGCAATGAACAGTGTATGAGGGAGGTAGGCAATGAACAGTGTATGAGGGAGGTAGGCAATGAACAGTGTATGAGGGAGGTAGGCAATGAACAGTGTATGAGGGAGGTAGGCAATGAACAGTGTAAGTGGGAGGTAGGCAATGAACAGTGTAAGTGGGAGGTAGGCGATGAACAGTGCATGGGAGAGGTAGGCAATGAACAGTGTATATAGAAGGTGGGCAATGAACAGTATATAAGGGAGGTAGGCAATGAACAGTGTATGAGGGAGGTAGGCAATGAACAGTGTAAGTGGGAGGTAGGCAATGAACAGTGTATGAGGGAGGTAGGCAATGAACAGTGTATGAGGGAGGTAGACAATGAACAGTATATAAGGGAGGTAGGCAATGAACAGTGTATGTGGGAGGTTGGCAATGAACTGTGTATGAGGGAGGTAGGCAATGAACAGTGTATGAGGGAGGTAGACAATGAACAGTATATAAGGGAGGTAGGCAATGAACAGTGTATGAGGGAGGTAGGCAATGAACTGTGTATGAGGGAGGTAGGCAATGAACAGTGTATGAGGGAGGTAGGCAATGAACAGTGTATGAGTAAGGAAGGCAATGAACATTGTATGAGGGCGGTAGACGATGAAGAGTGTATGAGGGGGTAGACGATGAACAGTGTATGAGGGTGGTAGACAATGAACAGTGTAAGAGGGAGGTAGGCAATGAACAGTGCATAGGGGAGGTAGGCAATGAACAGTGTATATGGAGGTAGACAATAAACAGTGTATGAGGGAGGGAGGCAATGAACAGTGTATATAGAAGGTAGGCAATGAACAGTGTAAGTGGGGGGTAGGCGATGAACAGTGCATGGGAGAGGTAGGCAATGAACAGTGTATATAGAAGGTGGGCAATGAACAGTATATAAGGGAGGTAGGCAATGAACAGTATATGAGGGAGGTAGGCAATGAACAGTGTAAGTGGGAGGTAGGCAATGAACAGTGTATGAGGGAGGTAGGCAATGAACAGTGTATGAGGGAGGTAGACAATGAACAGTATATAAGGGAGGTAGGCAATGAACAGTGTATGAGGGAGGTAGGCAATGAACTGTGTATGAGGGAGGTAGGCAATGAACAGTGTATGAGGGAGGTAGGCAATGAACAGTGTATGAGTAAGGAAGGCAATGAACATTGTATTAGGGAGGTAGGCAATGAACAGTGTATGAGGCAGGTAGGCAATGAACAGTGTAAGTGGGAGGTAGGGATGAACAGTGTATGAGGGAGGTAGGGATGAACAGTGCATGAGGGAGGTAGGGATGAACAGTTTATGAGGGAGGTAGACAATGAACAGTGTATGAGAGAGTTAGGCAATGAACAGTGTATGAGGCAGGTAGGCAATGAACAGTGTACGAGTAAGGTAGGCAATGAACAGTGTATGAGGCAGGTAGGCAATGAACAGTGTAGGAGGGAGGTAGACATTGAACAATGTATGAGTGACAAAATCTGAACGACTTACAACATGAACATCCACTCTAATCATTGTTACGAAGTAGACATGTTATAGCGCCTGTTACCAAAAGAACACAATACGAGAAAGGAGCGAATGACGAATTGGAGTCGGAAACTGGGCTCTGTAACCTCCATAACAAACCGTAGCATGAAAACATAGCTAAAGATGTTTACTTAACGTGTGTTTGTACATGTTTATACCTAGTCGAATGGTTTATTTTTGAATACATATGTAGGTCACTAAGGTTGTCTGGAAATTAGGTCAATCTCAATTGTTTCCAATAAACATGTATATAAATGTGTTCCTTGTCTTAAGAGTCCATAGTATTGTACTATAGTATTTCGGTGCCTTACACAAACTACTCAATCGATCTGGATCGATATTTTGAATTACACGTGTGTATTATTTAGAGCAAGTCGCGGTGTCACAAGTCACGTTTATGCCTTATACACATACTACACAGGATATCAGAATCTACCTATCAATCCTCATATGTATGTATCAAAACGTGACTGTGGTCATTGTGTCGTCATCATCATCAGCATTTTATCACCAACTGTTTGTATATATAAACACATCAGCACATATACATTGTTTGAATCCCACCACATGACTTAATTTATTGTTGTCATGTGACCTAGATACCCACGAGTGTATACCTGTATATAACTCTTGCCTTATTCAGGTTATGGACCGCCTTGAAATCAGTGCAGTTGAAATGATAATTGTACAAACCAGTGACAGTTTGTGATAACGTATCTAATATGATATCAACCTGCTATGTTTGATTACATCCTTGTAGTGACACAATGAGGACTGGGTGTATTCCGTGTCATAAGCCCTGTACAAAAAGGCATTGATACGTAGCTAGCCATTGGTGATGGTCAGTAGTCACTTGGTTTTCATCTAGCAGTCGAAGTGAGTTATCAAAAAATGAGGTCCTCAGTCCTGCTGGTGTTTGTCTTCTCTGTATATGTGGGTAAGTATAATGTTTGTACACTCGACCCAGATGGTAACAATAAAACATTTATGTACATTAAGCCTTAATCTGGTGACCAGCTTAACAGAGGCCAACGGATTTGGTGACGTGAAAAATAGCTTTAAAACACGTTATACATGATTTCTGTTATTTTATCAGTATGAATAGCCATGCCATATATAAATAACATGAAATATCAGAAGGAAATAGTTAAATGTACGAGGCATGTTTAAAATATATGGTATGACGAGACAACTTTAACATTGATTCAAGGAACAAACCCCAAACCAATACTTCAAACATAGCCTGTGTTATGCACTTTGCTATGCTACAATCTTTTTAACAGGAAATAAACTTACTTTTTTAAATCGGTTATCAATGACATTCCTTTCTAGATCTAATATTAACTGCCTGTACAACAACTTGAAATCAAAAATTTTTCAGAAGAAATGTAAATCGTATCACATTTCATGTTTTAATATCAGAAAACTCATTTTTGTCGTCACGTTTTATAAAAAGGTAACCTGCTATCACAAGCATAGTTATGTGAAAAATAGCTTTAAAAAATAAATTAAGATAAACCATATTTAAATAGTGAAATATATATATGCAGTAGCTATATTTAAAATATATGGTATGACGAAACAACTTTAACATTGATTCAAGGAACAAACCTCAAACCAATACTTCAAACATAGCCTGTCTTATGCATTTTGCTATGCTACAAACATTTTAACAGGAAATAAAACGTACTTTTTTAAATCGGTTATCAATGCCATTCCATCCTAGATCAAATATCAACTGACTGTTCAACAATTTAAAATCAAACAATTTTCAAGAGAAATGTAAATCGTATCACATTTCATTTCTTAATATCAGAAAACTCATTTTTGTCGTCTCGTTTTATAAAAGGTAACCTGCTATCACAAGCATACCTATAAATTAAGATAAACCATAGTGATAATGTAGAAGGGATATATTTCGTTGTTTTCTAACGAGAACTCATTAAATTTTGTTTTATTTGTGATTATTTCTTGTGTGCTCTTAATCCATGAATTCATGTCTACGAACTGTTAAAATTAGTATAAATAGACGTTTTTACTATAATTATCCACGAAATCAATCTTTTTATCGAATAAGAAGCCCACGAAAATACAACATTTAACGTTATATTGTATATGAAATTAGGTGTATCTAAAAGATTGCATGGTAGACGAAATGAGGAGATTATCATATGTTTCCAGTATAAAGGATGATGTATGCTGTATTAGTAATGAATTAAATAAAGCATGGTGATCATACTTACATTTATATTAGAAAAGAAGGAAATATGTTATTGCATTATATTCCGATGAAATAATTTTGGAAAATGCTACCGTTTTGGAAAAGAATGACGTATGTTATAATAAAGCAAAAAACTACAAAACATTACGTCATTTTATACATGAAAAGAAGAGCACACCCCAGGAAGGGAGCTCATGGACACTTACTATGTTTATTTCCGAAAACTGGTCACATCTTCAATATCATATTCACATATGGAAAATGATTTAAGCATTAAAAGACGTTTTTGATGTTTTTAATGTTTTTCCCTCGGAAAAAAGGTTCTAAGATCATAGTTGAAAAAGGTCACGTACATAGGATGCAATTTAGCGAGATATATCTTCATATATGTCTAGCACTCTGTTTGATATATAATGTAAATTATCCTTTTTTGACACATGGGATATTCTGCTTGATATATCATACACCACGGACATGAATAAGTGTTATATAAGTAGAATCTTTAATACAATGTACATCTAAATCAGAGTAAACTATAATATTCCTTATAACCGACCTATGTTCTTTGTATTTCTATACAGCTGCTGATTTTTCACAATACAGAGATTTCCTCCTCAAGCAAGAAAACAATGAAACTTTCCTCCGTGAGTTCGATGACCACATGAAGTCTTGGGTCAACAGACAGTCGGTAAGGACAAATCACATCTTTGTGTCGTCAATAGGGACTCATTTGGTCAGCATCAGTCGTCACCGCTTACACGATAACTTGTCCGTTGAGTCTTTCAAGTTAAACTTTCCTTTCATACGGGGTTTCCTTTTAGAAGTTTAAGGGTCAAGGGTACTTACTTCTACCGATTGTACCTTATACATAATACAATGTCTCCTGAATGAAATAACTTCCTCGGAATTACTTTCATTTTCTACTGGTCAAAATAGAATGTCGCGTACCTAAAAACGGTTGCTATGCAACTTGAGTTTCATTGACTTTACATATTCAAAATTCAATACTTTCTTATTAAAAGAGCTGGCTTGAATTCCTTCAACATCAAAGTTAAGGATTGCATTTCAATTCAATTGGAATTTGGTTTGTACATAATTACTTTCAGATATCACTTTATTTGGACACACCCAATCAGCCATTTTGTCTTGTAGATGATATATCCCTATTATTTTTAACGGTAATACGATAACGGTGAACGAACCTCGATCGCTTCAGTTCCCATACGTTATTAATGACTTGACTTAATCGTTTTAGGTTTCATTTTGAATTTTTGAGACACATAAAAAAACAGCAGCATTACCTAATACGCATTGTTAATGTTATGTACACACTGATTATCATCAGCAAATGCGACACACTTGACTACCGTCACCAGGCTGTCCATTATCATCTACAGTTTGTCTACTTCGTTAGGTTCTAGCTGCCAGACAGGATTTCCCATGTGAGGTACTCGAACCACTGAGCCCAGCTACATCAGGTGAGTCACCTGGTCTACTTACATGCCTATAATGAAGAGTATATCTTATTTTTCTTCACATTTGCAGCCCATTGAACTTGCATAATGTTATTTTGGTTACGACCTTGTAATAAACAATTTAAAGTGATGTGTTATCATTACATGTTTATATTCTTATCAGTAAAGATAATCTTGAACATGGATTTGTATAAACATATCTTTACAATTTGTGCTTATTCATTTTTGTATCGGGTACATAATTAGAGAATTTATTTTCAGTGAACAAGTTAACACCCTCAGATATCAAGGTTGTAGCTGCTATTGGTGATTCTATCACAGTAAGTACTTTTGTATAGCTGTTCAGCAGACTGTAATGCTAGTTATTAATTTTCTTTTCGCTTTTGAAAAGGGTGCATGTGCACTATGTTGATATATGAACCGCTCTTTGAGATGTCTTGCGATTTTCACTTTGTATTATTCACATCAATTCAAAACGCGTGCGGGTTTTTCCTGTATATTGATATTTTCAATATCTATCTATATACAAATGTTTGTGGATAATTTTATTTCTATACCAGCATTATGTGATTTGCATTAAAATTTGTTTTTTTATTCTATCATCATTTCTATTAAACAGTATAAATATGAAATAATTCCATATTGTCGATTTTACATATTTATTTGGCAGCGCTTTCCCTAGAAGATTCTGTTAAAGTAATTCAAAGGTATCACTCCTAAAAAACACACATAAAATAATTTATGCAATATCGTTTGCGTGAAAAATTAATTAAAAAGTTATAAAACTATTCAAGGGCTGAAAGTGCTTTTAAAGGGTTGAAATCATTGTGTGGTGTAGAATCGTGTTTTATAATTTTCGGCGACATTTGCAGGCAGGAACTGGAATCAAGGCCCTCACACCTATAGGGTTGCTGACACAGTGGCGGGGACTGTCATGGAGGTGAGCTGCCATCTATTACAGGTCTAGTGGTTCATCCAGAGCGCTCTGTCGGTCTATATGTTGTTAGTCAATTGAAATCCATTGGTTAATAAAATCAGGGACATATAATTCATATATCAATTATACGTCCCTGATCAAATATAAAGGTAATACTTAAGTAAGATCTCGTCCTGGAGTTGTTACGACGAAGGTGCAATAGATAGCTAATCTATCATTTTCATTTTAAGCGTGGGAGGCGACGGTAACTTCGAAGAGGAGATAACAGTCCCCAGTAAGTTTTTATTCCTCTTTAATATTAAACAGCATAATGAATCCACGCTTAAAGTCCACATCAATGTTATGACCAATCGCTATTAAGATCACTACAGTACCAAATATTCTCTACATGTCCCTGTATTGTGTGCCTCATATTATTAAGTTCGCCTCATTATTAATACTACCTTGCAATTAAAACAAGCTTTGATAAATCCGAAAGGCTCACTTTGCATTGAACAGCACCTCACTAATCGGACCAGGTATGACCAAACACAGCAGCAACGCTATTCCCCATAGCCGTCGATCGTTTCTATATTAAAGTTTACTTATAAGTAACATGTTTGTGCTGATCTATTTCATAGACATCATAAAGAAGTATAACCCGGATGTAAAGGGGTTCTCAGTAGGGACGGGAGGAGTTCATAGCAGAAATGCAAGGCTCAATGTGGCTGATCCTGGTGCTAAATCAGAGTATGTTATTGAAATCGACTGTTTTTAACAAATTGTAACATATCAACACAAAAATCGTGAATTTCTTGCGAGTAAAAATATCAGTTACATAAAAACATTATTTACAAATGTTGTGCATAGTATGAAAGAAATATATGTTTATGTTTGGTGCAAAAGATAGCCATGTCAATTTATCACACGTTACCTACCAATTCTATATCAGAAACGCTTATTTGTTTGGTGTTAACTGATGACTAAATATTCTATCCCTTTAAACATGATCTAAATAAAACCAGGCGGACATTTACGAATGTATGTCTATATATTCGTGTTTAAGCGAGATACAAGCGGAGGCAGAAGACTTGTTAGAACGCATGAGAAACGATCCTGATGTTGACATGGAGAATGACTGGAAACTTATCACTCTGTTTATTGGGGGAAACGATTTGTGTAGCTACTGCAAAGATGAAGTAAGAGGAAATCTGTGAAATAACAGACGCGATGAGTTTGATAAGAAACCACTGTTATGATGATATAAGGAATGATTGTCATTGTGATGATATAACTTTTACACTATTGATCACAGAATAAACACGAACACGTGTCGGTTAAGATTAATCCTGTTTCAATTCCCGTTGAAGTATCTAACTTTTCCTCAAAACAGTGAAAGTCAACCTCATCAATATAATATTGTTATTTCGGATAAAGTTATGTTATTTATAAAAGTAACTTTCTCTATCATTTCCGTTATCCTTCCTTGTTCATGTAATGATATGCAATATTGATGTCTTAAATTCGGGCATTAAGTGGCATATTATCAACGGTAACCATGGTAATATGACTTTGCTGAACTTTGTATGCAAACTTCCCCAAACCAGGCAATCAACATAACGTTCGTGTTTACAGACAAAATATGCCCCCGAGAAATACGTGGACAACATTAAGCAGACATTGGATATTCTCTACCAGCACGTACCGAGAGCTTTCGTAAACGTCGTCCCCGTCCTCAACATCAATGTCGTCAGAGAGCTGAACCAAAACCTTGTCTGTGACGCACTCCATCTGTAAGCAAACGATGAATATGTTACTGGTAACCTATAAAACGACTACAAGGATAGAATATGTACTACATGGAATAATGTTACACGCGTATTGAAAAGTATTGAAAAACAGCTTGAAGTGCAATATATAGCTGCACTTTCACAAAATAAGAGACAGCCATTAACCTCGACGGTTAAATAGAAATCGAGAACTATTTTCTCCACTTTATATGTTAACCAACTGACGTATGTTTCATGGAGAATGCGAAATGAGTCACAATTTTCCTGTGTAAATTTCACTTTCAAAGAATTTTTTCGCGTACTTTTGAAATAGTGTGATACTCAGTATTTTATTATTCTTAGTTCTTTATGATGAAATATTAAAATATAAACCACCTTCAGTTGTAAAGCATAAATCTTCAACATTACCAGGTATCTGTGTCAGTGTGCAGCTTATCCGCGCAACAGTGACGAGGAAAACAAAATGCAGTTGGCAGTACATGCTTATCAACAGCAACTCACCGACCTTGTCATGTCCGGGCAGTTCGAGAAGGACGATTTCGCGGTCATCATACAACCATTCTTCACAAACACCGAACTTCCAAAGCGGGTTGGTGACAGGAAAACTATGTCAAGCAGTAGTAATGTTCTGCAATGAATAAAACTATCTACTTTTGTGAAATGATGGGCTCGATGATAAAACACTTCATTTCAACTGTAAATTGAGTGTAAAACCGTTTATGTTGTAGGATGGGGGCGAACCGGATTTGGCATATTTTGCACCTGACTGCTTTCATCTGAGTAGAGATGGTCACCAAGCTGCTGCCACAGCTCTGTGGAATAATATGGTAGGTTGAAACATCCAGGCCTTTACGACATGTAAGACACGACACTGTCTGCGAAGTATTGAAATAACAATATGATGCATTTTCATTCATTATTCAACAAAATACGCATATGAACTAAATTCAACACAATCCGCATGTGAACTTAATTCGAAGTAATATGTGCTAACCGTTGATGCTCTTTCTATCCTATTTGATACGTTTGATCAAAAGATTCGAAATATGGTTTATAAAACGAGTCTTCGGTGATAACATCACAATTTCACGTTTTATCACTTCGCGATTAAAACCAACCGCCATGCATCATGGACAATGCTCAAACAGTTTGTCAAGAGCTTTACAAAATGGAGTTCTGATGACCATAATGTGTTTATCCTAGAGTCAGAATGCAATGTCGGAAAGAGGATGAGTAAATATTTTCCGTTTTTGACACGACACATGTTGAAAATGAAACGACCGTTTGAACAAACGGTAGATATTCTGGTTTTGTCCTTGCTTTCGTGAGGGAAATGCTTCATATTTGAATTGATTTAAATCTTCCGCATTAGATAGTATTGTTCTCATAGTACCGTTTCATGGGCTTTTTTCTTCAGATTATGCCCTAGTTTCGTGGAGTGGGTTTGAATATTAATTAAGATTCTGATCACGTCGGTTTTTCCTTTGCTTTACACAGACATGTGTTTGTGGCAATTGCACTGACAAAACACAATTAACATTTACGATTTGAAGGGTATTCATCAACAATTCCGTTATTGTCAAATATAAACTTTGTTTACTATTCAGCTCGCGCGTGTGGATGAAAAGGATGATTTCTGGCAACCAGGGGAGACAATTAACTGCCCAACCAAGGTATGTATCTATATAAGGAAATGTTCATGTCCTTATCCGTCACGTAGAAATATTCGACACAATGTTTAGATAATTTATGCCTTTGCTATTTTAATAAAAAGAAAGTCGTTGATTATTTAACGAGAAATTGTTACAGATATTATCTTTTTCCACAGGATTATAGATACTTTGCTACCTACCAGAATAGCAATTCCAGGAAGGGCTTTGGTCAAACTTATCAAGACCAGGGTAAAAATGAACAGTCCAGCGAGCATTCCGTTAGTTCTCTGTCCACAAGCGGTCTCATTATTGGAGGATGCCTGTCAGTTTTGGTCTGTCTGGCTGCCTTGGCTGTTGCACTGTTCAGGAGAAATTCAAGAAACTCCGAGAAGCATAGTCTTATTGAACAAAATATAAAATTGTCCTACACGCAAATCTAATATGGTGGTTTAATAAGTAATCAAAATGGTGCCAAAGAAAATCTGTGTAACTGTGAATCAAGATGTATACATATCAGAATGATTTGAACACTGAATACATTACTTTGTCAATGTTTGCTCAATTTCTTGTTGAAGTATTGACCAACATCCTGATGGATGAATACAAGGTCAATATTTTATTATTGTTACCTTCCGAAGTATCTACTGAAATGTTAATATTAATTCTGTGATTAAAAGTATTTTAATGATGGTCAACTGATAGTTGGTAAAAGATCGTCCTCTCTCAGATGTTCAACTGACAGTTGATAAAAGATAGTCCTCTCTCAGATGTTCAACTGACAGTTGGTAAAAGACAGTCCTCTCTCAGATCTTCAACTGACAGTTGGTAAAAGACAGTCCTCTCTCAGATGTTCAATTGACAGTTGGGAAAAGATAGTCCTCTCTCAGATGTCCAACTGACAGTTGGGAAAAGATAGTCCTCTCTCAGATGTTCAACTGACAGTTGGGAAAAGATAGTCCTCTCTCAGATGTTCAACTGACAGTTGGGAAAAGAGTTCAACTGACAGTTGGGAAAAGATAGTCCTCTCTCAGATGTTCAACTGACAGTTGGTAAAAGATAGTCCTCTCTCAGATGTCCAACTGACAGTTGGGAAAAGATAGTCCTCTCTCAGATGTTCAACTGACAGTTGGGAAAAGATAGTCCTCTCTCAGATGTTCAACTGACAGTTGGTAAAAGATAGTCCTCTCTCAGATGTTCAACTGACAGTTGATAAAAGACACTCCTCTCTCAGATGTTCAACTGACAGTTGGTAAAAGACCGTCCTCTCTCAGATGTTCAATTGACAGTTGGGAAAAGATAGTCCTCTCTCAGATGTTCAACTGACAGTTGGGAAAAGATAGTCCTCTCTCAGATGTTCAACTGACAGTTGGTAAAAGATTGTCCTCTCTCAGATGTTCAACTGATAGTTGGTAAAAGATAGTCCTCTCTCAGATGTTCAACTGACAGTTGGGAAAAGATAGTCCTCTCTCAGATGTTCAACTGACAGTTGGGAAAAGATGGTCCTCTCTCAGATGTTCAACTGACAGTTGATAAAAGATAGTCCTCTCTCAGATGTTCAACTGACAGTTGGTAAAAGATAGTCCTCTCTCAGATGTTCTTCTGATAATTGATTAAAAGTAATACTTTACATGTTTAAATTACAATCAGTTGAAGATATTTCTTTCTCCAATGATATACTGACAAGATATTTTTGTAATGAATAACTATATAGATGTCATCAATATTTACATACTAGCGAGTTGATATAGTGATTCATGTACATGGTGGAAACACAGGACCTTGGCTTGAATTCCAATCCCACGGTTCATACTTATGTATTATAGTGACAACAACACATGGAGTTGGGAAATTGTGCCAAGTCCCTGTGAATGGAAGAATGAATGTTGTGATCCAAGTTCAGTGAAAATCAGATTACGAATAAACGGAAATTTTAATTTTGACCATTATTAAATCTTGTAACTACCTCAGATGTCCTGTGCCAGTAGACATGAGAAATAAACATATTTAGACATTGATCCTCATTCTTTGACATTTATTGGAGTCAATTCTTATTTTCCTCAGTTGACATACATGTTTGAAAATTTAGGTCCTTGGCATCAATTACAAGTCCTAGAAGGACTACAGAGCTGTATAATGTGCATGTTGTTTAATTCATTTTTTGGCTCAACTGTATCTAACTCTAAATTTGTATTCAAAGGTGCTATTAACTTGTGTCTTTTGTACCATCTTAAAACTTATATCTCTTGTAGATAACTAACAGTTAAATATGTTTGAATATTCTGAATTCCTGCGTGAAAAAGTCTTTGTATCGTTCGGTTGTAATTTGAATTTGTAGATTGAATTATCATGATGGAAGTAATCTTTTGCAAGCTTTGATATGATTTACATAATTGCACTATATGTCACTTTTTTACATGTAAATTTTTCCTGTTTCTGAAATGGTAATCAATTTTATGAAATGATTTGTTTAATAATGTTAAATATGTCTATGTGTTCTGCAAAATATGCAATATAAGATGAGTAGTCGGAGGGCTTCTGATTGTTCTAATCAGCTGCAGAGGAGACCAATTAGCATTTTCTAAGCCCTAGATTAATCAGCAATAGTGCCTATGTTTTAAACTATAAAAATCCATTCCTCGAGATTATATACAAATGAACAATTTGTGTTTAAAACAAACTGCTTAAAACTGTGATACAATTGTACTGATATTTTATTTTTATCAATAAATATATATGCTTCAATTCAAAACTCTCCTGTTTACTTTCAAGATGAAGAGCATAAAAAGGTATAAGAATGCCTGACAGTTTTGCAAGAAACATGAGAATATATGAATCCATAAGTTTTCTACTGAACAAAAAAAAAATGAAAAAAATATTTTTCAGTAGAACCAATGTCTGGTGTTAATTACCTGTACAGCTGTTCATATAGCCTTTGTTATGTTATCCAAAGCTCCATTAACATGAATGAAAAATGCTAAACCAAAGTTTCAGTGACAAGATATTCATCATGTACGCAGAACTATATACATCACAGGTAAATTATCCTGTGTTCTAGCAACATATCTAAACCCTTTCCTTATGCACTCTGAGCAAATTGACGTCTCCAGGAAGAATACAACGAAATGAAATTTCAGCAATCTGTTTACTGTTGAATTTGAGTGTTCTTCTTTTCATACAATATCAATGCTTATTCTCAACAAACATTAGATAAGCCTCTATTGACATATCAGCACCATTATTTCATTTTCATGTTTGACAAGAATGTACCAGACAAATTTGATATTACACCAACATGTCATATAAAAACATTTAACACTATATATCATAAAGTGGGGCCAACTTTAATCAATTGCTTAACTCTCGCAATAATAACTTGAAATGATTTTTTCAATTTCAAAGTTCATTTTTACACTGTCACAGACTTAATATCAAAATGGCATTGAAATGCAACTAGAAATAATAAAAAGCACAATGAAGCCTACATCTTCAAAATAAACTGTAACACTGGATCATGTTTTTACAAAATCAAACTGTTGTGCACAACACCTTACAGAGGTTACAAGCTGACTAGTCTGATCCTGCACATAGGATCTCTGATTCAAAATACAAGAATGACATTACCCATGTCAAAGATGTTAAAACTTCAAAGATGACACACGATAAATGGGTACATGAACATACAAGATTTTTCACCTCATCAATACTGAACTAAATTCTAGCTAAAAGCAAACATTTCCTGGATTTATGATGTTTTCATGATGTATTGTAGACATAAAGAAATAATATTCTATCTCTCTCTAGTAAAATTTTCAATTTTCAAGAATGTAGATAAGTTTTACAATTACTTATGAGTTTTTTGCCATGACAGAACAACATAAAAGCCTTTACAATAACTGTATTTAACAAAAATACAAGTAAAGACACAGCAAACGAGTACTTCTTTTCTAAAACAATAAAGCAAGGCAAAATATGAATACAGGAAAGCTTTACAAGACAACACTTTGATAAAGGTAAGAGGTTCCAGATTGGTGTCTTTTTCATAATTTTCCCCTTCAAGACCAAATAACCATTTCCTTTGTTCATATTTAACCCCAGCTTTATCAATTTTGAATTTTTCCACTGATGTGTTCTGGATGTTTATCGAAACATTCAATGGTAAAAAAATAATCAATTACTAGACCAAACAACATTCAAAATTTGGCATAATTAAGTTCAATCATTATTGAAAACCATCGAATTAAGAAATATTAAAAGTTCTAATATCAGAGGAAAAAAATCAAGCTACTGACATGTTAAGCCGATCAATAACATAACAATTACATAAAGATACAGTCAAAGTCAACGGTTAAAAAACCAACTAAGTCCTATGACAAGTAAAAGATCTATTGCTGTGTGGTGTTGATTTAATAGCTGTGTCCCTGTTTTATATAAAGACACTATGATGTCTTCTCAAATTTGTGCTTAAGATATCAGAGGTGCCTTTGTTATCAGAGTCATACATTGTGTGATATTCCCATGTCCTTTGAATTTGCTGTCAAGATAATGAAAAATAATGCATTTGTGGAACTGAAATTGTTGACAACATTGAAACAAATCAGATTTTACCCTTCAAATCATAATGCTATATCAAGTTAATTTAACGGTCTAAGTTCGACTAGATACATTAATTTTGCACTTAAAAGTCAACGGCAACACACCAAGGACAATGGCTCCTCCTTTAAGGTTCTAATTTCTTACGTGAGAGTGCTGTACTAGTACACTGTGTAAAGTAAGCATCCTATCTCAATTTCAAACAATTAGTTGACTCTGAATCCAGTTTGTCTGAAGTTAACAGTTGATCTCCAGTTGTAACAATAAAATAATTATTTGTTGAATCCAGTTAGTCTGAAATCCTAAGTTTATCTTGAGTTTCAACAATAACAGACTTTATTTCCAGTAAGTCTGAAGTTCACAGATATTTTCAGGTTTAATAATACTAAGAGTTACAGCTGGACAGTTCACACTATACATCCACAGTGAAGAAGTACCAGTCAGCTGCCTTTGTATGACTTAAACAATAAAATTCCTAACTCCATTCTTGGCCTTTTCCAATAAATAACTTCAGTTTTCTTTTATGGCAGTGGTTATCTGATCTTTGTGGGAAACTGTTTGTCTACTGCTGGTGAATCAAATCTTCTTTCACTGTAATGATAAAGTGTAATTAACACTATAATTTCATTGGTCTTAAATCAGTGAAAATGACTAGTGTGCACTATTATTAGCACACAACTAGGGGATATTGGTAGCTTCAATTGGGGAATCACATATTTCAAGGCCATTTTATTTCTAACAAGCTAAATTAGCATTCATTTTGAAGCCAAATATACCAACACATTTTCCCTGTGACTGATGTGCAAAAAGGGGTGTGATATGATTTAAGATGAAAAGGAAAATGCTTATCACAACACAATCTCTTATGGAAACCTTTTGATACATACTTTGTTACATCCTAAATTGTGAAATCAGGAAAAAGCAACAATTTGTTACTGAACACTCAATATTTACCAAAAGAAAACATAATAAATTTCTTGAGAACAGAACCCACCTTATATGGTCATCTGATGTTTTACAGGCTGTCCATTTAAGCTTGTCTTTAGTTGGAAGTGCAGGATGATAGAAAGCACACTGAGCCTTCTTCATACAGGACATACCAAATCTACAAGGCTAAAATCATGACAACAACTTATAGTCACAATTATACTTTAGGTATTTGTTCTAAACAAAAAGAATAGAAATCTAACAAACACAATATACATGTTATTGACAACTTCTATCAGTTTCATTACATGACAACATCTTACAATTAATTCTATCATTATAAATTTGAAATCAAATAGCATAAGTCTTATGACAAAATTTGTAAATAATAAAATAGTTAAATATACTATATGATGACCAAATGATCAAAGGTTTTCATGCCTCAAGAAGAATTACTAGGATGCTGTAATTGATATACTCACTGTTGGATGAGGAAATGGACAGGACATGTTTTTACAGTTAGGATAAAATTTACAAGTGACTGCAGATGTAGATGGCATCTTTGGCATGTATGTTGGACGAATTGGAGTGGGACCTGGTGCAGGAATGGCTACTGGAACAACTACAACAGAATGGTTACAAATTTTCCATATACTCAAGCAGATATCATGATTAGAGACTGAGGAAAAAACAGAGAGAGAAAGTGGAAAAAATAGAGAGAAAGAGGAAAAAACAGAGAGAGAAAGAGGAAAAAACAGAGAGAGAAAGAGGAAAAAACAGAGAGAGAAAGAGGAAAAAACAGAGAGAGAAAGAGGAAAAACAGAGAGAGAAAGAGGAAAAAACAGAGAAAGAGGAAAAAACAGAGAGAGAGAAAGAGGAAAAAACAGAGAGAAAGAGGAAAAAACAGAGAGAGAAAGAGGAAAAAACAGAGAGAAAGAGGAAAAAACAGAGAGAGAAAGAGGAAAAAACAGAGAGAGAAAGAGGAAAAAACAGAGAGAAAGAGGAAAAAACAGAGAGAGAAAGAGGAAAAAACAGAGAGAGAAAGAGGAAAAAAAATAAAAAGAATTCATGGAACATTATATTGAATTTTTAATCTGCTGAAGAGTGATCACGGTTTTTTTTGTCATAAAAACAGAAAAGCTTGGGTCTACATATCTATAACTGATTAAGGATAAACAGCTAGCATTATTTTTAACATTTATTTGAAAAGGTTCGCACACACAAAAAAAGAAGGATTAGCACAAAGTAAAAAGTGTACTTTTATTTTGAAAAAGAAAAAGTCACAAAGAAAATATTTCTTGATACATTGTACTTACTTTTTTGTATAACTGTGGTGGCAATGGTACCTCGTTTACTAGCGTGGGTATAAGGACAGTCTTTTCGTGTACACTTTGCATCAAACTTACAATTCGGATGAATAAACAAACACCGGTCACCAAATTTGCACTGTGGAAACATTCTGTAAATAAACAAGAATCGTGTTATGATTAATGACACTCTTCATGTGGTAAAGGTATGTCCAATTATTCTGTTAAAACTCATTTCTGTCTATGGGCTGAGCACAAAAACAAGTAAGTCCAATAAAACCTGATAACTGTACTTACTTGCAAGGAACAGTAGGATGATGATAGGTGCAGGCATTACCATTCACACAGGCTGGCCAGAATCTACATCTCTCTGTCATCTTAGCTTTCTTCAATGGGCTATCTTCAGCATCTTCAACTTCCATCTCTTCTTCCTCTGTTTAAATCATGCACAGATTATTATAAAAATCAAATCGATATTTACTTGTCAGTAGGGCAGATCTAAAGAATTTAAAATAAAATGTATAGAATCATGCATTTCCTGTAAAACATCTATTTACAATCTGAGATACTGACCATCTGTGTCGTGGAGGTTGATAGAAATTGGCCCTATTGCAGGAGGTCTTGACTCTGGCTTTTTTGTTGCCACAAGGTTCACTTGTGGAGGTGTGACTAGCTTTTGTTTGTAGACGTTTGATAAAATTGGGTTCACACGTTGTACGACGTTCACAGACTGTTCTGCCATACCCTGAGTAACCATATCAGACTCCTCATCCAATTTTTCCATCGCTATCTCGTACTTATCATGATCTACACCATCCAGTGTCACTATAAACTTTGTATTGCTAGCCATTTCTGGTGCAGTTCTACAACAGGCAAAACAAACAGGATTTTTTTTCAAACCACTACCAACTGAATAAAGATATTTTTGTAAGTTTCTTAGACCACATTCTTAGTACAGCTTTTATACATAGATTTACAGCATTTGATGATAAGAAGTCACTGTCTCTACTGCAACCACAATTTTGCTATGTTGGACAAAAACATGATCTACGTCCATTTTTTAACGGATACTAAAAACAATATCTTTTTTTCTACTATATGTAAAGGTTTTATTTGCAGATTTACAACACAACCCAATTCAGTTCATCTATCTCAAAGCATCAATTTTTTGCAATTAATTCTATACTGAGATACAGGAATCAACTGCTGCTAAATACAAACCTCTGTTGTATAAACCTTCTTTTGTCCACTTGGCCCCTATCAACAGGTTCTGTCGTATATTCCACTTCCTCCACTAACAGATCAAGGTCATCGTTATCCTCGTCAACAACCTGAGACATGTCTGTATTACCAATGATATTGCCATTTTCTTCTACATTCTGATCTGCAACCACATCTGGATTGCTCTCATACTCCTCAGCTTCATCCTCTGAAGTTATTCCAACTTTCCCTACAAAGATTTCTTCGTCTGAGTTAGTTAATGTTTCTTCCTTTTCCTCGCTTTCTACTCCAGTCTCCTCTTGCACAGGTACACATTGGACCCGTCGACTGTCCATCACTGGCGGGACGCGAGCTACTTCTGTAACACACAGTAAAATTACTAATCAGCAAAACTCATACAGAACATATGTTATAAGCTTTGTCTTTTGTGTTAACAACAAACAAAATAAAGTGTTAAGGAAACACTATGCCCCTGGGTGCAACAAAATTTGTTCAGACCAAAAATCTGTACTGTGTAACACATGTGCTATTTACATGCACTAGTTGTAAAACACTTACGTCTTCATTGTGGTAATGATTTTTTTTAAACTTTCAAATGTATATCAAAATCACATAGTGAAAAATGTTGGAACCACCAGAAAGGTCTTGTCACAAGGAACACACATGCCAAATATAAAAGCCGTATCTCTTATGGTGTAATAGTTATGGGCAAGGTTAAATTTGACAACACACAGCACAAAAACAATACCCCCTCAATATTTCAATCCGAGGACATAAAGAACCTGAGTAAGAGATGATGAGGTCAGTACAGACAATTTGTAGGATCACCATAAACATACATTCTTTTTCATTACACATAACTAATATATAGTGTTCCTTTCCCATCGTCTGGAGGTAAGTATAAGTAAACTTCACCAGGCGGTTGGATAGGGTTCATATCGCACCAGCTACCAGGAGAGTAGGCAACACATGACAACCACCTGAGTTTTGTGCTTCTAATCAGATATCTTCTCAAACATACAACATTAATTTTCTTTACCATAGGAAAATTTGATCCCTGAAAAACAGTGCATTGTTCTTCCTATTATTTATTAAAGTAGCATGTTCCTTTTCCACTGTCTACTGTTAATTAAAAACAAATTAAACCAGACAAGTGTACAGGGTTTATATCGCACCAGCTACCAGGAGAGTAGGCAACACATGACAACCACCTGAGTTTTGTGCTTTCTATCCATTATTTTATTGAATCACAAAGATACCTTTGCATATTGCGATGCAAGCAAGAAGTACCCTGTCTCCCTCTGAGAATCATGTTCATCAAATCATAGTCACTGGACATAATACAAAATAGAATAAGAGATCCCAGAGGTATCTTGGTGCCCACTATAGTATGGTCTTTATTGGTTCTTTGTATGTACTTTCCATTCAATCCTCTTTATTTCCTACCACTAATACGTTGTATTGACAGGGGTATTTATCTTATAATCAGCCATTTTATTTCAGTCTAACAGTTAAAAGTGCAAAACATGGGGAACCAATATATGACATCTGAGAAAAATCCATTCCCTGCTTTTTTTAAGCTATGGAAATAAACTTTTGTTGTCAAACTCCTTGATGGCAATCTGTTAGCCATTTTGACATCAGATAAGTCCTAAAACTACAAGGGCACAACTAGGGAACAATGGACACCTTCAATTCTGATGATGGCTGGCTAAAAATCCCTAACATACATTTCTCCTGAATTGAACATTGGAGATTTTGAGATTACTTAAATCCAAGAACATGACAATACTTGATATAAACTTATATGACAGGTGCTGTTGATGAAGGTGCTTACCAATTTAAAGCATTCCTTGTATAATTTTTTTATAAATTTTTTCATTTATATTTTATATTTCAGATAACTATTACCGTTTCCTTTTCCCCATTCCACTGTTAATTAGCACAGATCTGCATCCATGAATATTTTGAGGTGCAATCCTAACATGTGATAAGAATGCAGTATCATTCGCAAACTACCCAACCCTTGTATTACAACCAAAATGAAACAAGTCATTATATCTATAAATTCCTTCACATGAAATGATTAGATACTTATAGGCAGGTGTTCCTGTTTCATCATTCAATGATCATTATGAGCAAACTTCACCAACTGAGAACACAGGTTTTATATCGCACCAGCTACCAGGCAAGTAGGCAACACATGACAACCACCTGAGTTTTGTGCTACTAATCAGATATCTTTTCAAACATAAAACATTAATTTATCAAATCATACAAAATCAATTTTTTATCATATTATCACATTAGAATAATTTGATCCCTCAAAAACAGTATTCATTACTAGTAGAATGTTCCTTTTCCATTGTCCGAAGATAATTATGATCGAACTTAACCAGACGAGAGCACAGGGTTTATATCGCACCAGCTACCAGGAGAGTAGGCAACACATGACAACCACCTGAGTTTTGTGCTTCTAATCAGATAATATCTTTTCCAGACATAAAACATTAATTTTTGTTATCATAGGGAAAGTTGATCCCTGAAAAACAGTTAATTGTTCTTCCTGTTATTCATTTAAGAAGCATGTTCCTCTTCCATTGTCCAATGATAATTAAAATCAAATTAAACCAGACAAGAATGTAGGGTTTATATCGCACCAGCTACCAGGAAAGTAGACAATATGTGACAACTACCTGAGTTTTGTGCTTCATTCCTGTCAATTTTCATATTGTTTGATACACTTTCCTCTATTAATGGACATGTACAATGAAAAGTAAGACATATATATGTTTGAAAAATAAAAACTAGTAACATGGAAATTTTGCTCATTCTTCAATGTAAACCCCATTCCAGATTGTCTTTTCATCATGTGTTGAAAATGGAGTTTTATTTGTTATCTCAGAAAGCTTATCATTATACTTATGACATACTAGTTTTATCAATGTATAAGATGTTTGAAATAACTTATAAATACATGTTCCTTTTCTATCATCTGCCAACAATTACAGCCAAACTTAACCAGATGAGGGCATAGGGTTTATATCGCACCAGCTACCAGGCAAGTAGGCAATATCTGACAACCACCTGAGTTTTGTGCTTTTCACTGTACAAATCATCGACTTCTTTCTTTCTACATTATAACCCTTCATTTCATACATGCAGAAATCTGATAGTGTCATGTCACATCAATTAACTTTCCATATAACAACTGTCAATATGTTATTTCTTTATTTTTGCAGGAAAAATAAATTTGCACATTTACTCTCAATCACCTGATCTGAATTTAAAAGCATCAGCTACTAGGAAAGGAATTGATTATTGTTTTAATCTTTTGCCTTTTCAAAAAATTTGATAATCTTCCTTTCCCAGACCGCAGTGAAATTTGACCAAGTATTTTGAGACTTGTCTGCTTCTATCCATCACTATGATCATAAAAACTAGGTCGCTCTTGTTCGGATACAATCTGTTTCCAAACACCAATATTGTGTAATCCCTTATATGTCTAGACAATACATTATTTCACATCTTACATAGCATGTTTTTGTCTTCTGAATTAAAATTAACCCCAGAGTACTCAGTGCTTTACCATAAAATGAGGGCAAAGTATACTGTGTTTCTATCCTTTCATACCCAGTATTCAGAACCTAACAAAATAATTGTTGATGTTTTTTTTCACAATCATTTATTGATAAAGACACCTTATTTTCACCCGCCAATAACACAGGATTTCTGTTGCCCAAGCTACCTTTCAAGAAGTTACAATATGAAAACTACCTCAGTTTGTGCATCTTGTCAATTATCTATCAAATCATACAATATCAATTTTTTTATCATATTATCACATTAGAATAATTTGATCCCTGAAAAATAGTATTCATTACTAGTAGAATGTTCCTTTTCCATTGTCCGAAGATAATTATGATCAAACATAACCAGACAAGGGCACAGGGTTTATATTGCACCAGCTACCAGGAGAGTAGGCAACACATGACAACCACCTGAGTTTTGTGCTTCTAATCAGATTATATCTTTTCAAACATATAACATTGATTGTCGTTATCATAGGAAAATTTGATCCCTGAAAAAAAAGGTATCGTTCTTCCTACTTTTCATTTAAATAGAATGTTCCTTTTCCATTGCCCAATGATAATTAAAATCAAATTAAACCAGACAGGAATATTGGGTTTATATCGCACCAGCTACCAGGAAAGTAGACAATATGTGACAACCACCTGAGTTTTGTGCTTCATTCATGTCACTTTTCATATTGTTTTATACACTTTCCTCTATTTATGTATATGTACAATAAAGGTAAAAATTGTCATTTTTCATCAGTAATTACCAGGTAATGGACACTTATATCTATGTTTTGAAAAGTGATTTTGGGAAATTTGCTCATTCTTCAATTGGTAATTTTAGGCAGTCTTCAATATACAACAAATGGCCTTTCCAGGGTGTTTTTCTATCAGTGAATATGGTGCCAATCTACATGTGAGCAGAAAATGCAATACTTGTTTTGTCTGTCAATAAGACAGGATTTCTGTTGTACATTTCAATAAGATATTCTATGAAACTATCTCAGTTTTGTGCAGCTTATCGATCATCTTATCTAATCATACAATATCAATTTTTTAAATATTTATCATATAAGAATAATTTGATCCCTGGAAACAGTATTCATTACTAGTAGAATGTTCCTTTTCCATTGTCTGAAGATAATTATGATCAAACATAACCAGACAAGGGCACAGGGTTTATATCGCACCAGCTACCAGGAGAGTAGGCAACACATGACAACCACCTGAGTTTTGTGCTTATATTGAATTACCGAATATATTTTCATGTTTATTAAACAGAGTAATTTTTACTAAAACAGATTGCAGTCTATCAAGTATTTATTCTTACCTACTACTAGAAAGCTTAATTATGATTCAGATGGAAAATAATTACACGTGTGCATTATGCATGTGTAGAGTATGTAGTAGTTTCAACGTAATTATAACAACATCAACTTTGTGTAAGACATTTTGAAAAGTTATATATACATATACCAATCGCACTTTGCTAAGGATTTCTTTTCTTTTTGGGCATGTCATGAATGAATTTTTTTTATCAGATTTTGTGAGATGGCATTCCAGTAAGCTACCAAAGCAGGTCCCAGCTCTTGCCTGAATGTCACTTGCATAGAGCTGTCTACACCATTTCCCACAATGCTCAGAGGAATTTAGATTTAGTGAGTGGAATGGCCAATACATTTTTTGAATAATCTCTTGCTGTAGATACTTCTCAGTCACTCATTAGTCTCAAACCTTGTAGGCAGTAATAGTAACTCATATGGCTGGTATACCTGGCCTTAACACAGCATCATGCAGACAGTTCCTAACTGAGTTGCTAGTTGGGTACTAGGAGATTTGAGGTCATTTTATAAAGTCTGAACCTGTGACACCATGCCTGTTTTAGCGAAAGTCAGTCTTTGTGCAGTGCTGTAGCCCTTTAACATCCTGAATTATGGAATTCTGTTAGTTTAGAAGTAATTACACTAACTCGATAAAACACTTATAAACATTCTAAGTCTGTCCGATAGCCAGCTTAGCTTTTGAAGGGGTTGTACAGGTGGAAAAGTGTGCACAACCTCCCATTGCTGACTCAACATACCCACACATGATGATGAACAGGTGGAAAAGTGTGCACAACCTTCAATAGTTGACTGAACATACCCACACAGGATGATAAACAGGTGGAAAAGTGTGCACAACCTTCTATTGCTGACTGAAAATACCCACACAGGATGATGTACAGGTGGGAAAGTGTGCACAACCTTCAATAGTTGACTGAACATACCCACACAGGATGGTAAACAGGTGGAAAAGTGTGCACAACCTTCTATTGCTGACTGAAAATACCCACACAGGATGATGTACAGGTGGGAAAGTGTGCACAACCTTCTATTGCTGACTCAACATACCCACACATGATGATGAACAGGTGGAAAAGTGTGCACAACCTTCAATAGTTGACTGAACATACCCACACAGGATGATAAACAGGTGGAAAAGTGTGCACAACCTTCCATAGCTGACTGAAAATACCCACACATGATGATGAACAGGTGGGAAAGTGTGCACAACCTTCTATAGCTGACTGAACATACCCACACAGGATGATGTACAGGTGGGAAAGTGTGCACAACCTCCCATAGCTGACTCAACATACCCACACATGATGATGAACAGGTGGGAAAGTGTGCACAACCTTCTATAGCTGACTGAACATACCCACACAGGATGATAAACAGGTGGAAAAGTGTGCACAACCTTCCATAGCTGACTGAAAATACCCACACAGGATGATGTACAGGTGGGAAAGTGTGCACAACCTTCCATAGCTGACTGAACATACACACAGAGAATGATTTGGCAGGTACACACATATTCACTTAAAACAGCGTAAAAAGAAAATATAACATCCTTACTATAGATTTCTCATTTCGGAATATAGATGATCCTTTGCAAAAAGTGAGGAGTATGTATTGTATGTACCTTTTCTATCACCTTGTGATATTTGCAAAGAAACTTCACCAGGCAGTAGGAGAGGGTTTATATTGCACCAGCTACCAGGCGAGTAAGCAATATGTGCCAACCACCTGAGTTTTGTGCTTTTCATTACACAAATTAAAGAATCTTTTTATCTCCTTTCAACAATCTACACTGTATAAAAAGAAAAACAATTCACTTCAGAAAACCAAATATTTTGTTATCGATATGCAATAATCTTTTTCTACTCTTTACATTTCATTTTTTTTTATTTTCAGAGAGAAGATTTTACTTTTTTGTTCACAGTTTAATGATAATCACACTAGCTACAACTTAACAGCACATCATACAGCAGCAATCAGCCTGTTATGTTCATTTTTCCGTTGATTTTGAAATCAAAGAGTAACTGTTGCTTTTAGTATTGAATGTCTGTTATGTTTTTACCAGCGAACAATGACTGAGCATTCAAATCCAAGACAACTTAAAATAGAGTTTGTTTTGCTGATCATGCATTTCTTTTCCTTCACTATGTTTAAATATCTGCAAAGATTCTGTGTTTATTCAAATCAACAACTTGAAAAAAAACAATCCTTTTCTATTAGCTCAAGATGATAATAACAGTGGGACAGGATTGATATCACACCACCTACCCAGCAAGTAGACAAAGCATGACAACCACCTAGGTTTTTGTGTCTTTGGTACTTATTGTCAGATGAATACAGCAAGTTTGTAACAGTTGCTATGGAAGTAGTAATCACCAACAGGTTAAATTTTGGTCAGACCACTTAACAGCTACAAACTCTCAATATCAATTAGAACTTAAGTCATCCTAACAAGAAACCAAAAAGCATTAAAAGTATTACCTGGTACTTTCTTGACTTTTTCTGTGTCATTTTCAATGGTGTATCTCAGATCTCTGAACATTCTCTTCTCTCTCGATGCCTGAGACACCAGCTGTAAATTAGACTTAGGCTTAAATCCACTGCTTAATGTTACTTTCATTGGGCTGACCATGTCCATGTGAGCCTCACTCTGGCGTGGCAATGCCCGAACCCCTACCCTACTTTTGACTCCTCCAGCCACCTTGGCCACAGGACTTGCCACCTCCCTACTCCTGTGTTTCTGAGGTCCAGTCCTAGATTTGACAGGGATCACTCCTGCAGTTTTACTTATGTGGGGTACACTGTCTCCAGGCCCACTGTTAGACCGAGATGTCCTTTGGAATGGTTGCACAGTAGCACTCTCTGAAATAGATTTACAACAGTAAATCCAGGTAATCCTCTGGTGATAATGCCATCAAAGAATGAAATAAAAAGGCATGAATAAAATATCTATTTAATTTTTCTCAGGTTTTGCCCAAGCCTGAAAGTTTTGTGTGTGTCTAGAATAGAAATATCTAACAATTCCAGTGAATATCACAGATCTGTGGCTACTCGCCATGTTTAAAGAGCTATGTCAAATAAAGCAATGTATACATATTTGGACACTTTACTTTTGCTACATTCTAATTTCCAAGTTGTGTTGAATGAAACAATTGTTTCCATGATGCTGTTGACAGGCTTTTTGTCCGAGTACCCATCATTAAAAAAAAATCATTTTCAGTGTTTACATTTTGCATAAATCTTTTTATTAATCAATGTAATGAAGACAATCAAGTATGTTTGTAGAGAGTTACTTATATTCATTTTAGTTTTAATTTGTTTCCCCTGTAATTTGATATTATTCACACAAACGAGACACACCAAGACATTTGAAAAGAAGCTCATGAAACCTGCATATTTCAAGCAGCTTATATGTTGACAAACGCAGATCTCTAAACTTTTAAGTGTTCTGATGTTGCAGATAGTTCTGTGATCTTGATAAGAACAGATTTTAATAATTTTTTTTAATAAAATCAAATATTCACTATAAAATTTTTACCTGTAACATAAAAGTTAAATACCATTTTGGTATCTTTTGACGTATACACTAAGAGTGCATAACTGCCTTTCAGCTTATTTGTTAGTATATATGAACGGACTGATTCATATCTTGTCCTCAGATCTAATCTACCATGATTAAGTACATCAAAACGGTTTGACAACAGGTAAACAAAGTTACTTAATATTCTAACATCCTTATTGCTATGACTTCCATGCTATTTTCATTTAAACTTGAAAAAAATATGAAAAGAAATTATTTCTTTAGAACCTCTACCTTTCTCACTATATAATTTCCGTTCTTGGAGTATTTCCTGCATTTTGGACGATACAGACTTTTCTGCTGCACTGACTGCTTTGACTAGAAGGGATTTGTTTGCCTGTAGAGCTGCTGGCACACTGGACCTGTAAACATAAAATATGTATACTTTACTGGTATCAAACCAGGATCATATCTATAAAACACTAATGAAGACAACAATCTGCAGTAATAACTAATCTACATTACAATATATCAAGTAGATGAAGTGCATAGTGTGCTAATCTAGATTTCAGATTGAAAGTATGCATGCAGATAAAGTGAATAGAGTGTCAGTCTAGAGCTAAGATTGAAAGTTTTCCAAAAGATCAATTAAATACTATCAGTCCAGAGCTCAAATTAAATTTTGTCCAGTAGATAAATTAGAATGAATGTCGCCCAGTATATAATTGGATAGTGTCAGTCTAGAGATTGCAGGTGCCACAATCATGTCTTACAGCTGAGTCAAAGTATTGCCCTCTCCTGTTATACAATTCAATATCAAAAGTGTTATTTAAAACACTTATCATGTACATGACTCAAGTAGGCAAATACTTCCTACTAAAGTTACATTCAAAATTCTTGTTATACTCACTTTCTGTCTGTGACTCTAATAACACTGGCCACACTACCCACAGCAGGATTGTAGGGATCATATTCTTCCTCCTCAAACTCAGTAAACTTTCGCTTGACATTCCCCACAACTGACATAGGCTGCTTTCGCTTTACTGGAGACACCTAGCCAAATACACAACACTGTACAGTGGCTTTAACATCAAATACTGAAAAAAACTGATATCATCGATTAAACATTTACATATTGCTATGATATGTGTTACACAAATGAAGACATATTACAAGATTTCCTTCTAGCATGTCTACAACTAGTTCTATGCTTTCTATATATCCTTGAAGATTAATCTGTGATTTGTGTCTAAGTACAACTGTTACCTGTCTCTGTGTTTCTGATGCTGCCCGTTTCACTGGTACTGCCATGGCCTTTGGCACTTGTCCAATTCGGCTGTGCACTGACCCTAATCGTTTAGTCACTGAAGGCTTAACCATCACTGACCGAATGTAAGTTGTGTCTCCAGAAGACTTGACAGAAGGTTTGACTTCAGCACTGGCTGTTGACGTGGGATTTGTTTTTGTGGTAGGTGAGACTTTGGATGATGTCTTTATCTGACCAGTACTGGGTGTAGAAACCTCACTGGTCTTCTTATTACCCTTGATCTCCTCTGGCTTAAATTCCTCACTAAATTCATCTAAATGGAAAGATATTTTCACCATACTTTAAAATTTTTGGTATACTTATAGATCAAAGGACTACTTGCTTGTCCCTTAGAGACACTATAGGGCATTGCACTAAATCCTTTTTGTGCTAATTGCAAGTTTGGTATATAACTTTCTATAATACATCCTGGATTCATCAATTCACCTTTATGATAATCTCAGAAAGTTTGATGTTGCAGTACCCCCAGAATATGATTTCACTACAACAATTTACATCTCGTTTAGACTGGCTAATATTTATTAGCATGTCAGACATTTTAATCACATTTCTGACATGCTAGAAAAATATAATACTTTTGTTTGAAATTATTCATATGAGCCCCAAGAAATGTTAAAAACAGGACAAGAAACTAGAAAATTATTTTATATAACTTTCAGTGCTTATATATATGCCATAGTTTTAACATGCTGTACAATTGTACAATCTTAATCTTACCAGTTTCCGACTTGTCAAGAAGTAAAGGAACATATTCTTCATCACCCTTGATCTTTTTTGCATCTTTGATTGCCTTGTGCGTTTTTGCAGCAAAAGATTTTGGCCCTTTTGTAACATTTTTTTCCTTTGTAACAGTTTTTTCTGTGACAGATTTGTCAGTCTTTTCGGGAATTTTCTTTTTCTTCACAACATTTTGCTGGTTCATGCTTTCTGTCTCTGATTTCTCTAGCTCTTGACTTTTCTGTTTATCTAAAATGTTAAAGAATTCAACGTTATATTGAGATGGAATCACCAAAATATAAATAAATAGGTAAAGTTTTGGAGAAAAACACAATTTATACATGTTCAATGAAACCTCAGATCAAAAACATCATGATGATCATTCTTTTATCTGCTACTAATTCCACAATTATGATCTGTAGTCAGATTGAAATGCTTTTATTAAATTTTATTAAGTTAGAAGCAAGACAAACATACCTGTTCCCAATGTTTGCAGTTTATCCAACAGTCCATTCAACCTGTCAGGATAAAAATAAACAAATATAAAGAAAAAGTCAGGATTTGATTTATCATAGTTTGGCTATCATGGTACATTTTAGGATTTCAGGAAAAACATATCATCATTCATATGTGCACAGGTTTTAAATTCCATCTGCAATATCTACCTATCGTACTCTATCACAAACAATTTACATACCCAACAGAAACCTTTATGATTCAAATTTTGACTACATATCTTTACAACAGACATATAAGTAAACTAAAATTATTGAAATTGCATCATATCGTACCAAGATGTGAATTTTTCTGTGTTGGAACTTAGAAAAAGACCCAGGTCTTCAGTCATCTGAGTCTGACTTTTCTTATTTGCCACCATTACCATGATGTAATCTGGCAATTCATCATCTACAAAATAAGAAAATCTATTAAACAACTTATAATGTGTATACTTCAACTTTAAAAAAAATGAAGTGTGCATTTTATGGCAAGCTCACACATACTTAAAATACAATAGAACTTTTTTGATCAGATATCAATCACACTTTTTCATTCCACAATATCACCAATGAAAATGACTTAAGGTTTCATATATACCAATGTAACTAAAACATAGCAAACAAATATTAGCCCTAGTCATGAAGCATTCCCATTTACACCATTTAGAGTGTATTTACATTCAAATCTCATCTTTTACCCTCTACTTTCCAGATTAGTTGCAAAGTTTAAAAAAAATATCATTAATATATTCTTTTTTAATACCCAAATTTTAGCTACAATGAGAACTTTGTCAGGAATATGGAACTCCCATGTCTTAGTATTGTCATACACTTAACAAATTTTCTTACCAACATAAGCTCCAAGTTCGATCAGCTTAGCTTTAATTGCGGACTGAAAGGAAAATAACTGTAAGTCAATTTCAATATCTTTTTACACTTAAAATAATTCCAGATATATTATATACAGATCATTCATTATCTTTAAACTTTCATAATTTGCTCATCAGTAGTGTTATAAGTACTGAACTCTGTGAGAAAAAAAATCTTACAAGTAAAATGGAAGTTTGTTATGAAAAGAATAATAATAATAAAGAAAGAAAGAAAGACAGAATAATCAAGTCTGTTAACCATGTAAATAAAATGATTAACAACCATATACCTGCTTCTCATGAATACACATCTTCAATGACCTCTGCAGAGTTATAGCTTTAAAACTACTTGGCAAGATTACGTGTTTCCATAATAAATGCTTATCTTGTATAGACAACACAATGTGACAAAATCATAATGTTTCAAAATTACAACAATTTTAGCCATTTTCTGTGGATCCTCAAAAGTCAGTGGATGTTTTCAATTTTTTCAAGTAGTGTAGTTGCTTTTGGAAGTTACACACATTGAACATTTGTGTTTCTAACTTCAAAGAAAAAGAAAACAACTGAAAAGCAACAGCATCAGCTTTAGTAGTGCCAGGGACGTATAAAAGATAAAAAAAAACAGGACCAGTGGAGACTTCTCTGGCATTGGCTTTTATGTTTGTTCACTGGAGTCCCCCTCTCACCGAGCCCCCTCCATGTTGTCATCTAAACTTCATCTACAAACACTTTTCGGAAACTAAGAAGTAAATATCATTTTCAGAACAAAAATTAGAAAATTTAGATGCATTTTAATCTAAAATATTTAAAGATGACTTTCTTCATATTTGGGACTGAAAGTGGTATACATCATAGAATGGTGTTTCAGTTTTGAATAGCTCAACCTTGCGGTTTTTAATATCAAAGATGACAGAAATTATTTGTCTAACATGTTGTTACAGTCAATTTGAAAATTCGTAAGCATTCTACTACTGTTTATTTTTAACGGATTTGTAAGGCATTTTTTTTTTTTTTTTTTAGAAAACTGCTTTAGTAACATACTCGGATTTCTTTGCTACAGCCTAACAAAGAAATATAAGAAGTTTCTTATCTATCTGTATTATACGTCATTCCTTTCAGTAGTAGACGCAAACGATCGCCGACGTTCGAAGACCGACCGTTTCTGATGTTCAGCGCCGATTATAGATAGCATGCACGCTGATTTCATGTATCAGAAGCACGTACCCTGATTTTCTTGCTTATGTCCTTTCCAATATCCATCTTGAAATCTTCCCTTTTCCTGTTGTTCCAATGTTGTGTTTTCTATGTATTTTCCGTGGAAAATTGTCAACCACTCGGCATCGCTGCAGGACCGGATATCAGTATTTATATATGGGAGAGAACTCTATATTACTTAAGTCTATCGACAGAAAATCGTCGGCCACCGTAAAGTTAACGGGAAGTGCCGACGATTCCCGACTGCACCAACTTGAAGTCAGTACATTTTTGTAATATTCAACAGAGCTCATCTTCTCTAGATTCAAAAATGATTAATTGTATCAGAGACGTATATAACATATTGTGTTATGTACTTCTCTAAATCAGTAAATGTTAAGTTCGTTGTTACGTTAATTTGTCATATACTTACAATCTAATTCTTAAAGTATACTGCAAAACAACAGAGAAAATACCAACATGCTAATAGAGTCGTAATTAAAACTTTAGTCTGTGACAATACGAAAAATTTACACGGAGCCTGCTGAAAAAATAAATGGAAAATAAGAACTGCTTTGTCGACAACACTCGCAATGAAACTCTTGGTCATTCCAAGTAACTTACGGTAATAAATCATGTTACATCACATCAATGTAAACACGACAAAGGCGAACCAACTGCTATATCGACAATCATCAAACACATCCAACTTCAAATCACACAAGAAAATCAAATATAACCCAAAGTGGAAAACTTCTCCGATGCATTTCTCTCTTCTCTTCTTCTTTTCTCTCTCTTACATACACTTTAAATGATTTCTTGCTGGTGAAGAATGGTCTGATCCACCATATCCTGGTTCAATTATAGATTTATTTACATTAGAAAGAAGATGTTGCGAACCAAGAAAAAAGTCCAATCAATCCTGTTTGATAGGGTTAGCTCGTCAGCACGTGTAGCGTCTAGTGTCTGGATGATGTTCCCTGGATATGTCAATTACAAGTACATTTCGATCTCCCAGTTACTGCCCTTCATTTCACTCGGTCATTACAGCCGAAGGAGGCCAAGACTGCTGCTAAGTTAATTAGACCAAATAAAATTTAAAAAAAAGATATGACTTTTTACTCCTTCAAGAGTTCTTTTTATACATCTTTCAGATAGATACTAACTTTCTACAATATCATAGCCTAAGACGTGCTGTCAAGAAATCATGTCATTTTAGAAAGACCCTCTCAGCCTGCAACTCAACTCCTCTTAGCATGTTTTTCTTAAATATTAAAGACTTAAAAGATTTCTGATTACGTCACTTGTCCGTGCGTGAACATATAACTACAATCAGAGACGTATATAACACGTGTTATATACGTCTCTGCTACAATGGTGACATAAAGAGCATACGTTGATGTTCACGCATTCCCACACAGTTCGACAATTCTCTTGAATTGTGCTTGAATCTTACTCTACGTTTTCCACAATTTATTCCGAATATTCCGAATAAGATTTTAAAATATACCTTATGAAGAAATTAAATATCCTATGTCAGATATCTATACATAATGTAAGATATTTTATAAAATATATCATATCTATATGTAAATGTATTATGTTTTTCACAAAATAATAAAATAACACATACACATATATATACATTATTTTATAATTTTGTGAAAAACAAGATCAATATTGCACCTGGAATAACTGTTAACTTATTTTGCTGATGTTGTCAGGACTGTATATCTATATTGAAAGAAATATAGAAAACCATTACCATCATACCCAGAGACGTTTATGACATGTGTATTTATGTTGTTATACGTCACAAATCAACTGATGTTTAGTTAATTCAATTTTGACGAGTCGGCCCAGGCTGTACACCATGTACCAGTTAGGACGTCGAGACATTATACACCCCTGGTTGCGAGTTCATATATATATATATATATATACGATAAATGGGGAAATATGTGTCAATGTTATAGCATCATGCATCTATCTAGTTATTTTCAATTTTATATATGATGATACATCGATCCTTATACGCATCTATTTCAAAATGATCTCCAAATATAATATGTAACGTGGAAGTGGTAAACCATTAACATATGAACATCGTCAGTGTATATCTTTGTAGATATTGTTAAGAATAGATATCATTTAATACACCAGGAGGATAGACACAGCAAAGATTTTTTTTCACTGTCAATCCGTTTATCTATTCAAGGATATTCGATTTAATTTATATGAGTACTTGGCAATCCGCAGAATATATATAAATACTCAAGATTCCATTGTGAGATTAAAAATATTTCCGCCAAAACTATAATGCCTGTGTCTAGTCCATACTTGTCAACAATCGTCTGCCGCTTGTCTTTCATTGACGCTTTAATTGATTCAATTAGCGGGTCTCAAGTTCATTGATTTGGTGCTTGCAATTCAAACTAATTTGCTCGTGATGTTTTCGTTACATAGCTAGAATGTCATCGCAAGAAACGTTAGATTTATTCTATATTCTTACACAGTATTTGGTAAACATGCAGAGTTTCTATAAATAGTCTGAGTGTTTAATGTCTTGATACTTTTAAATATTGTTGAGGCGATTGGCAAGTTTCAACGTGTTCGAAATAAATACCCGAATTATTTCCCTTCGGTGAAAATTTAATGCACACAAGAGGTCGCCACAGTCGTAACCCTGGGAATTGACCAATCAAGAACTCTGTTATTAAAATGAAGAGGGAAGGGGAAAATTCAAAGATGGATGATAATCAGCAATGTTCAACTTAATGTCAATGTAACTTGCATTGTATCTACAAAATCTGTCAATTATCTCATGTAGCCAAGAACGCGAAATGACGCTGACGGCGTTAGAGAAGAGCAATAGGATGGAATGGGTAAAAATTCTCAGAAAATTAGTTGAAAGAAAGAAAAGTAAGTTATGTCAAAAAGTGCGTCTGCAAACGCAGATAATCTGCGTGGACATGTCTTTGTTATTATTACTTGTAGCTGTCTGTGTAAAGCCAGCGTCAAACAGCTAAGAAAATGCTATTGTCGATCCATATGTAGATGCAATTATTTTGCAATTTTGTCGTGTATAATAATAGACCATTAAAAGACTTGCTCTGGTATATTAACTAATAACATAAAAATATTGAAATACGGTTACAAAAACTAATCTGACAGTCTGATTAGGGACATAGTACATTGAAAGGCGTTTGCAACTACATGTTTAATTAACGTTAGCAAGCAGGTAGTTATAAGTCAACTTTTAGTTAAACTAGCAGTTAAAATTATTATCTACACACATTTCCCATTATTTATGATATTGACACAAAATTTTCAATACAGTTACATTATCACTATGAACCAGCCATTGTAAGCTTAAGAAAAGCCTATTAATGCATCCAACATTTTACTACAATTATTATGGATTAAGGTTTGACAAAAACTATTAAAATGAAAGGGACAGAGTTTTGCAAATAAGGAATTATATGCTGATGACTGAATGAATGCAACGTCTTTAGATTATATAATGTAGGAAAAAACATACATATACAATGAAAATTGATGTTCTCAAAATGAGATGTTAATTCATTAGTCAATGTCTAAAGTTGATAAATTTTAGAATTTTGAATATGGATGAAAAAGAAACAAATGTTTGGAATGTTTGTTTAACTAGTGCATTCTATACACTTAGTTAACTTATTGGGATTAGACATTTTAGCAGTGATGTTTGGTGTGAAAATTAACAATGATTCATGAAGTGGTTAATAAATATCAGGACATGTTTTTTTTTTTTTTTTGTACCACGGTTACTAGTAGGTAAATTTTCTTTGGAAGCAGACCAATAAAATTGAAGATGTTAAATTTCATGATATAGATAAAACAAATTTATTTAATTTCATAATCATTTAAGCTCCATTTATTGTGTTTTATAAGGGAAACCATTATTGACATATGCATTTCTGAAAAAAAGTTATTAATTGGAGCAGGCTGTGATTATAGTTAAAAGGCTAAGTGACAATATATACAGAGCTCTGCTCAAATTCACATATTATTATTTAGTAATTATTAGTTAATAAGAATGAATTATGCATTTTGTATTTCAGGTAAGAAAACTATAGAAGATACAAAATGGGAAGAATCTAATAAATTTGAACAATATTACAAGAAGTGGAAAGGTATCAATGATAACTTTCTGAATGTTCCAACGTTATATGTAAAGGTAAGTAAAGCTGTCTGCAAAGAAAGCAAATTAAAACTTGATCCTGGAATATAATCCAAAATTCCAATTTTTTCATTTAACTACATGCATGTGATCAAAATAGATAAAAAAAAATCATGTCATGAATACACATGCATTATCGCTTAAACTTTGATTTATTCCTTCTCAAGAGATAACATTGACATTGCTACAAACATTTTTAAATTGGTAAATATATAAGCTTATAGATATGAAAAAAATGGATTTGGTGTTGAGCTGACATCCACAATCCTGGGTTGAGCAGTATCAAAATTTGCTGAAATGATATTAGTCTACCATTGAGTTCATACCTCTGACTGAAACCATATGGCAAACTTAGGACATTTGGTATTTCAAATATGGATGTGTTTGGGATTGCAGTATGCATAGAGGCATTCATTTCAAATATACTTTGAGTGAATGAAGTTTATGACAGTACAGGTGACAATGTACTACATATATTATTATCATAACAGAAAACAAATGTTTTTAAGTAAATTGTATAGCAAATGTTTTGTTCTTTTTCAGCTTCCTTCAGAAGAAGAACCTTTGCTTCTGAAGCTAAGAGAGGAATCCAGGTTTGTTTGTGCAATTTCAAAATCAGTACCGGGTATATGAAAAATTTACAGTATTGATACTAACATATAATGATTCTAATTTTGATAATACATGTTTAATTAGACAAATTACTATATATAGTAAGTGAACGTTATATATACATAGTATCGTCAGCCATGTTGCAAATGATGAATAGTTTTAGATTAAGTCTTGACATCTACCATAGCTTTATTGAGACCAAAGTATTATCTTCTCATTATCATCTTACATTTTTCTGGAATATATATGGAATTTCAGGTAATTCATTGGCCCTTCCCATCTGGTAAAATCACAAATCTGAAGGGTCAAAAGCCGTTTTAAATTCCTGTAAAATAGACATGCTTTTCCACACGTAAGGGTCTACTGAATGCCTTGATTTCACCTTAAGCTACCAAATATTTCAAAAACAAAAAAAAAGAAAAACGAAAAATATTGAACATATATGAGTTGATTGTAATTTCTCTTTACAGAGCTGTTTTTCTTCAAAGAAGAAGCAGGGAACTTCTAGATAATGATGAATTGCAGGTATAGTAACATCAGTTGTGGGAAAGTGTATTTTATGTTAATCTACTTGATTTAATTCATTTCTTTGTCAGATTTGTAATTGTATAACAAATATTTTAGGTTAATAAAGTAAATTTGATTATAAGATATTATGTCTGTGGCTTGAGTAATTTTGAGAAACAGATATGTAGTAAAATTAATTTTGGTATTTGTATAATTTTTGGTTGAGCCCACTTCTAAAATTGATTTGTAATATTTAAGTTAGCTACAAACCACCTGATTTTGCAGTTTAAAGTATGTTCCACTGTGTGAGCTGAAAGTGGTTTACTTTCAGAGGCTTTTGAAACTAGCACTTCAAAGATAGAATCTATGACTGGAGTATGAAAAAATTGCTAACCAGCATGCATTGTGCTAAGTTTATGTACCATATTTTTGGGATTATAAGCTGTACCCTTAGTCCTCCTTTCATGGGCATGCGGCTTATGTACTGGTGTGGCTTATATGTAGATGAAAAAAGAATCAGCAGGACGAATAAGAAAATATGGGAAGCATACCATTACACCAGTACGAGACTGTATACTCCTATAACATAAGAGGCTGCTGGTCGGCCATTTTATTATCTGTCGTTATTGTGCAACTACTCACACCTGTTGTAAAATTCTCCCCATGTTAAGCTTCTAACACAAAATTTAGTTAAATTTAGTATGAATTCCAATAATATCTACTGAACTTTAGAGGTTACTTCGAAGCTACAGCAGAAGTTTACATTAGTCTTTTGCATCCTGAGATTGATAGGTCATCTGGTTATAGGTCGAATTAGAATGACCCCTATGCTTGTTTACGATATGAATGACTTTGAATAACTTATAAGAAGAAATAATATGGGACTGTAAGAATTTGGTCAGCATGCATATCAAATATCAACAATAGTGATCACCATGTCATAAGAAAGCGTGCGGATTATGTATGGATCAAATAAAAAAGAATCATTAAAAGTTGGCTCTGCAGCTGATATACTGATGCGGCTCATAACCTGGAAAATATGACAAAACTGTGATTATGAAATGATTGGGTTTGTTAAACGTAATGTTTTCATAAATCTGGCTTTAAACTATTAGCTGGGTTGTCAGTACCATTTTGATATTGGTTAATCTAACAACCAACTTCTCAGTTTTCTTTGTGATTTATTTTCCATGTATTTGTTTGTGAATGTCACAACTTAATGTTCTGAAATGTCAGATGATGTTGTGAAGAAAGTTTTTTTTTCATATTTTTGATAGGTGTACTTATAAACTAACATATGCCAATGTTGTTTTCCAGCGGTTGTGGTTTCTGTTGGACCAGCATCATACTCCTCCCATTGTAGGAGAAGATCAAATGATTAATTATGAAGACTTCCTTAAAGTGGGAGTAGAGGCTGGAGCCAAATGCCAGTAAGCTATAGATATATGTAAATTTTCTCATCTAAGTAGATTTATTTCTCCACAAAATCAAATGTCCAGGAAAAAGCATTTTTTGAATAACTACGAAAGTGACCTATATGAAAATATTTATGGTGCCTCAGTATAGAGTTTTATTTTCTGGGTGGCACTCCTGGGATAGTTAGCACGTACGGAGTAATGATAGTCACTTGTTCATTACCAGTTATTGCAATCATTTATCACTCTTCCATTTTGTTAACTTATTAAGTGAAACTGAATATCTCTTTTGGTTATTCTCCTACTGCAGTTGGTAGTGCTCAAGGGAATTGTTTTCAATTTCTGTGTGACCTATCTTGCAAATAACATCTGGTATAGTGGAATGCTACTTGCTAAATTAAGAGCTAGTACCACAGTATTAATTAAAGGCTCCTTGTCTTCTATGGTCTGTGTTTCCTGTTATTGTCAATTGTGTTTTTCTTAGATTTTCTTTTCTTTGTCTCAATTTGTTGAAACAATTACCATAATTTCTTTTTACAAGATGTCTATGCATATACATGATATTCATATAACTATTTCATGAAATTTAACTTTTCAGACAATTTTTCAAAGCAGCAGTTTTCTGCAAGCTTCTACAGGCTGATCCCTATGGAAGGATATCAATCATGCAGTTCTTCAATTATGTAATGAGGAAAGTGTGGCTTCACCAGACACGGATAGGATTATCACTGTATGATGTAACTGGTCAAGGCTACCTCAAAGAGTCGGTAAGTTAAGGTGTAAGCAAGAGGACCATTACTTTGAAATGATATGTGAAATTGCTTGCTGTAAAAATCGACATGCCATATTAACAGTTGATTTTCATCTGGTCAAAACTGACCTTTAGATATCTCAAATTGGCTTGTACTATACCTCCTCTGTTCTGTGAAATTCTCTGTTGTAAACGGATTGTAATTAGAAGACATGATTTATAAATGTTTATCTGTATTTAGCAAAAGGTTACAACTGTGATTAAAAGAAGGAACAGATTCAACAATGTAATTGATCTTGTTTAAACTCATGATTAAAGATTTGTATTAAACATTTTGCAAACAACTTTGTATGCATATACTAGTGTACAAGTGAATAAAACAGGCAATGTAAAGCTGTAGTGGCTAAGGAGCTAACTTGGATGAAGATAGTTAATAAAGAGCAGAAGGTGGGGGCTTTTGGAAATCTGAAGATATTTGCATATGTTCATCACGATACAAATGCAATAAAACAATAAAAAGGTATGCAATGAAAAAATAACTTTCCATGTTTAATTTTGCAGGACCTGGAAAATTATATTTTGGAGTTGATACCCACGTTACCTCAGGTAAATATGGATTTATATCTGTGTTGATTTGTTTTTTTGGAGGCCATTTGCTGTTATTTTGTCACATTGATGCAGAATATCAACAAAATTCAACTTTTGTATTGTTTTATGTAATAAAATCGTATCGTTTAAAAATAATAAAGGTAAACAGCATTAATTCTTTGTGTACTCAGGACGTCTTGAGACGTCAAAAGAAAGTGTTCTAGTATCCTTCACGACATCTTGATACATCCTCGCAAACATGTCTCTGTTTCTTTGTAACGTCTTGTTTTGTTACTCACCAGTTCTCTGTAGGGATTGTCTGACAGAATTTGTATCTAACAGATAATCAGTATTTAACATAAAATTATGATGCATGTCAAGGATATTTATTTATCAAAACAATAAAATATTCTGAAATGAGTTGATTAAACCAGATTGTTTACACTGATAATAAATGGTGCACTCGGATTCTGCTTTTAATTTCTGAAGCATTAATGATGAGAAAAATAAATAAAAACTATTGAATATCTAAAACTGAGTACAGTTTATTGTAAAAATAAAACAGAAAACACATAACTTGTACATGCAACAAAAAAACAAGGTTACATATGAATGATAAATTACAAGTGACATGGGGAGGACATGAACTGTTGTATTCATCATGTTACTGAATGATTGGATCAAATTTTTGTGGAGATGGTTAATAAAAATGTTTAAACCCATTTTATGATAGATTGCAGCAAATAAATGTTTAATTTAGTACAGAAAAAATTAAATATATTTTAGTTTAATGATTAAAGATTATTCCTGGAATGTTGAATTGAGATATTGTACTGATATGTTATAAATAATACAAATTTTGTTTATTTTCAGCTCAATGGCCTGGAGAAGTCATTTTACTCCTTTTATGTATGCACAGCTGTAAGGAAGTTTTTCTTTTTCTTGGATCCTATGAGAACAGGAAGAATAAAAATACAGGACATACTGGCATGTAGCTTCTTGGATGACCTTTTAGAGGTATGATCTGGTGTTGTGTATTCCGTAAAAATTGCATTTAAATACATGTAGAAATAATCCATTGAATTTTCAACACTACTGTATAATGTTTTCCCTCTACACCTAGTTAAGAGATGAAGAACTGTCTAAAGAAATGCAGGAATCAAACTGGTTTTCTGCACCCTCAGCTCTCCGGGTTTATGGCCAGTACCTCAATCTGGATAAAGACCACAACGGAATGTTGAGCAAAGAGGAACTGGCTAGGTTTGTTGCTACCTTATTTGGCTTAGCAGAATATTGTTCAATAACATATGTTCTGGACAAATTTCATTGTAGTCAAGAAATGGGTTTAGCAGTGGCAGAATTTGTTTGATAATTTAATTACCTTAACATTCATTACTATAAACCAATGTTTGAGTTAACTTTCAAATGAGATGGTTATTTACCAATAAGTTATGTTGATTTGATTGATAAATTTGAATTTTGGGGTTCTATAAAATCATAGATCCATGGAAGTCAACATGCTACTGTTGGATGTTTTATTGAAACTAAAACAAGTAATGAAGAATGAAACGAAATTGGTACAGTATTCCTCTAAAATAACTTGATGTTGTGGGTCACAAAATACAACAACACTGTATCTAGCTTTTTAAAATGTCTATCCTGTTAATGTATTAAATCTGATTTAAGGATCCCATTGTACCACATAAGTGTTTCTTATTTTTAGGTATGGCACAGGAACACTTACTGATGTGTTTCTGGACAGAGTGTTCCAGGAATGCTTGACGTATGAAGGAGAAATGGTAAGTGCTTTTTCATTAGGTATAAATGATATGTTTACTCCTTCTATCAAAAATCTGGGAGGGGTAATGATGTATAGAGGAAGCAACCAATTATTACTGAGCCTAAAAAGTAGTCATCTGTTCAGGTTTGTAATACATGCTAGTGGGATGTTGATGCTGCTTTAGTAATTTACATATCTTTACCTTTGACTGAAAGTCACACCTTATCAGGATTGAAAACAATTTCTGCTCAAAAAATCAAAGTTTTATACATGTTGTTTTTATTTTTCATTATGTAGGACTATAAGACCTACCTAGATTTTGTTCTGGCATTGGAAAACCGAAGAGAGCCACAGGCGTTGCGCTACCTATTTAGAATCCTTGATGTCCAACATAGAGGTTCACTCAATGTATTTTCCCTCAACTACTTCTTCAGGGTAAGAATTTCCTTATAAATATTGAATCTGTTAGACTTGTTTACTGAACACAATGCACTTTCAGATTGTGTCAAACTTTGCCAACAAAATGAGTGTATAAGTGGAATTACTCAAACAGTATATTTAGATACATCAAGAAGATATTTGAAGGCACAAAATCATGTCTCTACTTTATTTATGTAACAGGTTTTACATTCACTATAACGGTCATTTTGCAGACAATTATATGTCTCTACCCTTGACTTCCAGTGTTATACAGATTATTTGAATGAGTCCATTTTGATGCAAGTTCTTGTATAAAGTGACATATGTTGATGTAGTGCCACAGTGATCAAATGTGACACATTTAGCCCAAAGACCATGAATTTGATTGTTTTGTATGCAGGCAATTCAAGAACAGATGAAACTGCATGGGCAGGAACCAGTGTCATTCCATGATGTCAAGGATGAGATATTTGATATGGTCAAACCAAAGGACCTCCTTAAGATAACACTACAAGATCTGATCAAGAGGTAGAATTTCATTGTTTCATTGATTTTCGAATGTTTTTGTTTCCATTCACAACCATACGTCTGAAAATAACATAGACTGAGTAAGTCTTATGCTTATAAGAAGCTTGATTTCATTCATTGAAAGTTCAGACATGTGTATCCAATAGAATAAAGAACATAAAAACATATGTAGATATTAAATTGACATATTAATTTATCACAAAAGGTACAAACTTCAAACATCAAAAATGTTATCGTCAATATTTGATAATTTTTTAATATAACTGTAAAGTTATTCTTTTAAAACTTTAAAAATGGCACTTAAGATTAATTCCACCTGAATGAAAAGCCCAGGTAAGATGCCACAGGTACACCTGTATTTGCAACTTCCAATTGTGCAGATAAAGATACCCTGACGAACATTATGGTGGTCAAAAGATTGAATATTATATTGATAATTAACAAGATTAAACCTGTTTTTGAGTTCTTGCCCTTTATGGGTTTGGCTGTCTTGTTCACCCTTTATCAATATCTATCAATAAATTACCATCAAATTATCAGGCTGAGCAGATTTGGATAGTGTGTACCTTCATGAATTCAATTTACAAGGAGGTGGAATTATACAAACATTGAAAAAGTGTACAGATGGACATGTCATATGGTGGTATACTTATACCAAGCAATGTTCGTCTTTTAACTTTTAATTTTCATGTTCTTTCTTTTTTGAGAGGAGTGATACAAAGTGTTATCCATATCTGTCCTCTTATGTTCCATCCTGAGTCAGTGTCATTGCTCAAGTCTTTTCATTTCTTATAATATTGTGGGAATAGTCAAAACTTGAGTTTGGCGTTTCATTTATCCAAGGTCAAAATTACTTTTACTATTTATAAAAAATTTGTCAACTTTGAAAATCTGTTATTGATGTATTTCTGAAAATGTATGTTAAACATGCAAAGATTCATTGATCACAATAACTATTGACATTTGAAATCACAAAATTAACCTCCCCACAGAAATACATGTAACCTGGGTTTACAGTCTAAGTATAAGGTATAATGAATCAGAATATTAACCAAGTTTTATTAGGTCATCTGACCCGAAGGGTCCGATGACCTATAGTCATCATGCTTCGTCCGTCGTCGTGCGCCGTGCGCCGTCCGCCGTGCGCCGTCCGTAAACTTTTCATTCAAACGACTTCTTCTCAAATACTAGAAGGTCTAGGGGGCTAATACTTGGCACAGAGGATACTGGCATGGAGCTCTACCAAGTTTGTTCAAATGAATGACCTTGACCCACTTTAAAGGTCACAGGGGTCAAATATGTTAAAATCTTTAAACAACTTCTTCTCATTAACCAAAAGGCTCAGATTGCTGATATTGTGCCTGTGGCATGCTGGGATGAAGGGCTAACAAGTTTGTTTAAATGAATGACCTTGAACAACTTTCAAGGTCACAGGGGTCAAATATGTCAAAATCTTTAAATAACTTCTTCTCAAATACTAGAAGGCCTAGGGGGCTAATACTTGGCCCATAGCATGCTGGCATGGAGCCCTACAAAGTTTGTTCAAATGAATGACCTTGGCCCACTTTCAAGGTCACAGGGGTCAAATATGTTAAAATATACAAAGGACTTCATCTCAATAAGCAAAAGTCTATGAGTGCCGATATTGGGTCTGTACACACACAAGTTTATTTAAATGAATGACCTTGAACAACTTTGTGGCAAATATCAAAATCTTTAAATAACTTCTTCTCAAATACTAGAAGGCCTAGGGGGCTAATACTTGGCCCATAGCATGCTGGCATGGAGCCCTACAAAGTTTGTTCAAATGAATGACCTTGGCCCACTTTCAAGGTCACAGGGGTCAAATATGTTAAAATATACAAAGGACTTCATCTCAATAAGCAAAAGTCTATGAGTGCCGATATTGGGTCTGTAGCATGCTGGGAGGAAAGGCTACCAAGTTTATTCAAATGAATGACCTCAACCCACTTTCAAGGTCACAGGGGTAAAATATGTTAAAATATACAAACGACTTTCAACAAGCAAAAGTCCATGAGTGCTGATATTGGGCCTGTAAGATGCTTGGAGGAGAGGCTACCAAGTTTGTTCAAATGAATGACCTCAACCCACTTTCTAGGTTTTTGTCAGATGACCGTTAAGGCCCATGGGCCTCTTGTTGATGTCTATCTTCCCTTCAGCCTTGTGTATTATCTGTATCTAAATGCTTTATTCTTTTATGCAGTGGGAAAGGTGATACAGTGGCTAGCATACTGATAGACCTGAATGACTTCTGGACCTATGAAAACAGGGAGTACCTTGTTCCTGACACATCAGAGGAATCTGAGATATGACCCTGTTCTAACACTTAGGGACCATGTGCAAATCAAGTCACTACACACACTACCACACTGTGGCATCCTCTTAGGATTCAGTGTTACTGCTGGCATTCTGGAGATACCTGTACAATACTACCTGAAGTTGTGCAGATTTTAACAGCCACAGACTCAATGTCTATTGTTTCCATTTGTCAAATGTAAAATTGTAAGATTTTAAGTATGCATAATGTTTGATGCCTGTGTAAAATTGGGAGGTTGATATGAAACATTTCATTTTCTTGCAATACAAAAGAATTGCCATTGAAAATATGTTTTGCAGATTGAATTCCAAGTTGTATTGCTATTTTTGAAATAACGGATGACATTAGTCATTTGTGATTTGCTAATGTATGAGAGTTTTTTTTTTTATGGTAAGTGGCATATTGCTTTTGTAACATATGCATTTATGTGTTGACATTCAAATAGATGTTTTAAGTTGCACAAGTTTTTCTTTTCATTAGAAAAACAAGTACATGGTATTTATGAAGCGATACTTATGTAGAATAGAGGATGTGATCAATAATGATAGTACTATGGTTCAGTTTGTTTGATATGTGACTGAAGTATAGTGATCATTATGTTCTATCTCTTTATGTTGACACATAGAAATACGCTAACTCATGTTGATACATGTACCACCTTTGGCAAAGATTCTTTCTGAATTAAAGCTGTGGTTTTGTCAAATATTTATGAAAGGCAAGATAAAAATCTTTTTTCCAAGTTTGAAAGTGGGTTACTAATTGTTACACTTTAGGATGAAGTATATATCCTGTGAAGTATAAATAGATTTTCAAGTACATTTATTAGATTTAAGACCAACATTTGCATCTGACACCTATATCAGGTTATGTATTAGGCATTTCTTATGTTATAAATCTGTTTGGAGTAAAACACTACAGGCTGATTTCAATTTCATTTCCTATTAACTTCATATTTTAGCCAGTCATAGTCAAATTTCTTGATATATTTGTTAGGGTGAAATTCTTCACATCTTATCTTCATCACTTTCAAGAAGCAGATTTATAAAAGTATTAGGTGTTCTTTGTTTTAAGGCCATTTGTTATCATGAGTGAGCTTGGTTGACTTCTGATAATGTAGGAAGAGTCATCTACATTTGTGTTTGGTAGAAGCTTGATACAGAAAACTGGCAGCATCATTGACCAGTGCAATGACAGGCATTCATTGTTTCATATATGCCAAAATTTTATTTCAATCAAAATCAAAACTGTATATTCATTGACTGTCCTGTTAATATGATGATGAAGTTGATCAATATGATGTCTATTGTTGAACTGTAGATTACTTTGATTTTGTTCAGAGTTACATTCCTTAACTTTGCTTTTGTCTTTAGAACATTATTGATTTGTGATTTTTGAGCAAATATTCTGCATTTATCTTGCTTTCATCTGAGATTGACACTTCAGGTAACTTTGTAAGCTAACAAATATGATACAAAATCAAAGTAATCTACAGTATGCAGACTAGCTTCATTGATTGGTACAGTAACAGTTTAACACTTGACATGGTAGTACAAAATGTAGTTATTTGATGACAAGTCTGTCATTTGTAGTTAGTAGTATAGAGTGTATGTGTACAAGTTCTATAGTAATTACAGCAACATAGATATGAAGGTAGGTAAAGGTTTCATTATTAAATTCATCATTTAAAACAGTTTATCTGTAATGGTGCAATTGGTAAAGATTCAGGTTTTTTTTATAGTGGAAAAATAGTCAAACATGAAGTCTGTGGCATCACATTATTTTATTTGATTTCTATATATGCAATGGTAATTTTGTTTGTGTATTATATGTAAAAAGGAAATCCATTTATACAAAAGACAGGACTGAAAATTCATTGTCCATAGGAAATAGCCATATGTACTTTATGTGTATTAGGCACTCTGTTTGCTTATGCAATGATATTTTAACTTTTCCATTGGTTCAGTATTATATTTTTTTATTGTTTCTTTGTGTGATATGGTTTATTCATGCACCAAAAAAAGTGTTTCTGCACCATCATAATCAGATCATATTTGTGTTGCTATTTGATATTTTGTTATGCCATGGATGCTAACTTTGCCAATATTATTACATACAAGGGTTATGTTTATCATACACCGATTTTTTTTTTTTTAAACATAAACTGTCCTTGAAACTGATTTTTGTTGAAAAAGTGGTTTAAGTATGTTTGCTTCCTTTTTCTAATCTGGGAAACCTTAAATACCTGTTTCCTGTTTTGATCAGGGAAATCTTTATTTTTATGAGAATCTTTAACAGGTTTGTTTCCTATTTCATACATGCCAAGCAGACAATTTAGTACCGTTTGTTTGTAGATTTGCAGGGTGTCAATATTGCCTCAATTATCATTTTATTTGAACATCACATATGTTTTACTGGTCATTCCATTGGTATCAAGATATTTTCAAGGCATTAATATTGCATTGTAAGTTCTGTGTATATATTGTATCGACAGAGGGTACTTTTAGATAGCCGGTCCGGGCTATGATGGCAATATCAGAATGTAGACTTGGGTCATCAGTAATGCTGTTTATGAAATATCAGTCACAATATCAGGTGCAGCCAGATAGAACTAGATCTCCTGGTGTAACCAACATGATAGCTTATAAAATATTCTGTCTGGAATAGCACTAAAAAGGAAGTTTACAGAGCGCAGATTATGTCTAGATTAGCCTTGAAAACAAAGATTTAAATCATGGCTTGTCAAAATTTTTCTTCTTTTAATTGTAAAAAGATGGTTATTAATTTTCTCACCCTTGTTTTTCTAGTCAAAAAGTGACCAGCGCCTTCTACTACAGTGACTGTCTGTCCTGCAGTATTCAGAATCTTATCAACATGTATATTTCCTGATATCCTCAAGAAACAGATATATCCCCATAAGTACTGTGCATTGATATTTAACTCTTAGATACACATGGCTTGATAAGTATATAATTATGTTGCTATTAAGTGTGTGGAGACAATACGTTACTGTGTGATGTGGTGCATATGGTCACTTGTGAAAAACTTAAAAATTTAAAGTGTGGAGACTTAACCTATAAAGATGTACTAACACTAATGTGATCCGTCCATATCCTCCACATCAAAGGATATTATTGAGTCTGTCTCCTGTAATATTTTGTCAACATCTGTGATTACAAGTAGGTATTAAGTTTAGTAATGTACAGTTACTGTGATCTTGTTATAGAGAGTGTTTCCTCGCTACAATTTATATGTATGATACAAATTCTCAAAACATATTTGATTTGGTGACTAATCCTACATTTCTGATGTACGTCTTATATTTACAAATGGGGATTAATGATGCTCAATTTGTCTCATTTAAGAATCCAGTTGTCTGGAATACATATGTTAATTGGATGCAGATGTTCTACTTAATTTGAGTGAATAATGTATATCCTAGTATTGTAGTCAGGTGTTAGAAATATAATTGGTACTATAATTATGCTAGTACATGTCATTCCTATAGACAACTAAAAGCTAATGTGATATTTTTTGTACATCGGCCAAATTTCCCTGTACACCAAATTAGAAATTCCCTGAAAGTCTGTGATAAATGCATATATATTCTAAATTACCATGTAACCCTGTCATTGTCATTGTTAACATAGTCACCAAAACATAGTCAGAAATCAGTAATACATGGGTGTAGTTGTATCTATTGAATATATTTTGAGCAGGTTGATTAAGGAATGCATTGTATTTTTTCTGTTTTAATAGGAGTCAAGAAAATATCTTTTGAAAAATGTTTCATCTTTTTCTGATGTAAAATAAGCTTCATTTTTAATTGAATATATTTCAAAACCATGATGTGAAATGGATTTTGCAGTCATTGGTGTTGTAATGTAGTTGTCGCTGGATAAGTTTTTTTCTTTCTGTCACAGATTTACAAGTCACACTGGACATGAAACACATTGTATATAGAATCACTATCCGATAGTTTACGATTTGTGAACAGGTGGTACTGGACACACAATACACTGTATGATGGGCAATATACTATCTGTAACAGATCATACTGGAAGCACAGCTGCCTGTATGATGGGTAGTTTACTATCTGAAACATGTCATACTGGACACAAATTACACTGAAGAGTGGCTATTTTACTTTCTAGCATCATATTGGATATACACAATACACTGTTAGGTGGCTAGTTCACGAACTTTAACAGGTTATACTGGACATAAAATACACTGTATAGTGACCAGCTTACCATATCACAAATCTTACTGGGTATACACAATACACATGGAGTGTAGACCACTCCATGATAACAAATTACATAGAACATTATCGAATGTCAACAGAAAGATAGTTCTATCAGATATGTGAGAATACTAACTTGAGAAGTTTGGTAAGTATTGTCCGTACAAATTTTGTGATTGTGTGTAAATAAAAGAGACGAACTGAGCTTTCATGTTTTATGTTTTTATTGCCTCCCGAAGGTAGTGTTGACTGCTTACAGTGAGGGCCTGTAGGGTATCACAGCGGACCGGCACAATGGCTTTCTGGTACGCTGATCATTAATACAGTAGTCCTCGCCACACCCAGTCAACCCACCCCGGGACATAGGCGCCATAACAAACGTGTATACACAGTACTAACTAGGAAAACATTTAATTCAGGGATGATTTATAAATTATTCATGATGTTTTGGTATGAAGTCGGCTCCCTATCTCAACATATGGACGACGTTCTTCGGAACTATTTTTTAGCATCTTTACGTTAATCTACGATTTTGAACTTCTCAATAAGTGTTTTTATTTCACTCTGAAGGTTACAGGTCTGAAAGTAACGACTGAATCGTTTATGAGGTTTGCCGTCTGGTGTGATAAGGAACTTCTCGAAGTTCCAGGCAAGGTCTGTCCTACTCACTGGTTCCCAGATGATACTTTTACACGAATTCATGAAGGAGAAGGCATCATCACTCGGCAATGGAAGGTGGTTGCGTAGGAACACAAATATCTCTGACGCGTTCTTTCCGTTCACCTCCAGTTTCTCAAATACTGGGAATTTGGGAACGAAACCGTTTCCAGGTCGGACGTACTTTAGAGCATTCAGGATCTCGTGATTCTTGGTGTTCTCCTGTGAACAGTGGAAACGTTATCAACATTATAGTGTATACCAATGAAGTGATAAACAGTACGGACTCGGTAACGCAACAAAATAAATAAATACTACACGGGCAAATCGTCAGGTTTAAAGTTGCCAGTGAATTTCTATACGATTACTCATCCCTGTGATCGCACAATTTTTCGGCAGATAATCATTGGAAGTTACAATAGAAAAAAAATACTACTCCAAAGAAAGAAGGAGCTGATATAATTAAATGTGCAATATTCTCGCCGAATTTTTTTGAGTATTAACGGAACTAGAGAAACCCGTACCAACATTTAGGACGGGAAATGTGACAAAAATATTTGAACATTTCAATATCCACGTCGTCAGAAATCAACATACATACTTATGTAATGAATGTAATAGTAAGAGTATTAACAGAAATTGTGGGTACTGGTATGGTATATGATGCATGTTATCACCCGGCGTACATGTTAATGTTATATCATATTGTATGTGATACCGTTGTATAAAAGTAAATGAATGGTTTCCAACAAAATACGTTTGAAGCAAAAAAATAAAATAAAAAAAAAAAAACAATGGATAAGATGAAATATCTATAATAACACATACAGAAATGTTGAAATATGTAATATTATCTCGTCCTGCAATCGGGTATCAATTTACTCAAAACCAATTAAAAAAATAATATAAGGTTCTGTTAATGACATTCAAGTTATATGGTTAAACTGACACGGAATGTTATAATGTGATGCTCAAATTGCCGGAACTGTAATATTTAGACACAACATATTGACTCGGAACGCTAATTGATCGCATCACTATTATGTCGATATAGAGTAAGGGACGTAAATTCGCGACCACTTCGTGAGTTTTTGTCTTTTCCCTTCAGCTAGCAGTGGATTGTGATTTTTCGTTTATTTCCATTAATGAAAGAAAAGTACAATGGCATTAGAATGACATTTTTCAATTCGATGGAATTAATTGGCTTTTTAACTTTTTTAAAGCCATTTTTTGGCTCAATATAAATTTGGATTTTTTGTATACAAGACGTTTGAAAACCATGCTTAGCAACAACAAGAGGCCTAATGGGCCTGCAGCGCTCACCCAATATATATATATATATATATCAGCAAATTTGATCCCAGTGACCATGAATATAAGTCAAGGTCATTTCTTCGTCAGGCTTCATCCAATGTGCATACCAGCCAAATATCATGCCTCTAGGCCTTTTAGTTCACGAGAAGAAGTCGTTAATTTTTTTTAATAAATCTGACCGCGTGTGACCTCGAATATGGGTCAAGGTAATTTCTTTTCACAAACACTGTTAGGCTTCATCCTAGGAACATACCAGCCAAATATAAAAACATTTGGTCCATTAAGAACAAGTTGTTTAAAGAAAAAAGTTGGCGCCGAACGGCGGACGTCGCGCCACGGCGTACTAGTTAACTCACTTGGCCCTCGGGCCTGGTTAGCTAAAAATAAGGAGACTAGATGGGTGTGCGATATCATGTCCCCTCCCGTCTTCAAACCAGGAAGTAAACACCAGTTAATGACATCCATGCAATATGCGTGCGGTACCAGGTTATGTACTTGCACATTACGGAGTGCTTGTACACCTATCTATATACATACCGGAAGTTTGCGAAATCACGTACCCTCACTCTATACTGCGCGTTTCTATCAATGAGACTTAGAATTATCCATTTGATGCGGAAACTTGAATGATATATTTATACCGCGATACCATCGCAATGTAACAGACCTCCGTTATTATCCAGGACTTTAAGAATTATACATAAAACACGTGCCTTAATCAATACACCAGCTGGTACAGTTTGTTACAACGGAAGAGAATGATGTCTCATGCACACTTAAAAGTTTTAAATATAAAATCGATATTACACTTTACAAATAACTTATCACTTAATCTGGGTTTACATGAATACTGCATGTTGATGGAGACTTGTGTTAATTCTTGTAACCTGGAGTTGATTGTTACCTGTACGTGACATTAACAATTCAGATATCGATTTTACAACAGTACACACCCCGGCCACGCAGTGCTAATAAGGAAGTCGACCACTTTGACAGTGTTTGTACACGTTTGGTCAAACACCGTTTCTGTTTCAGTGTTTATTAGTTTTTTTAATCTCCAGTCACGAATTCGGTATATGCCAACGTTTTATCATATCCGGGAGTGGCCGGGTTAAAAGAGAATTTGCTTCTTATGGCAAAAAACGGGTTGTGTTTGATAATGATACAAAAGACAAGCCTATAACATACACGCTTTAAGTCTGGTTAAACAGAAATTAAAGTTATACCACTAGATAGACTAGGGCTCTGATTACAATGGGTAGCATGACTAAGTAGACATGTACGACTGAAAGTCTGGATAGGTAAAGTAGAGCAGTACTTTGTAGCTACAACAGAAAGTGGACAGCAGAACCTTAGCACGGCTAAGTAGAAGTACAACATGGAAAGTTGAAGAGTCTGACTATGTAGACTAGAGTAATACATTCATTAAAGTTAGGTAGACTAGATAAGGGGGTACGACAGAAGTTGGTGGACAATAAGGGTAGCTAGATCAGAGCAGGAAGTATGAAGAGGAAGTATTGAACAGTCAAGCTAGGTAGACTGGAGCAGCAGGGACAACAGGAAGTGATGTACAGTCAGGCTAGGTAGACTGAAACAGTAAATATAGACTAGAACTATAGGTATGACAGGAAGTGATGCATGACAGGGTAGGCAGAATAGAGCATCAGGTACGTACAGACAGGCTAGGTAGACTAGAGCATTAGGTATGTCAGGAAGGGATGCATTACAGGCTAGGTAGACTATAGCAATAGGAATGACATGAAGTGATGTTCAGTCTGGCTAGATAGATTAGAACAAAAGAGACAACAAGAAAGGATGAATAGAAGCTAGATATACTAAAGAATTACGTACCACAGGGGTGGTGTCGTCAGGCTATGTAAACTAGAGCATTAGGGACGACAGGAAGTGATGTACAGTCAAGATAGTAGAGGATTAGGGACGACAGGAAGTGATTTACAGTCAGGCTATGTAGAGAATTAGGGACGACAGGAAGTGATGTACAGCCAAGATAGTAGAGGATTAGGGACGACAGGAAGTGATGTACAGTCAGGCTATGTAGAGCATTAGGGACGACAGGAAGTGATGTACAGTCAGGCTATGTAGACTGAAGCATTAGGGACGACAGGAAGTGATGTACAGTCAGGCTATGTAGACTGAAGCATTAGGGACGACAGGAAGTAATGTACAGTCAGGATAGTAGAGAATTAGGGACGACAGGAAGTGATGTACAGTCAGGATAGTAGAGCATTAGGGACGACAGGAAGTGATGTACAATCAGGATAGTAGAGCATTAGGGACGACAGGAAGTGATGTACAGTCAGGATAGTAGAGCATTAGGGACGACAGGAAGTGATGTACAGTCAGGATAGTAGAGCATTAGGGACGACAGGAAGTTATATACAGTCAGGATAGTAGAGCATTAGGGACGACAGGAAGTGATGTACAATCAGGATAGTAGAGCATTAGGGACGACAGGAAGTGATTTACAATCAGGATAGTAGAGCATTAGGGACGACAGAAAGTGATGTACAATCAGGATAGTAGAGCATTAGGGACGACAGGAAGTGATATACAATCAGGATAGTAGAGCATTAGGGACGACAGGAAGTGATGTACAATCAGGATAGTAGAGCATTAGGGACGACAGGAAGTGATGTACAATCAGGATAGTAGAGCATTAGGGACGACAGATAGTGATGTACAATCAGGATAGTAGAGCATTAGGGACGACAGGAAGTGATTTACAATCAGGATAGTAGAGCATTAGGGACGACAGAAAGTGATGTACAATCAGGATAGTAGAGCATTAGGGACGACAGGAAGTGATGTACAATCAGGATAGTAGAGCATTAGGGACGACAGATAGTGATGTACAATCAGGATAGTAGAGCATTAGGGACGACAGGAAGTGATTTACAATCAGGATAGTAGAGCATAGGGACGACAGAAAGTGATGTACAATCAGGATAGTAGAGCATTAGGGACGACAGGAAGTGATATACAATCAGGATAGTAGAGCATTAGGGACGACAGGAAGTGATGTACAATCAGGATAGTAGAGCATTAGGGACGACAGATAGTGATGTACAGTCAGGCTATGTAGACTGAAGTAAGAGGGACAACATGGAGTGATGTATAGACAGGCAATGTAGACTAACACAACAAAAGAAAGGTAGTATATTTGCGACAATTGAAAGTTCTCTTGATACACTTCTAGAAAAGACCCGTGGGCAAAAACCAGCGATGCAGGACATTGGAAATTGTTTTCGTAGGAAATTATGTCCAGGTGATGCCCTGAGGCATTCGTATTTTTAGCTGTCGTGAACTGAACATGTTCCATGTCAATATCCATGTAAAATTGCTGAAATTAACAGCAAATACAAAGTAAAGTTCGATCGACGAAGATTACGAGAATAATCCAATCAGAGACAGAAGATGAAAGAGCTAACGGATTGTTGGTAAATTTGGTTTGACATTCTGATCATTAAGTAAAAAATAACCCCAATCAGTATTTCGAGAATTATTACCATTGTACAAATCTCTGCTTATTAAAATGTATTACATGGGTTTTGTTGGTACAACTTAGACAGAGATATACGACCTTTGGTTATCATGTCAATGTATTAACTCGTCAATTATATTAATGAGTATATAACATACATTATTCTGATAGTGTACTGACAATATCCCGAACTCGCAACATAGTCTTATCTAAATGAGTATGTATTAAAGATAAAGGAACGAGTGAAAGACAGAGCATTTTACCAAGAGAAGAACAACGATGTAACATATCGAGTGATGTACACGCCCAGATATATGTAGATGATGGGTTATCATGATGAAACACGTGACCTTGTCATATAAGATGTACCTAGAGTCAACGACGTGGTAATACTTACTGATGTCAATGTATACGGGTCAGATGTTAATGCCGATTATCAAACAGAAATATCTAGTCATTTAAATTGACAAGCCCGTTTATTTAGTCAAGTTAAAACATGTTATATGATTAGCCTGGGTTTTTTGGCTGATTAGACAAGAAGCATATCAAGCGTTTATATCAAACATGAAATACAACTCTACTACTTTACATGACAAATATAATTTAATATTTTTTGCATCTCTCTGTTAAATCAACGATCTGAATCCATTTCTGATAAAGTTGCATGTAATTCAAAAATTCCTTCTTTTTTTAAATTTGCTAATTAGATAATATTCATATCTTACCTGGTGTCCGAACTGATTGCACGGGAAACCCAGAACGACAAGCTTATCTCCGAATTTCTCGACCAGCTCGTTCATCTGGGTATAATCCCGTACGGTCGTGTCTCAGAGAGACGCAACATTCATCACCAGGATCACCTTCCCCTTGTACTTGGAAAAATTAATTTTCTCTCCTTCCAAAGTTGTGGCATGGAAGTCGAAAAAGTTCTGTATTTTAACTGGACTCCGGACACCTACAACCGCCGCCATGTCTGTGTATTGTCTCGACCTTCGATAGGGTGCTGAACACCTGAGATTTGTATGTCTCCAATAACCTGTATAGGTATATTATATTGAGCGCCAATACACACGTGACGTCTGTAGGGAAGGTTCCGGAGACCGTGACGATCGATATCTAACAGCAACAAATGAGATAGCAGAATATATAACTGAAATGTATGTATGTTACCACAGCATGCCTGACAACAGGTTATTTATTATAGAGCGGATGTTTAATCCTGAACGGATGTCTGGCCTAAAAGGGAATTATGAAATATCGTGGTTGGAGTGGCGTATTTTTATAATTAATTAAAATGAAACGAACCCTTTTCTATTAATCAAACTGTGATAGGCAAAGTCTGTAACAGATAGTCTAAATCCATCTTTTAATAAACTGACATTTCATTCTTGATTGTTCAAAATTAGACGTCACCGTTTTAATGACACTTCACCAAATGTTTATACTATAATATATTGATTCTATAAGACCCACGTGGTGCACTTTTTATCATTATTTTTTTTTCGCCAATTATTGTGAATATATTGTAGGTACAACACTAAGATGGGACTAAATCAAAGATTTTTTTGCTCTGAATTTATAGTATATAAAAATGGTACACATTGACCACGGTATATGATGATTTACAATGGTCGAGGTGAAGCATTTTTTGTTGGAATTTCAATGGAAAATGGATATGCGTGCTAAGTGTTGATATCCTGGTGTGGGATTTAGGTTTTAAGTAAGCATTAGACTGCACATAGTTTTACCGACATAGATTTGTATCCGTTTACTGTCCGAGTGGGTTAAATACCAATTCATCATTACTCTACTCATAAATAACACTTTGTTTCATTTAAAGCGGATGTGGTTATATATCTATTCTGAGTACACTATCATTGTGTCCGGGATCTCCTCTCTCGTGACGTATTTGTGCCAAAAAATATCCTGGCCAAGCCTAGTGTCACAATACTCAGTTATTTTATCATACAAACCTTACTTCACGAACCACTAAACTTCGCAAAATCCCTAAATATTATAACTGTTGCCTAGACCTAACCACGAAATAACCATTCGTCGAAGAACAATTCTTGGATATCACATTAAGCCTAGACCTAACCACAAACAGCAACTCGCCCAGGATCAGGTCTTGAATGTCAAAATAAGCCTAGACCTAAACACAAAACATCACAAATAGCCTACGCTCAGTCATGAAATAGTACAAGCAGCCTAGATCACCCACAAAACACCACAGTTAGCCTAAGTTAACTCCCGAACTACTACAAGCAGCCCAGACCTACCCACACAACACCGCAGTTAGCCTAAATTAAGTCCCGGACTACTACAAGCAGCCCAGACCTACCAACAAAACACCGCAGTTCGCCTAAATTAAGTCACTGGTTAAGTTTCCGTTATTACTACTAGAACTAGTCACGGGTTTAGTTTCCGTTATTATTACTAGAACTAGTCACGGGTTAAGTTTCCGTTATTACTACTAGAACTAGTCACGGGTTTAGTTTCCGTTATTACTACTAGAAATAGTCACGGGTTAAGTTTCCGATATTACTACTAGAAATAGTCACGGGTTAAGTTTCCGTTATTACTACTAAAACTAGTCTCAGGTAGAGTTTCCTTTATTACTACTAGAACTAGTCACAGGTTTAGTTTCCGTTATTACTACTAGAACTAGTCACGGGTTTAGTTTCCGTTATTACTACTAGAACTAGTCACGGGTTAAGAGTCACGGGGTACCGGGTTAAGTTTCCGTTATTACTACTAGAACTAGTCACGGGTTAAGTTTCCGTTATTACTACTAGAACTAGTCACGGGTTTAGTTTCCGTTATTACTACTAGAACTAGTCACGGGTTAAGTTTCCGTTATTACTACTAGAACTAGTCACGGGTTAAGTTTCCGTTATTACTACCAGAACTAGTCACGGGTTAAGTTTCCGTTATTACTACCAGAACTAGTCAGGGGTTAAGTTTCCGTTATTACTACCAGAACTAGTCACGGGTTAAGTTTCCGTTATAACTACCAGAACTAGTCACGGGTTAAGTTTCCGTTATTACTACTAAAACTAGTCACGGGTTAAGTTTCCGTTATTACTACCAGAACTAGTCACAGGTAAACTTCCCATTATTACAACTCAAATTAGTATTAGGTAAAGTTCTTGTCAAATATATATTACTTAAACTTGTGTCAGGTAAAGTTAAGTTTTATTATAACTCGTTCTACATTCAGGTAAAGTTGTTATCATTTACGACAAAGTAAATGTAAAATAGCAAAATTTCTATACGTGTACTTGTATGAACTCAGACTATTGGGGTGTCATTGCACTCTATAACTTTACACATTCTCGTGAGATTAACTTTTTGTGGCACTACAACATTGAATAATTGTATTGCTCGAAAAATTGAAGTGAAAAGCATTACCTGAAAGCAATACATCGGATTATTTCAGTCATGGATTTTTATCAGTTTATATTCAATGGATGACAATGACAGCATTGAAAGCAATACGAACGACAGGGAGGGGTTTATTCGAAGCGGACCAATAAAGTTTAGCCAAACACACTCACACATATTCATATTAGGAACTGGCAAAAAATATTGGGAACTGATAAAAAAGAAAAGGAAAGAATACACACAAACAATCATCTAAAGATTTGAAAGTTAACGTGTTTGGTCGCCCTTTCTATAAGTATTAAATAGAATTTCCTCAAATATCGCGTTTCAAGAACGTAATTGTCCACAGTCGCTGCATGCCGTTTTAGTTTTCGATTTGATAAACGAAATGAGAGTGTTCGTTTAAGAAATAAGTAAGGGACGGACGGACAGACAGATTTTATCTTAAACTTTCAGCAACGGGCTTTCGCAAAACTTTTAAATTGATGGACCTGTTTATGAGCATGTCAGGTGTGTGGTTCGGTTCCAGCTTCCGCGGGACGGTGTGTGTACATCTCATTATGTAGAAATTACGGTCCGTATTGGATTATTGATATCATATTATAATAAGATATTTCATAAAGGAAAGTTTAAATGTGGTATCGTAGTCAATCTCGCGTGCATTTTATAAGATATAAATTGTTTATGGGCTAAAAATAGATAGAAGATATCTGACAATGCTTTTTAATTGTACAAGTTGAACAAAATTCATAAATTTCCTTTGAATGGATTTTATTCTTTGGTAATGTACAAGTTTGTTTTTGTTTGTTTATTTATTATTTTTTTCGCGGGTCCCGTTTTTACGAATTTTTCTTCGTTGTCTTTACAGTTACATATCATGCTCCAGTCACAGATAACCCATTAGGTCTTTAAGTAACACGTCTGTTAAACGGCCGTGATCTTGTTTTGGAATAATATTCTGTGCAATTGATGACAGAGAAAAAAAATAAAATCACGTTTGTAAATCAGTGGTAATGCTGATTTTTATTTCACGAGTTATCGATCTTGAATCAGAGGGCGCTCATGGGAGCAGGTGCGAGCTTGTCGCCTGGTAACTGTAAACAGTAATGGCTGCCAAGTGAGTGCTCCTGGATTATGAGGCAAACATGTATGTATTTTATTAACAATTTAGCACAATAGACAAATTGACAATATGACTAAACGAACTCGGTACATACACATAAGTAATGATAATGATTTGTAATATTATTTGCGATATTTACAAATTTCTGCATTACAATCTTGCATATACAGTCGTCTATGAAACTACCGTTTAGTCTCCTACTGAACATTAATGATTGTGATAATTTTGTCTTTGTATTATGTGTGATAATTTTTATTAATGTTTTTGTATTTATGGTCAGTTAACTTAACAATCACGATATCAAAATGGAGCTATGCTATTCCACTATCTTAATGCTGAAGTGTTTGTACAATGAAGATAAAAGTATTCCAAAGAAAAATAACGCTGAATTGGATTTCCCAAATATAGCCATTTTTGCCCATTTGTTCTGATTTAGCATTTATTTCTGTTTTATTTTAATTACAGAGCCCTGACATGTTGTTGAAGTGACTTCCTATTGCGTTTATGATCAGCTGTTTGGTTACCAATTGTATCTGCATACATTATTAATGTGTTCACTCGCTATAGAGGAATACATCAGATTCTGTAACCACGACATGTAAACCATTTATAGTCATTCTGCACGTAAGAGTTATAGCTGGTTGTTCTTAGGTGTTAACTGACACCATGCCAGTGGCACAGACCAGATTAGAGACCTTACAGGTCTGTAAGTTACTACAATGTGTTCGCATGAAAGAGAAAAAACAGATAGAGAAGATGACAGTGAGTGGAATACCTCACCTCATCAACTACAATGATGCTTCAGAGGGCCTGACAGCACTCGGTGTGGCATCTGCTGCCAATGATGATGAGATGATTGAGTTTCTTCTGGAACTTGGAGCACATCCTGACGTCCCAGACTTCAAAGGACGAACAGCTGCCATGAGAGCAGCAGAGTTTGGTCATGTTCAGTGCCTTGAAAAGTTAACAAAAGCTGGAGCAGACATGAAGTCTATCGATTTAGAAGGAAAAGGTACATTGTATTCATGAATAAAACATATCCAATATGATATCGACAAGTAATTTTATTTACATTTATGGTGTATAATGCTAGACATTGTAGGTATAATGGTACCATCTGCTTAAATCATTCCTATGAAAATATCTCATTTGAAGATTTTGACATATTTTTATTGATACATTAATGATATAATGAGTTATTTCTACAATGAGAATTCAAGTAAAACAACTTATTATGTCTTCTGTTGTGATTCACATTCAGTATTTGAAACACTACTGATTTTATAAAGTGTTCAATGTTTTTAATTTTTCATGCGTTTTTCTTTTCTGCAGGCATATTGTTTTATTGTATATCACCGACTGAACGTCATGCTAAATGTTTGGAATTGGCTGTCTTAAATGGTGCTGAACCAAACAATATGTCACGAGATGGGATCCCAGTTTTCATGTTTGCATGTGAAACAGCAGCAGAGAATGAAGATGCATGTTTGCTGCTACTTGAAAAGGGATCTGATCCCAACGGTAAACAAGAGGTACATATTCTTATGATTGTTGAAAAAGACAAGGATCTTACAGAAATCATTTTATTTTGATAGTATTACAGAAGTGTTAAAGCTTTGCATTATAAATGTACATGTATATTACTAACTTCCGATGAGAATAAGAAAGTTGTGAATCTTGATCCATTTCACAGACTATGTAACAACAATGCAGTGAGTTTGATATTTCATCATATTCATTATAGAAAACTGGGAAGACATGTTTGATGGCCGCTGCCCTGAGTGGCAGTGTGAAGGTGGTCCGAGCAATACTAGAGGCAGGAGGTGATGTGAATATTCTGGATATACAGCACACACATGCTTCCCACTACGCTGCCTTGACTGGTGGGTTTGATGTGCTGGCCTGTATGTCCGCATATGGAGCAGAGTTTGACCAATGTAACAACAAAGGCAATACACCTATACACAATGCTGCTCTTAACGGCCATGCCATGTGCTGTAAATTCTTATCACAAAGAGGTAAGGCTTCATCCCTTTTGCATGTACACACGGTCAATCTTAATACATATTTTAAAACCATGACTAGATTTGCATGTTCTTACAAGTATTTTACAATTTTGCACATACATTATCGTTGTATTATATTAATACTTGTTTAAGCAAATTCAATCTTAATTTATTCACGTAGGCAAATAAATATTTCAGACTGTCAATATCTCACAAAATGTAATAAGCAAAATAAAGTGAAAGTTATCTCTTGTACATTTATTTGAAATTAATATTATAATTAATTTTAAAACAGGCTGTAATCCAAAACCAAAGAACAATGATGGTGAGACTGCAAAATCTTTAGCTAAAGAAAAAGAACACAAAGAAGCTGGAAAGGAGTTACGGAAAGCGGAGAAATCCTTTGGAAAAGTAGGCAAAAACAACGAACCATGGGCAATAGTGCTGTATGACTGGGTAATGGAACGTTCATCTAAAATCCTAAATGCTTTTAAAAGATATGATCCAGATGAGAAAGGTACAATTCATAAGGATGAATTTTCTGATACTCTTGTGGGAATGACGGCTCCTGCAGAAGAGGCAGACATTGTTAAAGTGATGACACTTCACGACAAAGCAAGAGATGGAAATATTGACTATAATGACTTTTTTACAGGGAAAAAATGGATAAATAAAAATTATCTAATGAGTGCGTTTGAGGGTAAAAAGAAGAAGAAGAAGAAGGGTGGTAAGGGAAAGGGTAAGAAAGGTAAGTTTAAGTTGGCCATGCCTATCTGTACCGCTGAGGACGGGCCTCGGACATATGGTGGTGCTCCGCCCGAAATGTTTATAGAAAGACATATACATTTTACAGACACTGGTCGTTTTGACCGTGACAGACCTCCAAAACACCCTCTACAAGATGATTCAGCATGGTATCTTCAGCATCCGGAGAAGATGTACATCAATATCAATGATGCAACAAAGAATGGTGACTTTGATTCTCTAAAAGGTGCCTTCCAAAAAGGCACCCCAGTGGACACAAGAGATAAATATTACAAAACTCCACTCATGGTGGCATGTGCCATTGGCAACATCGACATGGTCAAGTTCCTCCTGGAAAATGGGTAAATAGAACATTAAATATAAGTCATTAGTTTGAAAAAAATTATTAATAGCATACTGTACAGCAGTAGTTCTTCCTGATAACATTATAATTCCAAGAAATACGTTAGATGGTCTCTAGAAACAAATATGGCCGGATAGTACGAAAGAAAAGTATTCTAAACAAACTAAGAAATAAATAATTTCTGGTTGTCATTGATATCAACTCTTTCTGTTATCTTTCTTGTCTTAATTGGAAAACTGCTTCATCTTCCTCATCACAGGGCTTACATCAATGCCAGGGACAATTTTAAGTGGACGCCCCTCCATCATGCTTGTCATTCAGGACAGCTGGACGTTGTGTCATTCCTACTGGACAATGGAGCAGAGTTGGAGGCCCACACAATGAACGGGGGCACACCCTTAACTCGTGCAATAGAGAGCTCCAGAGAACACCTTGTTACTTACCTGGTAGATAGGGGAGCCAAGCTTCAAACTGAAAATAAAAAAGGTTGGTATCAATCTAGAATTCTAAAGCATTGAATTTTACTCATAAGATAATATCAAGCTCAAATTTGCTTTTACTGTAATGACATATACATGTATATTATTATCTTGATAAAAACATGGTAATAACTGGAAGTAAATGTTTGATCTTAATTAAATTCTTCATCTTTGATTTTTGTTTCAGTTATTTCTTCTGCTTGCCTCTATCTGAAGTAAATAATTATATTACAGTCTAGATTGCTCTTATCTTTTGTTCAGTTTATATGCATGAAAAATTGTAAAATCTATGTTTGGATATTATCCAGTAACTATTATGAAATAAATTAACTTGTAGAGAAACTACGGTACAAAATTGGTTTATAATTACAAACGAATATATTTCTTTGTTTCTTGTAAAATAAAGGTCATGCTCCACTTGACATAGCCAATGCCTGGGCAGACCCACGGGTCTTAGAGTTCATGCAGTCTAGGTGTGAAGGTTTGCCGACTGGAGATAAGAAAGGCAAGGGCAAAGGCAAGGGCAAGGGAGGTCAGAAATCTGCCCGTCCAACCTCTGTACCACCTCCAGACAAGGAGAATACAGGACCAGTAAGTCTTTCTAATACCTCAATGTGTCTCACACCTGGTATTAACCCTTTCACCCTGCAGACCATGGAAATCAGTCCATTTATTGTTGTACAATGTACTGTGATAACAGATTTAGAAATGACAAAATATAAATTATTTCCTCATATTTACATAAACATATATATCAAAATACAAATTATTCTGAAGATTTCTAAACATAAAATAAAACATAGTGTTTTGGGTTTCAGAGGTGGAAGGGTTTTCATTTTTAACACAGTAGTGTACGCCATAATATGGTTAGGAGTTCAAAAAAGAAATTATAAACAATATGTAGTATATCATGTACCTAGAGATAATTGATATTTTTGACAAAATTATTATGACAGTTTAGATGTCTTTTTTCCCCCTCATGACCAAATCTGGTTAAAGTCTATTCCGTTTCTCAAATGAATTTGAAAAAGTTTAGATGATGGGACTTGTAATTAGATTGAGAATATTTTTCTTGCAACTACATGAATTCTTAATAATGAACTTCATAGAGAAAAAACAAAATAAAAAATAATGTCATTTATAAAATCATCATAAATATTTTGAATAACAAGCTTTGGTTAGGCAACATAAAAGTGAAAACCAAGTATATCTAGAAGATTATTTCAGCATTTGGCTTAGCGTGTTGCTGTAGATACTTACATATAGCCATTTAACAGGGCTAATTTTCACTCACAGGTACCCTCCAGAACATCATCTGCTCTTGATTAGCAACTGCCAAGTATGTGAAGATGATTATCAATCTCTGTGTGTAGAGCTAATCTCTTATTACCTAATACTGATGGTAGATACAGATTTAAATAAGAAACTCTCCATCAAAATGTACCTGATTTTAATAGGCCTTTTAAGATTTCAATAATTTGAAATTCAAATATTTGCTGCAATAATCTGCCAATTTCTTATCAATATTTATCTGCAGACAATTTGTCTGTATTTTCCAACTCAGTTAGAATGAAGTTATATATGTATATCATAAAGACAGATTTACATGGTCTGTAGGGAGACAGGAGTAAAACTAGTGTAAAAAAATTATGTATGATATTGTATATCATCAATATCAACAAAAAGTCAGTGTCAGATTTCAAATGTGATGTTATTGAATTGTCTGGTATGCATTACATGCAGTATTGTTCCATACGACTGTAGCTTTATGAAATGTAAAAATTGTGCTACTAACCAGGATCTAAAGCACTGACAAAAACTTTTATAAAGGGATCGCTTTTAAAGTCACTTTAAGTGAAACAGTCTTTGTCATATATTCAAGCTATAAAACATTTAAGTCAGCAATGATTTTAAAATGTCAAAAAAAACCCATTATATACTTTGAATATTCAAATGAGAACAATCCATTTAATTTTCTATACATATATTTTGGTGTAGAGTAACTTATACAGTTTGTATCTACCACAAACACAAAAATCCATTTGATGAATGACACATGGCTTACTTTTGATAAATCCTGGTGATACTTGACAACACACATGAATGATTGTTTCTAATGGTGGTGTTACATCATATGGGTTTTTGTTGTGTATTAACTTCACAGCTTTATAACGTGGTGCTAGGGACAGTCAATATGCAGTATGAACAACTACAACTGCACTGAAAAAACATGTCTTACAGTGTTGCTTAAAAAGTGTTTTTATAAAAATAAATAACTGATTTTGGCAACATACATTATGTCAGTCACTCTAATATTCTTGAAGAAATTCTTGTTGCTATCTTTTATAATAAGAATGTAAAATATAGTTCAAACTGCCAACATATATATTGGCAATGTTTGACTGATTAGTCAATGGTTTGGAGAATCATCTTCTCCAGCAGAAATTCAACTCTGGCAAAAACCTTAGCACTAGGACCTACTTACATATATAGATAAAGCTTGTTTGTGAGAATGTAAAACCAAACAATCATTGTTGAAGACTAATCATAAGAAACTATCTGCTTTAGATTTCTGGTGTGATTTTCTCCTATCTATTGTTGTTTTGCATTAGTCTGTTTAGTTACTATACATTTTACTTAATTCCTCTTTGCCATTCCCCTTCTGATTGATTTTTACAGGTGTCTGTGTAATAATTTTGATTTTGAGAATCCCTTTATTTTGAATTTACAGAGTCTTTTATCAGAAAACACAGAAAAGGTACAGGAATTATGTGATACATGTACTACTTTTCCCCAATTTTAATTTACGGTTAAATACCTGCCTCCACCTTCCCCATCCTCAAGTCACTTCCTTCTGGGTACCTGTGAATCTAATAGCCTTTCTGTTATGTGTGTGTAAAATAAATGTTTGCCAAATTTTGTTTAACACAACTGTGTTTTAGTGAGACAAAAATTTATTTTAGGAGCGGTATCATATGTCTACACAGCCACATATCATAAAAAATCCTTTTTATGAATATTCTAATGACTTATAATGAACACATATCTTAGTTAACACACAATAATATTTCAAACCTCTCCTCTCACCTCAATATTTCAATTAACACACTTCTGTCCCCACCCCAATGTGATATTGTGACACACTTCTGTCCCCACCCCAATATAACATGGTGACACACTTCTTTCCCTACCCCAATATAACATGGTGACACACTTCTGTCCCTACCCCAATATTACATTGTGACACACTTTTGTCCCCACCTCAATATAACATGGTGACACACTTCTTTCCCTACCCCAATATAACATGGTGACACACTTCTGTCCCTAATCCAATATTACATTGTGACACACTTCTGTCCCCACCTCAATATAACATGGTGACACACTTTTGTCCCCACCCCAATATAATATGGTGACACACTTCTGTCCCCACCCCAATATTACATTGTGACACACTTCTGTTCCCACCCCAATATTACATGGTGACACACTTCTGTCCCCACCCCAATATTACATTGTGACACACTTCTGTCCCCACCCCAATATTACATTGTGACACACTTCTGTCCCCACCCCAATATTACATTGTGACACACTTCTGTCCCCACCCCAATATTACATTGTGACACACTTCTGTTCCCACCCCAATATTACATGGTGACACACTTCTGTCCCCACCCCAATATTATATTGTGACACACTTCTGTCCCCACCCCAATATTACATTGTGACACACTTGTTCCCACCCCAATATGACATTGTGACACACTTCTGTCCCCACCCCAATATTACATTGTGACACACTTCTGTTCCCACCCCAGTATTACATGGTGACACACCTGTTCTTGCCCCTGTATTTCAATACATAACATTGTGTAGTTGTCTCTCAAACCCCATCCACAAATTAATTTAGTCATTATATCATTACTTCAGTTCCAAATTTTAATTCCACAGAGTCCAGTAACTTGTCTCTCATTGTTTCAAGCATATAAAAAAATAAATTCTTAAACAGATTTTCTCAGGATTTTATAAAGAGTGGTTAACTTTGCCAGGCACTGGATATCTTACCTTGTATGAAGTAAAATGCATTTGCTACAAGTGTTTCTAAAAAGTTTACATTTCATTTGATATCATGGGCAAACTATGATTGTGTTTAGTGTGGAAATACACAACATGAAATTTGCTTTCAGATTCCATTTAGTGCTTCGGGTGATGATCTTCCCTCACGCCAGAGAAAGGGCTCAATTTTGCGTGCAGCTTCTGCCTTAGCCAGTGGAGTGGATGAAGAGGAGGATATCACATATGTTCCACTCAAAGCATGGACGAAACAGCCGACCTCACAAGAACTGATACACGAAAAACAAGTCCGAAGAGACAGATATGGTTGGGAGGTGGACTTTCCTGACTTTGAAATGCCTTTCCTGAAAAACGTTACGAAGAAAAACATTGCCATGGGAGATGATGATGATTAATATCAAAACTATAGATAGAACTATAATCATATGTTGGTATTCGAATAAATGTCTATGTGTTGCTAATCATTTATCAATGTGTGTATATATACATGTATTAAGAACACGAACTGCTGAAGTATAACTGTTACTATACTGATATTTTGTAAATATTAACTGAAGTTTAGCTGTTACTATACTGACATTATGTGAATATTTCCTGAAGTAGAGTTGCTAGCATGTTCTCCCTCTGTAAATACCAATGAAGTACAGCTGCTTTCATAATGGTCTTTTAAGCCTGTAAACTGTAAATATTGTACATAACCTGAGTATATTTGAAATCATTCACGTATTGCTCTGTCTTAGTGAGGTGCTGAGATTCCGATGAAGCACCTGCTTTTGTACATTTCAGTGATATGCCCGAGTTACACATTTACCCAGATAGGATTCATTTTTCATATTTCTGTTTTCTTTCATACCAGCATAAAATAAGAAAAATATTTCTATGAAAACTTGCATTTTAAAACTGCTGATGTAAAAAGGTTATCATTAGAAACTATTTTTGCCATAAATATACGAAAATGTGGCTGATTTATTTCCAAACATTTAATGAGAATGGGCAATAGGTTAAGCCTATACTAGCCTTGTCACGAAAGAGAACATGTCTGTTATTGTTGCTGCATTTTCAAATGTCTAGATCTGTCAAACATGTAAAACTCATATTTGAAACAGCTATGAAACCTGCCTTAAGGAAATCATGTTGAGAATATAAAGGAGCTGTCAATGCAGACCTCATTTGAATTTATTTCTCAACATAGATAAAAACATATATTTTTTATATTAATGCAATCCTGTGGCATTACACTTTCACATTAAGGAAAGATATTGCGAATTGCAAATAATTGATGATGAAGAAACAAAAAGCAAAATGATAGCTTCATCCAAAACATGTTTTTATATGAACAAAAAGTTTGATTTTTGTAGACATGAAATAATGTATAAATTAATCAATCTGAAGTGAAACAAAAGTGTGTGTAAGAAGAAAAAAAAATGGAAAATTAAGTTGTAATAAGATAAATATGATGAATCTATTACCCTTCTGACTGGTTAGAGTTCAGAGTTTGTCATCAGTGGGTCAATTAACTTACCTGTAAAGGTGATTAAGTGCCTGTTATTTTTACTATCTTTTATTATACTAATACATATTGTATTACTGTTACCAACATTTCTACATCTGCTGTCCAGTGTTAGATAAATTGGGGAGCGTTGTTATGGAAATAGGGATAATGCCAGAAGCGTTTTTTTTGTGTTATAAACTTTTTTGTTTATGATGAGAATTATTAACCTGTAAACTGCTGGTAAATAAGATTCTTTTATCTATCAAAAAGGCAGGTGCCTTCAAATGAAATATTCATATACATTTATATATACATATATATATATTTATTATAGAGTTACTGTTTAAGGTTTTTTGTTGAACAAAGCGTTTTAAAAAAAGTTCTTTATCTTTAAGATTCACATTTTTTCTTTTTGCTTATAAAAATTGAAAATAGATTGGTGTATTGATGTTAACACCACTCAGGTTTATAAAATATCAGTTGGTTAAGATTTTTTTTTAACTGTTACATATTAAATTTGTATGCCAAGTATAAATACTGAAATGTTTGCAACAAAAAAATTGCACATTTGTTCCTTGCATGATGTTGGTTGTTTAATTGAAAGAGAAAAAAAGATATTTTTTTGATGAAATCAAGTTTTCTTTTCATTGTTTATCATGAATAGCTGGTTATTTAATGTAAACAAGCTGGAATGTCTGTGATCATTTCTATGATTGATGTATTTAAAAACGTTTTTTCTTAAATACATTGATTCTTAATCCTAACATTTGATGACAATAAATGACATTGCTAAACTTGGAATATGTCCTATTTTTTTTATTGTACTTACTGTTGTAATAAATATCAGTCTCTACATCTATGCACATGACCAAAAACTGGAATAGAACCCTCACAAAGTTTGAACAGAGTTCAAGATTGATAAAAAACTACTATGAACATCATTATATTATACATGGCATTTAAAATCAATATGGCATGATTCCAATTCTCTGGGTGATAAACTTTTGGAGGTTTTTGGCAAAATACGAGATACAAATTTCAAAGATTTTGACAACCTAAAATCTTAAAATAGACCGAGGCTTAGGTGTTGTTGTTTTTTTTTTATAAGAATTTCACGTCTGATTGTTTGTGGTCAAGACTGTCTCATTAATCGTTTGAGCTGCAGGCCTTGTTCAAACTTTGGATAATCACACAGATAACGAAAGTTTTGTCAATAAATAACTCACTGATGAAAGTAAATTTAAAAGTATCAAATATCAAACTTCAGAAATAATTAAATGTTAAAACAAAATACATAAACAACATAACTAAGGTGTAGTAGCCTTGTAGTTTGTATTGTACAAACAAGGACAACCAGGTAACTGGCAAAGCTCACTATACCAAGCTGCACTAGGTATAGGAAAAAGTGGGTTAATTTTGAGATTTTCAATATTTCATGGTATCCAAAGAAATAATTACATTACAGGGTATATTCATACTACGTCATTATTGAAATGAAAGCATATTCATGGCATATTTATTCAGTTTGGCTGATCTGTAAAATCGTGTTGTATATCAAAACTATAAAACCTATGAGTTACATTTTAAAATCACCTATATGAGGTGATAGGGTATGCCTTACTACTGAGGGTATTCACTCACCAAAGTGGCATAACAGATCAAGTTTTGGCCCTTTAATTTCTCTATGTGTCTAGTAATCTAACATAAACCTTGGGACAGCAGTGTAAGATGTTAATATATGTCTTATGCTGCAGTTTATTAAGAGTTTATAGTTTGTTGCTCTGAGCAGGCTAGTAATGTAACTTTGATTTAACCTAGAACAAAATCGCATCTGAATACAGGTATTCTATGACAAGATTTGGTAAGTCAGTCCCCAGCCTCCTCACCAAGGTAAACTAATATGCAGAGTATGATGTTCCACTGACTAGCAGAAGCACTGACTGAAGAAAATAAAACCTGAACGAACTTTTCTTTGATGTAGGTCAAAGTTCAAAATGTACATCTAAGTGACCTACTTTTACTACAAGACACACTACCTTACCAAGAAAGTTAGTTAGTTACAGGTTTTCTGTCTTTGTGACTCCTCCTGTTACTGGGGATCATCTCATTGACAAAGTTTGATGAAGTTTTAGTGACAAATAGTGTAGGACATAGGGCCTGACAAATTAGCAGAACAAACAGCCAGACAAACACAGTGCAAAACAAGTTGAGCTGTGAAGTTCCACTATCAAACTTATTGCTATACTGATAAAGTGAAACAAAGGGAAGTAACTCTGGTAGAATAGAATTATCTGAAGCAATCATATGTTTTACTACACGGGGTAAAGAATATATGTACAGGATGAAGTATGTAAGACCAATACATTACACTAAATAGTTGTTTGAGTAAGGTGAACCGATCCACAAAGGCCATCATATGTCTTAACTTTATAATGATAATGAAAGTATGCTTGTTCAACACACCTGGCTCTAATAACCTTTAATGTGTTGACAGGCCGTTAAGATTGTATTAATATCAACACACACCAATCAACACAAAGTGTAATGATATTTTTTTCTTTATTTTCTTTAAGTTTACATGATTTTTATAGTGTTCTACAACAGATATGCCAGTAAAATAGTTATGTACAAATGTCTATAGAATATGTTAAAACCTATCACAATGGCTTGAAAGACAGGGAAAGGATTTGGACGGATTTTACAAAAACCCATCATACTGACAGGATTACAGAGGAATATAATACAGTGTACTTGCATGTATTCAAGTGAAATATGCACGCCTTTCTCAACAGGATTTCCACTATAATTACTGATAATATCTATGTAATTCAACAAAACTAAGAGTCTGGTTATAAGCAAGGTCGATTGTTATCGTCCTAGCTCCCAAAATTCATTTAGCAGAGCTTCATCGTGGAAACAAACATTAGTTAATCAAATAATATCTGAACTTCAGACATGATTTAAACGGCAGATGTAAATATCAAAACACAAATAACTGTTACTTACACTAGTGTAGGGTGGGTTTACCTGATGTCATCCAACATTGATGAATAATTTTACCCAGTATCCTTCAAACGATCAAAGACGGTAGGAAACAAGAACATAATTACTATACACAAAAGCTGATACACATACACAACTGACTGAATGCTGGTCATTCTTTTTCAAATTATGTATTTAAATCACCACTACAGAAGAAAAAATAACTAAAAATTCTATTACATCTACTTAGCCAGTATCTAGCCATCACAAATAAATAAAATTAATGTCAATCTACATTTTAATATAGCCTCGGTACAAGTTGTTTTTAAATGATCAGATTAACGGTTAGAGATTCTAGAAGTATTATATTGTGGTAGATAATTCACAATAAAACATGAACACACTTAATTTGTTTTAAAACATTATCTGGTATGTATTTACCGTTTGTGGTGATAAAAGATTTTAATCATTAACTAGTGAATTCTTCAGCCATCGATACTACACCCATTAAAAGTTGTGCTTCCCAGATTTCTGTAAATTTTCTCTTCTTTTTTTGGTGAGCAATTGTATACAGTTTTACTTACTGACTCATTATGAAGTGAATCTAAGTTTCTTGTGATATTGCTAATATAAGTTCACTATAATCATGCTATTGAACATTTCATTTGTTTTTATGTGAATGTTTTAATTTGTGTATGAATAAATTCACTTTTTCTTCACAAACGCCAACAGAAAACATCAAAGCATTACTTTGAAGTATTTGGCACAAAAAATGTCAAATATTTTTTACCCATGTTATATATTTGAGACTTATCATGAATCACAGCCCTTATCAATACTGTAGTCTACTCTCCAACTATCTCAGCCTAAACTAAATAGCACAAAACCAGGCAGGGGAGACTACTCTTTCACTGAGGTCATTGAAATACAAAAACCGACATGTGATAGAAAGGTTTCTCACAATCAACAAGCAAATATATCACAATTCCAGCAATGAACTAAATCACATTGAAATAATAGTATATCACAAATCATGTTTTCTTTTCCCTTTCATAACATATCTATATACACAGTAAATGTGTACATGTACACAGTACATTTTAACATATTTATGACTAGGCTGAAAGCAGATGAAAACAACATATAAAAATTCTCACTCAGCAGCTTTAGTCAGGCTATAAGTCTAAAAAGTCATAAAAGTCTACTTCAACAGTATCTTGACTCGGGAGGCATTGATTTTTGATAACAACACATACAAAAAATAATTACTAATCAAGTCTAACTCATTATTGTGTGTATACATTTGATTAATCACCAAACTACATACGTAGTTGATATTTGGAATTTTGCTGTCTTGAAAGAAAAGTACATGCATATAAATATCTGTAAAATAATATATAAGTAACTGTGTCAAGTATTCTATAACTCCATTTGTTTCAGTCTCATATTAAATTAACAAATTCTATTTTTTTTAAAAGTCAATACTGTTGCAAAGTACAATTTGAAATTGCTGTAATAAAAAAATGTGTTCAACAAACAAAAATTTCAAAACTAAAATTAAAAACATGTCCATCTTGAAAATATGCTTCTGTATAAAATAATTCCTTATTTGAATCAGTTTAAGTTATAATCTTTTTACTTGAAGATGTTATCTTTTCACAAATTATATTTATGCCTTTTTTGAGTTAAGGTAACACACCTTGATATGACATTTGTATCGTGTAAAACTTCAAACAGTTGTTTGGTTAATTCAGCATATAATAAATATATTAACAAAAGGATGAAAATACCGGAGAAAAAATTATAATTTAAAGTGGCTGTATTCAGGCGGAGTTATTTATTTCTTATCATTTTCTAGTAAAATTTAAGTAGTTCAATATAATTCAAACCAACTAAGGTAAAATTCAACAGATTCTAAATCCACAGTATACCTAGTAGTAACTGGTGTCTGCTGATATTTTATCAATATTACAAGCTTATAACTAATAAAAACAATCATATATCTGTACACATTTCATAGCTTCATTTGCAAAAGCATTCATACTTATTTTCACAACAATTGGAAAAAATACACATTTTGGCACTACATCGCTTTCAAAACGGAAAAAAAAAACAACTGAAAACCTACATATCAGGGTAAAGTGAGTTCTACTGCATAAATTCATGAAATATTTCAATTTCATTAGAAAATTAATTTTGCATTGAAGAATTATGATTTCATTTGTCCAAATTGTCTTCTATATATATTCTGTGTTCAACATCAAATACAATTACCAGAGATATTGGAAATGAGGTCTCTTAAACATGTAGAGCAACTAGTTTCACATCTACAGGGAACAGTACACAAAACAGCATATTCTCTTATATTTATCATACTGAAAATTAGATTTTTAAATTTTTCATAAATTCTTTAAAAACTCCTCAAAAAATTTGATGAGAAAATTAAGGTGTTTCACACATTTGCAGTTAAACTCATTTGTAGTCCGAGAACAATTTACAGACCACAGTCAGGTCATTTCAAATTAAACAAGCGTGGTCTGATCAATTACGTAAACATTCCATAATGACCCTGGCTTTTCACGGGGCCATAGACCCAACAATCAAACATCTAAAACACTATTGGAACAGCATTAACCTGCCATGAAAGTTCATGAGTGTCTATTGAAACTTTAAGTACTGAGCTCTGGCATACAATAACGACACATGCACCAAACAAGTGCATTAAAGCAAAGCACCAAGGTCAAGTAGCTGGGATGAGCAAAACTTTGTTCAGGTAATAAGATAAAGATTTTAAAGTTACTAATGAAAGATAAAGTTTTTAAAGTTACTAATGAAAGATAAAGTTTTTAAAGTTACTAATGAAAGATAAAGTTTAAGAAAAAATTTTTCTCATGAATTTTGAATAAAATCATTATCACCTCAGGTAACAGAGCAGCATTTTACCCTGATTCCATGTTTTTTAAAAGATTTTTTTTCAAATATCTTAATTGAATTGTCATTAAAGGACAGGTTTCTTTCAGTTCACATACATGCAATACACACTGCATACACATTACCACTTTGGTAAAGATAATACACTATACTAAGGGGAGACAACTGCATTTACACTAGAAATGATATAACTTTACCCCAAACAATTGTTGATCTCTGTAGGAAACATACATAATGGAAGACATCAACAACTATAAGATATGATCCTATAAATTCATAATGAATTTATATAGAACTACATTTTAACACCGTCATGTGGAGCCTTCTTCGGTATCATATCAACAGGTAAATTTTGTGGAGCCATCTACTGTATCACATCTACAGGTAAATTTCTGTGGAGCCTTCTACTTCTGTATCACATCTACAGGTAAATTTCTGTGGAGCCTCTACTTCTGTATCACATCTACAGGTAAATTTTGTGGAGCCTTCTTCTGTATCATATCAACAGGTAAATTTCTGTGGAGCCATCTACTTCTGTATCACATCTACAGGTAAATTTTTGTGGAGCCTTCTACTTCTGTATCACCTCTACAGGTAAATTTTTATGGAGCCCATGTCTGTATTATATCTATATCTTAATTTAGAATTCAACTTGCAGCAATTATAGACTGCATTACAGTAAAATACCTGTGTTCTAATGAAGATTTTGAGATGCTTTTGTGAATGATAGTTTTTGTACAACATAAAACCAGCACTGTCTTCATTCTCACATATCCAACTCCCATACACTACCTAAGTACTGTACAAATGTGTATTGCATAAAAAATGACAAGTACAAAATATTGGTCCTCAATGTTAGTGTGTATATAAATCATACAGTCCTCAGGAAAGCTGACAAAATCTCTCACATTAATCATGGAAAAATACCTCTTACCCAGCTAGAACAAGGATATCATCAGCATATCATTAGATATTCATAACATTAAAATAAATAGAATTTCTAATCTTCAAAAAGCATTTATCAATATAGGCATGTATTGATAGGCATATCACAAATATTCATTAACATATGCAAATTATGCATTTGATTACATAATAAACAGTATAACATGTTGCCTTGTATCAATACATTATGTTTGTCAAACATTCAGCAATTGTTTATGTTTATGAACTGCAACATCAGTCTCTCTTGTCTGTAATTATTCCTCATTTTGAATTTTTATTGATATAAAAGTCCAGTTCACTGGGAAAAGAATTGGAATGGAGCTTGACTGTGATGAGGTCACAGTCAGTTCATAATGTCATGGTCCACTGGTAATGCCATCATTAGCTGATCTTATGTCAAGGTCAACTGATGTCAAGGTCAACTGATGAGGTTAATGTTGGCTAATAGTGTCACCCTCTTCGTTGGTGTTTAGAATCCTGCTCCTCCTCGTCTGTCTAGGGATGGTAGTTGATAGCTACTTACAATGTTCTTCGTTGCTTTATTTGCAGGCTGGTAAAAAAAAAAATATATATATATATATATATATATATATAAGCGACAAGTACGATATTTTGTGTAACATTAAATATGTGCATCTTTTGACAATGGCAATGACTATATATTTACATGAGCAGGAATGTTGGTGAATATGGAGATAAAGTGTACAGGATTCCATTATTATCACATTTTATTATATACCATTTCTGCTGTAAATAGTATACAGGTACAACAGCAGTTTGTTGATGTAGAAAGTATATGTGCTATTACCAATTATATATCATTTGATGATTTAGGCAAAATCATTGCTGAATAAAGGCAATCATTTTGTGTATTTAAGGCATGCCGTAAATAAATGACAGCTATAATTCTTTACTACACTACCTAGATATATTTGTGTGTTGGACTTACCTTGTGGGGTTTGTAGGTGGCATTGATACTGGGAAGGAGAGATAAACTAGTTGTGCCCTGGGGATGGTTGTAGGAACTAAATGAGCTGGCGTGGAATGAAGGGTTCAGGGAGTTGGCATGCATTGGAACTTTTGGCAAATTAAGGCCAGTATGATTTGAGAAATGGTGAGTCTCTAGTAGCCGTTTGTGGCGCTTCTGTAATAGAATTAACAGAAAATGAATTATTATTGTAAGACAAATGAACTATCAAATGGTACATTTTTATTTGTTGATTGAAAAGTTACACGTAAAAATTGTGATGTTTCTGTTTCTTTGATGAAAAGTATATATATAGATACACAAATTGCAGTGACATACATTAGAGCTGTCTATACTTTCTAGTTCTGAAGAAATTCCCAAACTTTCTGTGCGATATATTAGCCTTAAGACTGATATGCTTTCAGTCTGATTTCAGCAAAACACCTTCAAAAGATGGCAGGGTATTATGATGAGCATTACAGAGCTCCTGAATCTGTAAAAATGATTGGCAAGAGATCAATCTGCTTCCAATCCTTAGTAACAAAGGGAGACAACCTTACCTTTCTTCTGTCTTTAAAGAAGTGCGGATGAGTAGGTAGGGATTGAGCTTTAGGTAGACTGGGCATTGTGCGGTTTTCATTTTGTGACTCTGTCTTTTTCTTTTCTGTGCGGGAAGTATCCACTTCGATGCCTGATGTTTCCGATGGTGGTGCCTTGATCGTCTCTGGTTTCCTTTCTCGGACCTCCTTCTCCTCCTGCTGCTTAGCCTTGGCTAACATGGCCTGCCGCTTATCTGCCTCCCTGTTAAACCACGGGATTATCAGGTATAAAACAGGAGATCATGAAAAAGGGGATATCTTTGTATTCACACTGTTAAAAGCTTATACAGGATTATTTAGCTGTTTGATAGTTTAGTAGCCTACCTTAGATCCCTGAAGTAGCTATGTCGTATTGCCTGTTTAGCCGACATCCTCTCATCAGGATCATAAGTACACATCTGGTAGATCAGGTCAACAGCTTCAGATGACACGTGGGGTAGAAGGCGCTCCACACCCGTACCCTTCTTGTGGGGGAAATTGAAGTTCATGCCACGCGACCTGAAGAATGTACAAGAATAAAGCATGTGGAGATGAGGACATTGTAATCGCAGATATATTAAGGTCTCATGGCGGAGTTAAGCCACTTCAGCATTTTCAAAATTCACTCGAGTTTTTTTCGGAACAAGCAATGACTATCTTGTATCATCCATTTTCATTCTGAAACATTATTTTATATCAAATAATAAATTTTTCATATACTTTAGTTTAATTCATAAAACATAAACTGCTGATCTTTTTTAGACCTAAATTTCAAAATTATTTAATGTACGATGTGAAATATTTCTGAATTAGAAAAAGTTTTCAACTTTACTTCCCTATGACTATCCAATACAGTAAAACCCACATGCTGTTATGATAACATTTAAGAAATATAAATCATTTACATATAGATTTTATATATATATATATATATATATACATGTACTAGAAGACAGTACCTTGTCATTTAACCCTGAACCTTTCATATACTCATAACCACATATGTTTTCCATTGAGCAAACCTTACTTTTTAAGTTTGTTGAGAACACTGGGATCTGGGGTTCCTAAAATGTCATGTATCTTTGCTATCTGGTCCACTTCATTTGAGCCAGGGAACAGTGGGTGAAGACTACAGAAAGAGAAACAGAATGTTAAACTTTCATCCTTGAATATGATTAAAAATTTTTTTATCTTTCAGGTGATTGCACATGCATATCACAGGTTAAAAACAAAAAGATTACTCCAGACCTACCTAAGAATTTCGAAGAACACACATCCTACACTCCAGATGTCCATCTTGTAAGTATAATAACCATCAGTCAACAGACACTCTGGCGCTCGGTACCTGGACATGAAACATCAATTTGTGTTTTGTTTTTTAATGAATTTTGAAGATTATTCATTAAATTGCTAGTGAGTTTTAACTTTTTATTGCCTTGTTTATGATACTATTTCATCAGAATTACACGCCCTTCATCACCACTAAACATTAACCAGTTAATGGGGGTTGAGCTGAATGGGGAAAATAATTTAGGATAACAAATTTTTAAACGGCAGTTTTCCTGTACATTTCAATTTGGAAAAAGTGATAAAGTGATGAACTCTTTTCGATTTAATGTTTTACCAAATAACACTTAAAAGAGCTCACCATCGTGTAGAAATATATTCCGTGTAAGGTTGTTTTGAGTACACACTTCTACAAGAACCAAAATCTGCTAGCTTCAGCACATCCTCCTACAAACAGGTGAAACATCATGTATTTCCCCAATATAGACTTTTCTCATCAGTAACATAAAAAAATACTGGTACATTTAAATACCAGGTATTAAAACATTAATAAGAAACTGGCAATATATCTGATAAACTTTATCACACAGATGATACATTTTACAGCCTGGTCACTGTGATATGGAAGCGAATCTTATTCGAAGTTTTTGTCTTCCTATTCGTGTATCATAATTTATCTACCATCAGCATATCTGATAAAAATTTTTTTTTTTCAAATTGATTATTTCAGAATTTTATATCAAAGATAAAATGAAGATGGAAGTAAAATCTCTTCAGATTTCTTAATTGTCTCCGTTAACCGTAAATAAAAAATGTTCACATCTATAATAAAAAGAAAAAAAAATTCTGCAAATATTGGTCATTACAGAAATTATAATTAATGAAAATGTTAGATGGGAATAAGTAAATAACCAAAGACTGCTATTATCTGATATACAATTTTAAATACAAGAAGATCATGTGTTCAAATTGTCTGATTTATATAAACTTTGTCTGATAATTGCATCTTTCGTTAAATAAGTCCATATGTACAACTGTAAATTACAAATATATTAACTTCATGTCACAAATCATCATACATTTATATATATTATAACTTCAAGCAGAGCTGAAATTCGTCAACTGGTCATATGGATTAAAATTCAATATTAAAAAACAAACTAGAATATTAAACCAGGTTTAAATAAATAAAAACTAATTGAAGAATATATATAATTCTGATGAATATATATGTAACATACATCAATAAAAAGCCAAAAGGACATTTTAAACCACTCTGAACGGAATTAACAAGCTGCTTAGGGTTGTCACACTCTAGTATAAGACAAAACTGTTGGGTGTTCATGGGATACTCTCAATGTGCATTGGTTCAATGGATAATTCTGGTTCATGAGATAAATTCTGGTTCATGAGATAATCACAACTGTCTGATGCAAACAAGTATATATTGTCTGTGGTTTGAACACAAGGTTTATTTTTTAATATATATTGTTAATGGTCTAGTTTAAAAAGGTGCTATTTTCGCAATATACATTATATACAGTAGAAATCACACTGTTCAAATTATCACCCTAAACTATATAAGAAATCATATTAACTACATGTGTATAGTTATTTTGACCAAAACAGTAAATATTACCAATGTTCAGATACAAAAAAAAGTTCATAAAAAAAAAGGTTTATGTGGATGAAGAAACAACACACAGATATGTGTAACTGGGATAGACACACAAGGATGTTGAAGTTAAAAGAACCACCTTATCACTGGAAGCCAGCTGAAAACAAGTTAACATCCATTATTTTGACCATAATTTCAAAGATAAAGATTAAATTTCAGAAATAAGGAATTTTTCTCAACATTTATCATATTAATTGGATTGAAATAAAGACCAGCCAATATAAAAACTGATCTAGTTAACATCTGTCACTACCCTCAGTTAACAATGCTCAATCAGTTTCTGTATTCAGTAATAACATTGGGTATTTGGTAATTATAGCTATTAGTATGTAGTCCGTAGATATAACTTCCGTATTACTCTGTACTTGTAGCTACCATACCAAAATAATAATCCTTTTCAGAAGGTCAATTCCATGGGCTAGGTCTATTCCAAACATAGTTACCAATTTCAATAGTGTTTCATTTGGAGGGGCAAGGTATCAAAACTGAAAGTAAATCCTCAACAACACAAACAGTTGTAAAAAGTGTACTACGATCTACTAAATGATTCCACCCTTAACCATCACAGGTTATATAGAGTATACAGTCTACATCTAAGGTACTACATTTCACAGAGCCTATATCATATACATACCTTGATTAAAATGTTCTCAGGTTTCACATCTCGATGAAATATACCATTCCTGAAATAAAATCAATTTTAGCAGTGGAAAAAAAAAATCATTTTTTGGAAAATCTTTGTATTTTTCATTTCCAGATTTTCTTCCACCAACCAGATTTCAAAAAAAGCTCTAAACATACATTTAATGTCTTCAACTTAAAAGTACAATGTCATTTTTTATTTTTCACATAGATTTTTCATTATTTTCACAAAATAACAGCCAGTTATGACTGCAAAACGATAGCAATGATCAGTAAATTAAGGGATAAAACATTATAATGTATTATGAAATAGAGCAATTATTTGAAAGAATTCACATTCTTTCAAGATGAAATAAGTGAAGGTATTATGCTTGTGTACAGGTTAACGCAAGTCTAGAGGCAATGTCACGCTACTACAGACAACAGGTGGAGAGTCAATGAAAGTGTAGAGGTCTAGGTTAGGGTAAAGGTCAAGGCTACAATAAAGGTCAATGCTGCAGCAAAGAGGAATGCTACTAGAAAGTTCAGTGTTAATGAAAAGGTCAATGTTAGTGTAAAAAGGATGATATTGTGAAGGTCAATGTGTAAAGTCAATCTTTAAAAGTCAATGTTAGTATAGAGGTCACAGTCTTTGCAAAAGTCAATGTTAGTATAGAGGTCACAGTCTTTGCAAAAGTCAATGTTAGTATAGAGGTCACGGTCTTTGCAAAAGTCAATGTTAGTGAAGAGGTCAATTTTTTTTTGTATTTTAGTTTACAAATTAAATTTAGTGTAAAAGACTTAATATTTCTATTCAGCTAAATATTAGGTGTAATGTTAGTGTAGGTGTCAACATTCGTATAAAGGTCAATGTTAGTGTAAAGGTCAATGTTAGTGTAAGAGTCAAAGTCAGTATAAATGTCAACGTTAGTGTGAAGGTCAACGTTCGTATAAAGGTCAATGTTAGCGTAAAGGTCAATGTTAGTGTAAAGGTCAACGTAAGTCATTGTCTACATGAAGGTTAATAAAGTGCACAGGCCAATGTTACTTATTAGGTGCTGATATCTCATACATATAAATAATGCCAATCACAATACAAATCAAACATATGGAAGCAATGAGGATGAAACCAATGTAACAGCTTTGTCACCAACGATCTACGTCTACACTCTTAATACAAAAGTATGTTGAGAACAAATCATTATCATTAAAGTTTCAAAGAATCTTACATGACAAAATGCCAACAGAATGCTTTCAACATTCATCACAAAATTTAACAGATTTGTTTTCATGCATGACAGAACACGTTACATTTCAAAGTACGTAACTATCATTTCAAACATAATTCTTTTAATGCAATTGCTTTCCTTCATTTAATATTGCCAGAGAGATTTTTATTTTTCAAATTTAGATAAGAAAGTACTTTAATATATCCATGAAATATGCAATTTCCAGTATGGTAAAACACTCATATCAACTCAACAAGCTAATGAATTAGCAGCTGATACAAATATGTTAAAGATCTTTCTTGCATTCTATGGCGATATCATTATTGGTATGTGTTTGGCAAGTATCGACACACTTTTTAAAAGACCGGCACTGATATTGGTATTGAATAGACCTGATATTACTGCTTTCATGATATACTGGGATATTTAAAGCAACTGATAGCGTTAGCATAGGATATCATGCTTGTTAATTTGAAGCAAAGCCAGTAGAAAATTGTAAATCAAATCTAGGGTCAATTTAAAACTGAACCAAATATTATTGCAATTATCTGACCAATTATCAAACAATATTTATCATGCATACATAGATCTGATATCTAAATTTGAATTTCAATAATGAATTTAATGGGGTTTTTTTTGTTTGAATATATCAGATATATCAAAGCATGCAAAGCTAAGCATTCAAGGCCATATTTTCACCACAAATCTTTGTGATTGGTTAAAACCTGTTTTCTTTTGAAGCCAATCAGATGACTTGATAAACAGGTTTGTGGTGTGGCCAGTTGCTTCCATACTACATACCTATGTAAGTGGTCTACTGATTTACAAAGCTGATACATATAATTTCTAACAGTTGCCTCAGGCAAATATTGACGTTTATCTGTAAGGAAACAGAAGATATCATAGGTCAGATATGTGGAGGATTAAAAGTGACCCAAACCTTGTGGCCCATATCTCAAACTGCATTCTCTGTGCAATATTAGGTCAAAGTTCCATCATTTTAGCTGAATCTTTGAACATTAACAAGGCATTTAAGAGGGGAAAAACATCTAGTTAGGAATGAAATTGATGAGTATTTGGGTTGTTTTTAATACCAAATATATCATTCACAAAATTTACTTTGACCTTTGACCTTGAGTTCCAGAAAGCAACCCAAAGCAAGAACTCTCAGGTACTACATGTTTGCTATAATGCAGAGCAGCAGTTTTGAAATGTAGAAAAAGATTTGTAAACAAAATGTTTTAAACACCTCTAATTTTGATTGACAATTTTTTAGATTATTGTTTTAAACAGACAGTCATTCAAAATCAAAACGATGTATATTCAAAATAACATCACTTCAAACCAAGTAGAGACACAAATGTGGCAGAGAATGCAGTTATGGTTTAATAGGGTCACATCACATCAACTCACACTGACTGACCTAATCATATAAAGTGATCATCGTAATTATCAATGTCTCTTTTATTTTTCTTTAGACAAAAAAGAAAAAGAAATGAGACTTTAAATAGGACTAAAGAAAAAAAAATTTATCTTAAAAAACTCAACTTCCAATGTTTTGAAATATTAGTTCAAAAGCAAATTTCTTATATCTGGATTGCATTGTAAAACAGAGCAAAGCTTTTTCCTGTACAATGCATGACATCTGACAAACTAAAGTTGTAGCACAAAGACCAGCCATGTTTCCCTGAAGATTACATACTTGTGTCTTCAACAGCTGATTTTTAGGAAAATTTCGCTTTCAATATTTTTTTTTCACTTACCAATAGTAAGCCTAATGACCAGATTTAATGTGACACATATTCAATTACTGTAGTGTATCTGGCAATGTATATTACCTGACCTGACACAACTTCCAAACAAAAAACTAAATCATTTTTGCAGGTGTACTTCTGGGGGAAACATGGCATATTCTAAAAGTATAGGAAGAGACAACAACTACACAGGTGAGGGGACTAGAGTGCTGCCATCTCTGGCCTATATCATTTACACCAACAATTATACACCTTACCTATGCATATGCTCAACAGATTTTAAAAGTTGATACATATAGTGTTTAACTTTCCGTTCTGGTAAATAATGTCTTTTTCCTGCAAATGATATGTTATTTGGTTAAAAACTGAAAAAATGGCATTGATAGGAAATTTAATGCGTACAAATCCCTAACTCAAAGAGACATCAAATATCCTATTTTTTTTCTTATTCTGTAAATTATGGTAGTAGTATTCAAAATACTTATACTACCTTACTTTTCCTAATTTGGTTTACAACCTTGCCTGTCCTAATAAATATACCTTGGATTAGTACTGATGGTACAAAGTTCTGGAGTTTACTAAAGCTTCAACCAAGAGGGAAGAAATTATTTTGAAACAAAAATGACCCTTTCTAAACATTTTTTGCAATTTTATTCAGTCCTCTAAATGGAAAAAAAACAAAACCCTTTGAAAATAACGATCTTGATAGTAATCAAATCACAGAATACTGGTCTTTTTCAACCTAATCACAGAATAGTGGTCTTCTTCAACCTATCAACAGAATTCTGGTCTTCTTCAACCTAACCACAGAATACTTGTCTTCTTCAACCTAACAACAGAACACTGGTCTTCTTCAACCTAATCACAGAATAATGGTCTTCTTTAATCTCACTGAATACTGGTCTTCTTCAACCTAACAACAGAATACTGGTCTTCTTCAACCTAATCACAGAATAATGGTCTTCTTTAATCTCACTGAATACTGGAAAATTTCATTACAGCATACATGCATCTGTTTTCATGCAAAGTAAAAACATTATCAAACAAATTTCCATAGATAGAAAAGCTGACCTTGACTTTGAAACCTCAAAACATTATCAAAAGTATTTCTGTATTTGATCTTAAGACATTGTGACTGATGTCCCTAAATAAATGAATCATTAGTGATGGCATCGCCGAGGGATGGAACAAGACGAGAAGCGAAGGAACAGAATGGGTAACACTATCTGCCTACACCCACTCCCTGTTAAATAACGGAAGCTAATCTATAACAGATACAAGATGATCAAGGCATTCTAATACATGGACTCTACATACTGTTCAAACAAAGAAATAAAGTTACTAGAATTATATCACAGAATTAAATCACTTTCTCTATATAGCAACAATGACCTTTGAATCACGAGACACAAACTTGTCTGAGTTATTCTCAGACATGACCTTTGAATATATAGATATAGTTTGAACCAAACTTTTCCAGAATAAAAAATACTGGAGTGATATCATTGGGTGGGTTGGTATTTTCTATGAATAGTAATGGTGATCTTGAACCTTGGCATCCCTGAGACACAAACTTATTTGGGATAATGTTGTAGCTGAACTTTGTATACAGTTTTACAACACATGGCAAGGATGTTATGAGTTGTTTGCTGGGTTTATCATCCCATCAACAACCAAATTCATTTTGAGGCAGGGTCTAGTTATAGTAGCAGCAGTTACCTTACTGAACAACATATGGGAGGCCAATCACACTACCTAGAGTAATTCTGTGAAGTGTCTTGCCCAAGGAGACAACATGTCAATACTGACTAGTTTGTTTACCAGCACCATGAGAAACACAAACCGCAACATATAGAGTATGGAAACAATTCACTTATCCGATAAATAAATCATCACGACCAAGTTCATCTATCGTGAATATTTATATATATTTCACATATACATTAAAGGTAAGTCTTTGGGTTGTATTCATACATGTGTAACCAGACATGGAAGAATGATGATGGGAAATAGGTAAAAGACCTATTAGGCTTTCTTCACAACCACGACGGAGGACATTCTTAAACAACTTTTTAGAAATCATGATTAGAATATGTTTCTTTCTCTTACTTTATCATCATCAAGCAAACCTCACTGTATGTAATAACATCAAATATTTACGATGGGAGATAACTCTAGCTTATTTCACAGTACAGTGCAGGCCCTTTAATAATAAATGAGCTGACAGCTTAATTAGTAGCTGACACAAGCTATCATGATACAGAGGTAAAATCTATGGGTTTAAATAGCACATTCCAAACCTTCCGGGAAATCATCATCTGTAACTACTATCAGACTGACTTGAAGTTCACATAATGAAATGAAGTTAATGGCAACCTATAAAGTCTTTAAAAAGTCTTATTACTCGTCTATCTGTATATCTTTGTATGTGCTTTGATATACACTTATTTAATTATGTGCAAAGTATTCACATCTCTGTTTGCTAATTTACATTCTACCTCCAATTAATTTTTCAGTTCACTAACAATCACGTTAAGCTTGTGGGAGGTCACATGACCCTGAAATAATTGCCTTATTACATCAATAACTATCAGCTATAATGGTGGGGGGTGCGTCATATTAAAATCAAATTTCATGGTTATTTACGGCACCTGAAAAACCCTGGGGTAAATCCTCTCCTGATGCATTATTAAGTGACAGTTAAATGTTAACTGATCATGACAATTAAATCACACGTTGTGCATGGTACATGCACCAGTGCTTATGTTTACTTTACAATGGCTTCTGAAACAACCAGTTTCTGTTACATGGATGGGGATACTTTTCCCCCCTATTTGTTGTGTTTTTGCAGAAAATGTGTGTTTAAAACAAGTTTTTTCCCAGTGAGTTTTATTTCTTTATACCAGCCACGACAAGGAGAGACATACTTCTGACATGATTATCCAACTCGTACATCTGTACTACCATACACGACCATCTCGGGGATATCTGACACCAGTATAAGGAAAAGGAACCTTTCAACACAAGGCGTTACCACAAACCTCGGCACATTTTATTCTAAACACTTAACGAAGTTTGGGCCTGTTTCTCTTTTAAATTATATATAAAAACACATGCCATAAAAAATTTTCAATGCTCAATAATATCATTAAATCGACTGTTTCAATGATTTTGTTTTTATCTCTAAAGCACACAAACTCTGGATCATAATGAGTCAGCTCTAGTGACCTTTGTCTATGGCCTTGAAATCTGTAGAATTACAACAGCCAGACTCTGAAAACATTTGTCCCAGTGACCTTGGTATAACACTTTAAAATATACATTATGAAAAAGACTCAAATGGTTCTAGTAGCCATGGACAAAAGTGAAAATAGATTCCCTTTATATTTTTCATCTCTTCTTGACTTCAGACAGTCTACTTTACGACTTTTCTACCTTGGAGGTTATTGTAGCCAGTCACTGTTTACAAAGGCTATATTTAATGATGTTGTACGTGTAGTCCAATGAGAAAATCAATCAGTAGGGAAAAAAATTAAGATAATAGCAAAGCATTAAATTAAAGAAATTTGACACATCATTAAAACTCAATTTTCACTATCTGATTAAAATTCCATACTTTAAAAGGTCTAGTTCACATGAATAACAAGGTGATTTATGCTAGATGTCGATCGTGAAAGGTCTCAATGTTGTTGAAGTTTGCTTGGGCATTATGTAGAAGTAGAAATTTCACCTGATGGATTTTTATGGTCAATAGAATGTTTGAATAGATATAAATAAAGCCATAAATAATTATCAATTTAGAACAAAATTATTTAACTTTTCGAATAAGTACCCATTCCTTTTACAAAAAGTATTTACTTTCCAGTAAAAAAATGCAATAATCCATTTGCTAAGGAGAATTAATCAGTAAAGACTGCAGGAGAACAAAGGTAGAAAAATCCATACCGCCATTTAGTGATAGGCCTGTTTAGGAAAAGATCCTAATTGATATTGGTTTTACATAAATACCAGACCTTTATGCTGACATAAATATCAGTGTTTTCTTCGTGGTAACAAACTCAACTGAACAATTTGTTCTCGAGGGCATTCTCATAATTGTTCTGGAGTTAGCTGAGCCATAATGTCAGTTGACACATCTGCACTATCACTCAATCATTAACAATTAAAACGATTACTGACCGGTATTTGTTGAATTGTGCCTATTATATCCCTGTTATCTACAATGAACTGATTCTTTCTTCATCAAAACACAGAAATGAATTTGATATTTGTAATAGGTGTGAGGAAATTAATATTTAGTTTGTAGCAATTAACAGAAATACTGTTCTGATAATAGGAGCCTTTGAATACCGTATTTTACTGAAAGTGAGCCCAAGCTGACAGAGTGACTAGAGGTCACTGTAACCCTAGCTGACAGAGTGACTAGAGGTTTTTGTATCCCTAGCTGACAGAGTGACTAGAGGTCACTGTAACCCTAGCTGACAGAGTGACTAGAGGTCACCGTAACCCTAGCTGACAGAGTGACTAGAGGTCACTGTAACCCTAGCTGACAGAGTGACTAGAGGTCATTGTAACCCTAGCTGACAGATACCAGAGGTAACTGTAACCATAGCTGACAAGTGACCAGACCTTACTGTAACCCTAGCAGACAGAGTGACTAGAGGTCACTGTAACCCTAGCTGACAGATACCAGAGGTAACTGTAACCATAGCTGACAAGTGACCAGACCTTACTGTAACCCTAGCTGACAGAGTGACTAGAGGTCACTGTAACCCTAGATGACAGATACCAGAGGTCACTTTCACACTATCTGACAGAGTTACCAAGGTCACTGTAAACATATTTGACTGAGGTACCATAGGTTACCATAACCCAAGCTGACAAAGGCACTGGAGGTCAATCAAGTCTTGCTATCACAGTTTTCAGAATTCAGTTCAACCATGGCCAATAGCAATACCTGTCATTACTGGAAGCTGAAGAATTAAGATGTAATGCCACAAACTCACGCTAAAAGCCCAACAGAGACAATGTCTGCTTTTGTAGTTACCATGTTTCAATGTATTTTTGTCAGCAGTGATGCATAATTTACATTTAAGCGTTCCCACCTCGAGGAATGATATTTATATGTACAAGTAACCGACAAATCTTGACTGAGTTGTGATATCCACCCCAGGATGATAAAAACTTCCCGTAACTATGACAGTTCCAATGTTATGTTTCAATAAAAGAAAAACACCTTGGAACATGTTATTTGTGGCTACCTGCAGGAACAAGACTGTAGCTATACAGTATTCACCTTCAAGCCATAGAAACTGTTTATACAACACAATCAACTGCAGCCTCTCAATAACACAAGGAAAACTGTATAAAAATTCTTGATTGCACCTATAGGCAGTATTGGTTGAGGATCAGAACATTTATATGTGATTAATACATGTATAAAAATGTGGGTATGATTACAACAAATGGCAGTGGGACTTAATTCATAACTTTGCATGGAAATTCCTCCTCAGGCTGATTTTGTAATAATTGGTTTCTGAACCTTTCTGCTTGATCTTCCTGTTGTAAAATCCTAGTAGTAAACCTTGGAAATCTATAGACAGTATAATTGGTTTTTCCAGATCACTGTTCATGAATGAATGAACCTCAGATTGAGATGTGAGGTTCTGGCTGGATAAATATATTATTCATAAGCAGACTTGACAGTCTATGTAAGAAAATATTGCATAGATTAGGATGATTTTTGTAATGGAGTCTTACCCCGAATCAGTTCATAAATATTCATGTCCATAAGTTCACAAATCAGCACCAATGTTCCTGATTTTTTGTCACTGAAAAAATATAAAACAAAAACAAAATCACTTTAACAAATATGAATTTACAACTAATACAAATTTATAATTCTACAGTTTTAAATCAATATTACAACATTGTTTAATTTTTTCTTCACCAAGAAAAGTATGGGTGAAAATTGTGATTTTTTTGTATTGCTGTTGATATGCAAGTATTAAAATGACTGCTAACATGTGAAGCAGAAAGGAAAACAACATAACTGTATTTGGCAAGTTCTACAGTCTACAAAATACATACTCTAAGGATCATTTTCAGAGCATACACAATTTTAATTTGTAAAACTTGTTTTTGTGACTCAGAGATGATATAACAGGGACATTTTCTACCATGACTCGGTCCTAAACTGTACAAATTTTACAGTATATGTGACGGCAGACATTTTAATAGTAATGACCTCTGACCTAGACAACAACATGAAATCCTCCCAATCTTTAAGATCTGTACAAAGCATGACTATAATTTGTACCCATGTATGTAGGATTAATCATACTAAGTCATTTTCTGATTGAGATAAGAAAATCACCATTTAATCTACTGCTCATTCTCCATTACAATACAAGGTCTAGTATGAAGACTTTTTCAATTTTTTTTCCAGCGAACCAAACCAGCGAAAATGACCTCATGAATACAAATTCCACCCTGTAACTTGATGCTGGACTACAGGTTCAACAAGAGAAAATTAAAAATTTGGCTGGTACAATATCATGAAATTTAGAACTTGATACCTAAACTGAAATATATCACCTGAATATACAAGACATAGTTCCTAATTTATCATCTCCAGAGATCAAAGATCATGACCATGGTAACTTCAATCAGAAATATGGCCATGTCAGGTTCAGAGTTTAATAATGAATGTCTCTTTGCAGATATCTGGAAAGTTATGAAGTAATAAAATTACTTCTTTTGATAATACTTTTGTGAAAATGCTTTTCAAATACGTGTTATTTTTGAAGTTACAAAATCTTTGACATTCAAGCTCTACAGATACTGATAGGAAACTTGTCCCAAGGACTAACAAAGGGAGATAATCAAGCTAGAACATACATCTTCCTAACAACTTATGTTTGTTAAATGCTTATCTGTTAAAATTCATTTTACTGGTAAGTAACATTTTTGACAAAATTAACAACAAAATTAACAGTCTAAAATATCATGAAAAAAATGTATTTGTTTATTGTTCTCTAGACTGGTTTATAATGCCCAAATAAAACTTATTTACAATTACATAGTATTACAGTACATGTTTACACAATAGACGTAAATCAGGACATTTAGAATATTTACCAAATTCTATAACATCATATCACTAGCTCTGTTCATATCACATTGTTACCCCCATACCATATAAGGCTTGGTCAGCAAGGTATTTAAGTCATGTCAAATTCTTTTAGTAGAGACTGCTACCCTGATGATTATCGCCTGACCTAAATCTCGTCTTACAAACTATCATAATACAATTTAAATCATAATAAGGGTCTGTTCCAGTGGTATATCTCTGCCTGTTAAAACAAGCAGTCCAGGGGCCTTATGAAATTCATTTTTGGTCTTTTTATTTTTACAATTAAAACATCTTGAATAAGGTGCATGCACATCAATTAATGAAATGTTCAATAGTTAGAAACTGCATGAGAACAACGTTTTCCCTGGTACTTTGTTCCCTGGTGTCGGGCCGAAATCTTAGGTCAGTCTTCCTAGCATGGGTACATGCAACTAATGTAAGAGGTTATGAAGTAGTTGGTAGGGGATTCCAAATCACTTCCAATTTACATCTGGTATGTATGAAATAGATACAAATGTTGACAACACAATCTCCATTTATACATCGTCAAAACCCCTGGTCTGAAGAATACTCAAGAAAAAGACTAAAACTCCTTCATTTGTACTGAAATAGGGCATCAGAATAAGCTGTCTTTATTTTATCTGATCTCCCAGCATCATAGGGAACAGTAGGGTTAGTGGTGTTGGAGATGGGAGTGTGGATGTTGGAGATAGGGATGTAGGTGCTGGGGAGGAGGTGTGGGTGTTGGAGATGGAAGTGTGGGTGTGGGTGTTGGGGAGGTGTGGGTGTTGGAGATGGGGGTGTGGGTGTTGGAGATGGGGGTGTGGGTGCTGGGGAGGAGGTGTGGGTGTTGGAGATGGGAGTGTGGGTGTGGGTGTTGGGGAGGAGGTGTGGGTGTTGGAGATGGGGGTGTGGGTGTTGTTGAGGAGGTGTGGGTGTTGGATATAGGGGCATGGTTATTGGAGATGGGGGTGTGGATTTTGGGGAGGAGGTGTGGGTGTGGGGTATGGGGGTGTAAATGTTTGAGACAGGGGTGTGGGTGTTGGAGATGGGGGTGTGGGTGTTGGGGAGGAGGTGCACCATCTTTCTTAGATACAATTTTCAATTTTTGAGCATGTCAATGATCAAAACTGATTTAATCTGTTCATCTGTTTTGGACAAGTATTTAATTGATAATTCACAATGGAGAAACATAATAACGAGGTGTCACCATAATTACTGGGAGGCAAACATTGGATTATAATTTGTTTAATCTTATCATTAAATCTAAATCAATATTGTCACTTATTTCTTCATTTGTCCGTGTATACACAGGCCACTTTATTTCTCTGCATAAAGTCAATAAACGTTTCACACCAACACCAGGTATATATTTTGAGTGTTGTATTCAATATAAGTTCCATGTTCTCTGTCACCTATAACTGACACCTTTCAAGGACCAATTCCTATACACAGTAGTGCAGTGGTGTATCAAGATATCAGGTTAAAGGTATACCACACTACCAGATACTACAGGCCTAGTAACAGGGTGAAAGTGCCTATCATGTAAACTTTGTTGCTTTAATTTCTCAGTAAGTCAATATTTATCTACATGCTAGGGAGTTATCCAGGTATGTAAACCTATAGGAATGAATATCTTAATCCCACTGTCCAGCGGTCAAATACTGGAGTAAATAGTGTGATACAACCAGGACTAGATGTACAAGTCTCACTGTCTGGTCTAGTACTGGGCTAAATAGTGTGATACAACCAGGACTAGATGTACAAGTCACACTGTCTGGTCAAGTACTGGGCTAAATAGTATGATACAACCAGGACTAGATGTACAAGTCTCACTTTCTGGTCTAGTACTGGGCTAAATAGTGTGATACAACCAGGACTAGATGTACAAGTCACACTGTCTGGTCTAGTACTGGGCTAAATAGTGTGATACAAACAGGACTAGATGTACAAGTCACACTGTCTGGTCAAGTACTGGGCTAAATAGTGTGATACAACCAGGACTAGATGTACAAGTCACACTGTCTGGTCAAGTACTGGGCTAAATAGTGTGATACAAACAGGACTAGATGTACAAGTCACACTGTCTGGTCAAGTACTGGGCTAAATAGTGTGATACAACCAGGACTAGATGTACAAGTCTCACTGTCTGGTCAAGTACTGGAGTAAATAGTGTGATACAACCAGGACTAGATGTACAAGTCTCACTGTCTGGTCAAGTACTGGGCTAAATAGTGTGATACAAACAGGACTAGATGTACAAGTCTCTGACCATTTGGTGAAGATTGGTGAAGAACAGGGCCATGTGATGTGATACACCCAGGACTGCACATACAAATCTCACTGTCTGATCAAGTACCCAACTAAATAGTGTGATACACCCATGACCAGACATACAAATCTCACTTTCTGATCAAGTACAGAGATAAATAGTATGATACACCCATGACCAGACATACAAATCTCACTTTCTGATCAACTACAGGGCTAAATAGTATGATACACCCATGACCAGACATACAAATCTCACTGTCTGATCAAGTACAGAGTTAATAGTGTGATACACCCATGACCAGACATACACATCTCACTGTCTGATCAAGTATAGAGTTAACAGTGTGATACACCCACGACCAGACATACAAATCTCACTGCCTGATCAAGTACAGAGTTAATAGTGTGATACACCCACGACCAGACATACAAATCTCACTGCCTGATCAAGTATAGAGTTAACAGTGTGATACACCCACGACCAGACATACAAATCTCACTGTCTGATCAAGTACAGGGCTAAATAGTATGATACACCCATGACCAGACATACAAATCTCACTGTCTGATCAAGTACACAGATAAATAGTGTGAAACACCCATGACCAGACATACAAATCTCACTGTCTGATCAAGTACACAGATAAATAGTGTGATACACCCATGACCAGACATACACATCTCACTTTCTGATCAACTACAGGGATAAATAGTGTGATACACCCATGACCAGACATACACATCTCACTGTCTGATCAAGTACAGGGCTAAATAGTGTGATACACCCATGACCAGACATACACATCTCACTGTCTGATCAACTACAGGGATAAATAGTGTGAAACACCCATGACCAGACATACACATCTCACTGTCTGATCAAGTACAGGGCTAAATAGTATGATACACCCATGACCAGACATACACATCTCACTGTCTGATCAACTACAGGGATAAATAGTGTGAAACACCCATGACCAGACATACACATCTCACTGTCTGATCAAGTACAGGGCTAAATAGTGTGATACACCCATGACCAGACATACACATCTCACTGTCTGATCAAGTACAGGGCTAAATAGTGTGATACACCCATGACCAGACATACACATCTCACTGTCTGATCAAGTACAGGGCTAAATAGTGTGATACACCCATGACCAGACATACACATCTCACTGTCTGATCAAGTACAGGGCTAAATAGTATGATACACCCAGGACCACACATATAAATATCTCTATTTGATCATGCACAAGGTTACATAGTGTGATACGCCCAGGACCACACATATAAATATCTCTGTTTGATCATGCACAAGGTTACATAGTGTGATACACCCAGGACCACACATATAAATATCTCTGTTTGATCATGCACAAGGTTACATAGTGTGATACGCCCAGGACCACACATATAAATATCTCTGTTTGATCATGCACAAGGTTACAGTGTGATACGCCCAGGACCACACATATAAATATCTGTTTGATCATGCACAAGGTTACATAGTGTGATACGCCCAGGACCACACATATAAATTTGAGGTTTTTTAATGTAAAACCAATTTTCATGATGTAATACTTACCATAACTTTAGTATGCAAATACAGTACCTACACCCATCTTTGTATCCCAACAACAAAAGATTCAAAAGAAAAACAATCCCGCCCTCCCTACGATCCATGAGCCATCACGGCAGGAACGCAGAGTGATCTCCCTTCCTCTAATAACCTTTATGGCGTAAACCCCACAGAGGGGCAGCCAGGCAGATAAGGAAGAGGGGAGGATAGGGTGGGACTCCATAAAGTTATGGTAAGTATTACATCATGAAAATTGGTTTTACATTAAAAAACCTCAATTTCATTTCAGTAATAATTACCATAACTTTAGTATGCGAATTCGTCTTACCGTAGTGGTGACTAGAAGCCAGGCAGCCCCTTCAGCACAACCAAAGTAGTAGGGAGGGAGAACAGAGTGCTAAAGTGAAGGAAGGGACCTCTCTGTGAAAGAGCAGGTGTACCCACATGCCGCCGTACGGAAAGACATGGCCCGGGGCTAACGAGGAGGCCCAGCCACTGACTATGCCACCACCAAAGGTCCCAATGAATACAGGCCTTCTGAGTGGGAAGCTAGGGATCACAGATAAAAATCTGTTAAGGTATCCCTGCCCTGCCAGAATACTGCAGACATGACCTCCTGAAAGGAGGACTCATTGAGAGAAGGGCCCACGATGAAGCAAGGGCCCTGACCTCGTGAGACCGCGCTTTCACTCTCGCCCGAGCCAGATCATCAAAATGCTCGTAAGCATACTAAATCACCTGGCAAACCCACCTGGAAACCGACTGGGAGGAGATATCTCGTTGCCCCTGTTTAATGGGCAAAACAGACGGGATCGAGAGCCCCGCCCCCCCCTGGTTTTATCAAGATAAAACCTAAGAGCCCGACAAGGACAAAGCAACCTATCTCGCTCCTCCGAGCTAGTCACAGCCAGGATCCTGATGGGATCGTGCGAGAACCCCGGAACCTGATTCTTCGCTAAAAACAACTCTATTCATAGCAAAGCCTCTGATTAGGGCAGAAAGAGAGGAGGACTAACCGATCTCCTTCCTGCCATAACAAGCAAGAACTCTGGCAATAGCTGTACGATAGCCAGCAATAGTGCCAGGTGGCAGATAGCGGTACCTAAACAGAGAGATTAGGAATTCCGCAATCAAATGCAGAGGCTTCGAATGAATAAGCTTCCTTGCCGACACACCAATCACAGAAGATCATCCAACGTGACTGGTAGACGGCAGAAGAGGAAGCCCTGATTGATTGCTCAATGCAATCTGACACCTCTTGAGAAAAGCCTGCCTTGGCGTGGCTTCCAGAGATAGCCTCAGCGCGTGAAGGTGGAGGATCTCTGGTCAAGAGTGTGTCGTTCTGGGCCAAGGCTGGCGAAGGAGATTCGGTCTGGTGGGGAGAGCCAAGGGCTCCTCCACCAGAAACGACAAGAGCTCCTGAAACCAAGCTTGCCTCGGCCACAGAGGGGCTCTCAGAAGTAAGGAGCAGTGATGCTCCCAGAACTTCTGTAGAACCCTGCCCACCAGGTTGAAGGGAGGGAATGCATATGCATACGTCCCTTCCTATTCCAGAGAAAGGGTGTCCACAGCCCACGCCTTACGGTCTGGGACCGGGGAGACGAAGGTTAGCAGCTGGTTGTTCAGGGAAGTGGCAAACAGGTCTATAATAGGTCTGTCCCACGCCTGACAATTCCCCTTGAAAATCAAGGGACACAGCTGCCATTCCGTCAACACCGGCTGGTGGCGCCTGGAGAGTGGCCACCAACACACTCAGCCTGCCAGAAAGATGCTTGACCGCTATGGTCAACTGCATGTCCTGGCAGAGAAGATGGATGTGGATGGAAAGGGCACACAGGACATGAGACCTGGTGGCCCCTGTCTCTCCAGATACGCGACAACTGTTGTCGGTAGCCACACTTTGGACTGCAGGATACCCCTAAAGGACTGCAGAGCCAAATGAACAGTCTCATCTCGAGTACACTGATGTGCTCTGAGAGTTATTCGCCAGACCACTCCCCCATCGAGGTAAGCTCACATTCCTGTCATGAACGCGTCCATGAACAGGATCATAGAGGGGATAGGCTTGGTCAGAGGTACCCCATGGAAAACGTTCTCCTGAATGGTCCACCAGCAAGAGAACTCCCTGACCGACTGGGTAAGCGGGATCCAGGCCTCCTGGATGACGGAACCCAGTCAGACAGGAGGAACATCTGGAGAGGTCCGATGTGAATCCTCCCTAGGGGGACCACATATGCCAAGGAGTTGAGATACCCCAGAAAACTGAGGAACCAATGTACCTGGACAAGTGACCAAGTGATGAAAGTCAGAGCCAGAGCCCTGACCTTCTCAAACTTCTCCAGAGGTGGAAGGGCTAAGCCCCGAACCATGTCAAAATGGTTCCCCAGGAAGAAGAAGTCCTAATATGAAGGAACCTCTGACTTCTCTCTGGAAGGAATGAAGCCGACTCTGAGCAAGAGTTTCAGGACCAGACGAGTGTCCTTCACTAACGATTCCCACACCAAAAGAGGCATGAGGGAGTCGTCGAAATAGATGTGGACGTCTATTCTGCAGGAGTGAAGGAAACACCAGCAGCAACTTGGTGAACACCAAAGGAGCTGTCGTGAGCCCCAAGGGCATCTCTGCCTTGGCAGCATGGTCCCTACTTCCTCCTGGAGCACCCGTGCCCTTTCTGAATCCCCGGGAGGAGGAAAGAAACAAAAACGGCCAGGAGGCGAGGGACGAATCCTGAAGAAGGGGAATACCTAGACCCTCCCTGACCACCGACAAAAGCCCAAGCGTCCTCTGTAATATCCTGCCACTAGGAAAGGAAAGCAGAGAGACGTCCGCCCACAGGGAGTTCCGGATGGGGCAGATCGAGCCCCTGCCAGACCAGAGAATCGTCTGCCCACCCGGAGCCTGAGCCTGCAGGAGAAGGACATGAGCCCGGGAAAGGAGAACCACCGTCCACCCGGCCATACCCTTCGCCTTTAGCGGCCAAGAAGCAGAAATAGTCAGGAACCCTTCTTCTTGCCCCCAGGAGGTTTCTTACCCTTCCTACCCTTCCCCTTGTTGCCGTTGAAGTGAGGTTGGGACTTGGGCTGTGCAGAAAACTGAGCAGCCGAAGACTTCGCCTTCTTCTTAGGAGGCACTGACCCCTGCGAGGCACTGGCCTTCTCAGCCTGAAACCTCTTCACCAGAAGTGCTGAGGCGACCGAGTCCTCCTTCATATCCTTCTGAACCCAAGGAAGAGCTCCCCTGAACAGGGTAGAGCCCTAGAAGGGGGCATTCAACAAGCGGAAACGGTAGGGTTACTGGACTGGGCGGAATTTCAGAACTGAAAACTGCCTAGCCAACACGGCATTGACGAGCAGAGAACCTGCAAGGCTGCCGTGTCCTGTATGTCGGCTGTTCTGTCTCGGATAACCGACACTCAGGCAAATCGGATACCCTGTATAGACAAACTGTCAGGAAGTCTATGTATGACAGAACTTGGATGGAGAGGTGCAACATTCTCTCCCATCCTGTGGTGCTCTTTGGGATCGAGCACCACCTGGTCCACTGATTTGCCGGGCCAGGCAGCCAGCTGTCTCAACTCCAGCTGTGCTGGTTGAGAGGCCAGCTGCCCATCATGTGTGGCATAGTCGGAAGCTGAAGCCTCCGACAATTCACCAACACTGAGCTGCAGACCGACAAACCCGAGAGCACGGGTAGAGAAGGAGTCCTTCTCTAAAACCGGAGCCCGGGCCGTGGCCAGAACCGAAGACATGATATTGCCTTCTGGCAGAGACCGATCTGAGCGAACGGAAGCCCGAGGAGCCACCAGGGAACCCAGAAGGATGGTGGATTCAGGCGCCGACGATGCTGAGGCGGTGGGCAAACCTCCGCCCTGAGAATCCGGGAGATGTTGGCCCGGAGGACCCGCATCCCAGAAAGCACATGCTGAGCCTCAGCTTCAGCAGTCTCAGGGCCATCTTCCCCTTGTGAACCCTCTTGGCCCAGGAGAAAGATGAATGACATCGTCTTCCTCTGCCGAGCCCGCACCCTCGATGTCCATCTCCTCCTCAATAGAGACCGAAGTCCCCTTGGGAGGAACAGGGGCCGCCAGAGGAGCCATCTCCGCAGAGGGGAACTCCTCTTTATGGCATTTGGACGCAGCGCGACCAACAGCTGTAGCTGTAGGCTTGGGTCGGAGACCCGAAGCCGACCCCTGGGAACAGGAGACCGACGGGTCCGCGCTGGAGGCGGAAGTCCTTAAGGTCTGGCAAACCTTTATAGGACCGGCCAACAAGGCCCCCGAAGTAGCAGAACATTGGGGGGATTCCGCACTGCTATAACATCTCCTAGAGGAGAGACCAACCCCTATGGGTTCCACGAGTGAAGACCCATGGGGTAAAAACCCAAACCCCTGAGGGAATGGGAACGGTCCAGCGGGCCGGGAGTGACCCCAGAACTGGCCAAGATGGCCTGCCTGAGTCTGGGGCTGGACATCCTGTCCAAAGGACCAGGATGAACCGCCACTCCCACCAGGTGGAAACCCAGACATGTACAGGCTAAGCCCGTAACTGCTGAGTAACTGTTGGTACCCAAAACCATCCGCAGGTTGGCCTGGGCGACCCAGGAATAAGTGCCCGCAGGCACCCCTACTCCCTGAGCCCGGGGGAAAGGGAGACCGGAAACCGGACTCCTGGCCTGAAGCCCCAAACCCTTGGAGGAAAACCCCCTGGGAAACCCTGCACTGGGAAATCTGGATTGGGACGGAAGTCCCAGAGCCAGAAGCCTGTGAGGGTGGGAAAACAGACCCCGCGCTGACACCAGGATTAGTGAACTCAAGTGTCACTAATCCCCGTAGCCACAGACAATCCTGACAAAAAGTCTGTGGCCCCTGAACCTATACCCGAAGGCACAGTTCCGGAGTCAAAGCGGCCCCCACCAACGACGCCACCTGGCGTGCCGAGGTCCCTGAAGGAATCAGAGACCTCGACCGGAAGTCCCTTTCCGACGGTAACACCGCCGCCTATCGAGAGCTACCGGCCAATTCGACCCTTGACTGCGCCGAGTCAGGGTCGGGCTGCCCCCCCCCCCTACTCCAGGACGCACCTGGACAGGGGGAGCCACCCCCTGCTGAAGGGCGGAGCTCGGTGGAACGAGAGCACCCCCAGCAGGAACGCTCTGGTTCAGAACTTCAGGAGGGAGGTCTTAAAAAGCTTACTTCCCTTACCGGAAGAAGAGGACGAATCCCTCTTCCGGCGGAAAGTTAGCTGGAAAGGCATGGAAGCCTAAGCAGCAGACTCCATGTGCAAACAAAGTTCACATAGTGAGGTCTGGCTGTAATGTCGGCAAATGGGACAGGTATCATGGGGTTCCCATTATCTATAGAAATAGGAACATCCATGCGCTGACCCCCGACGTAAACCCGGCACCTTTATCCAGCATCGAAACAATAAAAAATTGTAACAATGAAAACAAGGATAAAAAGTTTTCTAACAATCAAAAAACTACGAACGAGATCATAAAACCTACCGTACGCAGCAAGATTGTACTGCAAAAAAAGAAAACGGTCGTACAAAACGGTCGACAAAGCAGCAAGAAAACAATTTCAACTTCACGAAAATCCGAGTGACGAGACAAGTAGTCACTCACTCGAACACGCGGAGTAAAAACACGGCCGGAAACGAAGTTCTCGAACAATCAAAAAACTACGAACGAGAGCACAAAGCCTACCGTACGCAGCAAGATTGCACTGCATAAATAAAACGACCGTACAACACGGCCGACAAAGCAGCAAGAAAACAAATTCCAACTTCACGCAAATCCGAGCAACGAGACAAGTAGTCACGCACTCGAATACGTGGAGGAAAAAACGGCCGGAAATACGGTCAAAATAAACAAATGACAATACTTAATTTCACAATATAAGTTGGGAGATGGGTTTATAGACTACTAATAGAGTAACAATATACTCAAACGACAATGGCAGTACGAAGAGAAGGAGTAAGAAAAGCACTTAGCTCAGACACCTCCGCACTCGTCGGCAGCCATAAAGGTAAGAGGAAGGGAGATCACTCTGCGTTCCTGCCGTGATGGCTCATGGATCGTAGGGAGGGCGGGATTGTTTTTCTTTTGAATCTTTTGTTGTTGGGATACAAAGATGGGTGTAGGTACTGTATTTGCATACTAAAGTTATGGTAATTATTACTGAAATGAAATACCATTTTATATATTGGTAAATCTGCTGTATAGCATTTGTTTCCTGTAGATACTCAATAAGTCAAAACAAACAAAGATATCATTTGTAATCAACTTTAGTATAAACAACCAAACATCTTCAAAAACAAATACTGATATCGATCTCGGATATAAATATTTTCAATAAATAAATTTGCTGAGCAATTTGAATAAACATAAATTATATAAATCTTTATTTCTCGGTGAAAAATATTGTTTAGTGGTATCGAATTGCTCCATTGTTTACAGAACTGATATCCTCTATTTCAACCTGAGTGTTGTGATGTTTTGAACTCAATTCGTTACCAATAGCAACTATTTCCGAATCACTGTTTGTGATGTCATTTACTGGATTTTCAAATTTTTTGTTTGGAATGGCGGTATCGGAACCGTTTGTGTTGTCGTCTGCTGTACTTCCTCCAAACATTCCCGGGAAATCGAAAAGAAATATCTGTTTCCTTGTACTGAACAGTCGAGTAAGGATGATACTCAGGAGAGAACTATCTACCTTGTCATCCTCAGCTGTCTCGTCCAACATTCTCATCTGTTCAGCTGCTGGAAGAGATCTGTACAAGAACGCAGATGCCACCCATGGTCTCATAACTGCATGAAGTGTGAAGTTATTTCGTCGAATCAACATAAGCCTGGTGTCTAGGACCTTCTGATTCTGGTACAAACAAGGCTCTTCATCAAATAAAGCAAATATGTTTTCATTGACACCTCGTTCTTCAATTGTCTCCTCGCTCATGGGTAACTGGATAGATTTACCTTTAATTCCTTTCACAATTTTCTTGAATGTGGCTGAGGAATTGAAGCGGATTGATTCATTTATCCACAGTACAAAGTCGTGAGTTTGAAGGACAAACTGAATCAGCGCAGGTTTGTATATACTTTCATATTTTCTTTTCCCTTGTGGATCTGCTGAAGTGATGTTGGCGTCATTGGTACCGGTTTCACATGCTTGAAGTTGTTTCGCCGGGTAGGTTTGAACATCACAAAAACTACAATTACTGACAATGGTTTTGTGATGTTCCACTGATAATCCGAAATCGAAAAAGACTGCTTCCATTTTTGGAAACGCTTTATGAAGAACTGTTTTGATGTTTTCAATTAAGCCCATAACATCCGGAAAGGAATGGTCTGTTACCGCAGTGACCAAAATCGGGTACTTGGAAAATTTATCTCGCTTCTTTGTGAAAGATTTGATAGAAAACCCTGGTAACTTTGTAAGTCTGGCTATTCCGTCTGTGTCCAAGGATAAATTTCCCAAACATTCGTCCTGGATTCCTAATGAGTAATTCTCAACGTATGCAAGATTTTCTGTTATTGTTGCCTCAAATTCCGCATGACATTCCATTGGCAATGTGATGTTGATATCGTGCTGTTGAAATCCGTTAAAATGTACTTCCCAACTGTCTACTGCTTCGTCAGCCCATTTATCCCCGTTACCAAAACCGTAGCTAAAATAGTACCCGAGTACACAGCAGACGACAAACAGGACCATGCGCAGGAATACAAGAACCTTGAACCAGTTTTTGGACGTGACCTTGGCAAAGGTCAGTTCTTCGTGTTGTTCTTCCAGGTCCTTGCTGCATTTTCGGCAACAAGACACGAGCTTGATGCCTATGAAGACAAAGAGGATGAGAAATATCATGATTTTGGATGTCTATCCCACGCCGATGTTCTCAAGGGTGCTCGATTTGGCGGCGCATCACCTGTCGACGGAAAATTGGTCGATATTAGTCACTGTATATGCTAGAAGTGATACTACCTCAAGTAACAGGACGTTGTAAGTGTTAAATCTCTATCATTGTTATCTCATGTAATGTTATTGTTAGGTTTTCAGTACTTTCACATAACGTGATATTATTTCCGCGAGGCTCAATTTCCGTTAATTTGTAAAATATATATATGTTTCGTTGGCACTTGATTTCGTGGATAATTAGCACTCATGAAATACATTGGTATTAATTTGATACAAATTCTATTAAATTCGCGGATATATTAGTTCGTCACCTTGAGAATTCCTACGAAACGTCAACAAAAGTGAAGAGCCACAAAGCGTGACAGTATCCCCCTCGACCGGCTTTTGGTTAAAACTGACTTTGTTTCCATGACAACAGAAAAATATATAAAAATCGCAACCTCGTCAACAGCAAACAGACACAACTAGAACACTAGCCTGATATATTTAATCAAAGCTTTGTCGAAATCAGTTGAACAGTTGAACAGTTTCCAAGTTGTAGCCGGAAACACCCCAAACTCTTCCGAGAGGAACACATTTCGCGGGGATGATAAAACAATGATGATAGGTGTAAATATGAACGTAATATATTGCTAAATATTTGTTTCACAATTTCGACAGAAAGTGTAAACGAAACTTGTATGGGATCTGACATCCTCAACTGAGTTCCAGTTTTCTAGGTCGCTTTTACAGGGAAGTTTTACGGTCGCGATAATGATCTCATCGGGAAATATTCTACTTCCTTGTGCGACATCGAAGTCGGACGTATGTGATGTTCGTTAGATTACCTGGTGATTCTATATTTGGTCACCTTATTCTCATAGGGGGACGTGACATTACATGATTGATTTGACCAATATTTGCATTGCGATGTCCCCGATGAAGCAGAAGACGCTTACTCCTCCGGAACACCATACATTATTCTTATTGTACTTTTCAGGAGCCTCAATATAACATTTTTTTTTCATGATTTGCTTTCGTTTCATTTGGTTTCGTCGAAATCATTTACACGGCAGTATTTTCTTTCTTTATTTTACACGTCCTCCTTCACTATCTGAGACCGGCTGCAATATATTAATCACCTTGACGAGTGCCACACATCTTCAATTCTTTTGATTAACACAAAATATACAAGACTCTTCTACAACCTTTGTTTTGTTGTACCGTGATTTGATGCGAACCAGTCTTAATAATAATCTACGTATAATAATCTACGAGTATTTATGGTACAAATAAACAAACTATGTTTCTAATCTACAGGTAATTCAATAATCTTGTTCATCAGCCTCTCGGCCGTTTCCGTCAACTCCACGTGAGTTAACGGGAACGGCCGAGAGGCTGGTGAACAAGGTTAAAAACTTAGGAACACAAATATCTTCTTTTTTTCTAACTAAAATTGGAAAATAAAACAATGAAAAAACCGCTGGTAAATGAATCAAACTTTGAACAGCATAAGATAGATTTATACGTATTCTTGGATTTTTTTTATATGTCAACACAGCAAGAATTTGAGTCTGTGTATAATAAAGGTTTAATGCTTATGTATCGGTAACCTCTAAATTAGAAACAATTCAAATTATGGAAATAATTTTCACATGTGTTTTGAAAAGTGTTCTTAAAACATGGTATTCTTTTAGATATGTATACAAGTTCTCGGAAACAAATAATTTTTGTTTATTTTTAAATAGCATTATGAAAAAATATATGATATGGAGAAAATCTGAGACTTTGCTTGTACGATATCATATATATATATGACAATATGGGACTACTTAACGTTCCAGAAAAACAACAAGAAACGAAAACAATATCAAAAGAACGATTTACAATACAAAAAAATGATACACAATACAGAATTGTTCACACAACAATATAATATACATACCTTGATTTACAGTGCTTGGTCCAACTTGTCGACACCGTTTCGGCCGATCGGGCCGTTACGATGGTGAAGACTACTTTAACGAACACTCCCCGTGTATTTTCTGGATCTCGTGATATAGCTGTAAGCACCCGTCTCCTTCACACTAGTGCTCGACCCCCCGGGGTAATACGGGTCGTCCATCAATCACTCCTGAGTTCACACGACTTACAGGTACCTACACAGGTGCTAATTTGCATCTTCCTGGTATGATCTGTGACTTTTTGATAGGATATCCAGTTTAAGATGTCATTTTGACCCCGGAATTTATTATACATATATTCGGTTCTTCCAAGCTTTACATCTTCCATAGAAATGACCAGGTCACCAATCTCTATTTAGTCCCCAAAGTCACGGAGTTTAAGAATTTATATGTGCTATGAGCATGACAAATTTGTGTTCATGATATAAAATAATGTTATGTAATACTTGTAATAAGACGTGTTTGGGGTTTTCATAGAAATAGTGCCTCCAGACATCATAAATGTAATATTTCTCTTTTGCGATCCGAGGGAATTCTACAAAATGATATCTCGGGATCATTGAAGTTGTATAATGTAATTTAATTCTAAATTTTACATTGCCGTGGTGTATTTTATGCTAAATATCGAAGACGCTTTTCATTTTTGTGTTTTGTACAATCCTTTGTGATTGCAGGTGGTAGACATTACTGTTGGACTAATGCCTCGATGTTTTTTCCGTAATACATCATGTTTAGGTATAATTCAAATAAATAGTGAGACATGCCAAAGCCTATGAAAAAAGGTGTTTCGTGCTCTAGGCTCATCGCCCAGTATAAAATTAGATCAGGGCTGGTCAAAACGTTTTCAGTATAATTTTACCGGGTGAGGTGTCATATGCTATCGCATTCAGGCTGTTATATTTCAGTATAAAATTTCACCAAACAAACTTCCATCAATGGCCTAATTATTGATTGGCGCCGTCTTCAAATTGTACCATAATGCATTCGTTCACCCGTCCTGAACGGGTGAAAAACGGCCCAGGCCGAGCGGCTCTAAAGTGACATAATCAGAAACCCTAAAGAAGAAACAACGAAATTTCAAATCTGAGTGGACGAAGGAATTTCCACGGGTTAAATATGACGAGGATAAAGATCAAATGTATTGTACCACTTGTCGTGAATTTCCTACCATTGCAGACAAGGATATTGACCTTTTTAAGGAAACAAGGGATGCAGGAAATTTTGGGAAAGAAACCTCTTATTCATCACAACAAGTCCAAACAACATGTAAAGTGTCATGAAAAGAAACTTGGTAGTCGACCAAATTATGTTGGGCCTTTGAAAAATATCCCTTACTCTAAGTGATAACATACAAAAACAAATTTGCTGTCTGTTCAACACTGCATTTTATGTTGCAAAGCAGGGTCAGTCCTTTAAATCATTTCACGGTCTTTGTGATTTACAGGAAAAAAATGGGGTAGATCTTTGTCCAAAGTTTAAAAATGATAAGGTATGTGCGACCTTCATAAAATCAATAGCTGAAACTGAAGTCGAATCTGTTGTGGATGAGTTGAAGGAAACTAGGTTTATTTGTATTTTGTTTGATGGTAGTACAGATGATGGAATAGTAGAGCAAGAGGCAGTGTTTGTTAGGTTTTTGGATTCTCAATCAGGCTATCCAAAAACACATTTTATGAGACGTAGATGCACTTGAAAATGCTACTGAGGTGGTATTGTTAGGCGTTGAGAAGGGTTTGCTGGCTGGGTTATCTCAGACTGATATTGAAAACAAACTAGTTGGCTGCAATTTTGACGGTGCTGCCATAATGATGGGCAAAAAATCAGGTGTTGCTACAAAGTTAACAAGAGAAAGTTCCCCATCAGTTAGCAATCCATTGCGTTGCATATAACTTGGAACGTGGTGTTATGAATGCTTTAAAGACAGTTCCATATTTGCAGCAATTTGACAATGTTGTTAAAAGTATATTTAAATATTACAATTATTCTAAAAAAAACGGAGGGAACTCAAAGCTATCTGTGGAATCATTGATGAGAACCAGGCATATTTCAGTGGAGTACAGCAAATCCGTTGGTCAGCCAGTAGGCACAGGTCTTTGATTGCTCTTGAGAAGCACTATGCTGCTGCTGTCTACCACTTAGAACAAGTTGGTCAAGGATCTAGAGAAGATACAGCAAACTCTGGAGGTCTGTTAACAGAATTAAAACCAGACAAGTTTATGAAGTTTTTATATTTCTTGCTTGGTGTTACCTCAGTTTTGAAAAATCTCGGTGAGAGCTACCAAAGGGATGACTTGTTGTTCGGAAGTTGGAGTTGGCATGTTGGGAATTGTCAGAATTAACAGAAAATGGTCTGTCATCATCAAAGTACTTCAGTAAGTTTGAACATAATTACACGGATGGTGTTTTAAAATGTGGACATGACTCAAAACAGTCAGTTTCTCTCTCTAAACTCGGAATAGATTTGCAGTCAACATTCACTAAATTTCTTGACAGTGCCATTCAATATATCAGTGATAGATTTGGATCTTTGCAGGCTCCTCCTTACAGTTGTTTTCATGTTTTGACCAAACTTTATTGCCAGTCTCTGAGATTGATTTAAGATCATTTGGCAATGAACAAGTTTCTGATCTATTGGTGCACTTTGCTCCATGTTTAAGTGTGCAGGGATGTTCAGAGGCTTCTAAACAGTGGCTAGAATTGAAACTGCGGTTGAACAGACAGCGAACAACAAGTCCTCAAATCGCTTATGCTAATTTGTTGACACTTAATCTAGACAATTTGAAGTCCAATCTAGTCCCTGTGAACATTATGATGACACTCTCCCCTTGCACAGCACTCTGTGAAAGAGCATTTAGTGTCAAAACTACATATAGATCTCAGATGAATCAGGTTACCCTGCAAAATTTAATGAGGATCAAACTGATGCCAGACACTTTGTCTACTTTTCAAGCTGACAAAGCAGTTGTCTACTTTTCAAGCTGACAAAGCAGTCTACACTTGGATTTTTTTCTGCTAAAACAAGGAGACATCTCACCAACAGTCTGAGAGAAAAACATTGATCAGCTACCTGAAATTGAAGTTGTATCTGATGATGAATAAACTGAATGATTACAAATAAAAATGACACTATACTTATGTAGCTCAGCTAAGTTGTTTATACCTTAGCTAATTAGCCATGATCAACAAAGGAAACCAATAATTAAAATGTTAATTGATACCATGTTTTGTTATGTATACTGTACTGATCATACATAATACATGGGACTTGTAGATTTGATCTCAGGACGAGTGGTTCTTATACTTGGCTCGTCCTGTTGGACGAGTGTGTTTTCAAAAATTGTTCTCACCCTGTCTTGGTGTCACGAGGACAAAATCCCTAAATAAATCTTACAATCCTATGTGACATGTGTTTGTGTCCCGTTTGTTTATTAGTTAAAGAAGGTTTCTCCACTAGGGATACTTATTTTGTCTCTGTTTTGTATAGCGTTTAGCAATGAACATTCTCGGATGGAAGGAAATACCACGACACGGGAGCAAAAAAAAAACTGTTTTAAAGTGAATTTATCAACGCGAATGATGACCGCATACAGTAGTATTGAATTTTGAAACTGAATTTTCAACATCTTCCAACCTGTGGAAATTTTTTTAAATTAGTTAATTATCTAGTGTTTTTTTTAACAATATCTTACGCTTTCGTTAATCAATGTAGACAACAAAAAATGTTTATACAACGATGTCGTCTGGACAGAATGTCTTCCAGCTTTAATCAAGGATGTGTGTCACCTGTGCCTGTAGCTGTATATAGTAGCTGTATGTGTGATCTCGGGAAGTACTTCCCTACCGTCAGTCCATTCTGTTTAGGGGTGAAAAGTCCCATCAGTCTTTGTGTCCGTGGTGTAACTTGTCGATACGTCTAGATCTAGTTTAGGGCGACAGCTTGTGTCCCGGAAGTTAGTTACAATAAATTAACTTAAACTTTTTATCACATTTATAACTGCAATGGTAAAATTGCAGAAGCTGTCGAGCATATTATTAAATACATACACATGTCATTCTCCCTCAATTCAAATGATCGTGTTTTTTTTAATAAGCAGGCCGTGGATATCAATTTCATATTCATGTGCAACAAATTTTACTTACTAATTTTTTTTTGATGAAGTCGGATGAAGAAGCATAGGGGCATCGTACCTGTGTTGTTTTATGTTCTGTTCTGATTTGTCTTCGTTTTTTTGGGGTTTTGTGTTTGTTTGTTTTTCTCATTCGTATCTTGTTTGTTTTTTTTTATGGCTATTTTTTTTAACTTTTGGGATTTGACCCTCTCATTCTTTGGACTTTCCTTTATCGCGTGACGTTTGAAATGTTTTAGACGACTTTTTGTATACACGTACACAGGGACTTGGTAAGGATATACAAGTTTTACAAAGACTATAATAGTCACTATGTTAGATATATATGCGGAGCATGGGTCGGGAATTCGTACCAACGGTCCCTGTGTAGGATATATTTTCAACTCAGTCCTTCGTTGATTTATAAATGAGAGCTTGGGTAGTCTTCTAGAATTAAAAACTTTGCATAGCATACAATTTCATAAAAAAAATCTCACAATATGTCAATTTTTTCTCTCTCTCTCATACTTCAGGGGATAGTATTCTTAAACATTATCATCACCATAGACATCTTGAAACAGATCGTTGCTCATTTAAAAAGCAAAATCAAATTTAACATAACTCACAAAATTTACATTTTTACAGGTTTTAAATTAAAAATTTGGAAAAAAAATCATATAAAGGCCATTTTGTTGCGCTATTCATGACGTAATGCTATTGTTCATATTATGACATCACAATAGATTTTTACGGGTGCTGCCAATGAAAAACGCTCCAGGGTATATAACACTAGCAAAAATATCACGTGGGTGAATTCAGCTGTTAACAAGCTGTTTATATGATACGCTATGTTATATGATTTAAAGTACATCTTTTATCGTGTGACGTCAATATCATGAAACTTGATAGGTGAGAACTCTATATCAACAAATTTAGAATTTATCACGATTTTAAAAAACACGTGTATAAATAGGTTCGATTTTTAAGTTGATAAACATGTATAATAACGAGTCCAGTGTTTCAGCTATATTTAAAACATGGATTATTGGAGCATATGAGCTTTGTCAGCAAATTCACTCGTTCACTCGTTGGATCGGAATGAAATGTAACACAGTGTGTATACACAATTTCTGATTACTATACTGTAATCTTTTGTTACGCAACACCATATGGTGGTTTTGAGAGCGTCAATTTCAGGGTACACTGATCATATATGCTCCTTTTGTAAATCTTGAACAATATATGCAACTGGTATAATACACAGCTTACAACATATCAAGATATGTGGATTTATCATTACGTGTATGTCTCAGACATGAGCCCTCAGCATCATCCCAGCCTGAACCCTTGCAGGAACCCTCAGCATAATCTCAGTCTGAACCCTTGCAGGAACCCTCAGCATAATCTCAGTCTGAACCCTTGCAAGAACCCCCAGCATCATCTCAGCCTGAACACTTGCATGAACTCCCAGCTTCATCTAACGCTGAACTCTCAGCATCATCTCAGCCTGAACCCTCGCATGAACTCTCAGCTTCATCTAACGCTGAACCCTTGCAGGAACCCTCAGCATAATCTCAGTCTGAACCCTTGCAAGAACCCCCAGCATCATCTCAGCCTGAACCCTCGCATGAACTCTCAGCTTCATCTAACGCTGAACCCTTGCATGAACTCTCAGCATCATCCCAGCCTGAACCCTTGCAGGAACCCTCAGCATAATCTCAGTCTGAACCCTTGCTGGAACCCTCAGCATCATCCCAGTCTGAACACTTGCAGGAACCCTCAGCATCATCCCAGCCTGAACCCTTGCAGGAACCCTCAGCATCATCCCACTCTGAACCCTTGCATGAACTCTCAGCATCATCCCACTCTGAACCCTTGCATGAACTCTCAGCATCATCTCAGCCTGAACCCTTGCATGAACTCTCAGCATCATCCCACTCTGAACCCTTGCATGAACTCTCAGCTTCATCCCAGCCTGAACCCTTGCAGGAACCCTCAGCATCATCCCACTCTGAACCCTTGCAGGAACCCTCAGCATCATCCCAGTCTGAACCCTTGCAGGAACCCTCAGCATCATCCCACTCTGAACCCTTGCATGAACTCTCAGCATCATCCCACTCTGAACCCTTGCATGAACTCTCAGCTTCATCTAACGCCGAACCCTTGCAGGAACCCTCAGCATCATCCCAGTCTGAACCCTTGCAAGAACCCTCAGCATCATCCCACTCTGAACCCTTGCAGGAACCCTCAGCATCATCCCACTCTGAACCCTTGCATGAACTCTCAGCATCATCCCACTCTGAACCCTTGCATGAACTCTCAGCATCATCCCACTCTGAACCCTTGCATGAACTCTCAGCATCATCCCAGTCTGAACCCTTGCAGGAACCCTCAGCATCATCCCACTCTGAACCCTTGCATGAACTCTCAGCATCATCCCAGCCTGAACCCTTGCAGGAACCCTCAGCATCATCCCAGTCTGAACCCTTGCAAGAACCCTCAGCATCATCCCACTCTGAACCCTTGCAGGAACCCTCAGCATCATCCCACTCTGAACCCTTGCATGAACTCTCAGCTTCATCTAACGCTGAACCCTTGCAGGAACCCTCAGCATCATCCCAGTCTGAACCCTTGCAAGAACCCTCAGCATCATCCCAGCCTGAACCCTTGCAGGAACCCTCAGCATCATCCCACTCTGAACCCTTGCATGAACTCTCAGCATCATCCCACTCTGAACCCTTGCATGAACTCTCAGCTTCATCTAACGCTGAACCCTTGCAGGAACCCTCAGCATCATCCCAGTCTGGACCCATGCATGAACCCTCAGCATCATCCCAGCCTGAACCCATGCACGAACCCTCAGCATCATCCCAGTCTGGACCCATGCACGAACCCTCAGCATCATCCCAGTCTGGACCCATGCACGAACCCTCAGCATCATCCCAGTTTGAACCCTTGCAGGAACTCTCAGGATCATCCAACTCTGAACCCTTGCAGGAACTCTCAGCTTCATCTAACGCTGAACCCTTGCAGGAACCCTCAGCATCATCCCACTCTGAACCCTTGCATGAACTCTCAGCATCATCCCACTCTGAACCCTTGCAGGAACCCTCAGCATCATCCCACTCTGAACCCTTGCATGAACTCTCAGCTTCATCCCAACCAGAACCCTTGCATGAACCCTCAGCATCATTCCAGTCTGAACCCTTGCATGAACCCTCAGCATCATCCCAGCCTGAACCCTTGCAGGAACCCTCAGCATCATCTAACTCTGAATCCTTGCATGAACCCTTAGCAGCATCATCCCAGCCTGAACCCTTGCTGGAACCCTCAGCATTATCCCAGTCTGAACCCTTGCTGGAACCCTCAGCATTATCCCAGTCTGAACCCTTGCTGGAACCCTCAGCATCATCCCAGCCTGAACCCTTGCTGGAACCTTCAGCATTATCCCAGTCTGAACCCTTGCTGGAACCCTCAGCATTATCCCAGTCTGAACCCTTGCTGGAACCCTCAGCATCACCCCAGCCTGAACCCTTGCTGGAACCCTCAGCATTATCCCAGTCTGAACCCTTGCTGGAACCCTCAGCATCATCCCAGCCTGAACCCTTGCTGGAACCTTCAGCATTATCCCAGTCTGAACCCTTGCTGGAACCCTCAGCATTATCCCAGTCTGAACCCTTGCTGGAACCCTCAGCATCACCCCAGCCTGAACCCTTGCTGGAACCCTCAGCATTATCCCAGTCTGAACCCTTGCTGGAACCCTCAGCATTATCCCAGTCTGAACCCTTGCATGAACCCTTAGCAGTATCATCCCAGCTTGAACCCTTGCACGAACCCACAGCATTATCCCGGTCTGAACCCGTGCAGGAACCCTAAGCATCATCCCAACCAGAACCCAATTCTGTTCCACTGCTATCAGAAGACGGATTTACATACATACTAGCTACTTAATTCTGAATCCTTTTAATTTTTTTCATAACGTACTCACTGCAATATATATTAACGAAATAAAATTTAAACTAAATTAAAGAATAATCAATGTTTTAGTAAATCATAAAGGATCTATTTTTGATTGATGGATTATTATTAATTTTGGCCACGCTTTTATTTTCAGAAATATTTATGAGAACTAGTTTTTCTCATATAGCCAGGTCGCGAAATTTAAATCTAAGATTCTAAAATAATCGACTGAATGGTATAAAGGTAATTCATTAGTGAAATGCATGGTTATTACTAGTGTTGAGCGATGACCCTGCATTTGTGACGTCATTATCATAACACTCGAGACTGCGGGAAAACACTACAAGGTCTTGTCAACATAGTATTTCATTTATTTCAGATACCAAACTTGATATGAAAATTATAACAAAATATAGATATTTATCGATGTTGTATAATTTTGGAAATCTTGATTAAATCTCTCTCTCTCTCTCTCTCTCTCTCTCTCTCTCTCTCTCTCTCTCTCTCTCTCTCTCTCTCTCTCTCTCTCTCTCTCTCTCTCTCTCTCTCTCTCTCTCTCTCTCTCTCTCTCTCTCTCTCTCTCTCTCTCTCTCTCTCTCTCTCTCTCTCTGTCTCTGTCTCTGTCTCTCTCTGTCCCCCCCTCTCTCTCTCTCTCTGTTCCCCCCTCTCTCTCTAATAAGATGCCAGCTTTAAAAGATAAGATATAAAAAAAAGTTATTTATACGCTTATTTTCTTTCAATAAATAGAAATAATCGTCATTTTCATAAAAAGTGCCATGTAAAGCATTTCCTTATTTGCATTGTTCTGTTTGCGACTACTTAAGCTGTTTTTTAAGCTGTTCAAAATAATGTGACTGTGCATTTCGCTGAATATGAAGAACTGGCGCCACATCAAATTCAACTACTCTCCTTTGTTCATGGAAAAGACGGTTAATGATAATACCTAATATTGATTGATCAAATCGATGACACCTGTGGAACTTTCTATTTCCAATACATCCAAGATAGAAATTACTATTCTTAAAAGTCATGCAATTGTAGGTAAGACCACACGAAACCCATGGTTTCATTAAGTATTCCAAAGTGAACCTGTTCCGACTTATTACAATCCATGTCGCCTCTACTTCAGGTAGATTGAACAGGCAGGGATCTTCTTTGAGAAAATCAAAACTGATCTTTGACGTTCTTTCACAAACGGCACCGGCTCCATGCATTGCTTGAATGCCTCTTTGTCTTGTACGGAAACTGACTTCATCCAAAGAAGTTCCTTCGTAGACCACAGAAGCGTCCATCCACATAACTAAATCATATTCCTTTAGAACTGTTTGTATCAAAATTGGTTTCCAAGCAAACCCTCTTTTCTCTGCTGCGTGTGGAGGATATTTCGACGACTCATATATCCTTACTTCACATTTACAATATGTACTCAACTCCGTCCTTTGTGCGTCCGTCAAACCAATATCAAAATATATCAATTTGAGATCAGGATGGATATTAAGCAGTTGATGATATGTTTTAATCATTCCTTGGGATTCTTTATAATGATTTGACGATGCGGCTGTCACAAATACGGGATATTTCCTTGGGTTCAACACGGGTTTGGATAATTTTTCAATCCCTTTTTCGTCCAGTGATAATTCTTCGAGGTATTTCTCGGGCACATTCAAAGGATAATTTGAAATGACCTCCATGTTCCCGTCTAATGTTTCTTCGAATTTTTTATCACATTTTATTTCGGGGTAGCTATTTCTTGTCCAGTTCATGTTATACTTTCGGAATAAGTGTTGGTAATATTGGTGCCATGTGTTCTTAGGCTTGTAACCCCACGCGGACAATTTGACTAGATCCAAGTCCTGTGTAAAATCGGGAATAAAGTCTGGATCTTCGTAAACGATGTCTTTCTTAATTGAGTTAAGTCCAACATTAAGAGTATCATCTTCAGTGTTATCACTCTGAAATCTAGGAGGAAACTCGGTCACGAAAAACAACGCGATACTTGTTAAACTCAACAGCAATAAAGTCCGTCTTTTAAGATATCGGCTCAATCGAAACCTCATTTTGTTCAGATCCAAATTGATAACAATAATATCTTGTTTGATCCTAGATTAATTCAGTTCTAGTTGTTTTTTTAAACTGAAAATAAAAATAAACAAGAATAAGTTATTCGGAAATAAAATATTTTAAAAAATAAAACAAAAACAAACTAGAAAAAACTAGATGAATAAAAATGGTTTATCCATTAATTTGAATTAACCTATATTTAGTATTGTGAGTGTTAGTCATCGGTATCATATACTTAGCAGCTCCTCGATATAAATCTGGTAACCGTATTATCAATATTCGTAACGTGACTATTGATAATCGTGATAAACGCAGTTATTGTGAACATCGATATTTAAACTATACTAAATAGAGGTTGGATTTGTGTGCTTTTAATGAAGTTCGATCGCGCCTATGAATTTCTAGAATTCTAGAAAATGCTGTTTTAGCGGTATTGAGCTGGAAGTTTTCCCCGCAGGAACAAGTACATTCCACGTCACTTCTAAGGGAATTCCTTTGTCTGCATGATAACCAAAGTAAAGCAAATAATAAAATAAAAAATTATGTATCAAATCTCGTTGAATTTTCTCAAATTGCCCTTTTCTCTTAAAAACGGATGAAGAAATTGAATTTCCTAATAAGGAGTTTGCGTAACTAACCATATAAATATCTGTATTTTTTTAAAGAAGTTAAATATAGCACAAAGTTGCTATAAATAATGGATTTGGAAGCCAATTTAAAATATCATTGAAATATCATTATGATTTACTTACCATAAATGCCATGTACTGATCCAGTGTAAAGGCCAAGTGGAGTGGAGTACATTTGACAGAAGTACACTGGTCAGCCGGTAAGTACCGGGTAGTGATGTTACAGCCCGGGGTCACTCCGGACATGGCATATATTGGCCTTAACGGCCTGAAGTGATTAATAAATATGTTAACAGAACCATGATGCTCTTTATTCAAGATCTACAAGCATTTTCCTGGTTTGAAGGCAGGTATTACTATGGGTTCCATATTGGTAGGAGAAATACTTTTTAAGGCGATTAACTCTATAACGATGACCCAATGCCGAATTCCTTAACGCCCTCTTTTTAACTTTCTTTTTACTTCTACATTTGAAAAGGTGCAGATTTTCACCCGTGTAATCTAGTGTTGTTTTCTTTCTTTATTTTAACGTAAAATATCTGCCCACAAAAATGTATGAATTCACAGTAATATTGCAGTAAGTATATCGACAGTAGTCAACTTACATGTGTACGTCATTAAATTATATTTTATTTTGAAAGTTTTTTTGTTTTGTTTTTGTATTCTTGTTTTTTATGTTTTTGTTCTTAAAACAAGATAAAAAGAATTAACTATCAGTAACCGAACATTTACAAAAATGCATATAAGTTGCTAATCGGTTAGAGTGTTGACCTCAGGTGATTACCCGTGGCGGCTTTGAGTTCTCAGTCTAGGCTGACCTGTGGGCACCATACGTTCCGCTACTAGCTCTCTGGCATGCGACGGGCTTCCTGTATGTGATTCATTGAGGTTGCTGCCAGCCTCGACAAAGAGGCTCCGTCTCAAAACGATACTGGCTGTTTACAGACAAGTAAAGCAAACAAACACACAGAAGCAATAGCACATCTTGGCCATTTATCTGTGTGTTTTTTTTTCATTTCGGAAATCACACACATTATCGGTGAACTTTGTTGATGTACTTAACTGTATGGGGAATTAGACAGCCGAACGTGTTCCTTGTTTCTGTTCATATTAGCGACATACGGAATTGATGGTAAATTATTCACGTCCGTGTATATTTTGATTTAAAAATGCATTAGGGGATTCAAAAGGCGAAGATATTGTCTAGAACTGTTTTAAAGGCACTGTTCTGTCGACCTTTTATTCAAATGCCCTCAAAACTTCGGAATATTAGGGTTGCAATGTTAGTGTACCACGAAAAAATGAAAGTGCATATGATACTGATAAACCTCCGAACAGTATTTAACAATTAGTTCATATATATAGTACTATCCGCAATTTACAGCGGAGCCGATTACATCTGATGACTTACATTACAAGCGCTCCACCCTCCAAGTTGTTTCACCGGGTTGTTGGTGTCCACTTCTTTCTTGAGTACAATTTTATCTTGTAGCCAAACTTGACTTTTTTAAAACTGACGATCAGTTAACAGATTTTTCAACAGTTATCGATTTTCCTCTCCAGATGTTGATTTCAATCTTACTCTATTATGATTAAACGAGTCAGAAATAGATATATGCTTTTGATGTCTTCTCGAACCTACACGTATACTTCAATAGTTTCTTAACATGTTTCTGGTCGACAAACAATTTTAGAGATATTAAGAGATAGCTTCCAAATTGATTGTGATTATTCTAGATGTCCGAGATGCAACATGTTTACGTAATGTTGATATGGAGAAGCGAGGGACTCGCGAAACACGTAATTATGTGTAATAACGATTTACACAACATATGATGATTGATCTATATAAAGTTATGACAAAGGGTTTCGGAAGTTGCAGGTTAACAGCATTTTTACGACATGTAACTTTATTTAAGGATTTCGAAAGTAAAATAAACGTTTTCATTACAGATGACAACGGAAGTCCTCTATCAGAGCGGATTCCCCCCCCCCCCCCCACTCTCTCTCTCTCTATATATATACACTTAAAAATATATCTCTTTTGTCATTGTTAAAATAACCTGAGACTGGGACAATGCTGAAGGGATACAATGATGTGCACATAGGATTTTCCTGGGGACAGAAGGACAGGGTCCCAACTTACCTTCCAACAAGGTGATCGTGAAGTTTTTGGGTGAAGGGCTTTACAGGATTACAAGAGGATAGCGGTCTCTTTTGTGAACAAAGAAGCATGACCCAACGGGCCAAAATGAAGGCATTTAACATTCCCAAAATAGATATTTATCAAATTTGGTCTGAAACATATTTAGGGGCATTTAACATTCCCAAAATAGATATTCATCAAATTTGGTCTGAAACATATTTAGGGGCATTTAACATTCCCAAAATAGATATTCATCAAATTTGGTCTGAAACATATTTAGGGGCACAAATCTTAAATTATTTAAACAAGAGGTAAATGACAAGAGCTTTACATTATTTATTGGGAATTTTCAAGGATTAAAAAAAAAATGGGGAGTTTGGTGTGTTAGGCGTCTATTTGGGTAAAGGGCTGGGCTTTTTTCTACCAGGGTATTCAGTTTGCTTTGATATTGTGCAAAAACATGTGAATTTTGTCCGAATGGTTTTGACTTGGAACAGAGACGTAAATATCACCCTCTTTATGTAGATTTCTGCTTGATGTCAAACCAGTAGGGTTGAGGTAGGGATGAAGTTATTTCAACCCGATTGCGTAAATATAATGCAATCAAGAAGTCTCCACGTTGGCTGTAAACATCTTTGATTATACTTCATGAAACTGGGACAATTTTTCATTGGTTGTAGACAAGCATTTTGTATATTAATTAATTGTATGCCAGGTCTAGCGAAGTACTAAATGAACGGGCGTTGTCTCCCTTCCCTCAGTCTTAAAACCGCGGCAAGTCGACAGGAAGTTGATGCTGCTGCATCAAGAAATATGGCGGGAGCCGTGTAAGGATGACTGTTGCGTCCTTCGAGTAACTTCTGTCTGCATTACCGCCTCCGAAGATAAGAGCAGTCATGGTGTTATTGGAATTAGCAGATTCACTAACAAAGGTAACTGAATCAATTATTTAGAATATCTTTCTATTGATAGTAACTCATAAAATTTTGGCGAAACGTTGAAGGTAGATATTGGTCAAGGGAGAGCATTCGATTAATATTGATCATGATGAACATGCAACGATATACTGATATTAACCATTATTCTCAATGTCGCAAAATATGAAATAGCTTGATAAACTCGCTAAAATTTGCTATCGAGTGAACCCTTTTTTTTTAATTACAGTAAAATATTTCGTTACAATACATAATCAAGTAAAAGTGCTTTGCTGTGACATTCTGGCCGTTACAATGCATATTCTCAAAATTGAAATAAATAAATGAAAAAAAGTGAATTGACATGTAATTATTAAAGGTGAAATCTTATAAAAATCATGAATTGTTAATGATCCAGAAATTTAGAATTAAATAATCTTTTCTTCTCTTAGGAATTTTGTATTTTGAGTAAAATATATTTTTCAATATTTAAAAATTGATGATTTTTGGCGTTATCAAATGTTCTTAGATGTGGGGAAAAAATTCACAAGTGATTATTTCAGTATTATGTAAAGATTCTTTATACACAACCAGGAATTTTAATATGTGACGTTTCGGTGACCAGTACGATCCGTACGCTGTCACCTTCCTCAGACAAATGACCAGTAAATGATGTACACAAAGGTGTGATATGTGTACGAGTTGTCGTGGAATAGCGTCGATTTCGAACATGCTGACAAGTGCCGAAATGACTGTTAGCAAATAGTAAAACCATTCGACTACACTTATTTTATTACTTGGTCATAGATGTGCGAGAGTCTATGAGCCCCCTCATCTCGGTTCAGAACTGCCCCGCTGCGGCGTATCCAGATGGCTTCTTTGATCTGTCGCTTCAGAAGATGGTTCTCCCTATCGAGCACCTTTGAGTTTTCCCAGTCAATCACATGGTTTTCCTGCATGGCATGGTCATTGATTGCCGATTTGTTTATCTGGGACTCCGACTGCTTCCTCTCTGATCGGGTGAACTTCTTTTCCTCTTGTCTTTCAGTGTCTTTCCGGTGCTCCCCTAGGTGAACCCCAAATCGCCTTCCAGTCTCTCCAATATATGACACGTCACAGTTTTTGCACCCGATCTTGTATATGTTCTGAACCGAGATGAGGGGGCTCATAGACTCTCGAACATCTATGACCAAGTAATAAAATAAGCGTAGTGGAAAGGTTTTACGACAACTCGTACACATATCACACCTTTGTGTACATCCTTTACTGGTCATTTGTCTGAGGAAGGTGACAGCGTACGTATCGTACTAGTCACCGAAACGTCACATATTAAAATTCCTGGTTGTGTATAAAGAATCTTTACATAATCCTTACTTTCCAACCTGACGAAAATGTTCAGTATGATTATTTCAGTCTTTTTAAAAGTGTTTTAAATATTTCAGAAATTTAGAATACAATTGTCTCTCTTTTTTGTTATTTAGGAAATGTTTTCTTATGAGGCTGGTAAGAACAGCACCAAGACCAATCTACTCATCTTTGATGCCATTCTTCCAAATGCAAGTGTGTTTCTTGGCAATATAACTGAGACAGTGATTGGCTGTTTTTCCTGGTCGTCATCCAATCATTTCCTATTCCAAGTTGCCAATGTTGTTATTTTGATTGGCCTGTGTTCACCAGACAGGAAAAATGGAGTTCTTTTCATGCACAGTAGTTTTGTGCTTGGTAAGTGTATATATATATACATTCACAAAAACAAAATTGAACAAAAATCTCCTAGATTGGAATTCAGTCTTTTATTATCTAGATTTTACTTACCAAATTAAGCAAGACAAAGGGAGCCATGCTTTGAAAATTAGCAAACTTATTTTTTCATGTTTATTTTTCGTGTTTGTCATTGTTCCACGTTTTGAGTTTATAATATTTGTGTGTTTACAAAAGGAGTGACAGTTTGATAATAAAAATAATAAAAAACCACACACCCACATTATAAACAGGGAAGCATTTTACAAAGGTTATTTTCTCTCTGGTATTTTAATTGCTTCATTTCATTTGTCTAGCTAGCTGTAAGATACATTAAAAAAATAAAGTTCAGTACACCTTTTGTTTTCGATTTGTTTTAGATCCTTTAACATTTCACAGAGAAAATATCTTATTGTATTTCAGGTTTCTTGTTGCTGTCAGTATGGTCCTGGGTGATCCTATGTGCTCCAGACTTTTTCTCTTGGAATTTTGCCTTCATGGTGATCAATGCTTTCCAAGCATTGTTTATCATGTATAATATTCGACCGGTGAAATTCTGTGTTGAGCTGGAGGAAATATATGTCCAACTATTTCAGCCACTAAAGATACCCAGGTCTGTATAATGTTGTTTTAGAAAAAAAAGAAAAATTAAAATATAAATAAACTACATTATTTTTTACTGTATCATTTCAATTTCAGTCTAGGTGCAGAACTTGTATCAGAAATCATTATAAATATTGTAATGTCATTGTCAAAATAGAATGTGACGCTTAGAAAGTGTGTCTAAAAATATGGAAGAAAATCTAAATGATACTTAGGAAAAGATGATATTTATTGGTGATAAATGTTTGTATGGTAAGAAAATTTCGTTTTTATTTTAGGTCCCTGTTCAAGAAACTGACCTGTGCAGACTTTTGTACACTGACTACACTTCATGAGGGAGAAGCATACTGCTCTCAGGCCATCAGCAAGACTGATCGCCTGGGACTGCTCATCTCAGGCAGGTAAGTACAGCAGTCTTGTGTCGCAAGGAAAGGCAACACATGGGATTTCTATGTCTGCACAACTGTTGATATTTTCATAGCATAGATTTCTATGGAGTAATGAATATGGAGTTCAGACAAATACTTTTGTTATGAAGGTCATAGGTCATAGGTAATGGTCACTTGCTCTGATTTCCAAAAAATCGTTTCCACATGTGTTAAATTAGGTGCTTGAATTGAGTCCAGGAAACTAGACTTCAAGCAGATCATACATGTGATTGTCTTTTTCCCTTTTGACTTTGAGGTCAAAGGTGAAGGTCATTGTTTCTATGATTTTGATTGTGTCTCTCTGTAATCACTTGCTATTGGTAAACTGGCAGTATAGATCAACATGTGTTGAATTTTACAAGTCAGAAAAGGAATTGTGACAAAAACAAAGTACTTTCCTATCAAAATTTTTCCATCAGATTATTACTTTTGGTTTCTCAAAAAAAAAAAAAAAACAGAAAAAATTATTTTTCAGTTTTCCTGTTGCTGCCCTATGAGCAACAATCACAGTTACTAGAAAACAGAAAAAAAACAGTCTACGTTCACAAGTCCTCACTAATATGGTTCTGAAATAACATTCATCAAAGGATGTCCAGGGGTGACTTGAAATACTGATTTGGTATGGATGCAGAACAAAGCCAGTTGGAGTTTAAGGATGACGATTCTGTGTTATTTGAGGGAGCAGATTCGTTGACATTTGGTGGAGTCAAAAATTTTGGAAATGAGGGACTGTATTGATTTGAAAATGATCAAGGATGAAGATATCTCTAATAATGTAGTGGATTTGTGGAAGCGAGGTATTTTAATATTTTAGGGAACAAGTTATTTGGAATTTGACAAAAGGGATTATTTGGAATTTTAAGTACACAAGACAATCCAATTTCATTATCACAGGGAAATTACAGGGAAAAGCTGTTGGATGGCTTGTCTGATTTCAGCTTGGAAAATGTGACGTAGTTTTATGTAAGGAAGTATGCAGAGCTATCATTTAACTACTATTAATTCATTAGAAATTCAAGGTATTTGGAAGAGATTATGCTGACCAGGTAATGTTGAAGCTTGAATGACGAACATACTTCCCAGAAATTAATTTTTAAGTTCCCAAAGGTATTTTAAATTTAAAATCAAAGGTGGCCGTTTGTAACATACTGGTTGTGACATCAGATCAGTAATCGCAAAGTTCTTTTACATGTGCATGAAAATATTTCGTTGTGATAATACTGAAGAAATACAATTGTAGACAATTACCGTAATTATACAGTAGTTAGCCCACTCATGTATCTTGCTGTTGAGTAGAATTACAGATGTTTTACCGATTAAGATCCTGCAATAAGCCCAACCCTGACTTTGAATCCGGAATTGTTTGAGACTGGGGCCTACATATATTACATTGGGCCTCACAGTGTCCCTAGAAAAAGACTGAGAATAGTTTTTATGAAAAGTCTGTGAAAAAAGATACTGTATCAAAATTGATTGCTATAATATTAGTGTTTCCTAACATAATCTTTCAGGAAATAATTTTACAAAAGAAAAAAAAAATTTTAATCCCATGGAATAATTTCTATTGACAGGTTTTGTAGACAACAGCAGTTTGATATGAATAATGGGGTAGTAATTGTCATAGGTCTACATCATAAATGGTTATTGGTGACATAATGATACGAATGCTGAATCTCCTGATGGTTCAAATTATTGAATCTGAACGATATCCTGTTGCTTTCAGTGAGGGTGGTTTTGAACAAAATCTAGCACATGTGTATATTTCAACAATTTAATGGCTTTGTTAGTTTCATCTTCCTTTGTACAGAAATTAATGATTTGATAAATGATCTATTTTGGGGTTCAGATTAAAACAATGATATGAGAGTCTTATTGTGAATTAGTGTGTATTCTAGACTTTATGGAGGAGTAATCCGTTGTTTTACATTTTGTTAATGCTCTGAGTAAATGCACTTTGCAGATAAACTATTGTACCACTCCTTCAGTGGAAGTTCAATCACATCTTGTTATCTCAAACTTTTATGACTTTAAAACCCCATTTAATATGTAGTACTGTGAAACTCATTTAATGTCACGTCTGTTAATGTCACTTTCCGGTTAATATTACATTTTCTTGAAACACAGATTTTCCCCCTATATATTCACATCTGATAATGTCACTTATTTTCATTCTGGCAATGCTTAATATCACTTCATTTTGATGACTATAATAAAAAACAGGTAAGTGAGGACAGGAACTATGGATTCATACCTTAAGGGTCACGCGTGATGTAAACATCGTCACAGCCCTACTGACCAACTTTTCACACCTTGCGACTTGCTATCAATAAGATTGACCCACTTACCTGTAAGGTCCCACTAGGTTGAAGGAAGTCTAGTGTGTTTGTTTTTTTTTTTTTACTTGGCTAGCACATTCCAAGTGTTAAAATGGGTTACTTGGAACTTGTCGCCATGCATTGAATGTTTGAGTGGGCGCCATACAACGTGTCTGACGTGCTGCCGAAACTTATTAAAAATGTGTCTTTAGCATGCATATCGGTAACAATTTCAAAACAAAAGATTATTTTGCTTAAGACTTTTAGAAAATAATCGACCATGAACTGTAGTTTACGATAAATTTTTTTGGGTTGTTTCTTTTCACAGCGACCCTTAGGACACCAAACCATGGCATGTTAGTATGGTCATTAGGAATGTCACCATCTTTAAATTAGGAAGTCTGGATAAGGCCTAATTAAACACACTAATTTAACAGTCAGTGAATCATGAAGTGAAGAGTTCACACTCTACTGGGTTTTTGTCAGCAATGCTCAAGTTGTAATAATTTATGATAGCAGGTAAGGTATTTCTTAGGGTTGTCCCATTCAACCTTCACATAAACTTAACATTCAAATTACCTAACCTAAATTCTCTGGTAACTCGATGTTGTCCCACGGTCCTACCAACTCAGAGATAATCAGGTTTTGAAATATTTTCTGTTTCTTATGTCTGCCAAGTTATCAGGGGACACATAGTGTTACCAGTGCCAAGGTGACTTGATGCCATCGCTCTGCAAAGTCAAGCTAAATGGTCAAGGATGAAAGTATTCAATATCGGTTCGTTTTTCAACGTAATAAAGTCAAGGGTACTAAACCATGATTGCCATTCTTAGGAATTTTTAGTTCAGCTGAAGCAAAGGCTTAGGATGAACCATAGCCTTTGTGATTTTCTGGGCGTTGTCAGCCGTCCGTCATATGATGTGGGCAATTGTTTTACGTTTTAAACTTCTTCACAAGTTCCACCAATGGGATTGAGCTGAAACTTGCTTGAAATCAGCCTGACCAAGTGTTGTTATTTTTAAAAAAGTTAAAAAAATAAAGGTGCCATGGAGCTGAAAATTGATGTTTGATGTCAGGAAGGGAAGCCAGCAAAATATTGTAATCTTTTTGGCCTTGTAGAAAGTTCAGATATGGCAGCAATTTTGTAACATGATTGCACGATCATGGTTTCATTTAACAACAACTGTTTTAAACATTTTTTCAAGTTCCATTAGTGGAATTGAGCTAAAACTTGCAGAAAATTTATTTGTGTCAGTCCAAAGTCCAATAGTGCTGATGTGGCCGCCATCTTGAAAACACATTTAAATTTCATCTCAAGCCCCACAAGTGGGATTCAGTTGAAATTTGCCTGAAATGATCCTGAGATGGTTCTGACCATGTGTTAGTATGTGTTTGGGAAGTCTGTTATCAAATATGACTGTCATATATATGACTTTATAGTCAGATGACTGTGAAGGTCCTTTAGCCCTTTGATTTCTAGAATCTACTCAGAGGTTTTTTTTTTTTTATTTATTTCTATGCAAATTGTGTTCATAAAAATAGTACCATATGATACACACCATGTGATGTTAGAACTTTTTCACAAACAGGATATTGCCAATAGTGGTGATGCAGTGTCAAATTCAACTGATACTAGGCTAGACATTAGTTGTGTTTCTGCAGCTCGGTGCAGAGTTGCTGTGTTAATGCTTTGTTTATAGTTAGACAAAGACGCCTTGTTCCTGTGTCGAGACAATCTGACATTTATAATTTACTGTATTTCCAACAGAGTGTCACTCATGTGTTCTATGGGTCTGTATTTCATGAGATGAGAAAGGACGGAGACACATCATCGGCGGGTGTTTACATATATATATAGAAAAATGTTTGTCTCATTGTATCAAAATGGATGGCTATTAAGTTTAGTTATTGCCTGAAGGAATCAACATTATGTCTTGGTTCCCATTTTCTTGTGCACCAAGTGAGCTGTATCTGCAATCCCCAATTTCTCCAGACTGTTTATTAAGCTGTACCTACAATCCAAAATTTCCCAGTTCACCCATCAAGTTGCACATACAATTGCCAATTTTCAGGCTGACTGACTGAGATTTACGAACCCTGAATGGTTTAACATCCCTAAAAAAAGTTTGTGTTTGTGTGCATTTGGGATCATTTACATTCGGCATTGTTGATTGTTTTTTGGTTTTATTTGTGTTTGGGATCGTTTACCATTTGCATTAATGTCCATTTGCATTTGGTTTTTTTTGTTTGTATCAAGGATCATTTTCTAATTACGTTTGCCTAGAGTGGCATTGGCAAACAGTTGATCATTCCATATACAAATGTAAACTGATGTATAAATGCTAATGGAAAACACCGATGCAAACGGACATAAATGCAAATACAGATGCAAACGTGAATGGATCAAATGCAAATGAAAAAGGATCCCAAACATGTCAGCACAGACTGAAATATCAAACTATCACAACATGTCAGTACAGAGTGAAATATCAAACTGTCACAACATGTCAGTACAGACTGAAATATCAAACTGTCTCAACATGTCAGTACAGACTGAAATATCAAACTGTCACAACATGTCAGTACAGACTGAAATATCAAACTGTCTCAACATGTCAGTACAGACTGAAATATCAAACTGTCACAACATGTCAGTAC